TTGTTCTCTGCTTCTAACTCTGCTGCTCGTGTATTTGCAGTTGCAATTGCCTTGCCTGCTTTCTCAAAGAGCTGGTGAACCTTGCGGCCTATACTCTGCTCTCTGTGAAGTGCTCGCTGAGCTATAAACAGATCTCGAGGGCCGTGGGGAGTAGAGAGGTAGCCCTCAGCAAGTTCAGGCTGATTCTGATGAGGTGGAGTAACAGCCCTTTGAGCAACTTGAGATGAGCTAAGTACTCGCTCAATGTTCAATGGGCAGATGCCTGCAGTGGCCCACCCAGTGCGCACAACTCTCTCAGTAATCGTGGCCTCTCTGGCTGCATGGTAGGCCATAATAAATCGTTCCTTTTTGACTGGGGCAGCATCATCTAGGTGTGATAACTCCTGAATCTGCTGGCGATAGAAACATTTCACTACTGAGAAAACTGAGAGATCTAGGGGCTGTAGAACGTGCGAGGAGTGCACAGGGAGAAACAGAAGCCTGACTTTATTCTGCTTGCAGATCCACAGGAATTCTAGGTCAACGTGGCTGCCATGGCCATCTAAAATCAGCATCCTCCAGCGATCCTGTGAGGGTGCAGTATCTGGCAGAAATATGCGTTGCAGCCACTCAGCTCCTATTGCATTAGATGTCCAGCCATTCTCTGAAGTTGCATATAGCCAGTCAGGTATTGTTGATGGAAACCAGGTACTCTGCAGGTTTTTGCCTTTGAATATTACAGCTGGCCGCAGCTTTTTCCCAGTTGCTGAAATGCACTCTATTATCGATGCCCACTCGTGATTCTCTGGAGACTGATAGTAAGCCTTCTTTTTCTGACTTCTTGCAAGTACTCTGGTGTTTGCACATACACCTAGGGCCTTCCCAGTCTCATCCATATTCCACGTATCCTCAGCCTGTATACCTAGCTTAACGCGAAGCTGCTCATAGAACTCAAGAAACTCGCGTATCTGCTCTTGTGTTGCTCCCTCAGCTCTTGCAGCCTCTATCTTCCTCCCTACAACAGAGGTGACGTGTGGGTTGCGCTTAATAAAGAAGGATAGCCAGTGCTTGCCCACAGGTATGTTATCTCCATTCATCCTTAGTATTCGGTTGGCCATTTCTCGTACGCGAGCATGCGAGGGAGGAAAAGCGCGTGCGTCTTCTTCGAGGATCCATTGTACAAGAAACTCTTCTTGTTGTGGAGTCAATTGCTGCTGGTATACATGGCTGTTTTGGCTGCTCTGTACACCGCGTATACGTGTCGAGAGTGTTGATTGCGGGATGTTGTAGGCCTTTGCAGCAGCTCGTTGACTGCGAAAAACACCAGAATTAAGATCGTCAATAGCTGCTAGTATAGCTGCTTCACGGGTATCCATTTTGGGTCGCTGGGTGCTGAGAAATCACGAGCAATGAGCGACGTGTTGAGTTTTGGCAAGTGATCAGGAACCCTGGGTGATCAGGAACCCTGTACGCTAGCTTATACAATCTAATTAGCCTGTTCGTTTGTATAGATAGGCAGACGCTAATCTAGTACACTGTTCAGTCAGCTGTTCGTCCTGTAAAAAGCGCTGATCATTAGGACTACGATTATGAGAACCCAGTGATCCTCATGGATCTCCGGCCAGCAATGGACTATCCAATCAACAGGTGATGGGAGTCTACGTTCGGCAATTGATACTCAGCTACGACGAAACAGGCTCTTCACCTTTCGCAGCACCTTCTTCTTAGTCTTCCACAGACGATGATTCGTATCATTCCCATGTTTTCTCTGGGCTTGTTTGGGCCGGCCGCACCATACGATAGAAACGTCTTCTTCGCCATCGCAAAGTACGGCGTGACGTGCAAACATACCTGATAACACGGAAATTCTACGGCGCGGTGGCGGACATCCTACATCCCGAAAGGAGACTAGACGGACTGGGGTCGAAGGTGTTGCATGCGCATGGTGTGGTCCTACATCACCAGTTTGGCGTGTAGTACGTTTTCTTTTGATTGAATCCACTCCGTCCGCTACTCTGCGCGTTTCCATATCTTGTGTCTCGTGTCCGTTGTTCATGATCAGTTGACTAGATTGAGTAACCTCTCCACCGGGGATAATGATCACTCCATCTTGTGGCGACTGAGATGACAATACAGATACCGGTGGCGATTTCTTTGGTACCTGGTAGGGCTGACGGAACACCTTCACGGTCTCTGACTTCGTATGAGGGGTGGGTGTAACTTCCACCGTCGCCGTTGTCCCTTGCGGAACTAGCTCTGCGGTCAGTTCGGCTGGTTCACCCCATATTTCTGCGCATACGTGGTCGATGTTTCCAATAATATCATCCAAGTGGTCACCAGGACGCCTTGAATTTGCCTTAGGAGAAGGGCTTGGTATATCAGACCCAGCCGCGCCGACAGGAGCGGCCATTCTGGTGGCTGCACTCTAGATCTGGGGGGCGGGAATGCGGGATCAAGCGGTGTTAGAACCACCCCTAACAAACATAAGAAAGAGTGGAAAGTGCCACAGAGCAGGTATTTAAGGCCATGGCATTGTGCAGATGTTCCTTTAAATTCGCGATTTTTCATCCGCGCCATTACTCTCTGCATTGTTTCGGCACATTGTTCAGGCGCATTGTGTAAAAGCTTAAACATTATTTTGTATAGCAATTTGACGGAGAACAAAATGAATGGAGACCTTAGCACTCACCTACGGTCGCGATTAACAGAGATCTTGCGGAATTATCGGCTGTATGATGGTTGATGGTGGACCGAATTGACGCGCGCCTTCGAGACTTCAGAGATGGACAGCGGGCAGATGCCCTTTTCACAGAGCACCAGTTTCTCTGCCCACCCTCGAAAAGTCTATATCTTCAGTCCAGCGTGCCAACGAGCATTCTTCGTGCTCTTACACAGAGAATAGACACAAATGACCCCCTCATACCTCCCCAAAAACGATGAGGATGAACCAACGACGAACGCGCGGAGAAGCCTAAGTCGTTCTATCTGCATTTTGGAAAACTACAATGGCGCGTTATCTGGGTTTGGGTGCCGGAAATATCTTTTGTTACTTTTCTGAGAGTAAGGACCACCACATTTTATTCCTATCCACAGCCCTGTTTCGTTTACTTGGCTTCATCCTTTATCTCCAACGCCCTTCACGTTCCCACCTAATTCGCCGCTGGCGGAGCACTGCGCAAGAAACTGATCATCCCCCGCCCAGTCACACTCGCGCTCGCCGTCCCATCCCCCGCTACCGTAACAGCCACCTCCTTCATGTCACTCGAATTATCCGTTACCCAAGCCTTCACCGTCTGTCCCTCGGCGGGGGCTCCCAGTCCAGATACAGCAACCGTCTGCGCTCCAGTCCCCGAGTTGATAATAACAACAGCAATACTTCCATCCTTATTTTGGAAAGCCGCGGACTTGAGATTCGAGCCTCCACTCGCGCCGATACGGACAGCGCCGGGACGAACGACGCGCCATTGTGCGAATGCCCAGAGGCGTTTGGAGACTTCGTAGTTCTGGCCGTCGATGAGGATGAGCTTCTCATTGTTGTTGTTGTTGGTGGCGCGGTCCTGGACGCCCTCCCAGAAGATATAGGCGCTGAGATTCGCGTTCACGATGCCGTTGAAGACGGTGTTCGCCCACGTGAAGCCATCGCCTGCGCCGCCGTTGGAGTACCATGCTGTGCTCCATCGACCGTTGAGGTCGCTGTATTCGGTTTGCCAGACCTTGGCTTTGGTGCGCATGGGACTGCCGATGCGGCTGGTGTATTCGTGGCTTGTGACGGCGTAGATCATGCCTTCGACGCCGGAGGAGATCATCTGTTGGGCGTGTTGGTTGGCGACACTCCAGCCCGTCGCTTCGCAGCAGTTGATGCCCACGTCCGTGAGGTTGTTGCGATCGAGGGTTGGTCGCAGAACCTTGATGAAGTCGGCAGCTTGGTTGCCGTCGCTGAGCATGGATGCGTAGCTTGCGGTGAAGTCTGGCTCGTTCAAGAAGCCGAGATGGGTGACTTTGACACCGTTCTCTGCGTATAGTTGGACATACTTGACCAGATAATTCGCGTACGCTTGTTTCCAGTCCCCTGACCTGCAGTTCGTCCCTGAAACCTAGACGATTCCAACGTCAGTATACATGAGTAGTAGAGGGCGCAGCGTTTTGCTTACCCCACATAGCTGTCCACCATTGGCGTCATTGCCATTCGTCTTCATGCAACCGGGTGCAGACCAAGCATTTCCGTAGAAGGTGCTGACTCCATATTTCACAGCCTGTTGACTGAGGAACAGCTGTCCAGAGTCCTTGCCATCCCACTTGTAATTCGGGGTGCCATCGGGTGTGGAAGGGCAGACAGGCAGGATAGTGTTCATGTAGTCGTTACTGCTGTCCTTGCTCGATCCAATGCCATTACGCACAATGGAGAAACCTGCACCAGTAGAGGTGTTGAAGAGCAGGTCCAATACCTGGGACTGCTTTGGTTCTTTGAGATTCACAATGAGGTTCGCGCGTTGGAACGCAGCAGAAAAGCCAAAGCCGTCGATCGTCTGATATTTCTGGGACAAATTAATGGTAACCTTCTGGTTCTGTCGCGGCGCCAGCCTTGGTGACGCGAAAGCCAAAGGCGCAGTAGCAGCAAGTGCTGCAAGTTGGGACAACGGAAGGTGCATGGTGAGGGATTCAGTCAGTACAATAGCAGCACCATGAAATTTCACGGCATCAAGAGGAGAATAAATGCGAAGTTCAACAACGTCCAGTGTGGGCCCGATCCGACCTATTTCCGGGTGGGTGTAATCTCGTATCGCCAGAATACATTGTCCTACATGAGGCCATACCCGGCACAGAATGCATGAGGATCGGTAAAGTATATGACATATAGAGTGGCTGGTTGCGAAAAGAAGCACTCTCGATACAATGTTCATATGTGATGCCAAGATGGCAATAACTTATTCCACGACTCCTCTGCACCTGTCATGGTCGGGCAATGGCATGAGGACAGTGCCATTTTAGCCTAAGCAAACCTGCGCTTCTATTTCAAGCGCTGCACGTATTGTAGTGCCACATGTGTGCCGTCACCTACGTGGTGGAAAACCGAAAACAAACAGCCGACTGAGATGAGGATTGACTCTGAGGTGAACGGAAATATGGCAGGCCATTATGCCAGTGCGGCGCAAGAGTGCGATAGTTGAGACTGAAACCAGACTGGACGTTCGAGAGGATTAAAAAGGTCACGAGGAAGATTCGTGACATAGACAGAGAAACAAGGATGAAGAACAAAGAGAGGAAAAGTGAGAGTCATGAGAGTGGCAAGCTCTCAGACACATGGCGGTATGCTTCCGACTTACACTCAGAGCATCTAGCGTTAAGATTGAGATGGTCGCTGAGGTACTCTTGTTGTCAGTGAAGGAGAAAGCAAAGACCTGTGCTATTAGCAATCTTCCCTCGCAAGGGCTCACGTCACAAAACCGCTTCCTGATACGTGGTCTAATGATAGGCTTATTATTAATAACTTAACGTCCTTAAACCACACTCAGATGGAACTGACCTTGAGGAACCCGTATCCCAGTACGCAAGTCGGAACCCAATCCTACTGTAAACGAACCCCGGCTTGTTTGTGTTTCTTACTCTGCTGCCCTTGCGCGTTCGTCATGCCCCGTGCAAGGGTCGTCTCCAAGGTACTCTCTGCCATCTTCTTTTTCTCAGCTGCAATCTTGTCAAGGTGCTTCTGCGTCTTGGTATTTCCACTTCCCTTTCCGTGGAACTGGTGACTGAGTTTCTTGAATGCTTCCTTTTGATTCATCTCTCTCCCGAACTCGTCCACGTACGTCAGCTGCACATTAGGCTTATACTCGGCATTAAATATCTCGGCAAGCCGACGGGATTCAATCTGATCGCGGGAGATATTGTTCTTGCGAGCCCACTCCTCGCGTTCACGAGCCGACATATTGTTCCACTGCGCAGATGCACGTTCGCGTTCGCGTTGCCTTTTTGCTAGACGTTCGGCCGCCTCTTCTGCCTTCTGCTTATCCGCAAGGAATTTCTGTCGCTCACGGTAGGCGGCGTTCAAATCGCCCGAGTTGCTATCCTTCAATACACCACGCTGCTTGAGAAGCTTGAGAGTGGCGCCAAGTCCGCGATCAACAGTTTCCTCTTCATCAAGGCCGGTGACACTGATCTTGACGGACGCAGAACGCTCACGAGATTGTCGGTCCTCCGCCTCCGCTGCCTCCGCGTACGATTGAGCCATGTCGACATCGCCATCGTGATCAACGGTCTCCGCTTCACCAACGGTTGGGGAGGCGACACCGTTAGAGAACTGGCTTGACTTACGTCGCTTACGGCGTTCCTCCTCCTCTGCTTCCTCTGTCTTGGCTCGATCAAGATGTTCAACGAAAGTGGTTACCTCATCGATGACGAGACCGGGCTCGTCTCCATCCTCTATTGTCTCCCGAATGTCAGGCGTAGCCGAGGCTTCCTCACGCAGTTTGCGCGCAATATCTTCGGGTCGCATCTTCTTACGATTTTTCAATGCTTTCTGACGCTGAGCAGCAAGAGTAGCTTGCAAGTCATCATCATCCACGAAAGAAGTATCAAAGAAGTCCTTCTTCGGTTTCGGCTTGACTTCCGGCTCATCCAATTGCATTTCCTCCTCCTCATTTGCGGGGAATACCGCATCCTCATCATCATCCAATGGCCGTCTACGCGATGTTTTGGACTTCTTCTTCTTGGGCTTCTTGATCTTCACCTCAGGGATATCCATGTAGTCGCTGGCAGACGGGCGATCTTCTGTGAGTATGTCCAAGCTAATAGCGACCTTCTTCGGCTTGCCGCCTGTTGCAGCCTCCTCCTGAACTTCCTCAACTATGCGACCCTGTCCGTCGAGCGTGAAGGTTTTACGCTTCTTTTCATCATCGTACTGAGCTAGGATCGAAGTTTGGCCAGACTCATTCTCTTCATTCGGATCGTAGGCACGTTTCCTCTTTTTTAACTCCAGCCTTTCCTGCAGTCTTTCCTTCTCCTTCATGGCAACTGATTCGAGGACGTCGTCCTCATCAGCATCGACTGCGGTGTCCTTCAAGACAAGGATATGATCCTCGCCGTCAAAGTCCTTGATCTCATGGTCGACCTGCACACCCGCTAGATCAGCTTGACTGTATTCTCGCGCGGCTTGTGCCTGAGCCTCCCGTTCTTCCAGCTCCTTCTGCATCCGCTCCGCTTTCGCAATCTTCTTTTGCCGCTTATTCGCATTCTTTAGCCAGGCCAGATCGTCATCCTCTTCTGCAAGATCGGCTAAACCTTTGCCTTCGAGCTTGGCGAACCGGGAGGCTCTCTCACGCTCCTTCTTGATGGCAGCCACGCGCTCCTCGCGCTTCCTCTTCGCCTCAGCCTCTTCTTGCAACTTTTTCCAATTGTCATATGCAGCGGCTTGTCGTGTCTCGACGGTACTCGCAGGCTCCTCATCGTCAGCGCTTTTGGCCTCACCCGCTTCTTTGAACGAAGGCCCAGATGGAGGTGCCGCGCCAGGGACAGGCAGCGGTGCTAGGCCCATTGAGAGGCGAATCTTATTCGCCTCCTCAATGGATAGCGACACAGCGTCCGGCATGGTTGCTACCTCGTGGGTCGCGCGGTTCCTTCGGTAAAACGTTTGAAAGTACGATCGAGGATGGCGTCAACGATCCGGACAATGGAGTGACGGATAGACTTGTCGAGAGGTGAGCTTCTGCACCCTGCGGGTGATGCGACTCGATGTGATGGAGTGGTTGAGTTAGCAATGGGGAGTGATGAAGGCGAGTCCGAGGTAGGTTCACCAATGCCAAGCCACAATCGCAGCCTAACGGATTGGAGTTAGCCTTGCCAAGTCCCGACCAACGTCCTCTTCAAATAATTTTCCTGTGCAGCATCCTCTTTCTCTCCATAACCACAACCTGTGCTTGATTGTCCCGTCCACTCTCCGGAGTGTGCTCGGTTGATGGTCTCGCAGTTCGTCCGCCCCATGGAGCCATCAAATTCCCATGATGTCAATCTTCCGGTCGACAGGTTGGAGAGAGAGTCGGCGCGTTCCGGAAGCCTGAGTTCGACCTCTGGTCTTGAGCTCGGTGGAAGGGCCGCGTTAGGGCGTCTGATTCCTGATCCTTTCGCTGAGGCCGTCGGCCGGTGATAGCTAAGGAAAAACCCAGTCCAGCCTACATATCATCGCATTTCCAGCTTGTTCTGGCCACTCTTCTGTTCAGTACTCGTGGAGGGTCTTGCAGACGCACCTTTGGCCCCAACAGTGCAGGTCACCCGGAACACCGACGTGTTGAATTCAAAGAAATTTTATTTGGGTATCTAAAGCAGCCTCCGAATTCACGGTGGTATCTAAAGCAGCTTCAATGAGCCTGTAACTTGGTCAATCACCCCTTTAGGTCCTGGTCCGATTCCTAGCACTGTCGCACTCCCGCTCGCGATCTGTGTTCGACCCGCATCATGTATTATGTGAGCTGCCAGTCCCAAACTCAAAGCCTGAGCCTGTAGCATCTCCAGCTCCTCCTCGCTCTTCACCTGCAGAGCAACCTTCGCCTGACCCATCCGCTCCCATCGTCGTAATATCGGCGAGTTTGGCGCATGTCGCAGGAAGTGCTTGTAACAGGCTAACGTCGCGTGCCCGCACTGCGCTCCGATTTTGCCTACAACAGCAGTCAGAAAAGCTTGCTCAAGCAGTAGTACAATATGGTGTACCTACCCTTCGTCATGCCCAGATCAGTCCTCACGACAAGAACTAGCTTGCACTCTTCATTATGACCAGGGAACTCGCTGAGTTCCCCATCCTCTTGATCGGTAGACTCTTCTGAATCTTCGTTTGTCTTGCGATTGCTACGTGGAGCTTCCGAGATGGGACTTCCACCAAAGAGCCCAAGGGACTTCGCCTGGCCGAGAAAATAGCCCGTCACGCCAGCAATCAAGGCGCACGCAATAGCGATGGATGCGGTCGTCGGCGGAGGGTGTTCTGGCATCTTAAATGTGCGACTGTGGTGTTGCAGAACCTCTCTCAGCGTTGCTGGTGGTCTTGTTTGAACGTCGGGGCACGGACCAATTTCGCATCCGCATCGAAATCTTCGTCGGCGGACCTCCGCCGTGTCCATCCATCCCATCACTCTCGCGGCGGCCCTCCCACTGATGGCCGCTCGCTCCCCAGTTATGCCTCCCCGCTGCCAATTACTCTCCGGTAGACTCCCGCTGGCGTCTCGCGCTGCCCGGACCCTGCAACCCGCGCATCGTTCCTTCACGACCTCTGCTCCCCTGTACAAGCGCAAAGGTGGAGATTTGGGATATCACCTGCCCAGCAGCATTATCCCGAAGGATGCAGTGATACCAGAATATCCGTATGGACCAAACTTGCTCTTCAAGCAGTCAAACAAGGGTCTTTATGGCGGCCAGAGGATACAATTCGGCAATAACGTCTCCAAGAAGACCGAGACGAAGACGAGGCGACATTGGAAGCCCAATGTTATCACCAAGAGCTTATACTCTGTTGCACTGAAGAAGCGCATCCTGCTACGTGTCACTTCAAAGGTACTCAAGACGATGGATCGCGAGGGTGGGCTGGATGAGTATCTGCTCAAACAGAGCGAGTCCCGCATCAAGGAGCTGGGCGAGATGGGTTGGCGTTTGAGATGGACGTTGATGCAGACACCGGAGGTCATTGCACGATTCAGAGCGGAGGCAGCTGCTCTGGGTCTGCCACAGGATGTCATTGATAAACAGTGGCCCACAAAGGAGATGAGGCTCAAGGAGCTCAAGGAGCAGCAGCAAGAGGCGAAGGCAGAAGAACAACCCGTAGTCGCGCAAGAACAACCAAACAGGCTGTCGGAGATTCACCACCGATTCCGCTACGCCAAGAAACGCGCCATCCAGGGCCTCGCATCGCAATACAGGAAGGCTGTGCCTACCACCGCCAACCACAGCGTCACACCAAATCGCAGATTGATGGAGCAGATGGCATTGGATGAGCTGAACGAGACCCGACGCTTGATCAAGGCTAGTGGAACCAAGGAAACTTTGAAGGATTTCTTGAAGGTTGCGCCTCTTGTTTCCCAGGATGCGAAGAAGGAAGGTGTTACGTTGGCAGAGCGCAGGGTGACGTGGATGATAGAACATAGGGCATCTATTCTTGCGCAAGAGCAGCTGAAAAAGTCGGAGAAGGAAAGATTAGAAGAGGAGATGAAGAGGCAGCCCGCGGTTGAGGTAAAGGACTGGGCGGATCTGGCTCAGGCCCAAACGAGCGAGAAGGCGCATGCTTAAGTTTACTGCATGGACAAGGTACCTTCCCTGAAGCACGATGAGGACATTCGAGAGGGACTTGGAAGTTTGTGGGATCTCTCGAAAGAGCAAGACGTTGTAGCTATATTTCATTGTAAGAGTAGGCTCGATGTACATGGAGATCGGACTATCAATCACAGGTGTAAGGACTCCAAATAATGAAAGGAGTTTTTGCAACCAGAGTTTCTCTCACATGTGTGGCCCGTGGCTACAGAGTCCCGCTATCTCATGTAGGAGCCACTTCAATTCGTCCGCAACTGATATCATACAGATCCACCACGATCCGGACACTCTACCTTTCCTCACGCCCCCAAAATCCCGTCTTTCCCCAACGCCTCCACTGCTTCCCTCGTCCACTCCTGACACCTCCTCAACGGTACACTGGCATCGATCCTCGTCGGCCCATCGAACTGCTTCGTTGGAGGCGCAATGCCTCTCAAGACACTTTCCATCCTCGCCAAATTCTCGTCCGAGACAACGCCGATCTTCGACTTGGAAATGTACTCGTTCGAGAGCTCTGGGTTTTCAACATCTTTCTTCTCGAATCTCATGCCTTCTTGGATGTTGCCAGTGACTTGGAAAATGATGCCTCTGCCGGAGGGATCGGTGAGGAGGAAGAGGGAGTGGTGGTCGCGGGGGAAGCCAACGGACGTGAGGAGGTAGAGGTCGAGGGTTGGCATTATGGTGAGAGCGAGGACCATGTACGGTGGAAACTCTGAGCGCTCTCTCATTTACATGAATATGCTGCATCGCCTGGACCGTGCACACTGCCAAGTCATGATTGTTTTGTCTGGTGAGTTCGGGATGTGTATGGAGTACTATGTAATATAATCGTTGGGTCTGACAGATGGAAGTTTTATGACGGAATGGTCACAGGTAAGTGATTCGTTTCCCCCTCTGATGACTCAGACCAAACAAGATTGAGTGACATAGCTTCATCTCGAGCGCCCGTCAGCAGAATGCATATACAGGTCATTTTACACTTTTCCGTGGACAGCAAGTATCGTTCCAAGGATTATATCAATTACTGTCTTGCTTTAAACTCTTGCAGGGTTCAATGACGCTTTCGTGAGTGGTATAAACACGACGACCAAACCGTGACAGTAATAAGCGATGGACGCATTTCATTCCATGCATCCTATATAAGCTTAGCGTCGGGTTTCTGCTTACCGGCCTTTCTGTTAATAGATGGAGAAACTGTTAGCCCCATTTGTAAGTATGAACCAGGCAACCACATAAGCAGCAAAGTCCCTCGCACAACTTATCATGAGCTTGGGCGACTGATTCAGTGTCCTTATGGGTCTCACATTAGTGATATCAAAACTTCGAGCCTTTATCTACAGCTTATTCCCTAAGCTCTGGCCAGGCGCCAAAGCGAAGGACTCGACGGCTATGACAGTGTTCAAACCACCTCGCAACTCACAGATACGTTTAGATAACGATGCTTCCGCCACGTTCACATTGTCCGATGGACGAAAACTCGGATATGCACAATATGGTTCCTTAACTGAGGGAACACGAACTTTTTTCTACCTCCACGGTCACCCAGGATCCCGCCTAGAGGCAGCTTGGTTTGAAGAGCTATGCCAGAGGCTCGGAGCACGTGTCATCGGTGTAGACAGGTTCGGCGTTGGGTTGAGCTCTCCGCATCCGAAAGGGACGCTTTTGGATCATGCGAAGGATGTGGAGGAGCTGGCGAAACATCTTGGGTTGGCTAGTTATGGCGTTTTGGTACATTGACGCGCATTCATGCTCTGGAAAGGGTATTGTCACTGAGATTTCTAGGGTATCTCAGGAGGTGGACCATACGCACTGGCATGTGCCGCATCCATGCCTCCGGACAAACTCAAATGCGTCTCCATCGTCACTGGTATGGGCCCAGCGGACATCGGCTTCAGGGGCGCCATTTTACCCCTCTACTTGGGCTTCACGTTCGTATATCCCTATTTTCCCGGCTTGGTCAAATGGTATTGGCGCCGTTGGGAGCCTGTCGGTCGTCTCGACCTCACCGACGAACAACGCCTACAGTTGATTCTGGAACGCCTCGGAAAATCCAAGCTCCACCCCAGAGACAGGGAAACATTAGACGAGGGCGTTCTTCGCATGCATGTGCGATCTACGCGTGAATGCTTTTCTCAGGGGTTCGATGCCGTTGCTCAAGACGCGAGATTGATGACTTCGAAGTGGGGCTTTCGGGTGGAAGACATTCGGGAAGACTTGGAGGTGCAGTTATGGTATGGGACGCAAGATACAAACATTCCGTTGAGGCATGGTGAGGGGATTGCGGCGAAGTTGGGTGGACGGGCGAAGTTGAGGGTGGAGGATGAGACGCATGGGAGTATGCAGATAAGATATCTGGAGGAGATTGTGGAGAGTCTTGTCGCAAGGTTGTAAGATTACTCATAGGGTTGTGTCTCCTCTGATTGGGGCGTTGGGGCAGGTGTACATTGTAGGGAATCTACTTCACTCAGTATCAGTTGGCAAATCCAGGATCCAGAATCAGATAATCATAGACTCTCAGCTGTTCTTCAACCTTTTGCGAAACTGATTTGAACACAAGAGAAGTTCTGAGAGTATCCTGCAAAGTAAAAGCAGTCTATGTTGCGAAGAAATTAAGAGAGAATGCATGTTCTGAGCTAAAAGCCAGAACGGACATGCTGGTTTGTGTCTTGTGGCCGCTCGCATCGTACCGTAATGTGCATTGGATACATATGATCCATGTTTGTTCTAATTCACGTCCTCGAGAAAATACGAACGGTTTGTCTTCCTGGGTCGACCATGTCCACTCTTCAGTGTTTTCTCTCGCTGTCCAAGGATTCAGGTGCTACAGTACCGCTTTGACAGTCCATGCGAGCAGACAGGAGTGTGCCGCCGGTTTCTAGAGGCGTGACCACCGTCATCCCTTCCAGCCAGCCAGCCCAGTCAAACGCCTAAAGTTCATCCAGTGTTAGTATGGACTTTTATCCCACAGTAGGAAGCGGAACGCAAGACCGCGGATGGAAGATAACCTCGCCAAGTCCAAATGCAAAGAGTTTAGGAAGCCTGGATTTGTTTGTCTCGGAAGGCCCTCTGAGTCCCAGTGTACATCCAAATCATCGAGTTTGGGAGCCTGTTCTCCTAACTCGTCAAATAGTGAATACCCCTTCTGAGACCTAGGCGCAGTGCTTGGTACTTCAAAGAGATCTAGGTCTGTATTCCGTGCGTCATTATTGCTTTCCAACCTTTTTTGCAAAGTCTTTGGTTGCGGAACCTTTACCTTGATCGACTTGATTAGATCTTTCGGCGCATCATTCAGCGAACTATTGCTTTTCAATGTGTTATCCATGTTATCCGCCCATTTTGGTTGGCTCCGTGACAGAAAGAAGTAGTTCGAAGGAAGAGTTAGCTTCCAAGGTTTGAAAGACATGGTGAGTTCGCTCGCAGGACTGGATCAGAGAGATCGCTAATCTAGCGTTGAGTGCAGGCTCCCCTCAAAACCTCTTGAGTCTATTCGCTCCATAATTCTCCTAGACAACAAGTGTTTTAATTGTTGCAGAGTGTGACAGTTGTCCTGTCTGTACGCTACAGTCACCGCTTTTTAACTCGTCATAGAGCTCGGAACGATATAAAGCCGATGACCTTACTTGATGGTTTCCGCTCTCACTTGCTCGCAACCTCTAAACAACCTTCTAATGCTCGAGAAGTATAATTTCGTGCTTTGAATAAACTATCCCTACCATGAACTATCCTCAGATATTCTCCACTCCAAATCACCCCGAACCCATGGTTTCACCTGGTTCCGAATCTCAGTTTATCGCTGGAGTTCGTAGCAGGAATGGCTGGAGTAAGCGAAACGTCATCTCAAGGAGATTGCCTAACTTGCCTAACAAGATCTAGTATCAGTGGGAACCGGTCCAAACGCACTTAATCCGTCAAGGGAATGTCTGCCTTCCGACAGTCATAAGCCACTGAAGCTCATCAGTATAATCACCTACCGTGGTGCCGTAAAGCGGGGCGACGTGTTTCTCTGTCTTCCTCGTCAGATACGCAACCGAATTTTCAATTACGTACTGGCAGACTTCCCTGAGCTGCTCTATATTGAAGTGCCTGATACGAGAGACTTCAACATTCCCGCTCCGGCATATGTCAGTGACCGCTGGTACACGGAGATTTGCCAACTCATCATTCAAAACGCCACTTTCAGCATCATTACAACTTCCTCTCTCTACAACCTCATGGCTTTCCTCAACGAGTTTGAGAAAGGAGCCGGCTACGACAACCTCCGGACTGCGGAGTTTACCGACCTGGGCTTATTTGAGAGAGGCGAGTTCGGGGCACCCGCTAGACAACTTCTCCGTCGCTGTCCTAACATAAGCCACGTCTCTCTGCTTATCAACTGGAACGACTTACTCTGGGTGCTGGAAAATGAGGTACCCGTATTGGACTTGGACGCCATGACTCGCAAGTTCGATTTCCAAGCAATCGCGCGTCTACCGAACCTCGAAACTGTCTCGCTGAATTTGCAGCCTTTCATGGCTTTGGAGAAACGATTGCGATGTATGGAGGCCAAAAGATTGCGAGTCGCGGAGAAGGGACGTACCTTTCCTGGCCTGTGCGACTTCTGGGGTCTAGGACAGTGGCTAAAACGAAGGGCTCAGGACAACATGAGAGCCATCCAAGTTCATTGTCCCAATGTATGTAAAGCTTGGGACCTGAACTTGAATGCTACGTAAAACGCGGCCTAACCTTGGGAGACCGCCACCGGAATTCATTCTCATCGGTGGCCGGATTCCCAGCGCTTCAAAAGTTCGCATGCTCTCCGCGGCTTGCAACTAAGATGGTGTATCAACAGAACATCTGCTGATATACTAGTACAATTATCGATTCAGACTTTTTCGATCTCATCTGTGCAGTCTGTCATAGCTCGCACTCGATCCACTAACCGGCAACTTCTGTTCTCCACGCGTAAGTCAAACAGGGCGCACTGTTCTCCTAATTCCGCCATCATTCTGTCGACATATCACCTCCAACCTGGCTAGTTGCCGAGGCGTCCCTCATGGGTTCGGGGTCTTTTCTTTCTTTTCACTGTCCAAATCGTAACCTTTGCGGTAATCGCGAAATTCTCACATATCATGCAAAGGGATAACTCAAAACTGTCTTCCGTTAGCGGCATATCCAGTTTGAAAAGTGAAGCCTACATCACAAGCAGAAAAACTGTCACCAGGAGTAGAAATGCGCTGAGCCAATCTGACAGATCCACCCAGTGGCCACTTCGATATTGAAGCATAACAGTTAACTGATAGCATACTGAAGCGTTTCAGTTAGCGTAACTACCCCTCAACTTTCTACATTTAGTCCTCGAACGTGATTAGCTTAACATTGCTCCATGCTTGCTTGCTTCCTTTGTAAGCCACTTGACAGTGACCCCAGACATGAAACCGATATGAACGATGCCGAATACGATGCTCGATACGCCCAGTTTGTAGCTGCAAAGTACAATTAAATTGCGGTAATGACAATTGAGAGCACCAATGGGACCGCATATACTGCGGACACGATACGGTTCGCACTAGTTGCGGCTCAGTGATGCGTCTCAGTGCAGTTATGTCTGATGTCTAGTAGTTCAAAGTGCACTTGGGGTTATCACCGTAGAAGAAATTCCACGTAAGTATGGTTGACGGGATCATATATTGTCGGCGCTCCGTGCGGGGCGGACACCGCCCATGAAGAGCTGACTGTGTGGTCACGCAAAATCCGACCCGAAAATTAAGGTCCACCTGCCCAGACATTGTGCCTTAATATGGGGATGCCTATGACGGCTGATGATTTGTACCCGGCTCTCACTTATGCTCACCCTCTTTATGTAGGTTGCGTATTGATATCTCACTGGGTGCTCAGCCTCGCGGCGCAGGCGCACGAGAAAGTGTGCCACTACTGCATCTGACAACCAGCCAACCCGGGATAAAGATGGGTGATACCGAGATTACAAAGCTTGAAGAATATCTCGCGGAGGGCCTTGCAGCTGAATGTGTTCACATCTTTATGCCTTCTCTGACAAGAGAACCATGTCTATTTTGAGCAGGCTGAGAGGTAGGCCCGTCCTGCGCACGACTCAAAAGGCAGCACACTCTGCTATTATTTAATCATCTACGTACATCGGGCAATGCCGCGGAGTGAATAACCCCATACCTAAGTTGCGATTTCGTCTCTCTCGCGGCCAGTGGACTGCCTACTATACATATACACCTAGAGACTCACCAGCCGGCACCCTAATCACTTCAGAGTGTGCCCAGTCTGAAACCAAAGGCATGGCGGCTATTTCGGTGGTCTTCGGCATATCAGGTAGCAAACTGCTGCTGTGAAGGGAACGCATTATTGCCCGGCCCTCCCAAGGGTCCGCTCGAAGACATGTACAACCACTTACTGCAGACTAGTCGGGGATTTGACAATGTGATTTTGATTCTGTCTTCTCCCAGAAGCAGCTCGTCTTGGAAGAAGTCGGAGTGGTCCAGACGATTTTCTTCTTAGCGTCCCGTGTGTTGGCTTGAGAAGGACGTCGGTGACAACGATTGTCAAAATCAGGTATACTGTGCTTTAATCTTAGTGTTCATATACTGAAGTACGCTCGGTGCTACGTTATGCCGAAGATGGGGCTAATATGCCTGCAGATGCCATTCATTAGATACTACCTGCCCGAGATATGATTGGTTGACGGGTTGTCTCGGCGAGTAGCAGAACCTAGGGTATCTTCAACACGCCTCGCATCCTGCCGTATATCACGTCTCCGGCAGTCATAGAATTCTCAGTGCCGATGATTTCAACGAGAAATCCCAGACAGCTCAAGTTACACACATCCGCTCTTCACCCACTGGTAGCGCTGTATCGCAGACGCCCTACCCCTCGACTGCGAAACAACTCCCGTTCCTCGAAGGCTACCCACTTGTGACCACTTCTTCCATGTACCATAATATCCCGTCATTCTAACAGGTAATGCGTTGTTTCGTGACAAACTCGCACATCCGAGGGCCAACACAGGTACAGCATTTGCATGCCTTTGTTTGGATCAGAAAAGCATTTAAATGATCTCTAGAGAACTTGACATACCTTGATAGCCCGCTCATTGTCGTTTGCACCGTTGATGCAACTAAGTGTCTGGTTGTTCCGAAATTGAAGTTTGTTGTAGCAGGCATTTGCGTTGATGACTTCGAGGCATTCGTCAGTCTTCGCAACTTCCCTCGTGCACACTTCGTATCGTTGGCCGAAGACCATGGCAGCCGAAAGAAACGCGAGTATGAGTGAGAATCTCATCTTGGAGGACTGCTTCAACCAGGTCAGCGTTAGGTTCAGAAGAATGTATGGTAAGAGTATTCTACCCAACAGATCGATGAGTGTTGCTGGCTATGTATGTTGGTCGGCATGCACGTTTACGGGTTCCAAACCGGGCATACCATATTATGCTTTATACATGTGATCGTTGGGATCCGGCATGTCCTTACACAAGAACGTGGCACTGATTGCATGCGTCCCTCCTAATCAATTAAGAGGGGTCGGTAGGATATTTCCGCCCACATCCATGTAAGACCACTCTACAACACTATCATTTCAAGTCTACAAAAAGAGAAAGGGCGTAGCCTATCAATACCAGCAGATCACTAGCCTGAACACTCATTAGTCCGCTCAGTGCTCGGTATTGGTTAAGATGAATGGCCTCCTCAATCAACTTCCCAAGACCACGCTCTTGGCTCATGCAGCTAGATTAAACCCAAACATCTCCCAGAAAGAAGTTCGATGATTTCCTGTTCTCAGAATCTAGAATCCACGGCATTGCCTTCGCTGCTGCCTAGGTATCCTAGGGTAGGTGTGCATCATAACTATCCACTCTCCTCACCATCCGGCTTTCATCCCACTCGCTCCGCTCCCCAGGTCTTTCCACATCATGAAAGCTAACAAACTTATCATCGCCCTGGGGATATTCGCTCCCGCGCGGGCTCTACTTCGCTTTGGATGCGCCCAGCTTACGGTCCAACGTTTGGACCCACTGGTGAATCCAGGTTCCAATCCGTCCACACATCTTCACCAGATTATCGGAGGTGTAAGTGCTTGTAGAAAGAACTCGGCATCCCTAGCTAATTATGGTAGAACTCCTTCAAGGCGGACATGAATCCTGCAAGCCATGATCTTGTCAAAAAGTCCACATGCACAAGCTGTCAGTTTACGGAAGACTTCTCTAACTACTGGACGGCCGTTCTGTACTTCAAGGCTCGCAATGGTACCTATAAACGGGTTCCTCAAAGGGCGCAGCAGGACGTCCAAGGTACTCAGGGTGGCATGGTGAGTGCAGGTGGTACAAATCTAGCAGCTGGCTTTCTAATACCAAGAAAGATGGTCTACTACATGTCGGACGCTCTTTTCGACCAAAAGCAGCCGTCCAACGTGACGGCTTTCAAACCCGGCTTCCGTATGCTCACCGGCGAAGTCAGCAACACCAATCGCGCCCAAGCCAAGGAGTTCCGGCAGTTGACTTATATCTGTATGCAAAATGAAGGAACCCGAGAGCCAGAGACACTGGAATTTCCCACAAAGCCATGCCCCGCTGGTATCATGGCCAACCAGAGGTAGTGTTAATCATCAAGGAACCCATATCACGTTCTCATACGTTTACAGGTTCCCAACATGCTGGGATGGCGTCAATCTTGACTCACCCAACCACAGAGACCATGTGGCATATCCTGAGGTAGGAACGTTCGAGTCTGGTGGCAAGTGCCCTGATACGCACCCAATTAAAATCCCACAAATCTTGCTTGAAACTGTATGGGACACACGATCTTTCAACAAAAAGGAAGATTGGCCTGCGGATGGCAGCCAGCCGTTTGTCTGGTCAAGCGGCGATAAGACGGGTTACGCCAATCACGCAGACTATGTCTTTGGCTGGAAGGATGATTCTCTCCAGAGAGCTATGGACGCTCATACCTATGTCTCTGCGCCAATGCTTAAGACCCAGAGTATTGCCAACCAAAACAAATGCACTGTGAAGGATATGGTTGGAGAGAACTTTGACGGCTGTGAGTAGACTTTATCGACTATTGTGTACGCTGCTAATGCTCATGGGACAGGGCTACCCAAGCTTCCAGGCGATATTGTCGTTTAACTGTGTAGAGGCATGGGTGAATCTCGCCGTTTCCAGAAAGACTGAGAACCGTAACTGTAGTGTACCGACACAATTTGATTGATTTTTTTGTAGTCCTTGGCATGATGATTATGCATCGGCTCGATGACATTCCATACCTCACCGCTCTGTTGCTACATGTTCAATGCTTGTAGACGACCGACCACGCCTTTATATCACCTTGTCATATTTTCAGGTGATTATGACCGCTCAATTCTATTTCCAACGCCTTATTTCAGGGCCACTGACTCATCCTTGTCTAAGGCCATTTACCATTGTAATACCATTAGTCTTTACATAGCTAGTGACCTACGCAACCGGGTTCTATCTTGAGCGGTCTCTTTCTAGTATAGGTTCCTTGCTAAATCGCTTCCCAAAGGGTTATGTTCAACACACGCCATGAAATCGTTGTACTGGGGCTTCATGTTTCATGTCAATCATGAAGACCTATGTCTTGTCAAGACGGGAACTGTCGGTCTACAGCGACGCCGAACTAGAAAGCCTATATCTACACACTATAGACCCAAACAATCCGTTGTATCCGACCGGGTTGTTTTGTCTGCAGGATTGATTCGAAGCTAGTACAGAATGGGTACTAGCGCCGTGCTCGTTTCATCAACGTCTCCTCTTCCCGATGCTTCTTCCCGCTTCCTACCCAGCATCCGAACGACCGAGCCATTCACTACATGTAGGAAGCTGATTGTTCCTGCCCATATTTCTGCCTTTATCTGCAGGGTGGAGAAATACTGAGGATGCCGCTTCGCGTAGAGAAGCTGACCTCACATCTCAGTCAATCTCGACCTCGATCGTCGCTGGAGCGTAAGGTTCGCTCTGATGCCTACAGGATGGACTTTGCAACATTGAAATCCCACTACCAACCTGTGGCGGTGCGGCTCAGTTGTCAAGCTTTTTAATGTGTACCCTGACTTCTTCAATCCAAGCTTGTCTTTGACCTTCACTTTAGCCTTTTCGTCGCCCCTTCAAGCCGGTAAGGGGTAGTCGACTACGTATGTCGTCTATCAATTCGGGGAACATTAATGCCGAGTTCCATTTATTTGAACCCTCATGATTTGCTCGCCTCGTTTTGAAACTATGACCTCCGATGTTTCTCATGCACCCCAGAACGCCACACTCCTTCTCCGCATGGAGAGAGCAGGGATATTTGCGTAAATCCCTGCCCAAACCATCATCACAGGACAAAGTTTTATATTGAACAAAACGGATGAAAGGACGAAAGGTATAACGCACTACGAAACAGAATCACTTTGCCCCACAGTTTGAATATACGCCACGCTCGAATACTTGTAATTCTGCCTAAAGCCTCAACTCCAGCACAGTCTGAGGTCCTTAAATACTGTAGTGCGCCGCTCAGTTTCTAGCCCGCTATCCCCACACACGAAACTTCAAGAGCAAACCTCGCCAACCAAGCACAATGAAGTTCACCGCTGCAGCCGCTCTCTCCCTTGCTGGCTTTGTTGCCGCAAACCCCGTCGAGCTCACTGAGAGGCAAAACTGCCCCAAGGTGTACATCTTTGGTGCCCGCGAGACCACTGCTCCCGCAGGTTACGGTACTTCTCAAGGCCTTGTCAACCAGGTCAAGGCGGCTTATCCTGGTGCCGGATCGGAGGCCATCCAGTACCCAGCTTGCGGAGGACAATCGCAATGTGGCGGTGTTAGCTACGACAACTCCGCTCAACAAGGCACTGCTGCCGTTGTCCGGGCTGTTACCAGCTACAACCAGAAGTGCCCCGACACTCAGATCGTCCTTATTGGATATTCTCAGGTGAGTGGACATTACAATTACATACCCCTCATTCCAGGTCTGACATTTTTTAAGGGTGGCCAAATCATGGACAACGCCCTCTGCGGAGGCGCGGGCGCAACCTTGACCGGTGCTGCTTTGGAAGCCGTCAAGGCCGCCATCTTCATGGGCGACCCGCACTTCCGCGCTGGCCAGCCGTACAACGTTGGCACTTGCAATGCTCAAGGTGTAAGTAGACCTACTACAAGCCTTCCAATATGTCCGCTAATTTTCCCACAGTTCGCTGCCCGACCCGTGGGCTTCCAGTGCTCCCCGGCCAAGACCGACCGCCTGAAGTCTTACTGCGACTCCACCGATCCCTACTGCTGCACCGGAAACGATGCCAACTCTCACCAGCAATACGTCAACAAGTACGGCGCACAGGCTTTGGCTTTCATCAAGTCCAAGATCACTGCTTAAGTTTGTCTCCGCATGACCCAAAAGGTCAAACTTGACCAATCCATTCTATTCTGCTGTATCTAGTTATCCTGGTGTATAAATTGCCAACCTTTTGACACAAAGATCCATGCATGTTCCTAACGTGACTGATGTACCTGAACACTTCATGGCGATGCTCCCCAACGCTTTCAGCACACACGAGCGTCCAGCCCGTTGGTCTGGCAACTCCAATTGGTGTCAGACTGCACGAGTCATCCTCGTTTTACAAACCTAAGTTTGAGCGGGGGAAGTTTCATCAAAGCCGTGTCCTCGAAATCCTTATCGAAGGTTTCTCCTGTTTCTCCAGGAGCAAACTCGATATCGAAGTTCTGCACCACGGATGAAACCAAGTAACGCAGGCTGACAATTGCAAGATTCTGACCAGGACAGGAGTGCAGCCCTAAACATCTGTTAGCAGCGCTGAGGTAGGAGACGCACATTGTTCCACCTTACCGGAGTTGAAAGGAATATAAGGCGCTTCATCGGTATGCATTTCCGCCCGCAGTTCTCCCCACCGCTCAGGAAGGAATTCCTCTGGCTCCTTCCACCACCTTGGGTCCCTGTGAATTAGAATTGGAGCAACATATACGTTCGTGTTACCAGGAATGTAGGTGTCTCCAATGTGCATGCCTTGGGGTGGTGTTTCGCGTGGAGGGAGGACCATGAAAGGCGGCTTGAGCCGCAGGGTTTCGTTGATAATGTCGTCAAGGTAAGTCACGGACTTTACCTTGGTATAACTCCATTCAGAATAACCGCCAAGCATGGCTTCGCCAATGAGAGCTTGTAGTTTCTTCTGCACTCGAGGATACTTCGCCAGGTAGTATAATAGGCATGCCAAAGCAGTGGCTTTTGTGTCGCTGTAACGGATCAGCTACATCTTGGAAAGATTGTCGACCAATCACCTACCTTCCGGCGATAATGAGCACCCGACAGTCGTCCTCCAAAGCTTCCCGCGATGGTGCCGCTGACACGTCGTTTTCCTTCACTGCTTTCAATAGCCAACTCATAACATCTTCGGGTTGCTTTTCTCCGCTCCACCCCTTTCACATATTAATAGCTCTCCCGCATTTTAAATGCCAGAGGCTCACCTTCACTTTAGCATCGAGCTGATCCGCGCAGATCTTAAAGAATATCGCAAACTGACTCCCCGCTCCCGGTATCGAGGCAAACATATTCAACAACCAGGGCACCGTGACCAGAGTTGCAAGGATTTTTACATGGTCGTGGAGCACTTTGATTGCTGGATGCTCCGTTCCGCTGCTCAAATTTTCGAAGTCCTTGCTGAAACCAACGTCGCCCATGATGTCGAATGAGTACAACATCGACCATGCTGTTGCGTCGATGCCTTCCCCTGAACGCTTTTGGATTTGACTAATGAACTTTTCGACGTTGGCTTTGATACGAGTTTCATAGCTAGCAAGTGCTGTCATACTCCTTAGCTCGCAATATCTCAAAGACACGGCACACCTACCCTTCATCGAAAGCCCTCGATCCCAAGCGCGCCGACGTAGCCTATAGAGCTTCTTATCCCGCAGCATACTCAAAGAAAGCTTTTTCGGGTTGTGACCCTGCTGCCCATACCAGGTTGCTTTCCTGCACTCCGTTTTCGGGCCGTAGACTAAGGGAAGCGCCTCCTTTCGCATGACGCTTACATCTCGGGGACCCACGCGCACAAAATCGCCGTATTTTTGATGCATCTTGTCCAGTTCTTTGAAGTATGTCATTTCTTTCGCCGTCTGATACATTGCGTAAAAGCGGGTTAGACGTGCTAGAACAGGTCCCGGTATGTTTCGGCATCGGTGGAAGAACAAGCGGTATATAGCGATACTGGACAGTGTCGCCGCGTTGAAGATAACGGATGACAGTGCTACTCTTCCCAGTGCGCCCAAGAAGGTCATGCCATAGACTTGCATAAGAGTGAATGTATAACCCACTGATGCCACGACGTATGTAGCCATAAAATGGAACATGACAAGTTCAAACTCGAATGGCAAAGCCAGGACAAGGAGGTGGAATAAAACTCCGCATATTGCCGATGCGAATGCAGTGTGGAGGATATCGCCCCTCATGACACTTTCCGAGATATGGATGTTGGTCGTTGTGGCGATGAAACTGAAAGAGGCGAGATCTGTCACCCAAAGGTAATGCAGCGACGGTCATATATAAGGTTGTTGCGATATCCAATAACTCTGCAATGTGGATTGTGCCCTGTTCCAAGGGTGGACTATGTGCGGAGTCGATTGCGGAGTTGCGGATTAGGCGTCGTGTAGCGCCGCAAAGACTTTGTGGAAGGGCGAATCGATGACTATAAATCCTTGATGCGATCTGAAATAGCCGTAGCATATGATTAGCTAGAGGTGAGTAAGCGCATGCGTACAAGGATTGAAATAAGCACGTCAAATCATGCGCCTGTTCCGCTACTGAAGGCATTCATTTCAGGTTGTTAAGTCAAACAAAAACCAAGATCAGAGCATCTGATATAAACGAGGTTAACGTTCGGAAGAATGTACAACACCTGAGACAGATCTGCTTGGTACTGCCACTCGCTATTTAACCACGTGTTGATCAAGAAATCGCTGCGAATGAACTGCAGATATTATTTCTGTTGTTGCATTATTCGCTGATAGTTCGAGCTTTACAGTAGTTATGTACAATCCAAATCGTATCTGAAGCGCGCTAGTACTCCAGCTGGGATTCCGTCGGAAACATAGCTCCCAAGAAACCATGGAAATACCAGGGCAATTATCATTGACCTATTTAGGAACTATGATCCCTGCCTTGAAATCTTTAGGCTTTCTACTGAGCTTTTAATGGAATTTTCAGACAAGAGCACACAAGCTTCATCAATGTACAACTGATTTCTCCCTTTATGAATGTCCAAGGCCATGTTTGGCACTACCACTCCTTTCCACTTATACTGCAGCTGGCGACTGGTCAGTGCACGCATATGCCATTCTTGTACACGAGGCAGTCATGCTGTTGTTCTGCATTATGTTGCTTCCCATTTTACTGCTTCTGCAAGCTGTCCATATGTTTCCCAGATGACCCATTCTTATACGCATCAATCTCTATGCTTTTCCCCCTTCCTGCTATAGAAGACCTGCAGCAGCTTCTTCTTCAACCTAATCACAGTGACACTCGTGCTTATACTGAGTTCATTTTTATCTTCACCGCCTTCTCAACTATGTTAGCAACAGTCTTATTGTTTGTTAAGGGTGTTAAGAACCTTAGCTTTATCAGGAGCGCAGCACTCGCAACCCTAGGCTAGGCCTAGAGGACGAACACGTATGCGAAGTGGATGTTTCCTTCGTCGAGAGCATATAGAGCGGGCATAGGCTGGTGCTGGATGGAGTAGGACGTGTTTGTTTTGTTTCAGAGATATGGGGACGGTGGAGACACAAGTTAACTCCAAAGTTGGCTAGTGCTCTCTCTACGTGTGAGTTAGCAACCAGTTTTGTTAGTCATGCCAGAATAAATTTTTCTCCTTGAGACACGAACAAATAGGTTTTGCCTCCGAAGTATAAATCTGGCGTAACAGACGCCCCTCTGTCAGGCGGAGTAATTCATTCACGCCCTGAACACTGAGGAGTGGGTGACTCCATTTACGGGAACATAGCAATGTCGACCTTTTCAACCCTATAATTCCTGTCTTTCTACCCTCATTACCTTACCTTCGAACCTCATTGTATCAAGGCATCCTACATATTGCGTCCTTTCTCAGCAAACCCACGGCCCAGGACGCTATGTCAACACTAGCTTCTTGTCCAGTTCAGCACCGTCATTGTACAGTCACATTGATTCTCATTCCATCAAAAGGGGGCCTCTCGCTGCGTCGTTATGCCTCACAAACAAGATACTTCGAAGGTATCATACATTGGACTCCTTCCTCACCAAGCCCACGACCCAAGGAGCCATGTCAAATTAGCATTCCCGTCGAATTCAGCACCGTCATTGTAGAGTCATGTTGGTTTTTAATCCATACAATGGCCTCCCCAGGGCGCCGTTATGCCTCACAGACAAGATACTGAGAACTCACACATTGTGAATGTACATTGTGAATGCGCTATCGGAGCATATGAATCTCGCATTGTGGGCACACTCTCGAAGTATGACCCACAGTACATTTCGATATTCAGACTTCAAGACTTCATACAGTGGGCGGAAAAGAGTCGTATTGTTCCTACACTTTCAGAGTCAAGCGTGGTGTATAGGTGACTCTTTCACTGAATCAGCGCAAGGAACGACTACAACGAAGATGTCTGTATATACACAACTCACTACATTCCGCGCAGCGGCCAGTCATGCGCGTCTCTTAAATAGCCCTTCTCCTTTCCTACAGGAACTCCATCACCAACGTGCAACCACGAGGAGAGCAACAACCAGAATATACACAACCGAGAACGTACATCCAGAGAACCCTCCCCTTCAACTTCTTCCAGTCTCCAAGGCCATAGGTCTCACAGAAACCATGGTCTTGCAGGCTACCCAACAGAATCCGGCCACTGCCGGCCACTTCTGGTTGATGTTCTTTGCTGTAGTATTCGCCTTTCGCTTTGCTCGGTCAATTGCCAATCTCGTCGCCAACACGCGTTATAAGTCGATTCCAATTCCTAAGAAGCCTACGTACAAGCCTTCTGATGTCACCGTAATCATCTGTACGACTGACCTGGCCTCGAAGACCTTCCATAAGGTGCTCGACTCGATCTTGATCCACCAGATTCATCGCCTTATCATTGCCACGGCGGGGGAGAAAGTCCATGTCGACAAGAAGGCCTTCGACAAGAAGTATACCGACCCTCGCATTCAATTCCTCTGGCGTGCTGAGCCAAACCGTCGCGAGCAGACGGCACAGGCTATGGATTTCGTAAAGACGAAGCTTATGATCACGCAGGACGACCATAGCTGGTGGCCGGCGTCACCAAAGTTCCTCGCGTCCATGCTGGCTCCTTTCGAGAACCCCAAGGTAGGCGGCGTTGGCCCCGTTCTAGAGGCCATCAATCACGAGCACCCACTGTCTGCGAAGGGTTTCTGGAATTTCATGGGCTGCACTTATCTTCTCCGCCGCGCACATGAGTTCATCGCGACCACTTCGATCGATGGCGGCCTCTCATGCTTGTCCAGCCGTTTCGCGGTTTTCCGCACCGAGATCTACGGTAGCCCCAAGTTCAAGCAGGAGTATCTCAATGAATACATCTGTTATGGTAAGGTCGGACGTCTCGCCGCGGGTGACGACAAGTTCCACACTCGCTGGCTGACGAACCACGGTTGGGATGTCGCTATCCAAGGCGGACCTGAGTCAATCATGGAGACTGAGCTTGGGGAGTGGCCCAAATTCCTGGGGCAGTGCGTTCGCTGGAACCGTAGCACCTACCAGTCCAACCCTCGTGCACTGTTCACCGAGGGCACTTCTCTTCGTCGATTCCCCTACACGTCCTACAGCATCCTGATCTATTCCTTCTTCCGCTTCTCGTTCCTGTACGAGGTTGTCTTGACAGCGCTTCTCTGGATGGCTCTTCGAGAGGCAGGTGCCCAGGACTGGCTCCGGGTCGCTTTTGCAGCTCTCATGGGATGGTGCACGCTGATGAAGTTCGTCAAGATCTGGCCGCACTTCCGCAAGTACCCCAAGGATATCCTGTACTTCCCTGGATACATTCTGTTTGGCTGGTACTGCACCTTCATCAAGCTGTATGCGATCTACACCTTACGTGAGACGTATTGGGCGACCGCCGCCGAAGCATTCAAGCGTCGTACCGAAGCGCAGAACGGAGAGGATAAGGCTGCCGTCAATGGCAATGGCAAGGCTACCCCGAATGCAGGCAATGGCCACAATGGGAAGGATACGCGCCAAAAGCTCCGCATCGAGTAGACATTTCGCTCGTGCCTATGGGGTACTTCGGGGGATGACGGTTACTGTGTGGGAGCAAGCCCCAAAGTCTGAATACAGATCGATATGAGGGCGCTGATGGAACATGGGCGGGATGTTGCCTCTTGAGTGTGTGTGATTTCAAGTCCGCGACGGTTATGCTACTGTTGCGCTCTGTACGATAGTTTCTTTTTCATGTAATGTACTTCTTCAGAATTCCAGCGATTTACTCCAGCACATTGCAGATTTGACGTGATGAGCAGAACTGGTAGTTGGGTCCAACGTGATGTGAATGTGAAACGATCATCGTGGGATTGCGTATACAATAGCTGCATTACCGTTGTGGCACGCTTCGAATGCTTTCTGAATCAATGGTAGCCGGTCTATACTTCCTCCACTTCTTTATCGTCCTGTTTTCTGCCTTGCGATCTCGTCTCTGAAGTGATTGTTCCCCCTCGGCGCAGGCCTAATATCATCATCATTGCTCACAAGGCTCCCCAAGCTATCGCCCGGCCTATGCGCCGGAACTTCCCTATCTTCCAGATGAATCGCACCCTTCTTCCCCAGCCCCAGACGCTGTCTCCTGCTCTTGTGCGTTCCATAGCCACGATTGCGGCGACCCATGATGTTCCCGAGACCGATGATACGGTGCTTGCGCATGCCGATGTAAAGCCCAATGACAACGAGTAGGACGAAGCCCAGACCAACAGGCAGGCCGATGAGAAGTCCCTCCTTGTGGAGCTTGTTCTTCTCCGGTGGGGGCAGGTGACGGGGAGGCTCGTTCTGGAGAGTAATAAGGGGCCCGTCAAAAGATTGAGCTTTCCTGTTGCCGCTGTCTTCGTCGACCATAACCGCGCTGAATGTGAGATTGAACATGGCATAGCCTGGACCCGTAAGTTATCACCGAAGAAGTATATTCAACCATTGAAGCTCACCTTGGAGCCATTCCTTCTCGGTCGTGACTGCGACGTATCCCCACGAATTCTTCGTCTTCTCGGATGACCAAACTTGCTGAGAGGAGTCGTTGCTGAACTGGACTTTCACAACAATGGTGGAGTTGAGTGGGAATTGGTCCGAATCCCAGGTAGCATAGTACGTCTTGCCGACGTAGAGAGTGGCCTCGTTCTTCGGCGCACAGAAAGGGCCTGTGCTGGGCTTCTCACAGCGAGGGAACTGTGTACCTGGCTGAGGTAGTCCAGTCGGGGTGTATGTTAACGTGGATTTGGCAGCGTCATTTGTCGAAGAGGGCGTTGTTTCTGCGTCCGTAGCCGTTGTTGATGCCGAAGTAGTGTCCGTCTGTGGAGGAGCAAAAAACTCAACGGTTGTTTCCTCTCCATTGCTCAAGGTGCTGACTATCAAGCCCACGGTTGGGAGAGGTGTGGGAGAAGATGTCGTCCCAGCTCCGTCTGGACGAGAGCGATTCAGCACTTATTCGCATATTGGAAGTCTCGGATAATAACATACTTTGTCTCTCCACGAGAGGGCCTGCCGACACGCCAAGAAGGACGTGTGAGGCCGTGAGGAGGGCTGAAAACACCGTTGAACGCATCCTGAGGTAGCTGGGGCCAAATATCAGAAGGTATTCAGCTCCTTCAACACCCAATACTAGAATAAGAAGGAAAAGGGAAGAAGGACAACAAAAATCGAGTGAGCGGAAACAGGTTCTTCATCTTGAAACAGCGCGAGCTGCTGCCAGAAAAACGCGCACGGCGCAGACGTGCCCATGTCCGGTAACTTATATGACGTGCTGCCCTATTTGGCTAGTGAACGTTATAGAAAGGGGTGTGTTGAAGTTGGGTCCGAGAATGGCCCAAGCTTCTCTTCCAGGAATTGTTGGAGAGTGGTCGATGTTTGCCAAGACAAACCACAACCAAGCTGGTTTCTCGCGTTGCTGCTGCCTTTGCCGCCTCATCTTCATCCGTACTCCGTACGCCCTTCTATCATTTGATTTCTGCCATCTTCTTCTTTTCCACCTTCAACTTCTTCATTTCTGGAACTCCGAATTGGAGCTCTTACTGTCGCGTTTCTGGAACTCCCCCCACGCCGCGCGCCCCACTTAGTCCTCTCGCGCTACTCCCCCTACTCGCGCGGACTCTTTTGCGCAACCAACATTTGCCTTTCTCTCATCCCTATCATTACCGCTTTGTCGTCAATATGCGCGTCTCTTCAACCCTTCTCCTTGCGCTCCCCGCGCTGGCGCTCGCCGAAGATCAAATCCCCCTCCAGGAGAAGGTGAAGGGCTGGTTTGGCAAGCTCACCAATGCTGTGAGCTCGGCTGTCCCCGCGGCGGTTCCCTCAGCGCCTGTCGAAGCCACAGCAGCCAAAGTCGCCGAAAGTGTGCAACACCACCTCACATTGGAGAACTGGAAGGACGTGTTGACCAAGGACCTCGCGGCGAGTGCTCCAACCACCCAGGATTGGGTCATCTACATCAACGGAGGCAATGTGACGTGCTTTGGCCATTGTGGAAATGTCACAAGGGCATGGAATGTAAGCATCAACCCTTGAAGGCCTTTCCCACTATCTCCAGATGCTGACAAACGTACAGGAAACCGTTGCTCTGTTGTCTGCGAAGCCCCATGCCCCCAAGTTCGCGACCATCGATTGCGATGAGGAACCCGTCCTCTGCAACTCCTGGTCTGTTGGCCCGCCTTCGATCTATTATTTCACCATTCCCAAGCCCCTGGCCGATCAGTCTGCACCGGCGCCTACTGTTCGATATATCCCGCTCAGGCGCAATGCGACCACTGTCGAGACCCTCAAGACCCTCATTGTTGACAAGGAGTACGAGAACACTGCGCCGTACGAGGGTGCTTGGCATCCGTTCAATGGTGCCCTTGCGCAGTACAACTTGGCCGTTCCAGTTGGCTATATCCTCTGGGGTTTCAACAAGATGCCGACCTGGTTGCCAATGGTTCTTATCTCTTTCATGAGTCGGTCCTTCATGTAAGCCGTCGACGTCGCCTGGGCATTAATTGATACTAATCCCGATAACTAGGAACCGACGCATGAACCCCCAACCCGCTCACCAGGGTGGTGCAGGTGGTGCAGCACCCGCACCCGGACGGCAGTAAATTATGGCTGGCGAAGCACTATTCCTTTCCCATCAAATTTCCTCATTCGAGTCATGTAAATTCCGTTCACTAGGGCCCGGATTCTAGCTATAGTGCTTTATAATCTTACTGTTGGGTACGGTTAACGACAGATATACTATCTGGCGATGGATATGTATTGGATGGTAAATGTGAAGGCGAGACAGCGGCAGTGCAGGCGCTTGGGATCGATTGACTTGCGCAGACGATTATCTGTGTGCGCGCCAGATATACCTAAAACATATCTATGAATCTAGCCATTCCAACTGCTGAATTCACTCACACGCCGTTCATCCTACCTAAAATGATGTTCCAGCACCCATCTTCAATACCCTGGCCAATCACAAGCCGTCATTTCCCTCCATCGGCAAAACGTCGGCCCAATTTCCAAAATCTCGCGACAACTTGAAGTTCCGTTGCAACCCTCAACACCGTACCGGCAATCAGTATAAGCCATGGTCAACATAATATCGCGGATGCGCAAATTGCGCTCAGTAAGTCTTCGAGTATCTAAGAATCCAGTCAATATATAGCTAACTGCCGTTGTAGAAGGTACTGTCCCCCTGCGACCGTTCCCCAGACATCGCGATTCCTCCTCCTCGCATTCGAATATAGACCACCCTTACGTTGAATCGCATATGATAGGAGTGTAATTGACACGTGTGAAACAGTTACTATGGATACGAGTCGGACCCGGCGCGCTGATACTGCCACCCGAAGTCACAAAGATCAGTATGGAGTTCAATAAGCACATCAACGGCGGACATCGGGGTGCGAGGTACGCCTATCAATTTTACTCTTTCTTTCCCTCCTCTACACTCTGCGCTCGATCCACTTCATAAGACACAAACCCCCTAAATGCCTCCAAACCCGGTAGTCCTAGGTCATGAGTGCAGCACAGCGACACAAAAAAAGAGCACTGCCTTCTAGTAAAACCACCAAGCTGACTTCTTCCCCCCTCCCCAGAAAATTCTGGCGCGAAATGCTCCCCCGAATAAAGTACCGCAACCCCGCCGTCTCCATCACCATAAACCGGCACTCGGACCCTGCCGGCCCCGCGAACCTGTACATCTACACCTCCTCCCCAAAGAGCAAATCGACAACAACCGCTTCTTCAACATCGACATCCACATCCACATCTGCATCCTCCTCACCCTCTGTCCCCGACACCGCCGAGCCCACCCACACTGTCGACATCCGCATGGTGCACGAGTCCGAGATCCTCGCGCAATTGGTCAGCAGGACGAATGCAGAGGAGCTCCAGCCGACGGAGGAGGAGGTGAGGGAGCTGGCTGAGATGGCGGAGTTTAAGGCGAGGAGTGAGGCAGATAGGGTGATTGTGAGGGAGAGGTTCTTGAAGGAGAGGAAGGAGCAGGAGTTGCTGAGGTTGGCCAGGGGAGAGGTTGGTGGGACACAGTAGAAGTGTTAACAGGATGGGATGCAGGCATGGTCCTGGATGGCATGTGAGAGATTGCAGGAAATGTGAGGGTGGTATGAGTGCTGGGCGATTGTGAGAACTGTGATGAACGGGCCATCAACGTCAACCAGTTGACCATTCGTGATGGTCAGGAGGTCCTGTGTATGATATCCAGACACTGATGGCATGCATGGTTGCAAAACGCAACATAGGAGGGTCATGTGTATATTAGTCATGTTGTACCACTTGAGAAGCGCACATTGGAAATTTATTTTTCGCAAGCTGGAACAACACCACCGCCGAGGATCGCGACTTTTGGACAGCCTTTGTGCCTTCGCAGAAAGATGGCACGACAGCCGACAGCGACGCATTGGCATGTGGTACATGCGGAGACAGGCACATTTGGGCGGTTAGCGGAGGAGTGAGCGGTACTTCGAACGGCATGCGTCCCGTGGGTGCCGCCTCGAGTAACCTGGTACAGAGCTGGGAATCCGATAGGACGGATCTTCCGATGGTTAAGGCACATCAACGGCGTCGTCGTGAGCGTAAGTCGTATAAGGGCTACGATTCCAGACAAGCCCCGATTCCTGGTGGCTGAGGTGCCAGCGCTGTTAACAGGAGGCCTTTGGACTGGGTATGCCTCCCGCTGCCCGTTACTCGCTGCTCGAGCGTCAACTGTTCCAGTTGTGGCTACACAATTGCAACGATACACATCTCGAGGATCATCATCGTTCTTGAGCTGCTTTGTGGAACCCTTTTGACCTTCTCATGCAGTCGCACCACCATTCCACCAACTGGCCGCTCCCAGCACAAACACGACCACCATAGCGTCACTTACAACAGTGCTGTATATCACACTATAACGCCCAACGACCCTGACGTAGCCCGCATATGGTTCTGGGAGCATCTGGGAAATACTGCTCAGTATTCCGCTTCCCTGCAACTGCCCTTTTTCGATGAAGTATCGTGAGGATTGCAGTACCACTTCGAATGTAGCAAATAGGTAGAAGAAGTGCTTGAAAGCCTCAGGTGGCGCTGATTCCACCGTCCAGTCGGAGCCTTCGTGGGAAGCTGAGCGTGAGAGTTTCGAACCTGTGAAGGGTGTCTGCAGCACAATGTAGATGGCTAGTCCGAGAGAGAAGATGGAGTGGATAAGGCGCCATAGCCAGGCGGAGGACTGGTCGAGTGACGGTTCCGAATCTACGCCTCCTTGCATTGCGCTGAACATATTCGCTAGTCCTGGAGGGAGCCGGTCGCCCTGTCCCGGGGCACCGGGAATTGGGCCTTCTCCGGTGCCTAGCATTTGCTGCAACATGGCCACCATCGGGTCTTGTGACGGGTCCCGGGTGGCTTCAACTGCCGCGGACGGTGAGGGAGAGGCGCCGTACGAGAAGGGTGACGGGAGACGCGGTTGTGTGACAGGAGTATAATGATGGGTGGAGATGTCAACCTCGTCAGGATCCGCGTGGGACGCTGATACCGCAGGTGCAGGAGAAGGACTGGGCGTTGGCCTCGCTGGAGCAAGTTAGCATGATGACTGATAAACAAAGGCGATGTTTGAGTGGGAACCAACATGGAATGTCCTTCTCCACATCGCGGTGCGAGCCTCCTTGGAGGGATGTGATTGCCTGCAAGCGGGAAGCCCCTCCAGCCTGGATTTTGGCGGCACGCCTCTCACGGCGCAGTCTTGCTTTTTCTTGCGCCGACGTCTCTCCCGCTGGAGGCCCAGCAGTGGAGGGTGAGTCCGCCATGGCTGGCTAGGGAAATGCTGGAAGCGAGGAGCTGTGTGATGAATTCCACGTTTTGGGAAGCGGAGATTTGAAGCTGTTGTACCCGCCAGCTCCCACTCGAAGTTGTGGTGACGTCCCCTCTTGGCGCAAAGTCTAGCCGTTCACGGCCTAGCGTCATCTTGCCTTGGCGCTTCATCAAACGTCCTACCAATAATGATAGATCGGAGACCTCACAGCTTTCTCCCTGTCACAAACCCATCGAAACCACACGTCGTACTACCGGCAACAACCGCGGGTCCTCATTTCTTCACTCCCTCTTTGGCCAATCTCTTGATCTGGGCGAGGCCACCCTTCTCATTCTTCCCGGTTGACGCCTTCAGTCCTTGTTTGGACCCTTCTCTAGCCCAAACTTTCCAACACATCCACACTCGCTCTTAAACTGTCCGTACCTCTCGGAGAAACCGACAGCTCGGTACACGGTAGCACAATATCAGATTTGCCGCTCTGCTTGACGGCTGTATCCGCGAGTGGTTGATCAGCACCTGGTCTTGGGACCAACATGCATCCATCCACGGGTGCCCCGCTCAAAATTTCTTCAGACTGCTCAAGTCCTTCGCAGTGTGGCATATGGAACCATACACCGCCGTTTGATCTGTAGGTAGTTAAGGCGAGAATTGCGGATGGGTGCATCCACTTGATGTACTCCGACATCGGTCTTTTTCTCAGCGCAACGCAGGATTCAAAAAATCTCCGCACATTTCTCGTAAAGTTCGTCGCGATGCGTCCAGATATCCCGTCAAATGCTAGCAGGGCCATGAAAGCGTGTACCCATACGGCACAGCCCCTCGCTTGTGGACGTTCTCGAGTGTCCAATGGTTTCTATTACTGTAGATCTTCTCGATAGCGCGCAGCGTACGGTCTCTCAGACGCAGCCAACCTTTACCAGCGGATCAAACAAAATATTTGTGTCACTGAATTCAGGACGAGGGTCACCCGGGAATCCGCAGCTTGCGAAAACTGTGGGCATAACACTAACGATGCAGGCACTTCCGCCGTCCGTACTAGCAGACTGTATCCCCTTTAAGAGACCCCTCCTTCATTGAGTGTTTCCTCCATTTTATCTCTTTCAGCGCGGTTCTCTATCACACAATGAGACCCTTCAGATTTTCCAGAGGGACTCGATTGAGCACCGTCCCACTTGCGCCAAGAAAGAACTCAGATGCTTTCTTGTCGAACAGATGCCTGAAAGTTGTGGCAAGTCGAACATTGCAATGGGCGCCTGCAAGGGCATATGGGACTGTCCTGAGCCCGCCGTCAGCAACAGGTGAACCTTATTGGCACAAAATCGGCAGGTGGCGGCACATTTCAGCGGAACAGTTTATCTCGTATAGCTGGCAAGTAAGTGCTCCCTTGACGGAAATTATATGACGTATTGCTCATTTGCTCCTCAGATCGACAACGCTCTCACTACCGAAAAGAAGCTGACCACATTTTTGGAGGAGGTCCTTCCGGAAAAACTTGCGCCTTCTAAGAACCGAAGATTACAGCACATCAAAACCAAGCAGGATTTCATTGATGATGTTGTCAAGGGACTCAGGAAGGCGCCTATGGCGGTCAAGCTCACTCCGCATATCAGCTCAGTGATTCAGTGGGAGCATGCTCTCGATGACCCCATTCGTCTCCAATTTGTTCCTCTTGGATCTGGACTCGTTCAGGACCACGCCAAACTGAAGCTCGACTCTCTGAACGAGAAGGATGATTCAGGTGGGTTGCGCTGGAACCCTCATCGTTCAACACCCTCTCGGTATTAACGCCTGGCCAGTGGTAGATGGACTTGTGCATAGATATCCAGACAAGGTCCTATTTCTCGGTGAGTTAACCCTGCAAGCCTCGCCGTGTCCAAAAGTTGACCCAATCTCTCAGCCACGGGCACCTGCCCTGTTTACTGCCGCTTTTGCACACGCTCATACGCTGTGGGGAATCCCACAGACACAGTCACGAAGGATCCCTTGCGAGGTGGACGCAGACGTTGGCAGAAGATGTATGACTACATTCGAGAAACTGAATCCATTACGGACGTGGTTGTGTCTGGGGGTGACACCTTCTACCTACCACCACAGGCCGTCAAAGAGATTGGTGAGACGTAAGAGGACCACTACGTTAAGTGTATGCTGGGCAAAGCATGGTTACTGACACACGACAGCCTGTTAGCGATGCCACACGTTCGACGCATCCGTTTCGCCTCCAAAGGGCTCGCTGTGGTTCCATCTCGCTTTCTGGATCCTAATGACAATTGGACAGCCACCTTCATTGAACTATCCAATTTTGCACGCACATTAGGAAAACACGTTTGCTTGCATACACATTTCAATCATCCGAATGAGATCACCTGGATTACGAAAGCGGCAGCACAGCACCTTTTTCAAAACAATGTAATAGTCAGGAACCAGTCTGTCCTCCTGAAAGGGGTCAACGATGACGTCGAGACAATGGGAACTTTGATCAGGACTCTTGCTGACCATAACATACAACCGGTGAGCTATCTCTGCACAGCAGCATCACGATCCCAACACTTTGGATTCGTTACTAACGCCAAACCAGTACTACGTATACCAATGTGACCTCGTCAAAGGCATCGAGGATTTGCGCACCCCGCTCAAGGTTATTCTGGATATGGAACAGCAACTCCGTGGAACTATCGCAGGGTTCATGATGCCTTCCTTTGTCGTCGATCTCCCCGGCGGCGGTGGTAAGCGCCTCGCAGCCGCTCGTGAGACCTACGACGAGGTGACTGGCGTGTCGACATTCAAGGCTCCGGCACTGTTGGGCAAGAAGGGTCAGATGATCTACGAATATCATGATCCCAAGCCTGTCCTCGACACGATACCCGTGCCTATTCGCGACACGAAACCTATACCGGCGTACGAGCCTACCGTCGATCCAGAACCTGCACCTCAGCCCAAACGTGTGCCGGTGCAGACTCCACAAACTCCCGCATATCCCGTCTGGCGCGACTTTCCGCGACCGGCGTTTCCTGATATGCCCGCAGTTTTGTGCGAGACAAACGTGCCAGAGCGGAACTTGGGTGTAGCCACAGCATGAGTGGTGATGCGTGTCTTGCGGCGAAGGCACAAAAGTCGCAAGCAATCCCTAACGGACGTCACCATCGAGGTACATACACACATAACGATCACGTAAAGGAAAATCCAGATCAGCACACGACCTCATTACGGTTTCATATCTATCGGACGTACTGGGTAGGACAGGCAACAAGGATGTGCTTTAACCATTTCTCTGCATAGCGAGGGTGTGCTAAGGACCAATAGCATTTCAGTCATGATCAGATTGATACCACCTTTCCTTGGTTCAGGCACGGCGTTTCCGAATCCTCGTTTTACAAAAGCACTGGTCCAGTCGATTACTCGGTGCGCATGTTGATGGCTTGGAGCATATGTATGTTGGTTCCCGTGATGATCACTGCCTAAAAGTTGAATATTTTATGATAGGAAGTTGTTGGATGAGTGGGGATTAGGATGTGACGGAACTTTTGGGTTTACTATCTTGCCCTGGTCTTGTCGGTTCTCTTGTAGACTTGATTTTCTTGCTTCTCAAGAATGACGATTGCGAACCCTAGTCCACTAGCCGTCCCTTTCGCATCTCTTCACCGTGACTCCCATTTCCACCAGTGCAAATCGTGGATATGAGGTGCCTTCTAGTGACATGATAAAGAAGAAGACGCGCCACAAGGCTTTGGTAATGTAAGCCACTGCCCGCGGACGACGAACTTGCTGATTTGTAGTACACAGTATGTCGCACTTCTACGATTTTCGCATGGTTTGCAGCAGCTTTTACTGCCAATCAACAGGGAGATATACTGGACCCTCTTACTCTATGACCTCTCTGGCTTGAGAGTTGAGAGTGAAATTGATTCCAAAATATCCCCTCGAGAATCCTACTGAACTTCACCGCGTGCCATGGGACAGATTGAAGTCCGAGGCGGGGTTCATCGGCTCGTGGGCACGGGATATGCAGCTCTTTCATCGAGCACTGAGAATGTGCGTGGTTCCGATATGGGTTGTTTCCATTACTTTCCGGAACCGCACACTACCCGAGCGATCAACGACCCGGAGTAAGCACTCCTTGTGGACTTATGCATAAAACTCACATTCGCTTTATCTCTCTATGAATCAATCGCCATCCCCTCATCCACTCCAATCAATGACCCTCCCATCCCTCCAGAACTCCCCCGACACTCCCTTCAAATCCGCCAATGCCAGCATCACGGGTGTCTGCGCCCCCTCGTCTGGCGTCCTCGTCCCCCTCCCCTTTGTCATATCCGTATTCACATACCCAGGACAGCACGAATTCACCAGCACCTGGCTCTTCCCGCTTTCCTCCCTCGCAAGCGCCCTCGTCGCGCCGATCAAGCCCGCCTTGGACGTAGCGTACGCGGCGCTGGGGAACCCTGCTTCCTTTTCGCGACCGGCGGCGACGGCGGAGGCGAAGTCCTGCATGATGCTCGTGACGTCTGCTTCGGTCTTGGAGGCGAGGAAGCGGGCGCGGATGGCGGGGGAGTACTTATCCAGCAGGCCGGTGGTGCTGGCTACGTTTACGAGGCGGCCGGCGGGGCGGAGGAGGGGCAGGAAGGCGTGGCTGGCGGCGAGGGTCGAGTAGTAGTTGCAGTTTAGGGTTTGGGAGACGACGTTAGAGTCTGCGGGGTGAGTATTGTTAAGTCCTCTGCCGTTACTCTCTTGAAGAATATTAGAAGACGTACCGAATCCGTTCAACGCGATACCTGCATTGTTGATTACGAAATCGATTCCATTCGCATGCGTCTTCTTCAAATCTTCGACGAATGTCTCGAGGCTCTTGCCATCTGTGATGTCCAGCGCATGGAACTTGATTTCCGACAGTCCTCCATCCTGTTTCAGCGCTTTCGCAGCTTTCAACTGCTCGTCTTGGTGCATGTGCTTGACGGCATCTTCGCCGCGGCCCGGGTCCCGTGCCGTCAGGTAAATGAGGAGCGGTCCGCTGTTGAGCGGGGACTTCGGGTACTGCAGTGCAAGCTGGCGGACTACATGGAGTTATTAGCTGACTGGTATGGCTCCAGCCAGATGAATAAGAGTTGTTGTACCTATGGCGTAGCCGATTCCCTAGGCGGCCATTAGCATTGTTCCATGATTGTCCAATGAGAAACATGGATCCTTATGTACTTTATTAGCGCCGGTGACAACGCCAACGCGGCTGTAGGAACTCATGGTGGAAATTGCGAGGTCGAGGTGAGGAATGAAGGACGAGTTGGTGGTGAGGATGAGGACAATGGCATGGTTGACATTGTTCGATGGATTGTTTATGTCACCCGGGAGTATTATTAATGTTCCAAGTAGGATTACTGTGTTTTGCTACGCTCGGGTCAGATGGGATGACGATGGGGTTGGATTAAAATTTCCCCGAAGCCAAGCTTGTCTTTTGGGGTTAGCGGATCGGGCGATCAACGATGTGGGGTCGCTTATTCCCATCCATCCATCCCAGACAGAACAAGACGACTGTTTTTAATCTTTTTCCTTATTGTCACGAGGCAGGGCTAGAAAGAGCGCTACTTACAAGTTTCCCGGTTCGGTCAGCAAAAATGAAGTATCTGAATCTTATCGTGCACAATGTCGCTTCTTCCAATCAACCAGGAGCCAGCTCTGCAAACGGAACCCTCCTTCAAAGTGAAGAAGGCTGGAATAGGCGGAATATGCCAGCCAACCACCATTTCAGCTCTCTCCGTTGTGCTCCCTCTCCGGTCTCGACGAGCCGATTTCTCGCTTGGCAACGGTAACAACAACACCATGGAGCCAATCAGTACGAGCTGTGGCTAACTGTGGCTCCCTTGGGCAATTCAGCTTCGCCATTTTCTTATTATACTCCCAGCCCATGCTGTGCTGTGCAGAACCGCTCACGCTGTGTTTCGCAGCTCCTGAGTCTTGTCGTTTGTGCGTCCACGGGGCCGAAACTCAGCTCTGCGGTTGGTGTCAATTAGGGCTATCTAAGGCGAGGCTGCCTCAAAATGACTTCCTCCCTCGTCGACAGTGAAGTCATATTCGAGTTATTCTGCATGTTCCGGACACAACTCACGACATGACGGGCCTGGATGTTTGGGCTCGGCTCACACTTCTTTTGTGTGGAGTGCTCTCAGCTTCCGCTGTGCCTAACAGCCAAGAACGTCTCCTCATCACCGCCCCGCCAAATCCGCAGGCCACGAGCTGCGCGAATGTGAAAGTGTTGAAGAGGCAGGAAAACTGTGAGTTTGGAGTATGTGGAGGCGCATGTTTAGAACAAGGGGCCTTTTGCTGCGGACCTGCGGGCTCTCTCGCCACGTCTCCGAATTGTAAGTCCATATCCAACCCTGATCAATCCAAGTTCCTTACTAATGTTGCCCAGGGGTCTGCGATAATGTGAGCTTCTTATGACAGCCTGACACATATCGGTTCTCTCTAACGTTTCATCTAGGGCGCCTGCATCACCAGTGTCCGCGGCACCACTGGCATCGTCGACTGCTACGACCCCGATAATCCTCAAGGGACTACTCAATCCTGCATCGACAACGTCCCCACAACCACTTGCAAACCAACAGATCGATGCTACACATGGTTAGTACCAACAAGCCTCCATCATTCGCCATTCACTCACATTCCTTCCCCTCCCCTAGTGCCGCAGACCAGCCCTTCTGCCGCTGGGAAACCTACATCGCCTCCAGCTCTCCCACACTAAGCTGGTTCTCCTGCGTCGAGACCAAACTTCCCGATGTAACCTTCTTCGCCGCAACCATTACCGCCAACCTCACTTCTTCCAGCAGCAGCTCCACCACCGGTACCAAACCCCCTGAGAGCACATATCCAGGCCGCGATGCCGGAGGCGAATATTACAAGAAGCGCCCTCTTTCCACGGGCGCCATCATCGGCATCGCCGTCGGAGGCGGTATGATGCTCGTCGGCGTCACGGCACTGACGTTTTACTTCTGCTGCATCCGACAAAGCAAATCGCCGACCTCGACGCAGGAACTCAGCGGACACTCAATGGACCCGCCAATGGAACACCGACCACCACTTCCGACCGAGTTGGATGGCTACGCGCGAAGCGAGTTGAACAGCGCGACGGCGTATTCACCGCAGAGCATGCCGGCGACGCCGTTCAATCCGCCTGAAGGGTATGGGAGGAATGTTGACGAAGTGAATGCGTGGAGGGAGGGGAGGGGGTGGCCGCTGGCGGAGGTGCAGGTGCAGAAGCCGGGAGTGGGTTATTTTGAAGACGAGCCCAGGGAGTTGCATAGTGAGGCTGTGGGGGAGCGGCCGAGTTATGACGAGTATGGGAGGCAGTATCGGGAGGAGTATTTGGGGCGGAGGTAGTGGAAGTGTTGCTTCCGGGGAGAGAGAAGCGGGATTTTGAATTTGGTGAGAGACGTTCCTTTAATTTATTTCTGGTCCGCTGGCTAGGACTGGGAAACAGTGCATATGTTTTCTTTTTTCTTTTTTTCTTTTTTTCTTTTGGCATCGTTATTTACAGTCAATACATGTCCTCCGTACAAGTCGACATTGCATACGGAAAAATATCCTTCATATATCCGTCTCCTAGATCCGACTATACACATTCTCCGCTTACATTCAAGCGTCCGCCTTGATCAACTCACCTACCACGAACGGTATCGCCGTCTGCGGCTCCACATACTGCAAGTCAAACTTCTTCCACCCGCCCGCCTCCCTCAACCACTCGGCCGTATGCCTCTGCAACGCACAACCTCCCATGAAAAACGGCCAGCCCATCGCACTATACACCCCCTGCAACAACCTAGCCGCAAGACTCCCCTCGGTCCTCCAAGGATTCACAACATGCTCGCACACGACCATCCTCCCGCCAGGCTTCAACAACGCATACAACCCGCGAATCGTCTCCCGCGGACTCGGCACGCCACACAAAACCCGCACAACGCAAATCTCATCAAACACCTCTGTGGCGCGATCACGGTCCAACACGCCGGCCTCGTACAGCGCGGGGATCAACGACTCGGGCTCCGCGCCGCAGAGCAGGGCGTGGTACTTGCCGGCGAATCCGTGCTTCTCCGCGTTCTGGAGCAGACCCCGGTGAAGGTCCGCGGCGGGCTCGGCGCCGTACATGGCGGTGATCTTGCTGGCATCGAAGCGCGAGAGGACTTCTCCGCTGCCGGGGCCGATGTCGAGGACGAGGCCGCGGCATTGGGAGAGGAGTTCTGTTATGGGGCCGGGCATGTCGATGGACATTGCTGCGCCTGAGAATATCGATTGTTAGGGAGACCTATTTTTGCTCCCGGGGGAAGTCAGGGAGGTGAGAGGGTTTCGAGCATACCATTTCGGTTCCAGAGGCGGGCGAAGCTTTTGTGGCGGAGTTGGGTGAGGTTGAGGAGGAGCGAGGGCTGGTGCTGGATGAAGATGACTTCGAGGATTGTCATGCAGAAGTCTGGGAAGTGTGAGGATTGGGATTGGTTTGTGTAGGTTTATTAAAGGGAGGGCTGTCACGAACGGTAGATTGCTAAACTGAGTAACAAGGTCGGCCGTAGTAAGGTCGGAATGTTATTTCCCAGCCATTCGTAGAGCCCCATGATTAATGAAATGATTGGAGAATTGAGTTTTGACTTTGGGCGAGCGAAGGTGGAAAAGAGGAGGAGGGAGAAAGGGAGAATTGGATTACGGGTACAGATACGACTCGTTCGATAGTTTATATAACTTATAAGATGGGACGATATGCTTCCTGAGTCGTTGGCTAGTGTCGGATATGATAATTTTGGGTGGGGTAGGCGGGGAAGGTGGAACCGAGGTGGCTCTAGCTCCTTTCCAAGGTTGACGTCGGCGATCTCAACTTCAATATCCCGACGGACTTCATCTCGAAATCATACTGGCGCAGAACGACGGGATATCAATTGCAACAATCCAGGCAGGAGTAGCAATGGCTCCCGATGAGAGAAAGAGATACGCACTGATTACGGGGTACCACCTCCTCCCAGCATGACAAACACCTTTCAATCGGTTGAAACGGCCATCGGCAAAGCCTCCAAAAACCGCCCACTGACCCGCACAGCTGCACCCCCGGAGGCATCGGACACTATCTCGCCCTCGAATTTGCAGCCAAAGGTCGCTTCCCATCTCCTCTTCTCCCCCCCTACCTCATTGCTAACCCTCCACAAGGCTTCCACGTCCTCGCGACCGTCCGCGACCCCTCCAAATACACCTCCCCCCACCCCTCCATAACCTACCTCCCCCTGGAACTCAGCTCGGAACCCAGCATCCTCGCCCTCAAAGAAACCGTCACAACCCTCACCTCGGGCCGCCTCGACATCCTCTACAACAATGCCGGGCGCAACTACACCATCCCCGCCCTCGACTTCTCCACCGACGAACTCCACGACCTCTTCCAGGCAAACGTCTTCTCCGTCATGCAAATGTGCAAAGCCTTCACGCCCCTCTTAATCGCTGCAAAAGGCACCATCGTCCAGACGGGCAGTATAGCGGCCATCATGCCGTATGCGTGGGGGGCATGCTACTGCGCGTCCAAAGCCGCGCTGCACGCCTACTCGAATACGCTGCGAGTCGAACTCGCGCCGCTCGGCGTGCGCGTCATCACCGTCATCACGGGCGGCGTGAAATCGAACATTGCGCGCGTTCATCGCGAGTTACCCCCGGATTCGTACATGCTTCCCTTGAAGGACGAGTACGAGTCGCGGTTGACGCATTCGCAACAGTTGGGCATGGATACGGAGCAGTATGCGCGGAGCTGCGTGCGGCAGGTTCTGGCGGGGGATGAGTGGGGCGGGCTGGTGAGGAGGAGGTGGATCTGGGAGGGCAAGATGAGTTGGGTGGTGAGGTTTGTGACGGCGTGGTTGCCGGCCGGGGTGTTGGATTGGTATTTCACGCGGAGGTTCGGTTTGGGGAGGTTGAGGGGGACGGTGGGGAGGAAGGAGGATTGATTGATCTTGAGGGTCGTTTTGGAGCGATGCCAGTCAGTTTTGAGCGGTCTTTGCTTTGAAGGGTTGGGGATATCCTGGAGCAACCTGCTAAGGACGATGTGTACTGTGTAGGCCCTCCCGGGTCTTCTTCTTGGTGGGATTTTATTCACCCCGCTCCAATCTCTCAATCTCCGCCTTGGTCCTCTGAATCTCCGCCTGCAGAACCTTGGCTCGCCGGGCCGCATCCCTCATTCCCTTTTCTCCCGCCTTGTCATACAACTCCAGCGTCTGCCTCGCCAGCGCCTCCCTATCCTTTAACGCATTCCTCTCCTGTCTTTGGACGGCTCTATAATTCTTCAACGCCGCCACAAACTCGGGCGGTGGTGGATGCGTGAGCGTATGGATTCTGCAAAATACACAATCAGTTTCTAATCCAATGACAGCAGCAGTCGATAAATCATAAGCTATGAAGAGGAGAAACCAGGACGAGATAATCAACACACCTAGCCTGCAGCCCTAGCAACGCACTCTGCGCCCTGACGACCTCTGCCCTCGCCTTGACGCCTCTCGATAGCGAGCCGTGCATCGTCTGCTCGAGGATGCGGATCGACGTCTCTAGGACTTGGCGGTGCAGCGTGAGGACGTCGTGGGCCGTGTTGGCGAGGTCGAAGCGGGCGGTGGCGAGGGAGTCGGGGAGGTCGTGGGTCGCGGCTTGGTGAAGGGAGGATGCCTTGGTGGGGAGGGAGGAGATATGTGGTGGTGCTGGGGGGAAGTCAGATATAGGGTATGTAGCGGACGGCGGGCAGCAGGGAAGGGGATTGGGAGGGTTTCTCAGTAAAGCGGGAAAAGAAGGACTGGCGACGTACATAATGGATCGGCTATTCGACACAGTTGCTCGGCCATCTTGTCGAGTTGCTCGCTGATAGCCAGGGCTATGGTGTCGATGTTGCCCAGGAAGAAGGTTTCGTCGCCGGAGAGGAGTTCCAGGTCGGCGGGGGAGGAGATGTGGCCGCTTAGACGCGCGGACATGAGTTCGATGACCGGGTGGAGGTCGGAGGGGAGGGATTCGGGAGAGGATTTGGAGGGGAGGGTGGAGAGGAGGGTGAGGAGGAGGCGGGTCGTGTGGTGGTGGGTGATGGAGGTGTGGAGGTTCTGTGGGGGCTTGTTAGCTTGTAGTAATGGAAGCTTTTCTCTTCTTTAGATAAAGACCAAAATTGAACCGCTCAAAGGAAAATTGATATTCACGTTGAGATTTTGTAGTAGAGCTCGGGTCTCTCAAAACTCATAATCAGTGCGGGAAAATTCAAACTTGAACTTTTGGAAATGAAATAGAAAATAGAAGAGACGCATTAGAGACCGAAAAGGAATCATAGATCCTACCGCTCTTATCTCATCGTGTATCCTTTGCCTCTTCGTATCTCTGGTCGAGCCATCCGGATTCAGTTTCCTTGTGCAGAGGTCTTTGTATAATGTAGAGAAATTGGGGTTCTGGTCGAGGATACTGGGATCTACGGGAGGCAACATGTCTGGTCTCTACTTCAATATACGTATAGGTGTCGGGATCAGAGAGAATAGTACGAAAGCCGGGGTTGGTGTTTCTGCCCCATACTTGGTTCAAGGGTTGGTGAAGTATTTAGGTAGGGGATGGCTAACAGAAAACCACGCTAACCAAAAATGGATAGAGTCTTGGCATGTCATTGGGTAGATCAACAAACCGCCTCTTCAATATCTAGGGCACTGCGCACTATACTAGAGGAGCTGGATCCAATTTCAACTCTACCATTTGCAAACAAAAGAGGTTCACTTCTCTCCAATGTCAAGATGGTTATGGTGTTTTCTCCGGCCCACCACAGTCTATCATGCCCAACCGCTCTCCCGATCTGTCCTCCCATGAAGGAAGTCGGTAGTAGGAACACATTCATCCCCGAGCATTTTGCTCTAGATTCAAATCCAAAACAACCGATGACGTTTCCAACCATGCCGGCCACCCTCCGCTCTTCTAAAGAACTCTGCAAGCAAAAATAGCGGAGCCAACCGCACGCAGAAGCATTTGCTGATCGGCGACCAGTGGCGTCTTTGGATCAAAGCTCAGCCACAGCCGCGCAACGCTCTGACATCCTCTCCACACCCCTTGGCCCAATTCACCGAGTTCGCAGGGTTCACAGGGTTCGCGCCAGGCCATCCTCAGCCCGAACACCATTCCCGCACCAGGGCAGTGTTTTGGCCGACTTCCCGCGACACATCTTCATTTACGCGGGCGCTCCTCATCTCGACTGACTCCTGTCGCTGTGCGCCTTTTTCCACGCTCTCTGCCTCCTTAATCATATCCTCGACCTACTGCCACTTGGGGGGAATGTGATGCGCCCCGTCACATAACCTCCTTAACGTATCTGTCGACGACTCCATTCGTTTTACTTTCTCCACACTCGTTTCTGTGGGCCTTGCCCACTCGTTATACACGCAAACATGCCGTACCTTGAATATCTTGCGCCTCGCAACCCACTTACCGATGCCAAAGACACTCTGTCCTCGTGGGACAAGTGCATGGCCAAAACCTATTGCAAGTCAGTCGCTTTTCCTCCATAACCGCCCTCGACCCAGCAAGTACTTATGATACCGAAACAGGTGGCCAGTCATCGTCGCCATAATCATCGGTGTCCTGATCCTCCTCTCTGTCCTCTTCTGCCTCGTGCGATGCATCTGCTGCGGTGCCGAAATCGCCTGCTGCTGTTTCAAGTGCTGCACCTGTTGTTGCGGGGGGAATTCGAAGGGACATAGGCGCGTGGCGAGCGAACCGCCTCCGCCTCCCGTGTATGGCGGTGGATATGCTTCCTCGACGCCTGCTGGCGGGCGAACCTACGACACGCGACCCGTCAACCAGCAGTACCGCTCGCACGCCGCTCCTGCATTCGCCTCCGAGCCCGAGCGACCGCAGTACGCGAGCTTCGAGACGCCGAGCAAACCCGTCAACGAAGACGCGCTTCCAAACATGCCGACCTGGAGCGAAGCCACGAGCACGAAGGTCCAAGTCGAAGTCCAGGAGACGGCCCTGCCGGAGAAGCAAGGAGACGTGGAAATGGACAGATTGGACTACAACGGCGGCGTCGCCATGGCCGCGGCAGCAAGGAGATCTCCCGCGCGTTCACCGGTGCAGAGATCGCCTACGCAGGACTCGTACGGTTTCCCTCCCGGCTACCACCACAACGACTCGTATGTCGGCGGTGGAGGAGGAGCCGCGCGGAGAAGCCCCGGTCCTCGTCCTCCTCAAGGAGCACAGTATGCTCACAGCGACGACGGGTATCGTGGGATATCGCCCGTGCACGCACAGTCTCCCGTACATGCGCACTCCCTCTCCCCAGTGCACGCGCACTCCACGTCTCCAGTCTACGGCGCCTCACCCGGCTATCCCACCACCACCTCCCCCACCTACGGACGTCGTTCACCCAACGCTCCCCCGTATGACCCGTACGACGGACCCGCACCCCCTCCTCGACATACCCCCGAAGCGTCGTCCACCGCCTACGCCTACGACAATTCCAACGCCCGCACCGACGCACCCTACCCAAATCAAGACTACGGAATCGACTACAACAACAACAACCCCCCCTCGGGATCCACACGGTTCGAACAACAACCCCCTGCGTCAGCGGCCATGGCGACCTACCCAGGCCAACAGTCCTATGGCACAGAGGAGCGCCAGTACCCGGGGCAGCAGGCGTACCATGCCTATACTCCTGCGCCGGCGCCGCAGGGGGAGCAGTATACGGGGGTGAGTAGGAAGGCGGTGGAGGGGAGCTGGAAGGAGGTGTAGGGCGCCTTCACTTTTGTCTGTAGCTGGAGGTGGCCTTGATTTGTTGATACTTTCGTCTTCTTCGACGCTTCGCTTCTTATTGATATACCATCTTTTCTCTGTTGTTTCTAGTCTTATGCATAGCGATGGCGTTGTGGGGTTGTCGCACCGCGCTCGTTCGATTTCCAGTTTGTATGAGGGGACTTGGGGGACGCATTTTGGACAAGTCGTGTGTGTCTTGAGATGAACAGGTTTCAGAATGAGAAATTCCCGGGATATCTATTCCCTTCATAACCTTTACTTCATATCTCCACGTCATACACATCTCCCATCCCTAGATCCTTCAAGCTCATGAGCAAGGAAAGCAAAAGGTCGACCCAGCCAAAGAAATCAACCACATTGCTCCATCACGAATCATACATCTTCTCATACCTGGGCAGGACCTCTCACGCCACACCCATCTTCTTCCTAACCGCCATCTCACCCCACTCACCACAATCCCTCCCCCGCATCCTCGCCGGCATATGCTCCCCACTCGCGATACAATGCATCTTCATCTTGGGGTGGAACTTGAGGTCGCTCAGCAACTTGGGCGTGATGAGAAAGTACTGGCTCGTCCGCTCGCGGCACGCAATGTCCACCATGCGCTCGTGCACCATGCGCTCGTTCCGCGGGTCCATGCCCTGGTTGATCTCGTCGACGACGCGGAAGGGCGACCGCGCCAGGTCCTGCAGCGCCATGAGGTAGAAGATGGTCGAGACGGCGCGTTCGCCGCCCGATTGGCGGTGCGAGTCGAGGATGGAGAGGGCTTCGTTTTCCCTGACTACAGTTAGTTCTTTGTTCTAGGTGTCATTGGGTTAGGGAAAAGGAGAAATGGGGCATGGAGGGCCTACCGGAAGCGGACCTGGATCTGGATGCTCCAGTGCTCGAAGTCCTCGTCCTTGTGCACGCCCACCTGGCCCGCGCACCCGATCTGCGCGAAATTGTGCGAGAAGCCGTCGCTGATGGTGGCGACGAGTTCATCGAGCCGTGGCTCCCATTGCTCACGGATGGTCCGGATATTGGCTCTCGTCTTCTCCAGGCGCTCGGCGAGCTTCTGGAGGACCTCGCCCTTGTGGGCAATCTCGCGCTCGCGGTTCTCAAAGGCTTCGACGACATGCGAATTGCCTTCGGCCATGAGTCCTAGCCGCGTGTTGACGGCTTCGATCTCCGTGTTTAGCTCTTCCATGGAGGCTAACTGCGAGTAGTCGCGCAGGTATTCCCGCTCCTCTTCCGAAAGGGTGGGGAAAAGTCTTTTAGCGTTGCGGGTAATGTCTTTGTACCGAGCAGACAAATCCCTTTTCTGTCTGTCCAGCTCGTTGTATTTTGACTCCAGTGCAGCCAGGGTTTCGTTGATCTCTCGATTCTCCCTTTTGACCGAGTCCAGCTCCGAGTTGGCTTCGATGAGCCGTATCTCTGCTTCCACAAGGCTTTCGTGAGCTTGACGGAGTGCTGCAACGGCTTTCTGGCGCTGGTCAGCCGGCATGTAGCAAGTAGTCTGGGGTTATAGCAACTTGCCTGATATTCGATTGTAAGAGATGCAGCTTTGAGCGCCGCCTTCTCTGATCTGGTCTTGATGGCCAGTATGCGGTTGCTGGTCTCCCTCATCAAGCTTTTCAGGGCATCCAGTTCGCTCTCCTTCTCCGCTGGTTCGGGTTAGTGGTAACTTACCCGAGGAGTCGGAGTCAAACATACCTTTCTTCTCAGGTAAGGCAGCCCACTGGGCGCGTGCCTTTTGCTGTCTTCGATGGTTCTCGTCCAGAGCTTCCTAGAAAGACATCAGCATCTAATCCAACATGGTAGTATTGAAGTGTTCGTACAATCTCTTTTTTGATATCTGCCTCTTCGTTAGAATATTTGTCCGCCTCCACATTGGCGTTATTGTTTTCTTCCTTCAAGGACTCTATATCCCCTTTCAGATTGCTAATCTCCTCTTCCAACTGGCGTGTTTGATTGGGGTCTGAAGGCTGGTCGGTGAAGTACTTCGCTCTTGGGAGCGCCGTCACGCGCGTCGACGAGATTCCATATTCTCTACGTCTTGTAACCCTGTACCTTTCCCGACCGGCTGTCCAGGTCGCAATAGGACTACGCTCGACTGCTTCATGTTGCTCAATGGACAGCGGGTTCGGGGAGTAGGCAGCGCGATGTAACTGGGCGCTCTCACAAAGCATGGCCAGGACAGGCTCGGGGCCTTGGATGTAATCCAGTACGAAGCCTTCGAACCCCAGATCCCTAAGCTCCTCGCGAGTGACCGGGCTTCGATAGTGAGCCAGAGGTTGGCCGACCATGCGAAGCGTGATTTGATGCAGGCCCAAACCATCGCGACCCAAGAGTTTGTTCGAAATCAGCCTTTGATCTTCTCCATTCGTGAATGTGATGGCAGTGGCATCGCCAATTCCACCAAACTGGCCCTCCACAATATCGGCATACCGCTGGTCCGTGACAGAGCATGTCAAGATTGGAGGACCATGGATTTCACCCTTCAGTTGGAGTTCGTGCTTGTGCTTCTGAATCCAGTCCCAACCCGTTGCAGTATCTTTTGATACCCTTTGGAGCAGGTTCGCCTGCTGCCCGCTCTGGGTATTGAGCAAGGCTTGCTCATTAACCTTTTCCTGCATTCGATTTCTCAACATCGTGACTTGGGCGACAATGTCTTGCCTCCTGCTGGCGACCTCTCGTTTCTTACCGGCCACATCCATCTTCCTGTTCTGCAATTCAGTCCGACGCTCCCTGTAACCAACCTCATCGACCTCGACCGGGGCTTCCTGCATGTCTCGCTCAATCTTTTGTATCGTAGCTTCCAACCGTTTGAGCTCTTGGCGGCGTTGCTTCTCGCCCTGCTTTTCACCTTCCACCTTGTTCGTGCATTCGGCCATGCGATCCTGTTCTGCTTTGATCCTGGCGGCAATCCCATCAGCACGCTTTTGCATTTCGTCCGTATGCGTTCTCCGTTCATTCTTGCATTTTGAAACCTCATCGCGGTAGGACTCCATCTCGTGTTCAGCTGCACGAGCCGGGCCAGCGGCTGCTTCTACTTGTCTCTGCTGCTGCTGGGTCTCTTGCAACTGCGCTTTTATGTCTTGAATTTGATTTCCGAGCAGATTCCTCTCGATAAGGGGGCGACACCTGTGGAGGGCTCTTTGCTTCGTTACAAGCGCCTGACGCTCATGGTATCTCTCGACATCTTCCCGAGAAGCGTTCTGCCGGTTTTGCAACTGTTTCAAAGCGGCTTCTTCACCCTTTTGTTCCGATTCAAGCTTCTTCTCTTCCGAGCGTAGATTGATAAGCTCATCGTGCCATTGTACCATCTCTTCCGGTGCTGCAGCACGCAAGGTCTCTTTCAATAAGGCGACGGGTGACAGGCCCGCAAATTCAACCACACGGTCTTGCGGTAAGAACTGACACAGATTATCAATCTGAATAGCGAATGATTTCGCCAGGCGGACGACTTCTTTCTGCGTGGATTGACGGCCGTGGATGAACCAGACGGATTTGTTTCCCTCCTTGCGAATGATGCGACGAATCACAGGATTGGTATCATGGTGTTCCGCGCCTGCAAGTTCAATCTCGATGGTAGCCTCGGTGCTGCCATGCTTCACGAACTCGCCAATCTCTTTTGCTCGACCGAGATTCTGTGGTTGTCAGTGACATGACGCCGACCCATAGGGGTATGTAGAACATACTCTAGGGTCCCACCCAAGGCCAAGACATATAGCACACACGAGGGTGCTCTTTCCGGTGCCATTAGGCCCTATAACCATATTCAAGCTCGGTCCCGGGTGAAACTCGGCGGCCGTGTACGTGACGAAGTTGATCAGAGTAACCCTCACGATGGTGCCGGGCTGATGAGGCTCTTGGGTATACTCTTCACCATCTTGTGCAGTGGCAGGGTTACGATTCCCGTTTGCTACTGGTCGAGGTTCGGACTGGACAAGTTAGTATTGCACAACAACTGGTGTAGGGCAAGCCATACTAGTGTCGACGCGTCGCGGTCATAGCGGGTGCGTTTACTACCGGACGACGCGCGGCTGGAGGTATAGGATGGCTCATCATTCTCGCTGATATCGGCAGAGTCACGCTTTAGCCCAGGCATCTCAAACGTGGTGTGGTTGTGGAGGCATACAAGGGAGAGTCTACCGGTGTACGGCTTCCTATCAGCGCGTTGGCGCCTGCTAGGTCAAAATCGGCTAGAGCCAAACCAAGCACGCTAGCACGATATCACGTGATCGTTCTGTGCGCTCCAGGGCTGGCGTAACTAAACGGTAAATGAACTTTTAACTCCATCTTTTACGACTGCAATAGCCTCTCGGTGTGTCATGACTGCAAAATTCATTTGCGACGTATTTCCTGTGTTTGCTGTCCTTTGTACAAACGACATAATGTACAGATCTGATCTTACGCTTTACAAATTAATGGTACGCTTGATTTATACATGAGATCCATCTGATCTATTTCTTCTCCTTGGGGTGGATCATCAACTCGGGGCGGACGTGCTTGTCAAAGTCTTCGGCTGAGATGATCTTGAGCTGATCGACAGCGCTCTCACGGAGCGTGATGCCCTTCTTGTGCGCGTTCTGAGGGAGAGATGATTAGTCCCTGTAGTAATAGGGAGGACTAAGGAGGGCGCTTACCTTGGCGGCCTTAGAGGCGTTGTCATAACCAATAACGGGGTTGAGGCATGTTACGAGCATCAAGCTGCCAGGGAGATTAGCAGGTGATGAAGCAGGTTCTTAGGGAGCTATGACTGACCTCTCATTGAGAAGCGACGAGATACGTGCTTCGTCGGCTTCCAGACCCTCAACAAGGTTCTTCTCAAAGCTCCTCATGGCGTCGGCAAGGAGGCGGGAACTATGGAGCAGATTGCGGATCATGACCGGCTTGAAGACGTTCAATTCGAAATTGCCTTGCGAGCCAGCGAAAGTCGTGGCAGCATGGTTGCCGAACACCTGAGTGCAAACCATGGTCAAGGACTCGCACTGGGTCGGATTGACCTTTCCTGGCATGATGGAGGAGCCCGGCTCATTCTCAGGCAACTTCAACTCGCCGAGGCCACACCGAGGACCAGAACCAAGGAAGCGGATGTCTTGAGCGATCTTGAAGAGGGAAGCAGCAAGGGTATTGAGCTGGCCGGAAGCCTCGATGATGGCGTCATGTGCCGCCAGAGCCTCGAACTTGTTCGGGGCGGTAACGAACTCGTGACCGGTCGCCTTGCTGACCTCGGCAGCAATATCCTCTGCGAATCCCTTGAACGTGTTGATTCCGGTACCGACAGCGGTTCCACCTTGCGCAAGCATCCTCAGGCGTGGGAGAGCGGACTGGACGCGCTCAATGCCGAAATCCAATTGTTGAACGTAGCCAGAGAATTCCTGACCGAGAGTCAAGGGGGTGGCGTCCTGCAAATGCGTCCTGCCAATCTTGATGATGCGTTCGAATTGTTCGCTCTTCTTCTTCAGGGCGTCGCGCAGGCTCCTCAAAGCGGGCAGCAGGGATTCTTCAAAATCAAGCACGGCAGCAATGTGCATGACGGTAGGGAAGGTATCATTGGACGAAGCGGACATGTTGACATGGTCGTTGGGGTGGACAGGCTTCTTGGAGCCCATCTGCCCTCCGAGGATTTCGATGGCGCGGTTTGAGATGACCTCGTTTGCGTTCATGTTGGACTGGGTGCCGGATCCAGTCTGCCAAACGACCAGGGGGAAGTGATCAATGAGCTTGAGCGAAGCTACCTCTGCTGCGGCTTGCTGGATGGCCTCTCCGAGCTTGGGGTCTGTTGAGCGCTTGTTAGACGAGGGTCAAGGAAGCGAACTTGGAAGCGTACCCAGGCCGTATTTGACATTGACCTTGGCCGCAGCGCCCTTGAGAATGCCGAAGGCCCTCACGATGGGTGCGGGCATGCGGTCCTGCGGCTGGTTGATGTTGAAGTTGGAGAGGGAGCGCTGCGTCTGGGCACCCCAGTACTTGTCGGCGGGGACCTGGATCTCGCCGAAGGCATCGGTCTCTGTGCGTGTCGAAGCCATCCTGGTTGTGTGTGCGAAAGCGACAGATGGGCGGGAAAAGGTGTTACGGGCGGTCAATGGGGTGAAGCAGGGCGAGGAACGGGGAGTCGTCGACAGAGCTCTGCAGCTGCGGGCCGCGGTGACGCAGGAGGGGTAGGGTTTTGCATGTGCCAGAGGGCGCATGGCCGCGGCCTCGGCAGCGCGGAGGGTCGTTCGAGCTGATCGAAACATGGTGGACGGCTCGTTGGGGGAGAATTGAAGGCGCGCAAGTTGAAGATGTATATAAAATGAATTCGGCTCCGAGGTGACGATATAATCGCTCTAGCTGGACAGAGCGCAGACGGGTCGGGAAAAACCGGACAGCCTTGGCGTACGGGGCATCCGTCGATGCGAAGATGTGAAGGTTGGGCTGCATTTTACCAAGGTAGAAAGGTAAATTGCCGAGTTTCTGCAACTGTCTTGATTCTTGACACAGACAGAAGTGGATGGGGAGATGTGCGGCTCGTAGGTCTTGGGAGATAAAAAGGTGCAGTGTATACGAAGTAAACAACGTAGGTAGCAGGCATCAGATTTGGTGTTCAGCTCCGCCTAGTGTAAGCTCAGCTGGGTTAGCTTAAAGTACATCTGTTCGAATACACCGTCTGTAACTGGTCGAACTCGGTATCGAATTCCTTGGAGAGGCATACACATGCACACTAGAGCGTTGACTGTGCACCTGGGCAGACAGGGGCTCTGCAGTATACCGTACTTACCTAGGCAGGTATAGCCACCTAGGATTAGTCAGCCCGCGCGTAACGAATGGCGACTTAAGGGTGGAATCACGGGTATCCGTTCCAGTCTACGAAATATCTTTCCCAGACTATCCACCTGCGCTTCGAATGCGTCTGATACACACATACATATATACGCCCATGTCTTCCTGTAGTCGGTGCATCCCACCGCCTCCATTCCCCAATCTCCTCCTGCCCCTCGCGTCCGCGCCCATAGCCGCCGCAATAACTGCAGAATCCGTCGAAGCCGGCAGGAGTCGCAGGGTGCTTCAACCATATGGTATGGCTCGACCATGTTTCTTCCGCTCCCAGCGCGTTCTAGGCTTCACGGCGGCTCCCTTGCCAGACAGATAGGCGACCGACTGCGACAATCAGCTGTGCTTTTGGCCGTGTTGGCCTTGCTTCGGCCATCGAGTAGTGGCCATGCGCCGTGTGCCATGGTGCCAATACTAGGTGCCCAGGTGTGCCATTGCATTGCCGTGTCACCCTGATTCACTCCCATTATTCACTCCCCCCGCTCCCTCTTTCACGCTCTTCTTCACCTCACATTCGCAGGCCAGGTCCCGTGTCGTGCCTTCTTCTGCTCCACCACTCCTCCCCCGCCCTCACCAGCAATCCCCTCCGCCGGTCACTGCGGTCGCTGCGGTCACTGGACGGTTCCCTGTGCCGCCCGCCGCTTACTCAACTGGAGTGAACAAAGTCCCTCCTTCCCCGCCATCCACCCTGAAACCCTCCCACATTCAACCTACAATGTCACAGCTGAAGCGAACCAAGTGAACACGCCAACTGAAGCCGCAACGCACCCAAGAGCAGCCGCCCCCTCCGCCTCCGGTTGCGCCCTCCCTCTCGCCGGTGAACTCTCTCCCTCTCTCTACTCTCCCTCTCTTTCACGATTTTGTATTTATTTGCTTCAACCATCTCTCCGACTTTATTCCACCTGTATCAAGCTACTTTCTGCATACCCATTCCTTCCTTTTACTCCTTCATTTCAGCTCTGGGCAACCCCCCTCCACCTCCACTGCATGTCAAACGCTATACATGGCCGATCAGGTTCGACACCGCCGGACCCAACCTTCTAGCCCGGGAACAGAGAGGGAGCCGCAGTCGGAGCAAACGCATGGCACCCCTTCACGTGCCGCCGGGGTCGCGCCGCCTGCGAATGCTCTTTGGTTGACGACGGCGGGGCAACCTGCTCTACCACAGACCTTCTTCACAATCCCTCCTCACTTGGACCATCGGAACCCAACCCCTCTCTACTATCTCCAACCCTCACAAAGTCCCACTACTTCCGGAACGGCACAGTCGTATACTGGCTCCACTGCGCCTCCCATCCTCCTCCCGCCTGGAGCTTTCCGTCCGTTCTTTGGCCCTCCGGCACATCTACAGTATCCACCAGAGCATCCGCAACTCTCATACCACTACCGCAGTATCGACCATCCGCCGCCTTTTGGCCCATCGCCTGCGCCGCCAGCAGGAGCCACTGTTGTGCCCTCTCCATATCAGCCGCCTCATCCCCAGCATCATCCACATCATATGCCGCCGCAAAACCTGGCCCCAGCGTGGTCTTCCGCTTACCGAACGAGTGAGAATGGACAGCTCGCTCCCACTGTAGCTCACCAGGTCACTGGAACGGGCCCTTCCCTTCCACCTCTAGCCTATGCATACAGTCTATCGTCTCCGCCACCTCAGCCGGCATTTCCACTAGCACATATTGGTGCGCAGACTCGGAGTTCACATTTGGAGGTAGCACGAGATCCTCGCCTACAGAATGCGACCGAAGCTGAGATCCGGTCGGACATACGACCTCACGCTGGCACATCCATGGAGGGGTGCAACAGAAGCGCAGCAACCAATTCCCGAAATGTGAGAGTGGCAGCTCGGCCTTCCCGACGGCAAGAATACTCTCACCCGGTCCCACCGCCGAGTGGCGTCCAGTGGCCGTCCTCTGCGAACCGATTCCACTCGGCTGAGACCGCCGCCTTCGCTTTGAATATGCCAACTCCTTCGACTCCGACCACATCAAACCGCCGAAGCTATGAACGATTTCAGGAAAATGGTTCAGGACAGCCCTCTCATGAATATCTGGTCGAAGTTGCCGCCATCGAGGAGCGTAGACGAAGGCTCGAAGCAGAGCGTATTCTGCATGCCGACCAAGTCGCAGCTGCGCAAATCGCTCAGCACATGCAAGCCCACGAGGTGCGGATACAACAATTACGGCAATTACAGCAGCAACACCAGCAGCGCAGGCGCCGCATACCACACCGTAACACACCGACCAATGAGCAGCTGCAAGCACTGGTTGCAACACTAAGAGCCAATTGCTTGCTACACCCTCACCTTCCCACCGAAGACAATACATGCGGCATTTGCACCAAAGAATACGCCGGCGAAAAGTGCGACGCGTCCGAGGATCGCGAAAATGCAATCCTAGTACCATGCCCTGCGAAGCATGTATTTGGAGAATGGTGCATCATGACATGGATCAGGACATGCCTCGACCAAAAGAATGTCATCGCGTGTCCAACATGCCGTAAGGCGCTTATCGCACCGCGCGAGAAGCCCGCACGCGCGCCAACTTCTCGACAGAGGCATCGTATGTTTGCGGCCACAATGAGGGAGAACATGCGTACCGTCGCCGCTGAACAACAACGCGAGCCTCTGACCAGAAACCAAGGGGGCCCCGGGGGACCTTATATGGGCGAGTTTGTTGTTAACCCCAGTGACCCCACCACATTCCCCCTGGCACTGCCAACGACTCCGGTGACACTTCCCCGGGAACACGTTCACGCCGCTCTGGCGGGGGAATCAGGCGAGGGGGAACCGGAGGCTGGCGAGGACGAAGAGGACGACGAGGAGGACGAAGAGGGGGACGAGGACAGTCTCGACGAACGGGCGTATTCGCAGAACGATGACACGGAATTGGAGGATTAGAGACCTTGATCCCACGGTAACCTCGCCTCCCTCAGACTCTCTGATGGAGAGGCGTAAAGCCCCGGAGACTCTGGAGGGGGTGGTGATGAGTTTTCGTCGATGATACCGGCTGGCCTAAGTGCCTTTTCCTTGGTCAGCTTGCTTGGACATAGTTTGGAACTGGCGCATGGAACACAAGAGAACCTGATATCGAACCGTCGCCACCTGGCCGTTGACCGTTGGAAAGGCGGTTTGCGAAGATTGTGGTGGTAGCTCTGGAGGGGGGCCCATGCATCTCAATCATTACATTATGGTCTATCCGGGGGAGATGGCTCAGTGTTCGTTTCAGGCGTCTAGAGAGGCGGCTTGGAACCATAACGAGGATTTATCCTATGTTGCTCACAGGGCTCGTTGATAGGCCCATGCGTGATTGTCAATACAATAATACCATCCCATGCACCCGGAACTGACAAGATCTTGGCCAACTCGAGTATACTACAGTACCATCGCTTCTTGTGAAGGTTTCTTCTGGGTGTGTTGAGCAGGTGCATTGTCCAGCAGTTACCAAGTGCTCGAACCTCTACCAGTATACTATTGTGAGATGTGTTGCGACGGCCAGATCTGATCGGAGTGGGACCCCTGTCAGATGAGGTCATGGTTTCGCGCTAATTATAGACCGGAACCTTGGCGTGCCCCTGTGCCTGGGAAGGAACCCGGATGGTCGCTCTGGCGTCGAGGGGCAGGCCTTGGCACGCCCCCCCATGTTTACAGCTGAAAGACATCAACAACATCCCTCGTTCGCAATTCTTCTCGAGTCTGTCTCCCACGCCCTCCGTTCAGTACACTCGCAAGATCCTGACACACCAGACGGATTGAGATCGACGTCCGTTCTGTTCGCCCTATCCGCATATCACGACCGAATCAAACATAGCCGGACCTGTACCAATCACCTGCAGGACTGACGTGGACCGTAACAACCACACTCTGAGCTCCCTCTTTCAAAGCCATCATGGATGCCCGCCCTGGGGCCTTCCAGCTACCCATCCCCCCTCCCCCGCTGCACACACGTACCGCCGACATGGCGCGTCCCGCAACACCTCGGCAAGATGCTTTCGTGAGCCCACAGCAGACCCCGCAAGGTAGTCCGAGCAAGCACCACCAGCCGCCTGGCGCATTTGACTTGCCACATGTCTTCGAGAATGCTATGCGGCTGCTGCCCACCATTGGTTCACCTACCAAGTCCAAGCCCGGCACTCCAACCTCACCGAACAAGACGAACATCTTTGGTGGTGATGGGGATCTCGCAGGGCATGAGGTAGCCGGTAGCCCCACACGGAAGTCCAACAAAGAGAACACGCCGCCGGGACTGCGCCCAGGCTTAGGAAAAGAAACATCATTTGTCACTCACGCTGCCCAGTCTCGCCAGGAGCCGTACCGCACGCGGGAACTCGAGTCACAGTCATCGCGTTACTACCACGGTCCTCACCGCCTTTCTGCTGAAGAGCTAGAGAAAGCACGGAAGCCATCAGTCAAGCGCCTTGCTAATGTTACCCAGCTATGTATGCATTCCGAAACGCACTTTAAAACAATCAGCTGACCTTGCAGACTTTCTGGATTATTATTATGATTTGCTCACCTACGTCCATACGCGTCAGAACCGGTTGAGCCAATTCAAAGCACAAAACCCGCCACCACCCGCGACTCCCGAAGCAGAGTATAATGAAGCGCTCAATCAATATCTAGGGCGCGAACGAGCCAACCTGAGGAAGCGGAGGACTAGATTGCGTCATGGCGATTTCCAGATACTCACACAAGTTGGCCAAGGAGGGTATGGCCAGGTCTTTTTAGCCCAGAAGAAGGATACCCGAGAAGTGTGCGCCTTGAAGGTCATGAGCAAGAAGTTGCTCTTCAAATTGGACGAGGTGCGCCATGTCCTGACCGAGCGGGACATCTTGACGACCGCGAAGAGCGAATGGTTAGTCCGCCTTCTCTATGCCTTCCAGGACGAGAAGAGCATCTTCCTCGCAATGGTAAGCTATCTGCCTCGATGCCGATTCACAGTTTGCTGACTTCGACAGGAATACGTGCCCGGTGGCGATTTCCGCACCTTGCTCAACAACACGGGTGTCTTGCATAACCGCCATGCGCGCTTCTACATTGCGGAGATGTTCTCATGTGTCGATGCTCTCCACCAACTTGGCTATATCCACAGAGATCTCAAACCGGAGAACTTCCTCATCGACAGCACCGGACATGTGAAGCTGACAGATTTTGGCCTGGCAGCGGGTATGCTCGCTCCGGCCAAGATCGAGTCGATGCGGATCAAGCTCCAATCCGTCGGCGATGTCGTCGCACTAGGAAGACCCGTCGAGGAGCGGACCGCTGCCGAACGCAGGGAGAACTACCGCTCCTTGCGAGAACGAGACGTCAACTACGCAAAGTCCATAGTCGGCAGCCCGGACTACATGGCTCCCGAAGTGCTCAAGGGCGAGGAGTACGATTTCACCGTCGACTACTGGAGTCTGGGATGCATGCTCTTTGAAGCTCTGGCAGGTTATCCACCCTTCGCCGGCGCTACCGTGGACGAGACCTGGCAGAATCTGAAGCAGTGGAAGAAGGTGCTACGCAAACCTGTATACGAGGACCCTTCCTATTTCCTTTCGAAGCGCACCTGGGATCTCATTACTCGACTCGTTGCATCGAAGTCTAGCCGCTTCCGCGGTATCCAGGAGATCCACTCACATCAGTATTTCGCTGAGGTTGATTGGGACCGTTTGAGAGAGCAGAAAGCACCCTTCGTTCCCGAGCTGGACTCTGAGACCGATGCCGGATATTTCGACGACTTTGGCAACGAGGCCGATATGGCAAAGTACAAAGAGGTGCATGAGAAACAAGCGGCGCTTGAGGCTATGGCTGAGAGGGATGAGAAGATGGGAAAGAGTTTGTTTGTCGGTTGTAAGTGCATCCAGGTCCTCTTACAGCATCCGATCGTGTTTGCTAATCTGAGAATCGCAGTCACGTTCCGGCACAAGAAGACGACGGATGAGGCAGGGAAGCCGGCGAGTCCAAGAAAGCCGCTTCCCGTCGTAGATGAGAACTTTGGGACGATCTTTTAGGTTTTGCTTCTTTTCTGGCCGTTCTTTGGCTTCGGACTTGTTTTACTGGTATCTTTATCTTAGGAGGGGCGCGATGCTGGGTGTTGCGGCCCCTTCTTCTTTCCTCTTAAGCGGATTTCAACGCGGTGGTGCTTGTTTGTCAGGGGGAATGGAGGGATTCGGGAAGGTGAGGCAATGGCGTGGAGGGTTCAAAGGGCGTTCTGGGCAGGTGGATTGCGGTCGCTATTCACCCTGCTTTTCATGAGAAGACGTCGTCTATGGGCAATACGCGTTTGATGGGGCGTGAAGAGGATTGCAGGCCGTGAGGTGGCATTGTGGCATTGTGGCATTGATGTGTCAATGAGGTACACGCATGTCATGGTTAGGAAGGGAATAGATAGCGAGGTATGCTGGGATTAATGAATGAGATGCGTGGTTATGCATTGCTTCCCGGGGGACCTGTGGCATCGGAGATGGACTAGTTGGTTGTGATAGACTGTGTTGCCTGCGCGTGATGAACTGTGTCGCTTGCGCTTGTACATTTATCGTTTAAAAGGGTCTAAGGAGTGCGTGTCTGAGTAAACATGGGAGGGTGAAGGGGGTGGATGGGTATAGAAGCGCATGTCGACTCTGAGAGAGGGCTCAAGCAGAAGGGACATGTAATATGGCGAATAGTGACTCGTGTAGGAGACACATGCACGAATTACAGCCACGCACTAGCAAATGGAAAGGGAGCAAAAGTAAAGAGAATGAAGACTCGGTGAGGAATGGAGGGAGGAGATAGTATGTAGAGAAACTTGATATGATATGCGGACATTCGCACCCTTTGGAGTCTTGCGAGGAAAACTTATCATCAATGGATTATTTGTACGCGGTGAAAGACCACGCAACCTCATACGGTTAGTGGAAGCTTGGGCCAACTCATGTGTAACCTTAGTCTACCTTCTTTTCAGCTACTAGACTAACATCCATGGATTAACCCTGACTCGCAGTTCCATTCCTGGTACAAAATGCCTATACTGCCACGAGGAGTAACCGAGTACTCGCATCCACAACAACGATCATCCATTACGCCAAATCACTTCTGTATTGACATTCATCGCCCGCAGGTGATACCTGCTGTTGAGCATCATAGCCATCAGCTCTTTCATTGCCCACAAAATGGCCGCTATCACGAGCGCCATAGGCCGGTCAGGCCGTCGCTATGTTGTCGAAAAGATCCTCCAAGAATCACGCGGACCATATGGACCTGTATACCTTGCGTCGTAAGAACTACATCCCGGGAATCTAATTCCACTGCTGACATCATGGCCCCCAGTGCCGACAACAAACGGTATGTCTTGAAAGACGTAGGGTCGCAGGCTTTCAAGCATCTCGACCACATGTATAATGATTTTCGCGCCTCAACATATGTCCGCGTTGCAGAGGATGCGATTCCCGATCATACCATGTTTGCGTTTCGGTACTTCAAAGATCATCTCCTCAGCTTCGCTGGGAAGGCTGTGCCTGAATCGCAGGTCAAGCGGATCTTGCGCGATTCGCTGCGTGGGCTGGCGGCCATGCACGAGAAGCGCTTCGTGCATGGAGACGTTAAGCCTAACAACATCGTCATCGACTATGACGGTGAAGGAGGAGAGGGAGGCAAATGCACTGTTACCCAAGTCCAGTTAGCCGACATTGAAGACGCTGCATATGTGCCTGAAGGTAAAGCGATTGAAGGATGGACAGCGGGAAATTGGATGTGGCGTAGTCCAGAGGCGCATGCGGCACGGAAGCTCTGCGAAGAGAGCGACATGTTTTCGTTCGGGCTCGTGGTAAGTCTACGATAGGGCCTAGCCGCTTTGCTTTTGGGGACGGGCTAATATGGCTCAGTGCATCTATGCCATGACAAGGCGCATCCTCATGGCAGTCGACGACAAGGAGCTCTTCGTAACGCACGAAGGTCAAAAGGTCGAGATTGAAAAGCTGGCGGTGGTGATCGAGCGGCAAATGTCGTACTTTGCTCCGGATTTGGACAGCATCGAAGGATTCATGGCTTATTTGGGAGGAGACCATCCTTGGGCGCCAATCTTCACAGTGACGGTCGAAGGATTCGGCAAAGACAACCCGAGGAAGCCGTTGACTCTCTGGACCGGGATCGAGGAGGACTTCAGAGATCTGCTCGCGAAACTAACCGATTTGAACCCCTTGAACCGGATTGGATCCAAGGAGGCGCTGGAGCATCCATGGTGGAAGGATGTTCCAGATGACTGAAGGATCTCGACTGAGCTCAACGATGGCATGTGAAGGCGTATGTGGCTGGACAGCTTGTAAGGCGCAATGGACGTGGCTGTAAATGTATGATACCCATTCCCTACTCAATATTCTCAGAAAAAAGGCGTACAAGAAGACTCTTCGGCAAAATGAGCGGTACCAACGCTGCATCACCGGTTTGGTGTGCGTCTGGCACGAAATGGCCAGTGGCATGTCACTTGCAGAAGCGTTCAATATATTTTCCACTCTCCATGTTTTGCAAAAGTCCATGAAAGGAGACTGCATACAAAGCTTGCATTACCTTCCAGCTGCATTGACCCCGTTCTTGGATATTCATTGGGGCTTAGCAGTCCACACTGCCGCCAACATGCCATACCAACTGTGCCTTCATACACCCAATCTGAACCTGCAGATGTGAGTCAAAACATACTGGCTCCAGGATTTTGTCTCATGATCTGTTTTTAAATTCCTTCTAGACGTCGCACTCGAGCATTGCCGTCGCACCGCCTCACTCTCGACTAATATAGCATACCGCGTGCCATGCAGGCACTCTTTGCCGTACGGGTGTCTGTGCATCCGAGGCCCAAGTTCCGGGACCGTGGGAAGCCTTAGTATGTTTTATTCCTTACTCCTACTGCATTAGAAAGTGTGCACTTTGCGTCGGAAGTCCAGAAATTCGACTGATGCTACCCTCTCACCGTAAGAGTTGACCTGGGATGAACTCCGCCAAGGGTGCCACCAGTTCTCATAATTGTGCCAAATCACACAGACACATTGAAAATAAATCTCCCAAAACATCACATGTTAACGATCTTCCACACGCACTGCTATTCCACAACTGCCACGTCATCACGTGACCCATCCTTCACCCATCCCAACTCGACATGTTTCCCTTCCTCACCATCAGAAACACCTCTGTTTCAAACATTTTGTTTCGCCTACACGCGCGACAACACCTTTATGCCTTGTTCCTCACCTGTCTGAGCGTCCGCCTCCCCGGCCACTGCCATCCACTCGTTTTCGTGGCGGAGCGCGGTTTCGCAGGAACAACGGGCGCTAACCTTGCTGCTTACTTAGATGGGCGACCTGGGGACAAAGATAGATCGTGAGCAGCTATTCTTATGAAATGGTGTCTGCAATGCCATTTGTGGGTTGTTGGTGGATTGATTCCAAGATTGTCTGTTCGATTTTGGTTTTTTTTTCCTTCGTCCTTTTTTCTCGTCGCTGGTGCAGGTCGGACGCCGAGCGTTGAAGAGCCGCACCGCATTTTCGGCACTTGTTTCGTTTTTTGTCTATTGCATCTTTTTCTGCTTTGTTGAGACGCTTTGATTTTTGATGAGCAGGGGAGACTGGACTTGACTTCTTCCGCACTTATCCCGCCTTTCTTTGCATTCTGAGCGCTACTATTCCTGTTTGATACCCAAGGGACGCGACCACCAACCGAACAGCCACAAATCGGTGTCAGGTTAACAAATCGCGACCGTCAAGTCTTTTAAGAAGACTATTTCCGCCCTCTAAACAATAGAGTCCGGCTTGCTTTACTAAGAACCCCGCAAACCCACCGCACTGTCGAGAATCCGACAACACTCGACGTGGCTCCAACCATTTAGCGATAATCTCCTCCCCCATCACACTTTCAACCCTCCCCAACTACACACCATTACCACGTCCCAAACCCCCACCGGGCCATCTCCAAAACACCTCAGCAAATCCATCCATCATGCCCGTCCCCTCAACCTGCACCTTCACAACCCCGATCCCAACCCCCCCAACCACCCTCCCCTCCTGCGCCCTCCCCCTGGGCCACTCCAACACCACCCTCCTCGATACCTGCTGCAACGGCCACATCAACCCGGTAACGACGTACGCCGCCCCGGGCGCACCAGATGCGTGCTACCAGTTCTGCACGACCGAGGATGTCCGGGGCGTTATGGCGTGTCTGGGCGCGCCGGAGAATTTGGGGGAGAGTGGGGAGGGAACGGCGACGGAGAGGTGGAGGTGTTTTAATGTTGTGGAGAGGGAGGTGAAGAAGGAGGGGGTGTATGGGAGTGGGGCTGGAAGGGTGAATGAGAGGGGATTGGGGGTAGGGGGTGTGGTGGTTGTGCTGTTGGGCGTGCTGGGCGTTGTGATGGGAGTGTGACAGCCTTTCTTTCTCTTTTTGGTGTCCGAGGGGATATTTTGTCGCTTTTCTTTTTTCTTTTGTTTTTCTATTGGGTGGTATGATGCATGATTGGGCGTATGGTCCTCGTTTTCTATCGCTTGGAGGCAGATCTTGAGCACCGGTGCTTCGACTTCCTTTTCTTCTCGTCTGCGAGGGCTACTGGATTGGCGACTGCACACACTTCTTGAGGTTGATATTATTCACGGGCTGGGATGCTTGCATATACTATTTCTCAGTGTCCCCATCATTATACATTCCCACTCTTCAGTCAAGTCGCCTTCTTCTATACCCTACACAGCTTCCCAAACTGGGTGGTAACACCCTGCTCTCCATCCTCAACCACCCAAGCATCACTCCCCACTCCCGTCGTAACATAAAACAACCCCGTAGGATCATACTTCTTCTTAATCTGCGCCAACCGCGGATACTGCTCCCCATAGAAATCCTCCTTCCAATTGGGCTCATCAACAGCCGCCTCGTTCAAGTAACTTCCACCCCCCTCCGACGCCGGCGTAATCTTCCGCCACGGGTCAAGAATCACCTTGTGCAGATTATCATTCGCAGCCCGAACCTCCGCCGCCGTAGCATTGGGCAGGAAAGTAGGCGAGGCAGTGATGAAGAAGGCCTGCGCGGCACGCCAGGCGGACGAAACGCTATTGTCGACATTCTGCTTGTTCCCAGGGCTCTGGTGATAGACGCCAAAGTGGCGTCCACTCTCAACATGGGTGCGGAGCGTCTGCCAGGTCGTTTCCAGCTTCTTCGGATCGGTCCAGTGAGATTTGGGAATGAGACGGTTGCCGGGTAGCGAAGTGGCGGTTCCGAGGGGGAAGGCGCTCTTGCCCCAGGCGTCCCAGTAGGCGGGGAAGAAGGACGGGTAATAATTGGTCTTCTGTGGGACTTGGAAGGGGATGCCCAATTCTTGGATCGTTTGCATCCACGAGGAAGTTAGGTTCTGGAAGGCCTCCTTGGTGTAGCCCGGGGCGAAGAAAGCTTTCATGTCGAGCGTAAGTTGGCCATCGCGGTTGAAAATGAAGAAGAAGGAGTAGGTTCCTGCGTCGGTGTACGTGGGGAAAAGCTCCCAGTACTTGCGCACACCCTTGAAGAAGTTCTCGCGCGAGACGATTTGCTTCCCATCGGTGCTGTTACCTAGAACAAACGTCGATAGTGTAGCATCAGTGTTCGGGTGAGCCTTTACAATGACAGAAGTCACAATGCCGTAAGTCCCAGGCCCACCGCCGCGGAGCGCCCAAAAGAGGTCAGGGTACGAGGTTTCCGACGCCGTGACAAATTGGCCTGAGGCGAGAACCACCTGAAAGGCGAGGACGGAGTCGGCGGCCATGCCGTAGAGACCTGATAAGGGGTTATGTCCTCCGCCTTGAAGGTATCCGCCCGCAAACCCGACGCTCTCGCAGATGCCGCCCTGAACCGTGGTGTTTTGGGCTTCAGCTGCAACGTAGATCTCCTGGACGGTCACTCCAGCCCCGACTTTGAAGGCTTTGCCGGTGTAGCTCTTGGATTTGTAATTGGGAAGGTATTCAATCTTTTTGAGGTTATGCGTCCAGATTGAGAGGGAACCGGCACCGGTGGATTTTCCAAGGTAGTCGTGGCCCGTGTTTTTCACAACGAGACGAATGTTGGTTGCTCGTGCAAAGTTTACCGCTAGCTGAATCTGAGCTACGTTGGTGACGTTGACAGCGTATGCTGGGTACCCGCCAATGGAACACTTGTCCGCTGGCGTTGTGTCGTTGCGAGCCATGCAGGTTCGGCCTTGGAATAGGGGCCACATTATCGAGGTTGGATGATCCTCACTGTCTGCGTTAGTATAGGGATATTGGATGTAGAAGAAGAGTTTATGCAACCTACTGTGTCGCTGCCTTGGTAAACCTGCTCACAATGTCGTTGCACTTCGCAGGGTCCTTGCGTCCCCATTGCGAGTCGTAGCAAGGTGCAGAAATGGGCACTGTGGGAATCAAACTGCCTCCCAAAAGCAGATTGAAGACATCCCAAATCCAGTCTGCTGGCCAGCGTGCGTCTCCTGGATACGTCTTGCACCGAGCGGAACCCCGCTTCTGTACCGTTCCTTCTGTGCCGAAGGCAAAAAGATCTGCAATTTCCGCAGTCGTCTTATCCTTCTCCAGGCGCTCCACCACGGCTTCGGTCAATTGAATTCGTTCGCCCTCCAGCAACGGAGCTCCAGCTGCCGAGTCTTCAGGAACAATCGTCGCGGCTGGTTCTAACGATGAGACGCTGGATGATTGCCCATATGCAATGGAGACAAGCGAAGTTAAGGCCGTGGCGAGAAGGCAAGACTTAGAGAGCACCATCTTGTCGCACAGTTGGAGCCGCCGTGCCCTTGAGGAGCAGAGCTGTTGGGACGGCGTCCATATTTATCTGTAGGCTATTCCCTGCGCTAGTCTGCGCATTGCCAGTGGAAATGGCTGTTCAATTACTCGCGCAAGGCTGCACATGCGGTCTAGAGAGCAGTGCTTCTCCCTCGAAACACACACGGCAGTTGGAGAGGGTTGTTGAGGGGAACTATACTGGATATGGAACTGGGCCGTCCCAAGTCGACGTATCGCCGCGCGGTAATAAAGGACCCTGATTCACTTCGCCTCTCTCAGGATATGACCGCGTTAAGGGCGGGTGTGTGCGAATATGGCGCTTCATTTGCAGAAGCAACATGGGCCAAGGGGAAACTATCAGACCATCAGCAGGCGGCAGCGTGAAAAGCGGAAGGATCGGTCTTCCAGGAGTTGTTGGTGAAAAGAACAGTGTCGGAATGTTCGTACCGAGACTCTGGAGTCTGAAGACGCGGAACCGAGTGAGGAGACCTCTGCTGACGGTACTTCATAACAGGAATGGTGAGCGAACACAGAACATTCCCATGGAGACGGATCGGATTGTTGATGATATATTTGGAGACGCTGTCTCCCCAGATATCAGCATTTCGCAATAGAAATGCAGACTGTGTCCCGTCGTCTTCTCTGATCTTCCCAAGGAACCTTTTACTCTGCGCTTTAGACACTTAGTTTGTTCTATAGTTACGAATATAGATGGTTTCGCGTGTCTTATTCCTGTCCCAAAAGGGGGCTGACCCGTACCATATGGAATTTCTCAACATGCCTTCAGAGCACTCAGTCACCAATAATGTTGTTTGGAGGCAAAACGAAAGACTCACACAACGTTCGATTTCCCAAATACTGATTGATGAACGTGCCTCCAGCCAACACCCAAAGTCCTCGCCTGAGGCGATTCCTAGCAATTTCTAATGTTGGATGTAACCTTGGAAATGAGTCGTGAGAAACTAGCAGGGGACGGGCGGTACGGCCCATAAGACTGGAGGGACTGGGGGCCGCCAAGTCCGTAGGATTTGCGGGCGGCAGGGGAGCTCGCGAGAAGTTGTTGCTTTTTATGCCCTCATTGTTGATGGTCTTGAGCACGGAGTACTTGCTAATGTTATGGAGTTCTCGAGGATGATTGCCGGATGCGGTAGCGACGAGGGGAATGGTCCATTCATTGATTCAAGCTTGTGTCTCTAAGGACCTAGAAAAACCCAGTCCCACCATCTAACTGCGGCTACTCGTATTTTTCTCGGTACTGTGGTACATAAGCCAACGCCCAAGGAACCGCTTCGCATGAATGAAATAGACAGGAGCTCAGAACTCCCAAGCAAAGCCCAGCCTCGCGTCAGGAATAAAGTTTCGCCCAACCCCGTTCACTGTAACATGACACTGGCTAGGGAAATTGCTCCAAGAACCGACATCCGCATCAACCCGTCGCAACGCATGGAAGCTCCGGTCCAATCATGCTCCTGCATGATTTGCTAATAGCATCCCTCTGGGGAAAACTGACGGTCCCACATTCCGTATACTTTTGCAATTGCGTGGTTCCCCAGCCGAAATAGCCACTAAGGGCCGTCGGATGGGCCGTGAAGGAATGACGGGGAAGGTCGATTGCTTCCCCGACCTTCTGCTTGTCGCTGACGGCTTGCCATCCATGCGTTTCCTAAACACATTGTTCACTTGCGTCCATGTGGAGGATCACATCACAGCTGTGACGGACATGGGATGTTGGCGCAGATTTTGCATCGTTGATGAAGAAGAGGGCTGCGTGCCCGACTGATGTGCTTTTGTACGGAGTACTTCCTTTCCAACCTCCTCTATGTGAGGTTTGACGAGTAACGGCACTGATGAATGATGGCGTCGTCGGGTTTGCAGCCTGTTAATCTGTTTATGACATTGTTCCCTTTTATCTTGTCGACTTTGATCGTCGGTTTTCGAATCTGGAGACGGATAGTTGAACGCAAGTATGCGATAGGTACGCCAGTTTCACGCCGCACGCGCTTGGGGTCCCAGCTAACGCCAGAATAGAAGATACGCTTATCGTGATTGCTCAAATACTGCTTCTCGGGTTGACGATAGCGACATGGATCTGTCAGTGTTGCTTGACCATTCCCAAGCCATACCCCCCTAACCAAGTCGCAGTCATCAAGAAGTCCTATACCGGATATCATCCTGAAGATATTCCCAAAGGCGCCATCAACCCTTTGGAAACTTCAAAAGTGCGTTGCCCACCAATCGTCCATCCACCCAGCAAATGCCAGCATCAAAACGCTAACCAAAGACACCAGTGGCGCTACGTCAACGCCGTCATGTACAACCCCATTCTCGCCCTCATAAAAATGTCCTTCCTCCTCACCCTCATCAAGCTCGGACACCCCGGCCGCGCCATCCGCATTTCACTCTGGTTCCTCTTCGCGGTCAACGTCGCATTCCTCTTCGCAGGCACCCTCATCGCAATGCTGTCCTGCATCCCCATTCCCAGATTCTGGGACAAAAGAATTCCAGGCTACTGCGTCAACACGAAGAAATACATCTACTCGACCATCGCCGTCACCATCACCACCGACGTCCTCGTCACCCTGATGCCAGCGTGGATCCTGTCCGGCCTGCACATGTCGCGCAAGCAAAAGGTCATGATCATAGCCTTCATGTCCCTGGGCCTCATCGTCGCGGCCATAGCGTCCTACCGCCTCGCATACTTTGTCCGGATCTTCAGACTCAATGATCCCCTGCACCAGGAGTCGCCGTACAATGTGCGCACGCCGCTGTCCAACATCGAGGGAAACCTAGCGGCCATAGCGGCGTGCGGTCCGACGCTGAAGTGGATCTTGTCGCGTTTCTTCCCGTTCTTTGGCTCGAGCCAGCACGTCTACAGGAGTTCGCAGGGCTACACGCGGAATGGGTCGAGCAAGACGAGCGCGTTGCCGTATTCGAAGCGAGATCGAAATCGAGATCGACACGGGAGGTCCAAGTTGGAGGACGACGTGGACGCCACTGTTCACGATCTTGACGATGGAGGCGAGAGGAATCGTGAGGGTGCATTGGAGTTGAGGGATCCGGTCGGTTGGAAGGGGACTCGCTATAGTGTAGACGCGGACGCGCAGAGCGATGAGCAGCGGATCGTCAGGAGCGGGGAGAGTGACGGCATTGTTCGGACGGTGGAGTGGCAGGTCAAGGCGAAGGAGGTGTCGCCTGCGAAGCCGCGATTTATTTACTGACGGTCTTCTGCCGTCTCTGGAGTGGCACTTGCTTGAGGGTCTGAGCTACTAGATGGTTTAGAGGGACTTAGAGATCATTGGAAGCAGTCTCGACGCATAAGTTTACTTCCAGTACAGTCTCAGGGCTGGATAGCGGCATGCTTGATGATACTTGGTTCGGTCAAGTCAGTGGCTGCTGTTCACCCTCTGGAGTCAATTTTGAATCTGAGCCTTCTGCTGGCCGGATACAGTATTATTCTTTAAGTATAAAGTTAGTGAGCCCAGACCCAGCACAGTTCAGCAGCTCGCACGACTTGTGCAGTGCGATGTTGACGCGTCTGCGCAAATCCCACACTGCAATCGAGGCTTTTCATTGACCATACCTGGATACTCATTCTGCTCGAATAAGGCGTTCTCAACAGCCCAAGATAGCTCCCCGCCACTTCCGTACTTGCATCCCGCGCGCTTAATGACGCCTTCAATTCAGTCCCTTACAACCCATTAAAACACAGTAAACAACGAACTGCGCCCCCTCCTACTCGAACATGGATGACGCAATCCGAATAAGTGACGAGCAGTTCCGCTCCATCTACGAGAGAAGCTTTAAAAGATGGGCCCGGCTGTATTCACATGTCACCAAAGACTCCCCGCCTCCCGCCTATTGCCTCTTCACCAAGGACGCGTTTTCTCAACACCCCTTCTTCCCACGCAACCTAAGCCTGAAGCATGACAACGGCCAGGTTTTCGCCAGCGGCTTATCCGTTTGGGGATCCACGGGAGCAACTTGCAATCACAGGTTGCCGACATTTCGGCAACCGGTACGGATCGGTGTCACTCGAAAGGACCCGGTTTCACTCTCGATATCAGAGACGGCTCAGCGCGAATCCAGCTACCCACCATGGTTCGCTCGCGACGAGAATTACCTCGCTGTTCTCATATTGGCGTGGGCATATATTCTATCAGCTCGCTGGACAGAGATCATTCCTGAGCCCTGCTCTCTAAGGTACACCGACTGCCAAGCGACATACCAGGACGCTACAACTAGTCATCTTCAGAATGCGATCAACATAGACATCGGTAACGTGGATCCAGAAGAGACTCGATGGTGGGCAGCCGTTTTAGCACCGGGCCAGGGTTGGCAAGCAACCATGGCCTTGGAGCAGGACTCATTCTCGTCACCATGGTCAATCCGTCTCCAGTCCGGGCCGCAGTTTTGTTTATCGCGAGTGATGAATGCGTCACCTTCGCCGCATATGACCCCGTCATTCTCGGAAGCCTGCAGCTATCTGAACAGATTTTGCGAATATCATAATATCATCGACCAGAGCCATGCTGCACTGGCCGCCGTCCTTCTGCTTCCATCCATGGGCGGCCACCAGACACTGCAACTGCCAGCTCCCCGGGTCAACAGCCGGAAGCAATCACCGACCTTCCATTTACTTGCTATGATGGCCAATTGCATCATGACTGGATACACCAAGGCCATCACCTCGACAAACTTCTCACCTTGAGCTGCAACACCACAGGCATACGTCCTATGTTGCTCGGCATCTTCTACAAGCCCAGTGTAGAATGCAACGCCGTTACACCATGGCTCCAAGGAGCTTTAGCTGCTATTAACCATTTGGCCGGCAACGATCTATACGTTCTTGGGCGCATGTGTATGGAACGCGCACCCGAAGTTGCGTACCTCTGGCTTGGCTGCACGATCCTTGGCCTGCAGAAGAAACTCTTACAAGATGTTCGGTTTGGATTAATACCGACGGACCTTCATGCAGCTGTTTGGTCGGGAACGGTCCAGTCGTTCATACAGCAACCTGTATCACACCCTCTCGTGGTACATGGACATGTAGCGCGCGCGGATGAGTGTCGGCTTCTCTTTCTCTCTCAGAAAAACCAGCACGCTCGCGTTCCGGTCTGTCAGTGGAAACCATTCGGCGCGACCCCCCTTGAAGATGTCGACGTCGAAGTACGGGTCCATGCCGAGTGTGAAGCCCATGGGCTTCAATATCAGGGTTTCTTCTGGGACTGCACCAACGATGAGTTGGAATTCCAGTCGTTGGATGAGGAGGAGGCAGTTGCCCACATCCCTCGAAGTCGCTCGCCCGCACAAGAGATCGGCGGTGCGGGACAAGTTCCCGTCTTTTACGAAGCGTTGGATCGCAGGAAAGAGGTCATCTCCGAAAACGCAACGCGGAGTATCCTTGGCTGGCTGCGCTTTGACGGGCATGCGTGGCACGAAAGGGAGATATGGAAGCACGAGTGGTTCGATATGTACGACTCGGATGAAGAAGACGTGGGCTGGAATGAAGTCTGTTCTAACGATGGTCCTAAGCCTCCATCGCGTGTAAAATCATGGATATCCGGTTTAAACTCGTCAATAAGTGCGGACTCGGACACAACTTTATGAAGCCTGGTCGACCCAAAATCCTGTATACCCGGTCTGTTAAGAACCGGGAACTACCAGCTCGTTGCACCAAATGAGCCCGAGCTACTAGCCCCTACTCAGAAGCCAAAAAGGTTGACGTCCTCCTCGTAACCCCAGTCTTTCAATGCAGGCAACGAGGCTTTCTTAATCATTGCAGGCGGCCCACAAACGAACACTCCTGCGCTTTCTCCCGGCTCGAAGAGGTTCTCACGAATAATTTGCGCGTTGATATGGCCCCTCAATCCCTTCCAATCCTCTGCAGCGTGGCTGAGGACATGGCACACCTTCAGCTGCCCGTTGCTCTTCTTCTCGAATTGGTCTAGCTCGTCTTTCAACAAGATATCCGCCTCTGTCTTATTCGCATCTACGACGTTGATCCGTGTTGTGTCCTTCTCGGAAAGTAGAATACGGGCAATGAGGGAATAACCAGGTGTGATGCCGGTTCCTCCCAGGACGAGGGATACCTTGTCAAAGTGGTAGGGCTTGTCGGAGATGCTAAAGCTGCCATTGCCGTTATATACGATTCCACCACTTGGGCCTCGGATTTCGACTTCTTCACCGATTGGCATACAGTCGAGGATATTCGACATTGCACCACCGGGTTCCAAGTCGCTGGGGAAGTAAGTCTTTATTGTGAGGTCGAAGGTGCCTGTTCCATCACAGACCTCGCTGTCGCGCCCATGTTGGCCATGGTGCTTCCCATTCGTCATAGCGGGGAGAACGGGCCTGGTGGGCGTGTACTGTCGGATCAGCATGCGATCGCGGAGATGAAAACCGAGTTGAATATGTTGGCATGTTCCAAGACCGAGCTCCGGCGTGTTAGCCGGGAGCTCGAAAGTGTAAGTACGTGTGTCGTCGGAAATGGCCTTACGTTCGACGAGTCTGATGGGAACCCAGCGATGTTGTTGAAGGGCGATATTGTCCGAGCCTTCTGTCGATTTCGCTCTATCTTTCGCGGCGGCTTCGGCGGTCTTTTTGATGAATTTCTTCGCTTTGTCGGTGACTTCACCCAGAACACATTCTGTGGAATACGTCAGCGGGATACCACATGCAGAGTTCGGGTGACAGACCATTGAGTTTCTGGTACGCGTAGTCGTCATGGATACTTGAATACTCATCGGTGGTTTCTTGGTGCACCTTTCCAGCATGGTCCATGATGGCCGATTTTCCGCCAGGGTGCCACGACAGCACGCTCGTCGCATCATACACCTTTCCATCCACGACGATCCAGCAGTCATCCTCTTTATCATGCTTCTCAATCTCTTCGCGTGTGAATTGCTTGCTTGGTGCGCCGGTGTCCTGCTTTGCACTCGCGATTCGTCTCTCTACGCTAGGCTTCATCCATCCGCCCTCGCCCGTTCCTGGTTCAACAGGATGCCTGAAGAGCATGGATGGGACATCTGAATCCGGTGAGTGTACGATATCGCTTTTCACGGTGTACCGGCAATTGTTCATCATCCCCATTATGTTCCAAACCGGTTTCTGAGGCTGCGTGTTCTTGAAGACGTTGAAGCAGCGTACCGTGATGCTCCTGGACTGCAGCAGATGCGTGATACTGACGTCGACATGCCAATGGAGCCAGGTCCAGAACTTGCTCCCATGCCGTATCGGCGCCTTTGGAAATTTCCGGATGCAATACAGCCATGTCTCACCCTCATCAAGCGACACTTCCACGAGCTGCACTTGGTGCCCACCTCCGTCGTAGGCGTATCCTTCGATTCGATACGTGTGGCCTTTGCGCGCTCGGGTCAAAGGGATTCCTTCGCCATGTGCGGGCTTTGTGATGACGGAATTCAGGTTTTGTTCGTTGCACTTAGTATCCGGGTGTGTGAAGAGAGCGTGAGCGAACTCTCCGTCCTTCTCGGTCACGAAGCTGGGGAGAACACGATTGTCCCAGATATGGTAGTGCGAGTCATTTTCCTTCTCGCTGATCCAGATTCGTTTGAGCCATTTCACACAACGCCCTCCGACATATCCGGGGATCATCAAGCGCACAGGATACCCGTGATCTGGAGGCAGCGGCACATTGTTCATTTCGTAGGCAAGCATGACGTCGTTTGTTGGATCCATGGCATAGTCGAACGGAATACTGGTGGCGTATTTGCCTTCGCTGAGCTCGTCGGCACCTTCGAAGTGAACCCAGTAGCGTTTGGCTTCTGGCATTGGGTGTTCCACGCCAGCCGCCATCAACACATCGCGAACGAGTGGGCCTTTCCAGTACGCGCAACTGACAGCTCCAGCACCCCAGTTGAAACCTTTGGTACGCTTGATCATGTTCAGCTCCTTGCGGCGGTTGCCGTCGCATGCCAAAGCTATCGGAATATTGATGGGACCGAACTTGTTCTTGAGATCGTCCATTGACAGTACGAGCTTTCCAGCCTCAACATCTAGCCGGTGGAATTCCCACAGCAGCCTCGGAACGGCGCCGTGATTTCGCACATAGTGCAGCTCATTGGGAGTGATAAGCCCTGCGTCGTAGAGATGCGAAAGGTGCGCTTCAGCATTGAGAGGGTGCTTTCCAGTCAACCGTATCAGGTCCGGGCATCGCGGCAACCAGTTATCTGGGGTGAACTGATCAGCTTCGTCGATGGACAAGGCGGTGCGATTCCTTGTTTGTGGACTCTTGCCCTTTCCGTCATTCTGCTCGAGTTGCTCGATGTAGCTCTTCTCATGCCGGATGGACTGCAGTAAGGCGATCTCCTGGGGAGTATACCGCTCCCGCAACTTGTCGTATTCCGACATGTTTCGCTCGGACTCATCGGTGGGGCGGCCCGACTCCTGTCCGCCAACTGAATAAGCATCGTGATGCTTGCTTCCTTCGCCGTTACCCCGTCTCCAGAGCTCCTCATCCTGAGCAGCCCCCTTCTCTCTTTCCGCTCGTTTCTTCTCTTCTTCTTCCTTTTTCTCTTTCTCCACATTCATGGGCCAACGTTGCTTATTCCTCACCCAATCTTCTGTATAATCCACCACGTACCTCCATCCCAACGGCCGATTCCCCGGATGTATCAAATGGAGATCTGGTTCTTCTTCTATAATGTTGCGCCAGTTCACAAGCCTGCCGCTAGCTGCCTCCTCTTTTAAGCGCTCGTACTTTTCTCGGGCTTCCTTGGTGAAGTCGTCTTCCTCGCGCGCCTCGATGGGGTGCGTAAGGCCAGGCCTACGATTGTCCCGGTTCAGATACCCAACACGTTGTTCGTGCGCCACCTCCCAATCCGGCTCTTGCTCGATCTCTTCGCGAGTCGACCCGGGATGGTCCACGATCCGAACGCGCCATGGGACTTGCGGCATGGTGCGTCCAAGTGAAGTCTCGCTACCCTTGCCGTGTAACGTCGTAATCTTCTCCCGAACCGCGCTCTTGGAAAGGGGGTAACCGAGACTTTATGGACCGCTATAACGGCGATACTTCCATGAAATAGTAACTCTAACTTTCCCGTCAGAATGATGTTGTTGCGCTGCAGCAGCTACCCTGGAGTAATAAAGCAAATGCGGGGTCAATGACGACTACCCTAAGGTCTGCGTTCCTGGCTTCCCATTGTATCTCCGCGGCAACATGCTTCCGTTGTAGGCCTATGAAAGGGAGAGCTTCCAATGGCGATCTCAAGGTTCACAATGTTACTCGGTCAATAGCGGGGCTTCTTGCGGAGCTTACTTCAATGTTAGCCAGTCGTCAACACTGCTAGTATTAATAACCAAGATCTTGTATATAGGCACAGACCATATATATTATATAGTGACCTTCATTCGGACCTAACAACAGTTGGAACAATTCTCCTGCAATGCATCACGGAGTTGCGCAAAAACGCAACCATGCCACGTTCTTAAATGCGAGGAAAGATTCTGGGCATGGTCAAATCATAAGTTGGGGAGCCGGCCTTGTCGGTTGTCTCGGCAAAAAGGACCAAGACTTTTCAGCAACAGTGAGGGAGAGACGTTCTTATTGTGGTAGCAACTGGGGAAATGCGGAAGGTTGTTGATGTGGGAAACAGGTTGGGCAACTTGGGAAGGCTGGGGGTACAAGGTCAGTGATTGGATGGAGCGATGATGATAGCGTACATACTTGTAGTATAGGGTAGTCCCAGTTATTTGCTTTGCTCTCCAGCTGTGCATAGGTAGAGAGTCAGAGGAAAGCAGAAAACCAGATCAGACTGACCCAATCGCCTTTTATTATTATCTTCCCTGCTCCCAGGCCCAATCTTCTGGATGAATGCATTAGCAGTACCTAGGACGGTCGACCAGTCCCAGCTCAGGACCTACGGAACGCACCTCGCACCTTGCCCACGGCCTCGGAACTCAGTGCTCCCATGGTCCCAGGTTGCCGCAGCCCCGAGAAGCTTCAGGCCCAACGAGCTGTTTCCGGGGTAAAACATCTGGGGTTCACGTGGGCGGCGGTTCAGACCTGGGCATTTCGGCAGCGCTTGGCTCGTCCGGGCCTAGGAATAGTACTGTAATTAAATGGATCCTATGGATCCAATCGGCAGACTGCAACCGTGGAAACTGTATATTACTAATACACTGCCCCTCACTACCTAGGTAGCGATGCCCCTCACCCCTCATGGGGGTGCCGTGCCCCTCCTCTCCAGATTAAACTCGTTAGATGGGGTACAGTAGGAAGTACGGGGGAACGGGAGACGGCTAGTCGGTGTGTGTATTGTATAGAAGCTGGAGATGGGGATGGGGAATGGTCCGGGATACCGTTGTAGAAGATAATTGCTGGGAATCTATTAGCTAGTGACGTTGTGAGCTTCGCAGCTTGCTCACCCAGCTCCAGCACCGAACAAGGCCTTCTCCCTCCGTCTTTTCCACCGCTAAGGCATCCAGTAAATGATGACCGACGAGACGATTCAATCCTCCTCATTGTTATTTGACGATGGGAGGGCTCCTAACCGGCGGGCGCGGCGGCAGTGACTGGCTGGTTGGGCTGGCCGGACCAAGGGGAGCTATTCAGCTTCTGGAGCAACATGAGCCCCGCCAAGAGACAATTAAGGTAGAGCAACAGGAGCAGTTGGTGGCACAGCGCCGGCCGACAAAGGGAAAAGACGCCGTCGGGGCCCCTTCGTCATTGTAGGTCATCGAGAGGCCAGTGAGAGGCCATGGGGCGCCATCGAAGCCCTCTGCTCCCCGCAGTTGCAGTCGCTCGCAAGGGGTTGGATTGAAGCTTTGAAGGCGACGAGAGCTCGCTGCTCTGGCTAATCATCTGGCAGCTTCCTGTGGTCCATCGTCATTTACATAAGTACTATGTATATAGCGGCACTGAGCCTGCAGTGCCCGGCCTCCAGCGTTCCATCTTCTTTTGCTTTTGCCCATTATTGAGCACGACTTCGACAGCACTCTACTGTTGCAGCTGCTCCCCATCAGCCTCTCTCCCCGTCGCCAGACTGCTGTTCGAGACAAGAGCACACCATCCGCGCTTCTCCCTCCATCCAGTCTAGTGAGTACCTAGGTAGTGTGTGGCCCTGTCCCGCCCCAGCGCCGACCGAGCCCTTTACCCGGAATTGAGACACATATATTCCTCCCCCTCCTAGACTACCTGCGCGCTCAGCCGAAGGACCCTCCTCCAAAGAAGCTTCCTTTTGTCCTCTCGACTCGTCTCCTCTCCTCTCGCCTGACTTGACTGACAGTTAGTTCTCGCCTTTGCAGTTCACAGAGCTCGTTCCGACCTCGCCGAAGCAGGTTCCCTCCACCGTCACCCTCCATTGTCGTACCCTCTCAGCACCTGCAAAGGTCTCATCTTTCCTCCCCTCGCACGCTCCAATTTTCCCGCACCACGGCAAACCGAACCCAGACATTCCCTGGCGGCAGCAGCATGTCTGAGGGAAACGTCCAGCCGACGTCGCACGCCGTCGTGCAGGAGGCGCAAGAGGTCGACACTTACCACGTCCCCAAGGCCTTCTTCGAGTGAGTTTGCATCCTCTTCCCTTTTCACCTTCTGGGTTGCATCCTTACTGTATGGGGTCGGGCTGGGCAATGACAGCGGCGGCGCCTGCAGCTGTCCCGCTTGAGACTGGCGCGGGGTAAGGCGGCTTGCCAAGCACAGCCATTTCACCCTCATTGCACCCCCGACACGGACAACAAACATTATTGTCATGACTTCTCAAAGTACCGAGAGACTCGAGAGATGATGGCTAATCCGTCCCCCACAGCAAGCACCCGCATGAGAAGCCCCATATCAATGGCCTCGACGAGTACAAGAAGATGTACAAGGAGTCCGTCGAGGAGCCCGACAAGTTCTGGGGCAATCTCGCCCGCGACCTCCTCACCTGGGAGCGCGATTTCCAGACGGTGCACTCCGGCAGCTTCGAGAATGGCGACAATGCTTGGTTCCTCGAGGGCAGGCTGAACGCCTCGTACAACTGCGTCGATCGCCATGCCTTCAAGAACCCCGACAAGCCCGCCATCATCTACGAGGCCGACGACGAGGGCGACGGCCGCATCATCACGTACGGCGAGTTGCTGCGCCAGGTGTGCAAGGTCGCCTTCACTCTCAAGCAGATGGGCGTCAAGAAGGGAGACACAGTCGCCGTCTACCTGCCCATGATCCCCGAAGCCATCGTCACCCTTCTCGCCTGTACACGTATCGGCGCCGTCCACTCGGTCGTCTTCGCCGGCTTCTCCTCCGACTCCCTGCGCGACCGCATCATTGACGCCGAGTCCAGGATCGTCGTTACCACGGACGAGGGCAAGCGCGGTGGAAAGGTCATTGGCACCAAGAAGATTGTCGACGAGGCCCTGAAGCAGTGCCCCAACGTCACTCACTGCCTTGTCTTCAAGCGCACCAACGCCGATGTCCCATGGACCAAGGGCAGGGATTACTGGTGGCACGAGGAGGTCGAAAAGTACCCCAACTACATTCCCCCGGAGCCCATGAACTCGGAGGACCCGCTCTTCCTGCTCTACACGTCCGGTTCGACTGGCAAGCCCAAGGGCGTCATGCACACGACTGGTGGTTATCTTCTGGGTGCCGCCGCGACCGGAAAGTACGTATTCGACATCCACGACAAGGACATCTTCTTCTGCGGTGGTGACGTGGGATGGATCACTGGCCACACCTACGTCGTCTACGCTCCGCTCCTGCTCGGTGTTGCTACCGTCGTCTTCGAGGGCACCCCCGCCCACCCCAACTTCTCGCGCTACTGGGACATCGTCGAGAGGTATCAAGTCACCCAGTTCTACGTTGCGCCCACTGCGCTGCGTCTGCTGAAGCGTGCGGGTGACCACCACGTCAAGCACCAGATGAAGAGCCTGCGTATCCTGGGCTCCGTGGGTGAGCCCATTGCCGCCGAGGTCTGGAAGTGGTACTTTGAGGTGGTCGGAAAGGAGGAGGCACACGTTGTGGATGTAAGCCGCGAGACATTGAACCTGATGAGGTCGGGCGCTAACGGGTATCATAGACATACTGGCAGACCGAGACTGGCTCTCACGTCATTACACCCCTTGGTGGTGTTACCCCCACGAAGCCTGGATCTGCCTCTCTCCCCTTCTTCGGCATCGAGCCCGCCATCATCGATCCCGTCTCCGGCAAGGAGATCCACGGCAACGATGTCGAGGGCGTGCTTGCCTTTAAGAAGCCGTGGCCCAGCATGGCCCGCACAGTGTGGGGAGCGCACAAGCGCTACATGGAGACGTACCTGACCGTGTACCCGGGCTACTACGTGAGTACAAACAGACGGCGCACACAGAGGCTGGATGCTGACGCCATGACCAGTTCACCGGCGATGGTGCCGGACGTGACCACGAAGGCTACTACTGGATCCGTGGACGTGTCGACGACGTTGTCAACGTTTCTGGACACCGGTTGTCGACTGCGGAGATTGAGGCGGCGCTGATTGAGCATGGTAAGGCAGCCACCCTGTTGAATTTTGGAGATAAAGCACAGCCATACTGATGATGGTGCACAGCTGCTGTGGCTGAAGCCGCCGTGGTGGGTATCCATGACGAACTGACTGGCCAAGCCGTCAACGCCTTTGTTGCCATCAAGGACGGCAACGACCCCACGGACCAGCTCAAGAAGGACCTGATTCTGCAGGTGCGCAAGTCGATTGGACCTTTTGCGGCACCCAAGGCCGTCTTTATCGTTCCCGATCTGCCCAAGACGCGGTCTGGGAAGATTATGCGCCGCATTCTGCGCAAGATTCTGGCTGGCGAGGAGGACCAGCTGGGCGACACGTCGACGGTAAGCATCCCAAGCGTTGCGATTATAAATGCTCCAATTTTTTTTTTCCGCCCGTTTGCCACTCTTCCACGGTGTGGGGAAGTGTAGAGGTGCATGATGACGCGTACAAGACAGCTAACGGTCTGACAGCTCTCGGATCCATCGGTTGTCGGCAAGATCATCGACACGGTGCACCGGGCGAAGAAATAGAGGTCGGTGGACTGAGGGACGAAGGGGAAAAGGAGACGGGGGACGACAAATGATGAATGATTTTATTCGAGTGCAGATGTCATGTTGACGATAGGAAGGGTTGAAGACCCTATATATGTACGTATAACGAAGCAAAGCGATGTAGCGGATGGTAGCCGGAACGGCGGGGAGAGTGGTTCGAGCGATGGCGAGCAGGAACAAATCCTTTCTGTTGTGCGATGCAGTTGTAGTTGTCTACTATGTAGGCTATGGGTCGCTATGTACTCTGTGCTCCGTATGTCCATTGTATCCATTATATCCATCATATCCATCCAAATGCGCCCGCCTACTTTTTTATACTGTTTCTGTCGTCCAATGCGAATCCGTCTCCAAGGCCCAAGGCCCCGCAGTGGGAACCGTTCGGATGAGAGACAAAGAAGGAGGCGGGCAGCGTTTTTTGGACGGGCGCAGCACTTGACTTGTCTCAGCAAGCCCTTTCATGAGCCGTTGCTGGCACACGGCCCGTTTGAGATGGGTTGGAGTGGAGCTCACTGCTGCGCCCTGAGTGGCTGGCTGGAGTGGCTGCCGGTCCGCGTTGAGCCAAGAAAAGAAGTTGGCCGGGGCCTACGCAACGCTCCACCTGGGCAAGTCCGATTACGACGACCCATCCCAACTCGTCCCCATCGCATTCGCTCCGCCATACCCCGTAGTCTTGTCCTTCCTTGTCGTACCCTCTCTCTCCATCCTCTACACATCGCCCTCTCGCTGCGCAATCTTCCCGGTTTTCCCACGATTCCAGGATCTCTTCCCATGTCGCTCGCTGCGCCCACCGCTACATAATCCTCTCTCCCCCACTGCTTGTTCCGCCCCGAACGACTCCTCGACGGAGCGTTCGCCATCTTCCAATCATTACTGCGCAGTAATATGTTGATAATACAACGGGCCGTCTCGGTCATCCTAACAGCCACCGTCGTCGCCCTACTCTCCTCCCTCGCCAGCGCCGCTTCCACCGCCCGAAATCCCCTCCGCTCCGTATCCCTCATCCGAAACCCTTCCATCCTAACCCCGACCAGCCGTGTCACTGCCGTCTCAACATTCGACCTCACCTTCGACGTCTCAGGCACCAGGTACCGCCTCAGCTTGGAGCCCAACCACGATGTCTTTGTCCAAGGCGCAAAGATCTCGTACGTCGATGCCGCCGGCCACATCACGAGAGAGGAGCCCATCGACCGGCTAAAACACAAGGTCTACAAAGGCACCGCGTGGGTGCGCCGCGCCAACCGCTGGGACAATGTGGGATGGGCCCGCGTATCGGTCCGACGGGACGGCGCGAAGCCACTATTCGAAGGCGCCTTCACCGTCAACCATGACCATCATCATGTTCATTTGGCGAGCAACTATAAGAAGACGAGGGATGAGCGGGATCCCGACGTGGACTTGAAGGATGACGAGTTTATGCTTTTGTTTCGGGACTCGGATATGCAGTCTGATGCAGAGAATATGGAACTTAGGAAGAGAGAGGAGGGTGAAAGAGTTGGGTGTGCGAGCGATTCGTTGGGGTTCAATATGGATCTGGACCATCCGGTTTATGCGAGCATGAGACGGAGAGATGATTCTGCTACTACTCCCAACCGCTTCTTCTCCCCCCTCTCCTCCCTCCTCGGAAAGCGCCAGCTCGACGGCGATCCCCCCGGCGGCGGCAACGGCGCTGGCGTCAACCTCGCCTTGACCATTGGCAGCACGGCGGGCTGTCCGCAGACCAGGAAAGTGGCGCTCGTGGGCGTGGCTGCGGATTGCAATTATCGAGCCGCGTTTGACAATACCGACGCAGCCCGGGATAACATCATCCAGCAGATGAACTCGGCATCCAACCTCTTTGAGAGTACCTTCAATATTTCGCTGGGCCTGGCGAATCTGGTCGTCACGGAACCCCAGTGTCCGACTACGGTGCAGCAGGCGACGCCGTGGAATCAGGCTTGTGGAGGGGACGTGGATATCCAGAAACGGTTGAATCTGTTTTCGCAGTGGAGGGGGCAGCAGAGTGATAGTTTCTCGCACTGGACGCTGCTCAGCACGTGCGCTACCCAGTCTGCGGTTGGGTTGGCGTGGCTGGGCCAGGCGTGTAAGTCGGGGTCTCAACCAAATGGAAATCCGGGAGAGGCCGTCGCCGGAGCAAATGTTGTGGTGAGGACCTCAACGGAGTGGCAGGTCATTGCGTGAGTGAACCCATCTTCGATGCTCTTCGAAGTTGCATGCTAATTCCAACATCTCCAGTCACGAAACAGGACACACCTTCGGCGCCGTGCACGACTGCACGGCCTCGGCCTGCCGCAACTCCGATCTGGTCAACGCACAGCAATGCTGCCCCCTCAGCCGCTCCACTTGCGACGCCGGCGAAGGCTTCATCATGAACCCCTCCACCGCCCAAGGCATCACGCGCTTCTCCGCCTGCTCCATCGGCAACATCTGCTCCGCCCTGGGCCGCAACAGCGTCTCCTCCGCCTGCCTCACCAACAACCGCGGCGTCATCACCGTCACCGGTCAAACGTGCGGCAACGGCATCGTCGAGGAGGGCGAAGAGTGCGACTGCGGCGGCCCCGAGGGCTGCGGCAACAACCGATGCTGCGACCCCAAGACGTGCAAGTTCCGCGACAACGCCGTCTGCGACGACTCCAACGAAGACTGCTGCCGAAACTGCCAATTCGCTTCATCGTCGACCGTCTGCCGGCCGAGCAGCTCCGCGTGCGACCCCGAGGAGAGGTGCACAGGCAGCAGTCCCTACTGCCCCGAAGACAAGACCACGCCCGACGGCACGGATTGCGGCAATGGGCTCAGGTGCGCGAGCGGCCAGTGTACGTCGAGGGATCAGCAGTGCAAGACAGTCATGGGCAGTCTTACGCAGGGCAACGATACGTATGCGTGCGACAGCAGCAATTGCATGCTCAGCTGCGCGAGTCCCGAGTTTGGGCGCGGCGTGTGTTATGGGATGCAGCAGAACTTTTTGGACGGGACCGAGTGTGGGGCTGGGGGGAAGTGCCAGAATGTAAGTGCTGAAATGATGAAATTTCCCGCTTTTGGACCCGGAAACAAATCCCTTCCCCGTCTTTGTTTCGCTCTTCCCATCCTCGATATATCAGGTTTCTTTGGCCAGGTGGAGGATATAGACATGATGAATGAATGGTTCACTAATTCCTTCTCTACAGGGCCGCTGCGCGGGCTCTTCCGTCACAAACGAGATCTCGTCGTGGATTGACCGCCACAAGACGGTAGTCATTGCCGTCGGGTCCGCCATTGGCGGCGTCCTCGTCTTGTCCATCCTCGGCTGCTGCGTAAAGAGTTATCGCCGTAGACGCAGGTCAAAGGCGTATGCGGCGAATTACCGCAGTGGTGGTGGTGGTGGACGACGAGGTGCTGCAGCGCCTAGAGGACCTCCAGAAGTGGGCGCGAGGGGGAGAGGAAGGGGGAATGGAGGAGGAGGAGGAGGAGCAGGAGGAGGAGGAGGAGCAGGAGGAGGAGGAGGGGGGACGAATGTACCCATGCCGCCGCCGCCCATGTACCAGCGGCGGGAGAGCGTGCGATACGCGTAAGGGGAGTGCGGGTTTGGGCCATCTGTTGTTCATATCTGGGGGTTGCATTGCATTGGTTTAAGGATATTTGGTTTTTGCTTCCTTCGTTTTCCTCTTTTATCATTTTTGGCGGCGTTTTGCTCTGGCAGAGGGAGAGGGAGAGGGGGAAAATCCGGCTTGGGCTTCGCTTTTTGGGATAGAAGCGGGCGAAAGCACGCAGCATTCGCTACGAACGTATGACTTGGGTGGGTGGGGAGCGAGGGAGGCTGGCGCTGGCGTTTCCGTCGTTTAGTTCCAAGGTTGTTGTTTTGTTGTAGATAGGTAGATGGATAGAGGAGATGGGTGCAGTTGGGTGCAGTTAGAGGGAGCGAGTGAGTTTAGTTGGATAGATACTCTACTGAACACCACGGCACAAGCACAGAGAGATGTATGTGTGAATGTACATGCAAGTGAAAAACTTCCCCACCACTTCCACGTGTGTTCTCTGTCTGCCGCACCGCTTCCATGTGTGTTCTCTGTCTGCCTTTTTTTCGTGTCTCCCTCACTGAGTGAGCCCCCCACGATTGATGAGCCGAATCTGCCCTTGAACAAGAAAGGAAAACGAGAGGCGAGAAATCAACTCATCACGTACGTACGTATGTACAAGGAAGGTGTGTCGTTCGGCATCTAGAAAATAGATTAGAGACGTTTTTTACATGCATGTCTATGATAATGCCATGGGATGATGTGCTGGGATGGGATGGGATGTCAAAAGGGACGCGGGAAAAGGGAGGAACAAGGGTTTGATCACAATCATGTTGACCGAATTACTCCGTACTGCGCAGTGAATAGTCAAGAAATAGTATTAATGCAGTGTGCTATTAAATAACACTACTGGTGCGATTAGTAAATAGGTCCATGATACCTAGAACCCGGCATCCTCCCTGATTCCTTCCCAACGCCCTTCGTGAGCGTGCTGGGGCGCATCAAGTGATCCTCGTCCCAAACGCCTTGAATCCCGGATGCCCGGTGAGATAAATAGCCGATCCCTCCATTGCATACTCCAGTCCGAATCCTTCATCAGTTAATAAGCCCTCAGTTGCCTCGTCGGCGACGGCGTCCCCTCGCGCTCATCCCTATCCACATCTGTCCCCTCCACCTCATCATCATCCGTGCCCTCGACCTTCCCTTCAGCAGCCCCTCCATCGCCACTCGTATTCCCCTCCTCTTCTCTCTTCAAGACCGGGGAGATCAACGGCTCGCTCGCACCCTCACTATTCTCCCTCACCTTCCTCGCCACACTCGCACTGATCTTCTCGTCCAGCAAACTGACCAACCGTTCCGAATACCGATCCAGCAACTTGACCATCACCTCCTCATCCACCCCGCTCTTCGCCCGCTCCCCGACCAACCGCGCCGTATGCGCCAATTCCCTCTCCACTTCCCTCGCAAGCTCGCTACTCAGATTGTCCGTGCAGTTGGCGAGACGCTTGCGATAGCCGCGAAGAGTACGGATCAGGGATTCAGTGGCCGAGTTGATGCTGCCGAATTCGTTGGTTGAAGGTTTGGGGCGGACGCGCACGTCGATCGAGGCGCGGCGTTTGCTCATGTCGGGATGGTGGCGGGGACTAGGTGGGGAAGGAGAGGGGTTTCTGTAGGTGCGGCGAGTGGCGGGTTGGATGGTCGTCGTTGACGCTGCAGATGCTGGCTTATCTTTGCTGGGCATCGGCGAGGGGTCTAGTTTTGGTGTCTGTTTTAGGGAGAACTTGGACACCCTCTTGCGGAGTTTGGGGGAACGGCTGCCGGTTGGAGTAGGAATAGTAGGACTCTGGTCCTCATCGGGAGAGCGCTGGAAGCGCGCGAGTTCAGATTGCGAGAGGACGCGCCGGAGAGGTGGTCTGCTTGCCAACAGTTCTGGATTCGTTGGCGTAGACGGCGACCCGAGATCAATCGACTTGGACGCATCTGGCCGGTGAGGGGATCGAAGCTCCAAGTTCCAGACAAAAATGGTACCGTCCACGGCAACTGTAACAACAGACCTCTGGCCATTGTCATCGTCCGCTACGAGACCATCTGAGCTGGTCAGAAGGGCCAAGTCCGTCACTCCTTCCGTGTGACCCCAGTCGCGAGTTACAAGAGTTCCAGCTTCGTCGTATATGCGTATCGACTTGTCAGTGCTGGATACTCCAGCGATCAACGGAGCAGCGAGGGGACGTCGAATATGCGCAAGTGATGATAAGACTACAGCATCACCCCCTTCGCCATCCGAGGCGCGGAAACTGCCCAAAGGCTGGCCATCTCTGAGATCGTATCGATGAACCTGCCGGTCGATGGTGGAGACGAGAAGGACATCGTCGAGGTCAGCATGCCAGGCTATGGAGACCGGAGTGGCTTTCAGCACCACTGTTCGCAGGATGAGAAACGCGCTCTCAGAATTGCCATCTGCGTCACGAGATACACGTCCACGAACGACCAATGTCCGATCCGAGGAGCACGATACCAATCGCGTCCCATCCCGGGAAAAGGTGACCCCGCTTACAGCACCTACGTGCTCGTCCAGCGTCTGCAGGAGGTCCCACTCATCATTCGACCTCCTGAATATCTGAACTGTCCTGTCTCGGGCGCAGCAGGCAACGTATGGTGGTTGTTCCGCCTCGAAGATTGCTACATCAGTGATCTCACTTGCATGAGCTTTGACGCTAATCTTGCTTTTGCGGGACGAGAAGTCAATAATCCTATGATGAAGATTAATCAGCGTGTACAGGCCACGGCCTCCAAGTGACTTACCTAAGAACACCATACCGGTCGCCTGTGACAAGGTAACTTCCGTCCGCAGAGGCTTTGACAATTCTGAGTTCGTTCCGCTCCGCTTCAGAAGGATCCAGCTGCTCAAGTTCCACCTCCAATGAGCCCTTGCAGAGGCCGTCTTGTCCCCAAAACAAAATCAAACCTTCCGCGGACCAGGTATAGTACGACGCATCCGGGACATTGGGTTTCACGAGTGCCGCCACCCCAAGCACAGAATCGCCATGGGCGGGGAGTTTCTGAACCACTTCGCCGATGACTCCTTCGTCGTCTGTGGAGCAAAGATGCGATAACCGGATGGTGCGCTGCGCATCGATGGTGACAAGGTGCTCAGTTAATGCAGCTATTGCCTGAATGTTGGTCGCGCTCGTCGAAAGCGTGATCGTTGGCGAGCGCACTCGAAAGGCGGGCGACGAGGGAGGCGTGCTTGCCTCTGTGATGTCCTTGACGTCCAATGACTTGAGGGCCCCGTTGCTGCCGGCGGCATGTAGTCGGCCCCTATCATCTATCGCCATAGCCGTGACCGCAAACCCTGCTTCGGCCACTTTGGAGAATCGCTGAGTCCCATCGGTATCATCGATCAGGCAGATATCGCCTCTATCGGATGCCACAATAGCTTTTGACGCAGACACAGCAACAACGCTTGTGAAAGTGGCTTCAAGCAACGATTCGAGCAGACAGTTCCTGCCCGGTAGAGTCTTGTGGGTGCTATTGGGTAGAAATGAGACGTCGCTTTGCCGGACTTTGACACTGCGAGTCGATGCAGGATTCTCTTCCACTCGCCAGACTTTGACATGTCTGGTACCGACGCTGGTCCTTGTCAGTTTCCGATAACGTGACACAACAAGCCCCGAGAGCGTGAACGCTTCAGCGACGAGGTCACTCACGTAACTAGGTTATTGCCCATCCACACCATTCGGTTCACAGTGCTGGTGCACTTGTTACTTGAGTGGAGAGTTGCAGCACCTGTTCGCGAATTTATACTCCATACATAAAGAAAGCCATCGTTCGCTGAACCCAGGCTCGCCAGATATTGCGAGTCGGGACTAAATGCAACGCATCGTACGCCGTAAGTGTGATCAGAAAGAGAAGATAAAGGGGTATCGGAAGGTGCATCAGAAACAGTCGAGAATATGAGGACGCGTGGCTTGTGGCCAGTCTACCAGAGTTAGTTCAGTGTCGTGCGCAGGTAGGGCGATGGGTAAGAACCTCTCCGACGGCAAGGAAACGCCCATCCGGGCTGAAGGAAACGCATGTAGCTGCTTTGACCCGCTCTCTGGCTGACCAGGTTTTGCTTCCGGGAGATTCGTTCCAGTCAGTGGCAGGCGACGGAAGGGGGGAAGCACCAAGACCAGCTTCACGTAAAGTGGTGGTCATTCGACTTCGACCCTCGTTTTGCGTAGGTGTGGAAGGTCCGCCGTATACAGATGTGGAGGGGTTTATCGGGTTCGCCGTAGGTCGAGCGCGGTAGAATCGCTGGGATACAATGCGTCCATTGTCAACATTGGCTACGACGGCAGCGGCGCCAGCGGTAAAGGCAAAGCAACGCCCTGGAGGTAAGCTGTCGAATGCATTGGCAGAGGTGGTGGTGCTGCCGATAACCTGTTTTAGTGAGAGAGTAGCTTCTGACCGGTTGAGTTTGACCGGGGATCGTAGCGGTGTGGTCTTGTGGTAGGGTGAAGTTGACGGAGTTAGCTTGATGCTCCCTCCCCAGGCCGGACTCATTATCCGCGGATTGGAGGGGGTGAGAGACATGGTGAGCACCAGTGGAGATGGAGAGAAAGCTGGTGAGCGGAGGCAAACATATCAACTCGTCGTCATGGCGGACGCGCCTGCTCGGGAGCTCGCGGTTGGTGCGGAGATGGAGGAATGTCGGGGGACGGGAAGGTGCGGTGCGGGCTCCAGACGGGTTCTATGCGCAATTGAGGCGCGAGAGCAGGCCAATTGTGAAGAAACTGGAGACTGGGAGCAGCAAAGAGGTGACAGACCAGAAGAGTGAAAGGCTCAGCCGTCGAGGGCGCGGCAGGTTTATGGGCGTCCATGATTGCTTTCAACAGAGTTCAGCAGCGATCGTCGCGCCGCAGTGGCTTGGGATCCTTGGATTGGCAGGGGCAGCTGAGTACTTTACTGGAGTGGGCTAGCCGCTCGGCTAAAGGATGTTCCGTTCCGCCTCCTACTTCATATCCCACCCTCCTCATGCAAACCGGCACCCACGACTTTCTGCTAACTTACAACTAAACTTGAACATGGCCCGGGCACAGTGCTGTTCGCGGCATCCGGGAGTACTCTGTAGAACATGGAGCCTCCGAGCCGCCTTTGCATACCGGTGCCATAACGCCAAGCTTGCCGACCCCCATATCAGGCTCATACACAGTAGATCTACGGCCTTTGTGATGTCTCCCTCAGCATACTATACTTCCGGGATCTAAGCTTTATGGCCTATCACGCTACCTAAGAACTCATCGGTGATGCTGATTCGGCATATTCCCGCTCCCTTTTTGTACTGTTTGATGTGAACAGCTTACATATTCAATACGGCAATGATTGACTGCATCTGCTTCGAGTCTTTCTGTAATCGTGGCATACCATTTGACCATTTCCGGGCTGGTCTCTATTATTATAGTCTGTTCGCGCTCCGCCATTTAGTCCTTGCTTCCGAGGACGTCGAGTTAAGGTTGGAGGAAGTCTAGCCGGAGTCTTGGCATAAACATCTGAACAGCCACATCCATGCACCGGCCAGGCAAAGGATCTCAGGCCCAACGAACCAGCAAACCACCGACCTCTTCGCCATTCTCCCGCGCTCCCCCCCACCTCCTCCTTTCGACCTGCATTCTACTCGCAAGCCACGCTTTGCGGGCTCGTCAGAGTGCTATGTATGTCGCCATACGACCGGCACTGCGGTCATCATCCAGAGCCCGACCTGCTCGCCTCATAAACGGCCGTCGCTATCCACAGACTACTCGAGTACAGTCATTCCATTCGACACGATTCCTTGCTCACACGCCGACGCCCACACCGACCCCCGATAATACCAACGTTGACGCCAGCAATGCGGACAAGAAGAGCCGTGAGAAGTCCAGCGTGGCGGACCATGTAGAAGCCCCGGAGACCATCGAGGACCCGGAGATCCTGGCGCAGAAGCTTCAGCGATCGAGGGAGCTGGCCCGACGGTACTCATCCGCTCTGCGCAGGTCGCAACGGCGGAATCGGGCGCATGGCCTGCCGCCCATCTATATCCCGGATTGGTTCCTAGAGGGAAGGGTCCGATTGCGCGAAGATGCGCATCCGCAGCGGGCGCTGGCGCGGCGGAGTGATTGCACGCTGGAGCTGAAGCATAAGGCTTCTGGGGAGAAAGCTTCGCTTTCAATTCCGGTCTCGACGCATGCGGCCGCTTTCAAGGCGATTTCCCAGATCATCAAGGCGCTATGGAGGCAAGGTCTGTCGAAGGAGCATAGGGAAATGTTGGCGCGCGACTTTGCACGCAGGATGGGACGAGAGGATGACGAAGAGTTCGTCAAGGCGCTGGAGAGGGGAGAGGAGCCAAGAGTAGGGCTATGGCAGGAGGCTGGAAGCGCCGCGCCTGAAGACACCTCCGGCGTGAGAGGGGAAGGAGATCTTGCGATGGAGCTGAAAATGAGGACGAAGTTATTGCAGGATGGCCGCCGGATATCACCCCTCTTACTCGCCGAGATACGAGCTACAATGGCTGCCTCCTTGTCCACAATTCAGCCTGCAACAACCCATTCCTTTCCTGCCGCTAAGACCAACCTAATCCTACACTCGCCCTCGAATGACTACGAAACGGTTCTCCATAGCACAGTCCAGCTTCTTGCCGCTGAGTTCGGTGCCGATGTTGTTACGCTCAACGCTCAGGATCTCGCACAGCTCGCAGGTGATTATCTTGGAGAGGGTCCAGAGCCATCCCCCGATTCGATACGCTCGCTGGGTTATGAAACCTACAAATATGGACCCAGTTTCGCCGACGAGATGGACTTATGGCCGAAAGAGGAAACAGTCGAGGAGGAACCGGAGCCTGCACTTGGGATAGGTCCAATCAAGTTCCATATCGTCTGGAAGGAAGACGGCAAGCGTCCGTCTCAACCGCTGAAGAGCCGGCAATCGGCCAGCACTGGCTTGGTGGAAGATAGTGCCGCGTCATCCTTCCAATCCTCTCGGGGTCAGTCGACGAGCGAGGTCCAGTTGGAAGATCTAAAGCTTTCAACTCTTCTTGAGGCTCTTGTTGACACAAACGAGCTCAAGAGAAGTCGGGGAATCACCGCTCCGGCGAAGCTGGCCTCTACTACCCGATCACGATCAACCGTGTCACCGGAGTCCAAGACTACGGAACAACCGCAGCTATTCGACTATTCCTTCGAGAGTGGCGCCTCTGAACTCGATTTCAGCACTGCACTGCCCGCCGACGTCAAAGATGCCCTTTCCCTGACTCTGAACAACACACCATCCTCCCGTCGACCAGCAGTTCCTAAGACCCCGAAGATCATTTACGTGAAAGATATCAAGGAGCTGAACGCTACGCAGTACGGCAGTCGAATCATGCAAAAGCTTGAAGAAATCGTACGCAAGCAACGAAACGCCGGGGAGAGCGTGATGCTTCTCGGTACCACGTGCTCCGAGGACCTCACTCCTGAAATCTCGCCGTCTGGTTTCCACCAACTCCAGTCCGAAGGCGGTGACGGTTTCTATCGCACCATTGTGGTGACGCCCGGAAGCGTCGAGGAAGACGCTAACGCAGAGCTCAAGGCCGTTGGGCGGGCCTTCCAGTTGGAAATGAGTCTCTCGACAGCCGAGAAGAAGAAATTCCGAGATATCAACCTGCGGCACATTCACGACATGCTTCGCTGTTTGGATCCGCAGGCCACTGCCAACCTCGCAGACTTGCAGCGCAATAGGGAAGGCCTACGTAGATTTAGCTCGACTTTCCCTCAGCAGTACTTCTGGAGCGTCCTGTCGTACGACTCGGTCCATCGTATCGCACTCACAGCGCTTGGCCTCCGCCTGTTGGATTCGAATGCCGAGCAGCTGAGTTGGGCACATGTAACGCTCGCCATGGGCCTACTGCAGGCAAGCGACCAGGTCAAATACAACTTTGCCAACTTCCACGCCAGCGACCGCGAACGTCAAGAGAAGGAGAGAGAGGCTCAGCATCGGGAGCACATGGACCGCTTGAAGGCCATGTTCGAAAAGCCCGCGCCGAAGAATGAAAAGGCCCAGACGAAGGACAAATCATCGTCCACGTCCTCATCATCGTCGCCCTCCAAACCGCAGAAGAAGAACTTGGCAGCCATCGAAAAGTCATTAAACCCCTACGAGAAGCGACTCCTCTCCGGCATCGTCGATGCCGATAACATAAACACCACCTTTGACAAGATCCACGTCCCCAAGGACACGGTCGACGCCATCCGCTCCATAACATCGATGTCGCTCCTCCGCCCCGACGCCTTTAACTACGGTGTCCTAGCCACGGAAAAGATCTCGGGAGCCCTCCTCTACGGTCCCCCGGGAACAGGAAAGACGCTTCTCGCCAAAGCCGTCGCCAAGGAATCCGGCTCCACTATGCTCGAGATCTCGGGCTCGCAAATCATGGACAAGTACGTCGGTGAAGGGGAGAAGAACGTGGCTGCGGCGTTCTCGCTGGCGAGGAGATTGTCGCCGTGTGTGCTGTTCCTGGACGAGGCGGATGCGATCTTCTGCACGAGGGATGCCGGGCACGAGAGGGGCGGGCACAGGGACGTGCTGAACCAGTTCCTGAAGGAGTGGGATGGGCTGCGGGATATGTCTGTTTTCGTCATGGTGGCGACGAACCGGCCGTTCGATATGGACGACGCCGTCATACGGCGGTTGCCGCGGCGGTTGCTCGTCGACCTGCCGAAACAGGAGGATCGCAAGGAGATATTGAATATCCATCTTCGGGGCGAGGAGGTGGCGCCCGAGGTCGACCTGGACGATTTGGCCAAGCGGACGCCGCTGTATAGCGGGAGCGATCTGAAGAATGTGGTTGTTTTCGCGGCGTTGGCGGCGGTGAGGGAGGAGAATGAAATTGCGGCTGTTGAGGCGACGAAGAGGATTGCCGAGTTGGCGAGGGAGGCGGGCGAGGCGACGGTCGAGGGAGAGGGCGAGATGGCGGAGGCGGCGGAGACGGCGGAGAGTGCGGCGGATTCGGGGGCTAGTCCCGCTGCCCCTGCTGCTGCTGCTACTACTTCCGGGACAGAGTCTGCATCAGCAACTTCGACGACGTCAACTCCAACGATATCAACGACTTCAACGGCATCAACGACATCCACGCACCCGCCGATCCTCACCGCCGCCCTGGCAAGCCACTACACGTTCCCCCCTCGGCGTATCCTGCAGAAGCGCCACTTCGACCGGGCGCTGCAGGAGGTCAGCGCCAGCATCTCCGAGAACATGCACAGCCTCAATGCCATCCGCAAGTTTGACGAGACGTACGGCGACCGCAGGGGCAGGAAGAAGAAGACCATGTACGGGTTTGGGGTGCACAGTGAGGATGAGGGGGGTGCTGTCGAGGAGGCTGCGAGGGTGAGGCGGTAGGGTGTAGGTAGGCGGTAGGGAAGGCTGGAGGGAGAGGGAGTCCCAGGCAGACGCTGTGGTTTACTGGTGGAATATTAGATGAGGAGGGGGAGGGGGAAGGGGGAGTAGATTTGGCATTTTGTATGGCAAGCAAGCAAGGGTCATGACGGGTATGCGTGCCCTCCGATAGTATGGTAGGTGGGTTGGGTCTCTGGAGCCCGGTGTTGTTGTATATCTTGTATCATAGATGGCCTTTTTCTTTCCATCTTATCCTCCCCTAGGTTCGGAAACTCGTCATCCGGTCGGGATTGGCAGCATGAAAAAACATGCAGATATATACTCTATAGCATATGTATGGGCGCGGAATGATTCGTTCATCTGCTTGTTTCTAATCACGCATTCGACACTGTGCCATCGCCAGGGACATGCATACCACATCAGGCAACCAAGTGGTGGCGGCTAGAAGAGCAACAGGGTGTCTGAGGTGAAGTAGTACCATGTATCATCATTAGTCCATCCATCCGGATTGCATAAGTGACTCCCCAGAGACTCTACCATATCGCTGCCCATACCCTCCCAATGCGAATATGCTCGCTAATCATGCAGTCACAACCCCACTTCGCCCAAACGCCACAAGACATAGCCATGCATAAAGACCCGCTCAGAGAAGCCAATGTCAATATCGATGCCAGCGCAAGCGGGCAACTCCTTATCGTCCTTCCTCACGTCCCTCGTCCCTCCCATTCTCCCCGTGATTCTCCCAACGTCCCCCTAATCACTCTTCAACATACTCTCCACCAAATCCCCCAGCGGCCCCCAAAAATCCCGACTGCCCCCACTCAACCCATGCTCATCGACAAAGAGCACATAATGCTTGAAGCTCGTATTCAGATGCGGTTCCAGGCCCAGCTCGATCACCACGGGGTAATGATGACAATAGATATGCGCATACACGCGATAGAGACGCTTGAACATATTCTTCAGCAGCGACGGGAAGGTTTTGGGGAAGGGGACGCCGATGCGAGACGGGAACATGGCTTCGTTGTCGATGTTGGATTGGACCCACGTCATGAGGTGCTCTATGTAGGCCGGGGCGGACATTTTGGTGGGCTTCTTGAAGTTTTCGTTATCTTGCCAGAGATATTCGAATCTGTGAGCGCCTCGTTAGATAGGAGGAACTGGGTTAGAGGAGGGGTCAGAGGGATGTACTCATCCGTGGCCTTCATTTCGGGGCATGTCTGCGGCGAGCAGAATTCTGTGATGGAGCCGTAGAGGAGGTTGATCTGGTTGTAGAAGTCGACGACTGGCCTCAATCGTCAGCATCATCTCCTCCGACATCACCAGAATGGGAGATGCATCCTCACCATTGACAGCCAACCACTCATCCCTATCCTCCCCCTCGGGCAACTTCACCGCCTTCCTCAGACTCCCACTTCCCAGCGTGGCCTCAGCATACTGTTTGAGCTGCCAACTACTCGTCCCGCGATTCGACTTCTGCGGCTTGAACGGTGCGCGCGTGCGCGGGTTTCTGTGCACAAAAGAAAGTAAGCTTGCGGTTCCAAAATATCCATTGTTGTGAGGTTTGGCGTTGAGTGATCTTGTGAACGGGGAGGAGACGATGCCAGCAACTGCCGAGACGTTATCGATCCCTCGCCTAGAGCATCCGCCGTAGTCTCGCGTGAGGTCGGTTGCGGTAGGGGATTTCTGGCCGCTGGGAAGTAGCTTGTAGGAGTAGTTTGTGAACTCTTGAACCGGGCTCTTTGCTCGGTATTCAAGGGGAAGTGTTCTTGGGTCCGTTGAATCCGAACCTCTGAGCGCGAGGCTCGCGGTTGCGTCCAACTTGAGAGGTATGACGGCCGCTCCCAGCTCTGCCATTCGTAGGCCGTGAACGCTTCTCTGGAGTGGACTTGTATATGCCAACTCCGGCCTAGCAGGTGCCAAATCCTCCTTCGAACTGGCTAAGCCTTCGTTCGATACACCTCCGCGACCGACCATGCGATGAGCCGATAGAATCCCCACTCCCATATCTGTATCCAGAAAGTACAACCGTGTAGAGAGCGAGTCGACGTCGTGGGCGGCGGTTCCGAGCACGGGAGTTCCTCAACAAGTGGGCGGGTTCAAGGCGTAACAACGTCGTCCGGCAAATTGTACCAACAGAAACCACGAGCTTACTCACATGGTCGTTATAAGCCCAGCCATATCTCCTCCCTTCTCCCGGTTCTCCGTTTTCGTATCTTGCGTTGCGAAGACTCCTGCGATACATTCCACTGTTAGCTGAGAAACTTATATACAAGCTGGAATGCATGGAAGGGGATGATTGGGAGTGTTTGGCAAACCTATGACACAGGAGGCTTGACTATGCAAGGTGACGAGTGACAATTTAAGGGGACTCCTTGTAGAAGGAGAGCAGGGCGACAACGCGCGGTACTTCAAGAAGTCATTCGGGTCGGCGAGAGAGAGGCCCAGGTGTTTGGATTAGCCCCGCAATAAACAGGGCCAGTTATAGGTTGACTAAGCAACGTCGTTCAGCATGCGCCACATGCATGAGCCACGAGGAGGATAATGTTATTTTACTGTTTCAACCCCTTACTGGTTAGAAGTTTACAATTCAAACTGAAGAAGATGTAGGATCGCCAAATGAAGTCTAATATTCCGCTGGATATGATGTAGCGATAATCTATGATCAGAGCCTCTGACGCTTTATGTATTTCCAAAACATCTGGAAAACATGGCCAGTCAAACATAAGAAAAACCATTTCGGTATGCTCTAATCAATCGAAATACCCGCTCCGTCCATTTTTCTTTTCCCAGTTTCTCCCACTATCCGCCATATCCAAACTCGTCTCGAACTCCCCACAATCCACATCCCCATCGCCATAGTTGCTCATCCTCAACCTCTCCAACTGATCGCTAACATAATGTGCCACATGCTGATCCATCTCCGCCTTCTGCTGCATTGCCTCCGCATTCAAGTACCCCACCGAGTTCTGGCGGTTCAGCGGCCCCGTAGTCTCCTCCTCGTCTCCTACGTCCCAGTCGCTGCGTTGTCCTATTGAACGAGCGGTCGAGGAGCGGCGGAGATGGTGAGGCTTCTTGGGGCGCCCGGTGTCTGTGAAGATGTCATCGAAGTAGTGGGCTGCGGCGCTGGTGGGGGTGCGCGGGGTTTGCGGGAGGCGGCATGTCATGCTAGATGGGTATTAGGAATTTCTGTCTTGAGCAGGCTGATGAGTGTCAACGTACCCAGTATCGTGAATCATCTTGGCAATCAGACCGGTCCAACCGCACTGATGGCTCGCGCCCAACCCACGACCACTGTCTCCATCGAAGAACTCGTAGAACCATAGATAATCCTTCCAATTCGAGTCATAATCAAGCGTCTCATTCTCACCGTTGATAGCACGACGACCATCATCGCCACGCGCAAACAGATGCTGTAGACGATGCTGTAACTCCTCGGCCACATGGCCCAAATGCATATAATCGCCGGAACCAGTGGGGCATTCGACTTTGAGATCTTGTCCATAGTAAAGGTGGAATCTCTGAAGGGCCTCGATGAGAAGGAAGTTGACACAAATCCAGATGGGTCCGCGCCAGTTGCTGTTACCACCAAATAGTCCGCTGTCCGAATCTCCGGAAATGTAGCTGACCTGGAAGGTTTGGCCATTCACGTCCATCGAGTATGGGTGGTCTTTATGGTATCTGGATAGCGAGCGAATGCCATGGTCTGCAAGGAACTCGTTCTCGTCCAACATTCTTTGGAGAATGCGCTTCAAGCGGTCTTCGCTGACCAAGGAGAGAAGAAGGCGGTCGCCCTTCCCTCGCTTCTTCATGGACGCGATATTGCGTTCCGCGGTATCGCTCTTGTTCTGGATAAACCAATTCAGCCTCTTCTTGAAATCCTTGAACTTGTCTATGACCTCGGGCTCCAGCGTCAGCGTAGCAAACAGCGGAATCAACCCGACAAGTGATCGAACTGGCATTTGGTGACTCCATGGGCCCCCCCAAGAGATGGCATCATAGTAGAATCCGTCTTCCTCGTTCCAGAGGGGCTTCGATTCGGAGCCAGTGCGATACTGCATTGCGTCGCTAATGAGAATGAAGTGTTCAAAGAACTTCGAGGCCATATCCTCGTAGATACGACGCCGGGTAGAGAGCGCCAAGCAGATATTAAGCATGTTGAGACAGTAGAATCCCATCCACCCCGTGCTGTCAGCTTGCTCCAGTACACCTCCAGTAGGCAGGGGCTCGGATCTGTTGAAGACACCGATATTGTCAAGCCCCAGGAAGCCGCCTTCGAAGATGTTTTGGCCACTCGCGTCTTTTCGATTCACCCACCAAGTGAAGTTGAGCAGCAACTTCTGGAACACTCGCTCAAGAGTATCCCAATCTTCCCGGCCGTACATCTTCCGCTCCATCTTGAACACTCGGAAAAGTGCCCAGGCATGGACCGGCGGGTTCACATCCCCAAAGTTCCATTCATAAGCGGGGAGCTGTCCATTCGGATGCATGTACCACTCGCGGGTGAAGATATCGAGCTGCTTCTTGGCGTAGTCTGGGTCGATCATCGCTAAAGGAATGCAGTGGAATGCACTGTCCCACGCCGCAAAGAACGGATATTCCCAAGAGTCGGGCATCGAGAGAACATCATCGAGATACATGTGCTTCCACTCCTTGTTTCGGATCTCCTTGCGGCTCGGTGGGGGAGGGGGCATTCCGGGGTCACCATTCGCCCAATGATCCCAGATGAAGTGGTAGTACTGCTTGCACCAGAGCATACCGGCGAAGGCCTGGCGTTGGACGTTGCGGAGGTCGTCAGCGATAGGGAGAGGGCTTATCCTCCAGTAGAACTCATCGGCCTCGGCGCGACGCTGCTCGATAATCTCGTCGAAAAGCTCCTCATCAAGGTACCCTTCATATCTCCTCGACAGTCTGAAGCGCACGACAGCACACTCGCCCGGCGGAACACCCTCTCCCTCGTCAAAAGCAAACCAAGCAGCAGCCTTGGTGCCATATCCTTCAGGATTCACGGCTCCCTTTTCCTCATCCACAATGCGGCGATGAATCCCATCCTTTACGTATTTAGTTCTGTTGTCCCCATCCCAGATGGCTTTGTAGTTGGTCTCATTTTCCGTGAACAGGAGCGTCGGCTGAACGTCTTCGCCGCTAGGGCCGGTTCCCGGAGAAGGGGACAGCTGGAAGTAACGCTCGCCCAGTTTGTAATGTTTCGTATGTGCTGTCGTAGGCCCTATCTTGCGTATCGAAGGCTTCTTCTTGAGATCCTCGCGGCCCCAAGCCCAAGTATTGCGGAACCAAACGTGAGGCACGATGTGTAGGGGAGCGGCTTCAGGGCCGCGGTTGTATGCTGTAACTCGGAAGAGCAGCTCCTCAGGGTCATCCGCCTCTTTCGCAATTTCGATGAAGATGTCCCAGTACCTGTCTTCGGCGAAAACACCCGTATCAATCAGGTTGTACTCTCTCTCAAGCTTACTCCGCTTCGCGTTGGTCTCGATTAGGTCTTCGTAGGGGAACTTGCGCTGAGGGTACTTGTAGAGGTATTTCATATAGGAGTGCTATTTGGATCAGCATGGAAAGTTCAGTCGGTGGTTAGCGCATACAGTGGGGGTGTTGTCCAAATGGAAGTGGCATTCCTTGATCGATTCGCCATGGTTACCCTGCGGATTCGACAAACCAAACAACCTCTCTTTCAGAAAGTCGCTGAAGCCGATTAGAATGTCTTCTTTCCAGTTGTTATTGCCGCACATACTCTTTCTCGTTCCAAAAGGCAAACGCAATGTTCTGGAATCCATGGTTGTCGGACACGCCAGCGATGCCATCTTCGCCCCAACGGAAGGCTCGTTTCCGTGCCATGTCATGGGTGAAGTCTACGCATAGGTCAGTGTGATTTGTCACACTATAGAGGGGGAAGCGTACGGCTCCAGGCGTCTCCGTCGTGGCTATGAGGTTGGTCAGCGTCGGGATGCGAATGGAGTGACGAAGAAACTTACGAGTAGTCTTCGCGCACTGGAGAGAGGTCAGCAATGTACAGACACGTTCGGGGTGGAAAGTATTGACCTGTAGCCCATTGCCTTTCGGCGACATAGGATCCCCACCGCTTCCAGTAAGCGGTGCGCTCCCGGTCCTGCTTCAGGCGCTTTTCCTCCTCGCAGAGGTACTCCTGGCCTTCGATGAGTACCATGCTGAATTATTAACAGGCGAATAAGTTCTCGGTACGAAACGAAGGCTGGGGTGTATAAGCGATGGCTCGTTGAGACGGACAATTCGTTGAACGCGGAGGCAGAACGAAGGGCGACAGAGGCGGTCAGAGATGCTTGCGAGCTTCAAGGATGGAAACCCACGGGCAAGAGAGGGCCTCTGCAATAAAGTAAGAGCGGGGATATTCACTTGCAGTGTGGCGGCGGAGCCTAGAGGCGTTTTCGAGGCGTTGGGGGCGTGGGAGGCGTGGGAGGCGTCGTGGATTTCTGCTGCAAGGAACGCAGGCCCTGTCGAGATGGGACGGGACGGCGTCTCGGCGGATCTGATGACATCAGGGGACCAGGCTTCTTTCGGAAATGGCCAGGGCGTCTCATAAACGTTATAGCGTGCTCAAAAATCATCGCTCGGGAGCACGAATACGCATCTCCGAGAAATGCTATTGATTGCTATCCTCATCTGTATTCGGGTGATATCGATACACGTGGGTACGCGCTCCACAGGTGGAATTGGGCGCACTCCATGGGGAATCGTTGAACGTCCTTCGCGTTTACTTAGTCATAGCTTCCTCAATCTATCAATCATTTCCCATGAAACAGCTTTGAGCCTGGTCCTTAGGTCAACCTCCAACTGCTCATACATTCCTGCTGAGAGCGGCAGCACCGTGTCGCCATGCAAATCCGGCGACTCGACCGTCTCCGTCTCGGATTTCGATGCCCGCGCCTTGAGCTTGGCTGACAACTGGTCAACCAGGCGTCGGACGCGATGAAGCTCGTTGAGAACAAGCTGCGCTGTCATGCGCGCAGAGTCCGCACCATCCAGGCAAAACGCTGCCATGGTGGTGATTGGCATGGCTGGATCCGGTGGGGAGGAGCTTCCCGAGGCACCAGTGGTTGAACTCTGCAAGCCTGGCGCTTTGCGGGCGACGGCTACATACCAGCCTAGTACCTTGAAGATGATGAGCGACATGACTGCTAGTAGGTAGTCGTCATGTGAGCAGGAGCATGAAAGCATGGCGCCCAATGCCTCGATGGTGGTCTCGTTCTGGGCTATCACAGCCTGGGTGGTGGGGCTCGCGGAGAAGGTTCGACCGAGATCTTGGCTTGACCATCTCCTGGCAGGGGAAGGGGGGAAGAGCTGTTTCATGAGCCCGAGCGCCTGGGCGAGGCATGTGCAGGAGAGCCCGGCTCCAAACGTCTCTTGGTAAGCCAGGCGCTCTTTGCCTGGAGAGGACCAGTTTTCAGGAGTCGAACTGGGAACGAAGGGCGAGAAGAGATCGGAGACGGCGTCTTCAAAACCAGGAAACGCGGCCGAAAGCGCTTCTGAACCGCTACTCGTACTGCCTGAGCTCATGCCCGTTGAAAACAGGTCTCCTGTCCTGAAGAGAAGGCTGTCGGAGAAATCGGCCGGGAAGGATAAGGGCGAAACGAAGAAGTCATTGAGATCAGGTTCGACGCTAGTCGACGCCGTTGACAGCGTCTGGTCCATGGGGCTAAAGAAGCCACGCAACCTATCCGAATCCACAACGCCGCTCGCTTCGGTCGAAGAATGCATCAGTCCCGGCAAGTGCAAGGCGTCGGTATTTTGGCTCGACGGAGAGGGTGCCAATGGGTTGGCTTGGGACGGCAGATTTACAGCCTCGGTGCGACCGAGTACGGGCGTAGCACTCGAGCGATCACTATTCCGGGTCTCGGTGGTATTTGATCGAGAACCTGGTTTCCTGCCGCCTCGTTTGGCGAGAACGTACTCGCAGGTGAGGTTACGTTTTGCACACCGCGAGCAGGTCGGCTTCTCTTGGGAGCACTTCAGCTTGGAGGAGGCGCATGCATGACAGCTGTTGCGTAGCTTGGGCCGATCGGGCAGAGGAGCGGAACCGTCCCTCGAAGCCGAGGGGCTAGGTAGACCGGGTCTCTGCGATTGCGAGCTTGCCATGATGAAGGGATAGGACTTGAAGTGCGAAGCAGGAAGCGATGGTCAAGACGAATGGTCATGCGCCCGACGGGGTAAGGTTGAAGGATGGAAATAGCTGTGGTGCGATTGAGAAGCGGTTTGGCTGTCGAGCCATGGAAACGAGGTCAACGGTACTGGACGAGGGACGTTTAATACATATGACCCGAGGGGCATGGTCGACAACAGTGCCAAGAGATGCCAACGGAACCAAGCACAGGCAAGCTCAGCGGGCAGAGTGCTTTGTATCGTGCCGCATCCGCTGGCCGGGTGCTCGAGCCTCGAGGGCACAGCGGTGTAGGGCACGGGTACCATGTCGGTGGAGCTAGAAGCCCATGCGGCGTGCATGGGGGATTGAATCCTCAGCTTCAGCTATTTACTACTTCGGGCTGTCCTGGCACCAGGTCGCCGCACATGGTGTGATAACCGCCGTCCTATATATTGTACGCGCTGGACTAGCATGGATGGGGTGATGGATGATTTGCGTCGAAGCGGAATACGACGATCTGATGGTGGGGAGGCGGGAGACTCCGAGACTGACGAGCAAGCAGAGACGACGTGGATGGACGATCAGGGGCCTGGACTGTATGGCGTATGTGGATGCGAGGAGCGAGAGAAGGTGAGATGGTGGAGCGAGACCCGGCCCGGCCCTTGCGGGAGAAAGAAAACCGGTGTAGGGTGAGTCAGGGTGAGTCTGGTGGTGGTGGTTGGACTGGATGTGGATGTTGTTACCGTTCAGCGTCTGGCTGGTGTGTGGGGGGAGCTGGGCGATGGAGATGTGGCCCGTGCGCAAACCCCAACACTCGGGCCCCCCATGGCCAACATTGCAGTTGACAGGACAGACCGCTCGACTCGACTTCCAACAAAAAGTTCCACGATAGAGGGTCGCACTCCGCTGAGAGAGCCTGAGACGAATGGAGACTCACGGTATCTACCGAGTACTCTGGTAGTCCCTCGAGTTCCCGCCGACCCCGGAGCTGAGCCGTTCCTGGACAACGCTGCGGTGATGGATTCAATATGGGTCGGCGCACGCATGTCTGAGGTCCCTTTCCCCCATCCATCGCCAGCTCCCCTCCCTCGATCCCGTATCCATCGCCGATCTGCGTGGATAACGGCCCGAAGCAGGCCTCGCGTGTGCCTCATTTCCAGCAACGTGCAGTCCGCGCACTTAGGGTTTGGAGAACCGGCACACTGCAGACTGGACAGACAGGACGGGCCCCAACCCAACAAAGTAAAGTATATGCCGCAGCCATACTCAGGCTTCGAGATGGCTATCGCCGACCGCTTGCGGTACAACACACTTTGCCCGCAGACGTTTTGCTCGAGCGGCGCATCCATATCCGTTACACCATCTTTATGCACTTCAACAATTCCAGACTCGCCCGAGGATAGCCTATAATGAGCACGCCTACCAACGCCACATGCAGCGTTAAGCTGCGGCAAGCTTCTCCAAGCTCTGGCCCATGCTCCGTCCTACAAGAGTACACCGTACACAGTACACAGTATGCTTTGCTCCCCGCCATGCCCGAGGAACGTTTGCAACCACAGCAATTGTGTTATTAATAGGCCTTGGTTCAGAACGACCGATCGGATGCCGCCTACCATGACCACCACTCTCAACCAGATCGCAACATGGACGAACGACCTCGCCATTGCTGTCAAGGCCCTGGGCGACCAAGGCTACGACCACAACCTCGACCAGTTGGCCGACGCTGAATCGTACCGTGCCAGACGCAGTATACTTAGCATTGCAACCCGCATCAAAACTCACCTGGCCGAGCCCACCGATTTCGTCCAACAGCTTGCCACTCAGGTTCGCAATGTCGAGTGGGCGGCCTGGTCCTAGAACCCGTTGATAACCTTTTACAGATTCAACTTCTAGCCTGCCTTCGATGGTTGGGAGAATTCCAAGTCCTGGCATGCATCCCCTTGACCGGTACCATCTCCATGAAGGATGTTGCCGACTTGGCCGTCGTACCAGAATCGCAGCTTCGTCGTGTCATCCGCATGACGGCCACCGTTGGCTTTCTCCGCGAGCCTAGCGTGGGCCAGATAGCACACACGCCCCTGTCCGCTTCCTTTGTCACCAACTTGTCCTTCCTGGATGCGACCATGTTTCTGGCCGAGACCAGCGCTCCCGCTGCCTTGCACATGGCCACGTCGACCCTCCGCAACGAGCCTCAGGAGGAGCTTGGCGACAGTGCCTACTCGATTGCCTTCAAGAGCTCTCAGTCGTTCGAATCGGCTTGTGCAGAACGGACAAGATTACAACGCCAATGGTCTGCCTATCGTCGATGCGTAGGCGACTTTGAGGACCATCTGCCTGGCATCCTTGGTAGGCTCAATTGGCGCAGTTTGGGCAACGCCTGCATTGTCGATGTGAGTCGGTACATCAGCAGCCTCCTTTGCGCAATCAGGACAATAACCACCTTGTCGCGCAGGTCTCAGCACAGTCCACCGAGGCGGCAACCACGCTCGCAGAAAATCATACGTCGCTCCAATTCATGGTGCAACTGGTCGCGTCCGGAACCGCTGACGACGATATCCGAAATACGAGTAGCATACCTGAATACGTGCATCCTCGAGTCGTAGTCCAATCGCGGTCGCCTGCCGCTCCTCAGACCGTTAAAGATGGCGCGGTTTACATACTTCGCCTACCCCCGCTCACAGCCTCTTCCGCTGCGCACATTACTGCCGAGCTCCACGCGCATTTACCCGTCCTCCGCGACAACCTTTCAGCGACTCTGCTATTAGCACCGCCCATTCTACCAGAGCCTGGATCTGTCGAGGCCGAACGGGAGACCATGGCCCGCCTGAGCGACCTATCCCGCTTGCAACTCTGCAACCAGCCTGCCTTCGAGCTGGACGTGCTTGTGGAAATGATCCAGAGCGTGCGGGATGCGTCGGGCGGGCTAGTGGTGGTGACCAAGCTGCGGTCCTGTGACAATGCCACGGCTGCGCTGGCGGTTCGATATCAGGCATGTGGAGGCATTGTGGAACGCAGAGAAGGATACGTTGAAGAGCAAACGGCGTGACCATTGGCCAAATAAGATGGAAATGGCAAACGGACCTCACTTGGTACTTATTATTCCAGGTTGCGATGGAACCTTGAAGGTTCGTCTTAGATGATGTCATTAGCCTTGTTGGGACTAGCGTAGCCAGCGGTAATATGGAATGTATAACTACCACCTAAAATGGTATACAGAGTGGGGTCCCGCCCCCACTATGTACGGAGCAGCATCAGTAATCATCGGAGCTATTATTCGAGCTAGCGTTCAACTAGGCGACAAACTACTCCAAGTAGCGAAACACAGCCCTTGGAGTACCGGCTCGAATACGGAACATGCATATTGCGTTATGGTGGTGTTATCCCGATCCGGACATGCACATGGTTTCATGGTTTCAGGGTTAGTATCGTGTGTATGCAAGGGCAAACAGCTCGTATCGAGAGGGCCATTGCCATTTTCTGCAGTTCGATACGAAGGGGACGCACGTATCGGACGACACGCCCGGGCGATCACGATCGTTGAACATCCCCTTCTGGCCATGTAGACTACGCCCTCCTCGAATGTGACATCGTTGCATTAAAGGGATTCAGAAATGCCCGCATCGGGCAGGAGGTGGCGGATCCACGCACAAGCATCCGCCAAGGAAGCTTGGTGGAGGCTCGCTGGAAAGGATTACACCCGCCGCGTGGCCGTCTCGGGAATGATCCTACCTCGGTAGGGTTATTTTCGCGGTAAGCGAACCTGCATGTGGGTTCGTTGGTCGGACGCGTACTCCGTACCTCTACCTACTTTAGGTACCTAGGTAGGTCACCGGTAGGTATTCCGGTATCATGTATCTATCGGTGGGAAAAAGCACACCTTCGCCAAGATCGGGTGTCGGAACGTTGGCAACCTGCAGCTGAATCGCAACATGCCCCCATCAACGGAAAGAATGGGAACAGCGCGCAAACCTCCCGCAATCCGAAAGAGCACACTCACTCACACACATGTGAGAAACTATGGCATTCTGATCGGCAGGATGGGGCCAAGAACGACTGTTCGGAAGCGAGAGGCGCGAGATCAACGGCGTGAGGGACGAATAAAACAACAAGCACCGCACGCCACGATAGCTTCGCTCAACGATTATTCGTCCAGTTTCCTCTGAGGCTTTATCGATCATCGACAACACAGAGTAGAAATCACACGCCAACAATGGCTCACGATAGCAGCTCCACCACAAATGGAACCAATGGCCATGCCAATGGAAATGCCAATGGAAATGGCACCACCAACTCGCCTGCTACCAAGACAGCCCTCAAGGTCGTCTTTGGCGCCATGACTTTTGGTCGACAAGGCAAGGACAATCCCCTTCCCTTCTCGGGTTGCCCATGATATATCGCAATGAATGGCGCTGACCACGTACTCAAATCTGCAGGTGCCGAACAAGCCCGCATCCACGATCTCAAGGACTGCGCCGCCGTGCTCGATGTGCTTCAAGCCCACGGCCACAACGAGATCGACACTGCACGCATCTACGCAGGAGGCTCCTCAGAGGAGTATCTCGGCCAATTGGACCTGAAGAAGCGCGGTATCCTCATCGACACCAAGCTCAGCCCGCGCAAATTCGGCCCCAAGGCCTACTCCCACAAGCCTGAGGGACTAAAGTTGGGCTTGGAGGAGAGTCTCGTAGCATTGAAAACCGACAAGCTGGATTGTTGGTACTTGCACGCACCTGATGTACGGCGACCACTTCCCCAATATATTGATTGACCTTTCGCGGGAATCAATTGCTGATCCCTCACCTAGCCCAACACTCCCTACGCCGTGACCCTCAAGGCCGTCAACGACCTCTACCAGGCCGGCCACTTCACCCGCTTCGGCATCTCAAACTACACCGCCTGGGAAGTCGCCCAGATCAGCGAACTCTGCATCGCAAACGGCTGGAAGCGGCCCGACGTCTACCAAGGCTGCTACCACGCCCTGCAGCGCAGCGTCGAGCCCGAGCTCCTGCCCTGCCTCCGCCACTACGGCATAGCCTTCTACTGCTTCTCCCCCCTGGCCGGCGGCATGCTCACCGATAAGTACCAGCGCGACACCACAGAGGTCGAGCCCGGCAGCCGCTTCGATCCGAACCGCATGCAGGGCAAGAACTTCAGGGGCCGCTACTGGAACGAGGCCTACTTCTCCGCCCTCGATGTCATCCGGCCCGTGGCCAAGAAGTTGGGCCTGAGCACCGCCGAGGCCGCGTCGAGGTGGGTCATGCATCACAGTGCTTTGAGGAAGGAGCATGGGGATGCTGTCATCATTGGCGCCAGCAGCGCCGCCCAGCTCGAGGAGAATCTGGTGAATCTCGAGAAAGGGCCGCTGCCGGCGGAGCTGGTGGAGGCGTTTGAGGAGGCGTGGAGGCAGGTCAAAGGGGTTGCGGGGCCGTATTATTGAGATCTGGCAAGGGTCTCTGCCATCTGAGAAGGGCTCCGGTGGGTTGCTGGGGACGCAGGGTGGGAGATGCCAGTATTGTTGTTCTTGGTATCATTGATGTAACGAAATGAGCCTCTTTCATCTGGAATGCAAGCTCTCCCCTCTCGAGGTGTTTCTTTTGTTGCACTGTTACTTTTTTGTTGCGCTGTTACTTGAGAATGTGAACAATGTAGAGCTGTTGCGGGAGTTTAAGCGTGTCAGAAACAAACACGCATTAACTGATCGGAACGCTACCTATTTTGAGAGCATTTCCATGCGACTTCATTTACTAGAGAGAATTCTATGTATAACCTCGGCATCAGTTCATAGAATCCTTGGTATTCCATAAGATGCTCCCGTATAACAAACATCCAGCCAGTGTGTATATTGCACACGCAGGAGCTTAACATCAGAAAGGCATTAGCGAGATACATCACCATAAGTAGAATCACACCATTGCTACTTTTGTTTTCATTTCAATGTATAGTCTGCATTATTATAACACAGGCACCATTATGAGTGGAGTGTTCTCTGCGGCTTCTATATCGCGCTATTAGTACAAAAGGGATTTCAAATGGCAATTTGGTCCTCCCACGCCGAAGAGAACTCTTTTCTTTTTTTTTTTTAACGTCTTCCCCGCTTCAACGACGCTCGATTAATAAGGTGTCGTTTGACGGGGCGACGGGCTCTTAGGCCGACGCGCTCGCCGCGACGGGTTTCGCGGCAGAGTCGCCTTGGGTGGTCCCGACTTTATCGGCGATTGCACCTGGGGATGTAGTGGTGCCTTGTTCGGTTTGCGAGGCTTCTGTCTTGATGGGTCCAGCTTCTGTTTTCGGGATGTTCTTTTCTACCGGTGGGTTCGCTTTTCCTTCTTCGGCGGCCTTCTTGCCGTCCGCGTTCTTCAGGGGAAGGTTTTTCTTCACGGTGCGCCACTCCATGGTGAAAGCTCCGAGGACGGAAAGACAGGCCATTATCGCGCCGACTTGGAAACAGACACGCAACGAGTCGTTGTAGGCATGCAGACCCCTGGCGCGGAACTGCTCGGGGATGCGGTTGAGCAGGTCCGTGGCACCGGTGTCTTCAATCGCATGGGGGTTGGTGCCTGGGATCCCCATGAGCTTGGTAGCGAGGTGGTTGAAGAAGACGTTTTGGCCGACGGAGATGAAGACGGCGCCGAAGAGTTGCTGGCCGAAGAACATGAGCGAGGCGCCAATGGCCACGTCGGGCTTGGGAAGGACCGTTTGCGCGGCCATGTTGGGTGCTTGGGAACAGGAGCCGAGACCCAGACCGTAGATGATTTGGTATCCGATCCATTTGCCTTCGGACGTATTCACGTCGAGTGTCGTAAGGAGGCCAGCGCCGATGGCAGTAAGACAGGCGCCAAAGATGAGGAATGGTGTGTAGTAGCCCACTTTTGAGACGAGCTGGCCGACAATGAGGGATGCGATGACGATCGGGAGGATCATAGGAAGCAGGCGGATACCAGATGCTACCGCGCTGACGCCGTCAATCGCTTGGAACCAGACCGGTAGGTAATAGACTAATGAGGATTTTTAGCACTTTTTGTATACCGGCCGATGCTGTTTCAAAAACACATACCGAAGATGGTTTGGTGGGCACCGATGCAGGAGCTCACCCAGAATCCGGAGGCAATGCTTCGCTGGATGAAGATACGGGGCCTAAGAATTGCTTGTTCCGGCTTCCAGACTTGGACTATACCAAAAACGACTAAGAGTAAGGGACCAAGAACAAGCAATGCCACAACCCTGCCCTCACTCCACTAGGCGCTGTTAGCTCGAGACGGTCGCCAAACCTGGAATTACAGCCTTTAGCGTAATACTTACGGCATAGGCAGTCCCACCCCACTGCAGCGCCAGACACAAACAAACCACGCCCGGAACGAGAGCAAACATGCCCAACGCATTAAGCTGCTTCAGCTTCTCCTTGAGCGGCTTCTTGGTGTCCGGACGGTCGGGAATATTGAGCATGAAGAAGATGACAACGGCAACCACGGCTCCAATGGGCAGATTAATGTAGAAGGACCATCGCCAGGTGACGCGCGTCGTGAAGGCACCACCGACAAGGGGTCCCGTCACCGATGCGATGCCAAATACTGCACCAAAGAAGCCCTGATACTTGGGACGTTTGTGAAGTGGGAGGGAGTAGACAATGACTACAATCTGGAGTAATGGAGTGAGAAGGTTTGACGAAGATCTTTGGATGGAGGACGTACCACTCCGGACATAATACCACCCGATCCCAGGCCAGCGATTGCTCGACCGATGATGAATGCGATCGAGTTCGGTGCGGCACCGCAGAGGGCAGAGCCAACCTCAAACAATAAAATCGACGTTAGAAAAGTGCCCTTTATGCTGAAGACCGAGTAGACCTTCCCAAACACCAGTTGAAAGGCGCAGTTGGTGATCAAGTAGGCAGTGCCATACCAGCCAATATCGTCGGCCGAGTTGAATTCGTTGGTGATCTGCGGGATGGCGGTTGAGATGATGAGACGATCCTAGATTTTGATTCCGTCAGCTGTGGAGTCTCATGCCACCACTTCGTTTCATGAGGAGAAGGCGAAGGACCCGAGGGACGTGTACGTACAAGTGACACCAAAAACATGCCAATGAAAATCGATGTCATAATGAGCGCCAGTTTGAGCCCCGTGGGGTAAACAACGTCGACATCGCCTTTCTTGACATCTTTGGCCGTTGACGCTTGGGTGACGGCCTCGCCATTTGCAGATGCTGGCGCTGGTGCAGGCGATGCCACAAGCTTGTTTTCCTTCTCCTTGTCGGACGACATGTTTGCGGCACAGCCGCTACAGCGCAGGCGGGGGTTGAGCGAACGCGATGCCGATGAGCCTTGAATCGGAGGGTGGGTAGGAAGAGGAGTGAAGGGAGGAGGCACAGCAGATGTCGAAGATATACCAAGGCGGCGCGCCGAGAACGCTAGAAAGCTTATTTGTTGATGCCCACCAACAAAGTGAGCTCCTGGCGCTAGGCTGAAAGTGGAGGGGAGTGAGGCGGAAAGGAGAAAGGGTTTCTCCGGCGAGTGAATTCGTCCCACCACGTGCCGCGCCTTCACGAGGTGACTGCAGAGCTCATCCAGGTGTCGGTATAGTGAGGTGGTAGATGGAGGAGGAAAAGAGGTGCGTCAGGGGAAGAGCGATACAATGTCCCCTGAGGTGGTCGCGATTCATTCCACAGTACGCGCTTGTCGGACTTCGGAGGGTTGAGGTACGTGTCATCGGGTCGTTTCTGATTGATTGGATAGCCGCGAAAGACTGGAATCGTCCCGATCACAACACTGTCCCGATAAATCCAAGATCACATCGCATTCCGAATTCACACATTGCGCGTATGAGCGGAGTGTTGAGGCCTTTCGTCCCTAGTTGCGTCGCGTGGTGTATCTATCAAATATGTAGACTCAAGCGGATCTTGCTCTGGTCTTTCAAAATTGTGCCATCGAGATTTGCTCTGTTTGTTTTGACAATTTCTACAGCACTCAGTATTTGGGTCCTCTCAGCATGGATTTCTCTTCCAACGGGACCGTTAAGATGGTTTCATCGGATCCATCATTCAACCCTTATCTTGATGTGTTCTTCTCCCAGTCGCTGACCACGCTTGGTGTTGCTGGCTTTATCGCGTCCTTTGTTAGCTTCCTGGCTTACCTGTCCTACACTCCAAAGGTGGACAAACGTGCCCCTGCTTTTACCTCCTATACAGTGCCCATCATTGGATCCTGGAGATTCTATACCCAGAAGTTGTGAGTCGGACCATCCCTCACTTGCGCCGCCTTTTCACTAATAGTGGGTCAAGAGGATTCTGGAGAGACGCGGTAAACGAGTCCAAAAATGGACACTTCAGCTTCTGGCTCGGGAAGAACCATATCGTCGGCGTATCTGGCGAAGCTGCCCGGAAGATGTATCTGGATCATCGTTCCCTACATCTTATCAAGGGCATTACCCTGATTGGGCATGGCCCAGACTTCATCAACGGGCGATCAACCGTCATCCATGATATCTGGAAGCCGGCATTCAGCAACAACAAGACATATGCACAACGCCGGCTACTCGATTTCCAGAAATCGGAACAGCTCCAAAAACGCCTCCCCCGTATAAAACAAGACGCGCGGGAGACCTTTGAAGCTTTGGCTAAGGCTCCATCTCCCGTTACCAATCCGGCCAAGACATGCTTCGGTCTTGTTGTTAGGCAGGGCTCTCGTTTCATGTTCACGGATGAGGTGGCCGACACTCCTTCGATAATGGCAACGCTTCTGAAAACGCTACCTGTGCTCCAAGGGACTAGCAGTCTACATCTGCTCTCCTTCCCATGGCTATCGTACTTCAGCCCCGCATACTGGAAGCGCCGCTGGGGCCGCAGGGTGTTAACCAACATCGTAGTTCCAATTGTCAATAAGCGCATGAGCAAGGATGCTAAACCACGCGATGATCCTCTGCAGCTGTTGATCGACAGCGGTGATAGCAAAGATTACATCACCCAGTTCATGATCAGCATGCTCTTCATCGTCGGTGCCAATGCTGGCATTATCTCTGGCGCCATGCTCAACATCATGGCTCACCATCCACATTGGCAAGAGAAGGTCTACCAGGAAATCAAAGCTGCCGCAGCCAAGTATTCCAAGAACAAGGATAGGCCTTTGGTCGAACAGCTGGATGATTTGCCCCTTGAAGCATGGGAGTTGTCATTCCCTTCCATCGACCTTTGCTACAAAGAGGCCATTCGCATGTGGGTCGCTTTCCCAATGGGCCGCTTCAATGACACGTCGGAACCTATCCCCATTCCCGGATCCGACGAGGTCATTCCGCCCGGCAGCTTTGCCTGCTACAACACTGTCGATGTGCACTACAACGAGAAGCTGTACCCGGATCCAATGAGGTGGGATCCAGAGCGCTTTCTCGAAGGACGGGAAGAGTTCAAACGGGAAGCATATGGCTGTAAGTCTTTCCTGAAAATTTGCATCATTTTGGTTGACTTAAGCTTACTGACATGCTCTATGTTAGATATGGGATGGGGCGGAGGCCGTCATCCCTGCACAGGCATGCGTTGGGCAAAGTTGCAGCAAAACATTATGTTGGGATATGCTTTGGCAATGTACGAATGGAGCGGCTGCGATGCGCAGGGCAATCCCAACCCACACTTTGCTCAGCCAACTACCGCATTGAACGAACTCGCGCCCCGCCTTCCCACCGGGCAGTACTGCAAATACGTACCACGTGAAAAGGCTTGAAGCCGAGGTTTGTTGATGCAGGAAGTACATCCTGTACGAAGGATCGGAGAGAGGCTGGGTACAGTTGAGAAGGGACGCTCTTCAAGTAGCTGAGACTTCGGTGGTTCTTAGGTTAGATTCGTACATATCGTCTCAGTCTTCGGTGAATCAATGGTTGTTGCTTCGTGTGATCTTCCGCTGTTGTTATTTCCTGCTGAAGCGCATTTTTCATGCATATAACCCTTTACTCCATAGTAGTAAACTTATCTTATTATCACAGCATAGGCACGTGCATGGGAGCACTACCTTGTATATACCTGTGCTAAGGGCTCAAGCACTGCGTGAGAGTTACGTTGTATTCCTATCCGCGCATTTTCTCCGCTACAGTAACGGTGTTGAACCAACATTTTCGCGTTTTCGCGTAGAAGTGTGGTAGATCTCATAACGAAAGCATATTTATGAGTTTCACTCATTCCCATGGTAGAGTTTTTAGCACACCGTTAAGCAGAAGAGCACTACATTCGAAAGCAGGCTATGAAAAGAGCAAGATGTAAAGCTAAGAAACTCTAAATTGGCAAACCTCTAAGAAAAATGCAGCTCAACATCATAGCGACCGCATGGATCCCGGCATCAACATTGCAGTTTCATATCCTCTAATTATAGTATTCCTCCAGCCACTTTCGCAAGTCGCCAATCGTCGGATAGTCTAAGAAGAGACTGCCACCGACCTTGACGTTCAGCTCAATCCTGAGCTTCTCGGCAATAACCAACGACATCAGACTATCGACACCCAGATTCGCGAAACTGGCGTCATCTTCAAGGTCGGACATCTCCAGGGCTGCCTCATTAGCGATGAGCATGAGCGCTTTAGCAGCAACGCTATTACTGGCTGGTGTGGACTCGACGGGCGGTGCTGACTCTTTCGCCGCAGGCGCTTGAACGTCCTTGGACTGAGTCGATCCTACGTTTGGAAGGTCGCTCGTCACGGGCTTGCCGTGATCACTTCCAGTTGCAGAATCGTGACGGGAAAGGGCTGGCCTCGGCGTCGAGTCATGGGATTCTCTTGACACCGCAGCTGAGGCCGGTGCCTGAGGACCGGCGGCTTTTGGTTTTGCCTCCATCGCGGCCATCTTATCCGGGGGAGAGAAGAAACGGCTGAGCAACAGACGCGGATAGCGGCGGAATTGAATTCCTCCAACCATACCCACAATAACCTCGTCTTGCATGATGTAGACGTCGCCAAAGTAAATGGTGGGGTCCTCGACTGTTGGAATCATCTTGACGTACGAGCGATATTTGGCTCCTGGGGTAAGAGGCTTCGCGAAGCGCATCGAGTTCCATCCAGGTGTTACGCAGTAATTGTTCTGAGTGTCCATGGCATCGGAGCAATTCATGATGAAGCCAGCCAAATGGGCCACACTGTCGATGAAATAGGGAGGGACGGTCCAAACACCACTCTCCTTCGTGGTGAGCTGAACATCCGCGAACCCTTCCAACTCATACATGACGACGGATTGCATACCGCGGTACTTGTCGGCGTAGTCCACCAGGTTGCTGGCGAAAAGCGTATAGGCCATGTTTCGCGAGAAGCGATTCGCCTTTCCTTCTGACGCGAGGCGCTCGAGGGCCTCCACTCGGCTGTGGACGAGGTGAGCAATAGGTGCCCATGATGAGAGCCATTCAGACGCATCACCGTAGAGAAGCTTTGCGGTGGCGAATGGCTCATGCACGTTGCCGTCAGTGTCGACATTCTGCCACGTCAAATCCACCGTGCGTGAGTTTATGTCGTCGGTCGCTGCGGTCACTCGGATCAACTGAGGCGTCTTATTGCTCGATTGAGCGACGAGCCCCTTAGTCACGACCAGGTTTGCAACGTTCATATTGACGTCCTTGGCCTTGGGGTAGAATTTGCGGTATAGGTAGCCGCCGAGGGTGTATGCGATGTCCGCATGAATTGACTAAAATGGGTAAGCATCCTGTCCAGTAGGGGATTCTATAAGGGTATACTAACTGATGTGACAACACCACAGTTGTTCATACGATGGCCGTTCGCGGCAGCAAGGAAGTCCGCTTGCATGAGATCAGATTGCATGACAACCGTACCGGCGGATCCTTCGAACGTCGCCTGTATTATTTGCTGCACTGTCGATGTCTGGATCTCACTCTTTACTGGTGCAGCAGGTACTGGCTGGCCCTTTGCCGCCTGTTTTTCGGCATCATAGAAGGTATTGCCCTTAGTCAGGCACCAGTCACCGTTGTATTGGAGCCAGTAATTCTTCTCATTCCAAGCATATGTTGGGAGATCAAGAAGGCGGAGTCGGCTCTCAAAGGGCCGGTGGAATTCGTTCCAGTTCACTGCGACACCGGCAAGGTGAAGAGCTGCCATGCTCTCAGCCATTGTCTTCCAGTTGTCATCCCCACGGCGCATTGAGGGGACTGCCAGCTGAGTCGAAGGTATGGTGGATTTGATGAATCCCGTGCAAACCGGATGTGGGCCAATCTCAATCCAGACGGTGTCATCGCTAATGGTGGAAATCTTCTGAGCATTCTGCAGAGCGGATACGAAGTCCACCGCTTCTCTGGTAGCTCTGCGAACGTAATTTGCGCTGAAGGTCTTTCCGTCGAAAACAACTTTGCCCAGTAGCGGGGAGATGACGGGCAATTTTGGTTCCTGGAAGAGAACGCCTGTCTTCGAGATGTTTTCAAAGTCATCCAGAATCGGATCGGTCTGGTCGGAGTGAAAGGCAAATGCGACATCCAACTTGATGCATCGATAACCGGCGGCTTCAAGGGGTATGGCAACGTCATCCATCTGTTGTTTGGTTCCACTAAGCACCGTGTCCGACGGACCGTTAATGCAAGCCACAGTGTACGGCTTGCCTCCTGAGCTCTCCGCTATCTGCGCAACCGAAGCGCGGACGGCCATCATTGTATGACTTCCGATCTTGCACTTCTTCTCCAGCATCTGCGCTCGGCGTCCCACCATAAATATGGTGTCGTTCGCTGTAGTGACGCCAGCAACATGCATCGCTGCATACTCTCCGAGACTGTGACCCACAACAAAGTCTGGCTTGACACCAAGGGATGCCCAGTATTTTGCCAACGCAATCTCGGTGCAGACAAGGGCAAGCTGGGTAACGACCGGAGAATGCGCGTGGTCCCTGGGATGGGATCCATCTAGAGCCGGGATGAACGAAGGAAAGCCTTGTCGTTGGGCGAGAGAGTCAAGATGTTGGATATGCTCGCGGAACGTGGGTACATCGCGATACAGTTCCAAGCTCATTGATTTGTACGACGCGCCTTGGCCTGTGAAGGTGAACGCCAGCGGCGGTGGACCCGATTGACCAATAGGCTTGATTGAACTGACCTTCTCCAAACGGGATGCCAGCTGCTTCTTTAATTGATCAAGACTGGTTGTAGCAATGGCAATACGGTGACTGTGCTGGTAGCGCCGCGCGGTGCTAGTGTAGGAAAGGTCAGCAAGGCTAGTGTCTGCGTGAGAATCCAAATATTTCATCAGACGCTCGATATTGCCTGTTAAAGACACTTGCGTCTTCGCTGAGACTGCGATGACGTGGGTCTGGCGCGGATCGCTTTCCGTAATCTCGCGTTTGGGTGCTTCTTCTAGGAGCATGGTGGTATTACCGCCAGCCGCTCCGAAGTTATTGATGGCGGCGATGCGTTTTCTGCCAGCTACTTGCGGCCACGGAGTCATCTCGAATGGGATGTGCAGGTTGCGCTTGTCGAAGTCGGTTGGGAACCTAGGGTTGATCTCCGTTTTTATGCCAACATGTGGCGGAATAGCGTTCTTCTGAAGCATGAGGAGAACCTTAATCAATGCCGTTGTGCCCGCAGCAGACTCGCTGTGCCCGACGTTCGCCTTGACAGCGCCGATGTGGAGAGGTTGATCCTTGCTTCTGCGTTTGGTAAGTGGTGCATACACCTCCATGATGCCCTGCATTTCCTCATGGTCACCTGCCTGAGTGCCAGTGCCATGGAGCTCCACGTAGGACACATCTAATGGATCCACGCCGGCTTGACGTAGTACCTGACGAGCTAAATAAGCTTGGTGCCCGGCGTGGGGGTGTGTGATGGACACTGCTTCCGCGGAATGATTAGTTCCAGCTCCGAGGATGACACCCAAAATATTGTCGTTGTCCGCTTGGGCGTCTTCGAGTCTTTTGATGACTACAGATCCGATGGCATCGGCGCGGCAGTACCCGTCAGCTGTAGCATCCCAGGTCTTGCACGCATTATGGCCTTTGGTCAGGAAATGACCATTGCACAAACCGGCAAAACCGTCTGGGTTTGTCAAGATGTTGACGCCACCTGCCACCGCCATATCAACTTCCCCATTCCAGAGCGCCTGGCAAGCAACCTATCGATGGTCAGTTTATTCAGATTGGTCGATGCTGGGTGTTCAATGCGTACCTCAATAGCGGCAAGTCCAGAGGAGCAAGCCGTATCAATACTATAGCTGGGTCCCGCGAACTTGAAGAAATAATTGATGCGTCCAGGACCAAAGGCTCGGCAGCCACCTGGGATGTAGTATGTGCTCACCTCCTGGCCCTGGTTCACTTCACGGTAGTCATCAGCCGCTTGGCCGTACCATGTTCCAATGCGTTGCAGTTGTGTAGCAGCGGTCCGGTTGCCCACGTACCCGGCTCGCTCCAGGGCCTCGTACGCTGTGACAAGTGCCAAACGCATCTGCGGATCGACGACTCTTGTCTCTCGGGGAGACATATTAAAGAATGGAGCATCGAATAAGCCCGGTTCGTCGATAAAGCAGCCATATTGTGTCATGGTTTTGTTGAGCTGCTTGCCAGTTGGGTCGTAGTGGGTGTCGATGTCGAAGCGGTCCGCCGGAATCCTCCTTGATACGTCCAAACCCTTCTCGAGAAGCTCCCAGAACTTCTCGGTGCTCGTCGCACCTCCCGGAAGCCTGCATGACATTCCAACGATTGCAAGCTTGGCCTGTGTTGGGCTCCTGGGTGTAGTGTCATTGGGGGCGATTTGGGAAAGCCATGGCATAAGACTGGTGATAGAGGTTTGAAGCTGTGGTATCCCACTCTTAAGCGCTGAGTTGAGGTCGTTTAGGGGAATCGAGTTCCCAAAGCAGTACAGCACAACCTCGGAGGCTAATGCGCACAGCGCCCTGTCAACCAAGCCGTGAATTACCCGATCCCAGTAAATCGCCTTTGTGAGAAGTTCGGAGACTACAAGTTCAAGTAACTCAACAGCATTCTTAGCTTGATACGGTACTCCTGTGCTTGTGGAATAGAGTGGCATAACGGGTCGGAAGTTTGAGCCTTGAGTGTGCAATGAGCCGCCCCGGACGATACTCTTCACATCTTGCTGGCCGTAGATGTGCGGGGCATGGCATAGGCCGCCGTATACCGGGAGTGCGATGAACTTTGAGGTTCGGAAGAACTCTGATTTGTTGAAGAGGCCTTTCAATCGGGCTGGTGGTCCGCTGACTGTGACAGAGTTTCGACTGACGGCGCTGACAAAAATCTTTCCGGTCTCTGGTACCTCGTCCCGTGAATGGATCGCATCAAGCTCCTTTTGTGCAGCATCCGGGTCGACATTATGAACCACGTATGCCCACGTGTCCGGGCTCTCTGACAGCTCACGGGCTTCTAGGTTTTCAGAAACTCCTTGGACATGGATGCCCATTCGAAATGCTATTCGAGCGGCATCTGCGCCGGCCAATGGCAAATCGGCCAAATTCGATGACAATGAGACCGCAGTCGATGCCAGAAGTCCGACGCCAAGGCCGCAAAGAGATGTGTTCGCAAAGTCCTTCAGCTCCTCAGGATGGTTCTCGACATACCTGCATAGAGTCAACATCTCTGAATGCTTCTACATGACTGAGATGACCCACCCAATGTAGGTTGCTAGCTGTACCACGATGAGCAATACCCCGTCTACCGCGCCACAGATCAACCCCTCTCGAAGCTCTGAATTCTCAGCCCAAGCCAGAACGGTATCAAACGGCGGGAATAGTTGTTTCAGCTCATTTGGTAGCCGGCGAACTTCGTCCTTGATTGCCCATGTTGCTTCATGGATGAATCGAGCCAGAACGGGGTAGTGTCTGTCCTTGCTGTAGTTGTGTAAACGGCGGAAGACATCTTGCAAGTCTTCTCTGGGGAACTCGTTGCCGAAATAGACGAGCTCCATTCTCCGATCGCTGTCGGAGTCTGAAGTGCAGGTGGGGGTGTACGAGGGCATCAATGCAGGCAGCCGCTCGTCCAAAGAAGGAAAATGTAAAGCGTAAACAAGTGACACAATGAACAGTTCTAGCAAAGACTCGACCCCGGAATTGTGGATCAAGAGCACAAGTCGCGGGTCCTACGCGGCTTGAGTGGGACAGCGGAAGTGATGTGGCATGCTAACAGGTCATATCTATGCAGAGTCGACTCGGAACTACGGCTGCAATGTAACGGGTAGGTCAGTATGATGTTGTCATTATTCCACGCATCTAACCTACCGGCATCCCTAGGGGCGGTGTTGTTTACCCGCGTGGCTTTTCGCCAGGTTTCCAGATGCCTTTTCCGAAGTTTTGGGAACGACCCAGGCAAGTTGCATGGTGACCGCTGTCATCGGGACGGGGACGGCTTCCACTGCATCGGACCCCGAAGTGGTAGTGGACTCACATGCCTTTAAAGAGCCGAGTACCAAGGTCTCGGCGCTTTCTCAATATCGGTGGAATATCAAACCGAAACACCAGCATGAATTTCCCCTGCATATTCTGATCGAGTTTGAGTGTCTTCGTCGTTTCTATTGTCTGCGTAGACTGTGTTCCATAGACTTTCTGACCAATTCGTGCGGTGCTTGTATAGTCACGTCAATATCCCACCTCACAACATATCCTCAAACATCATGGAAGACGATAAAGGCGGTTACCGGCAAATCAACAAATCCCTGAACATATGCGCGTTTGAGGATTATCTCAGGGGCCAAACGGCACGCCTGCCTCGATTAGAAAACGTTGAGCAGCTCACTCCGCGCGTGCTTCGTGTTCTAGGCCAGAATCCGGGGAAGGTAAAATCGAACCGTCCACCTGTTCACCGGACATCAGACTCACACTGTCACAGTTCACCTTTCAAGGCACCAACACCTACGTCGTTGGTACTGGCAAGCATAGACTGATCATCGACACCTCCGGAGGCGAGCCAGAATGGGCTGAGTTACTCTCGTCCACTCTAGCATCCATGAACATTAGCCTCTCGCACGTCCTCCTGACCCACTGGCATGGTGACCACACCGGCGGTGTTCCCGATTTACTCCGCTTATACCCACACCTCCAGAATTCGATTTACAAAAACTTACCCGATAAGGGCCAGCAAAACATCACCGACGGCCAAATCTTCAAGGTCGAAGGCGCGACGGTCCGAGCGATACATGTCCCAGGCCATTCAGAAGACCACATGTGCTTCATTCTCGAGGAGGAACAGGCCATGTTCACCGGCGACAATATCCTGGGCCACGGTACGAGCGCGGTCGAAGACCTGAGCACGTTCATGGCTAGCCTGGAAAAAATGCGCGCGGAAAACTGCCAGATTGGATACTCCGCTCATGGTGTTACAGTCACTGATCTTCCCGCCAAGATTGCCGGTGAGCTAGGCCAGAAATTCCGGCGCGAGAGGCAGGTTATGCAAGCGCTCGGCCGTGTTCGCGCCCGTGGTGAAAAGAGCATTACAGTCAAGGACCTCGTTACCGAAATCTATGGCGAATCTTTGGATGAAGGTACGCGCAGTTTGGCTCTGGAACCCTTCATTGGCGAGGTCTTGCGGAAACTCGCCAATGATGGTAGGGTTGCGTTCGAGATGCGCGGTGGGAAGCGGAAGTGGTATTCGGTGGAAACAATGGCGCAGCAGACTGTCAGAGGACGCGTTGAGGAGGCCAAGCGCCCGATGGTCAAAGTTCAGGGATAGATGGGGGGAATGAATCGAATTACATGGTTACTTCCTTTCTCGGCCTAACATTTAATTTCTATTGGTGGCTACTGAATACAATTGACCCGCTAATCTTCGCTTGCCCAACCACTCACGTTCGACCCGACTACCTCGGAAGGAAAGCAACATCGGAGCATCGGAATTCGGGTCAATGAAGGTGCCAACTTTCTCCACATACTGTGGTACTCACTCAGTCCCACAACTCCGACACCCAAACCCTGGTATCTGGAACCTTTCTACCCAGCTACATACTGAGCTCCCCCAACACTCCGCGCAACCCCAACACCGCACCCACCAACGGGAATACCGACCTCGCAATATGCATCCAAGCCCAGCTTGCAATCAAGCCCCTAACCTCCGCAAAGTCAGCCGCTGATGACTTACCCCCCGCCAGCTCCTTCAAACCGAACAGTCTATTATTCGTCGGAGCCATTACAATCCATGTGAACGGCACCATTGAGATTGTGGTCGCGGCGGCACTTGCATAGATGCGCCACGGCTTCGGGTTCGTTGCGCTCGCGGCAACGCGATTGCGCAACGCAGAGTACGCGAAGAGAGAGGTTGCGGCCACGCAGAATGCAGGCATGACCATGTGACCATAGTGATAGAGGCGAGCCCACTGTGTGAGGAGAGGGAGGGGCTGAGTGACGGTGTCGAACAGGACTGGAACGGTAACGATGGAGATGGATGCCATTGCACCTGGTAATGTGTTAGTTTGGGACCGTGACGGATGCCGAAGGGAGGAACGCACCGGATAGGAATGATGCGGTCATGAAGGCTGTGGCTTGCACCCCGATGGATGACTGTGTGGATTTTGGGCGTGGCGCCATTATTTTTGATACTGTGATACTGTGGTGAATTGCGTGCCGATTTTCTTGCTTTTCCAGTTCATCGGGCAGGAGTGTCTTGGAAGGCAGGTTATATTCCCTTCCTCATCGCAGCATGTCGGCAGCGATGTTCTGGTGTAGCGAACAAGTTGATCGCCGTGCCATGGCCTCGGACTGATAGAACAAGCCGAGCTCGACTGATTTTCGTTCTTCCGACCTGGGCTCCTTTCATACGACCTACCCCCTTCTCTCCGATGCCATGCGATATTACATGTCACCCCAACAATGAGCAGAATTTAGCAGTGTCAGACCATGCTTACGGACCTAACAATGGCCTCCACGCAATCAAACCAGACAGACACGTCTTTCGCCGCGCCAAAGTCAGCTGCGATAGCGCAGGATGGAACCCTTGAGAATGGCCACACTTCTCAAGAGCCCGACGAAAAGCGAAAATACCTTTGCCTCACTATTTGTGGCTACCGGAAGCCTGGAATGACCGAGGAAGCCTACCGCAACCACATGGTCAACGTCTCCGCGCCCATGACCAAAGACCTGATGGTCAAGTATGGCATCAAACGGTGGACTCAAGTAAGTTTTCAACCTGTCTCTAACCATATCGTCATCAATCATCGCACCCACTCACTTCCACTCGTCCTATTTCGCTAATTCTCACCAAAGATCCACAACCAATCCTCCACCCGCGCCTTGATGTCCCACCTCTTCGACCCCCAAATGTGCAACGTTGCCGATTTTGACTGCTTTAGTCAGGTCGTGTTCGAGTCAATCGAGGACTACAAGCGGATGAAGCAAGATCCATGGTATAAGGAGAAGCTTATGCATGATCATGAAAACTTCGCGGATACGAAGAGAAGCATGTAAGTATCGCATTGACTGTGCGCAGTATTGGGGAAAAGCCGGGTTTGGCTGACTATGGTGATACAGGATGACGATTGGTTGGATTGAGGAATTTGTTCGTGACGGACAGGTTGTGGACGGCTTCAAGGCATGTTAGGAGAAAGGGGACGGTGCGTAGGGAGGAAAAAAGAATGGATTGCTCGGGTAAATTTGGTATCGCCGGACTCATGAAATGTGATGAATATTGTGCTGTGCTCCAACCGGGGACGCCCGAGGCAATCGGTGAATGACCTATTCAATCCGCCATTGTGTCAACAGCCTTCTGCTCCTCTTACATATTTGTCTTGAGCTTTCGGTGTATGTTTAACCATGAAGCGCGCATTGATTCACCTGGAGCTTTTTCCCACACAGCTTGACCTCCCGTCGGCACGGGCACAGGAATCAAACATCAACCGCAGACGACGGTGGTGTCTCTCGACTCCTCGGAATTTGGCATTTTAATATTATGGGCAGCTTCGAGTTGTGTAGCTTTGTTATATACGCTATTCTCCTCGGGCCGGGCCCGACCAAAGTTTGTCTGGAGCTCTTTTCTTAACGGTATGTGCCTCTCGCCAAGGACAGATACAAATCCGAGTAAAACAAGTGCAATAGCCGCATACCACAAGTTCCTCAATGTTTCGACATACACTGCATGGACATTCCTTTGAACAGTATCTGGACGGCTAGCGCGATATGGGCCGCTTGCGAAATGATATGCCCGTCCATCTCAGTTGCAACTGTACGTCAAGGTAGTTTGCCAGACGGCCGTCGTTTTTGCTCCGTTGAGTGTTGAAAATAACTCCTGGGATTGTAGTTCCCCAAACAGAGCCAAAACTTCTCAAGAATGAGTACAGTCCCACCAAGGTGGCGACTTCTAATTCTGACAGACTGGCTTGCATAGCTGGGAGAACGGTTAGTATAATCAGTCCTTGGCCAATGACTTCAATTGCTTGAAAGACGACCAATAGATAATGCAGGAGGAGTGTCTGCATCCTGCATCGTGAACAGCCGAAGTCCTATCGTCATCAGCCATACCGCCGGAGCCCGAATCCTGAATTGTGCGACCGGCAATCAACATTCCAGCACTGTTCGCTGCGCCGGCGATATCACTACCTATAGCAAAAATTGAAACCGATATGAGCATAGGGGATCGTCGACCGAAGATGATGCAAAGCTGGGCTGTGCGCGGTTGCTCTACTGCTTGAGCTAGTAGGAAGCACCTAGCAATCGAAATGTACTGCTTATTTACGTCAGATATCTTGTTGGTAATATGAGGCTGAGCGATGGTGATGATTGATCCGTCCAGAGCGCAGTGAAAACTATTAGGCAAAGACGTAGAATAACGACCCAGAATTGTCTTCCCAAATGGCTTTCTGTCTTTCGAAGCTTGGAAGAATCAGCGCCTTGAGCGGCGGGCAGTTCAAAAGGAGGAGTATCTTTGAGTGCATGTGCAATTGGGGTCTTGATTGCCGTCAAGTATAAAGTCTTCTACTACGAAGTCCTAAGGTAGGTAGCATAAGTCCGAAACTCACTAGATTCTCCCGTAATCAGGCGAAAAACCAATGCACCTGTATTCTCTACCCCAATATTAGGCTCTAAAATATATGCTGTCGCATCTCCAAAGCCGATACCAACCGTTCAGCGGTTGACCAAATCACTCGCGTTTGAACCGGACTTTTGCATGATCATGATGAAACTAATTAGACAGATCAACAAGGCGATAACTGGATGTTATTTTCGAACTCTCTCACATTAACAGTAACGAAGAGATTATGTCAAATAGAATATACCAGATTCATTACCACTTATCCACTTATCGCGTGTCATAGGCCATATTGACTCTTACTCGTAGTGCGTTCACTACGAGCGCAGTAAAATAAAAGATCTGTTGCAAGATAAGGTAAGATCTAGATTCTACTGAATGAAGTAACTCTAAACTGATTCAAAATCGTACACCTCTCTACAAACTCCTCTCCCCCTAGTAATTGTCGAATCCTATCCAACACCTAATGCCGAGATAATTCTTGACCTGGCCTGCACTTCCAGCCCAATGTGTACCCGTCAGAACAACACCATTTTGATTTACAATGCTGTCAGAGATGCAAGGGAAGTTGTATCTCCAGCAGTCCTGGCTGTTTGCATAACCGTTTGAGCCGGTCAAGATGATGTTGTAGTGACCACCACAGTCTTGGGCTTTGGTAACCCATCCCATGTTGTAGTACTGGTGTACGCACTGCAGCTTCATCATCTGGTCGTCAATCAAGTCGGGTAGGGGCTTGCCGTCCTTGCCCTTGTTCTCCTTCTGCTCGCGGGTGGCCCAGGTGTTGCATTCCCAATTAGGTTTGTCTCTCGCGACACGTTCCCAAGTGGGAACCACCTCAAAAACGTTCCCAGTAGACTTGTGGACTGTTCGACCTCCCCACTTGAGGCTTTTGCTTTGGTTAGAAGTGCGATTGTAAGCGGCGGCGAGAGGAAACTTACTTGTGCTGGTTCAGCTCGTCATTATGGTCACATCCATCGACCAGTTCCTTCAAGAACTCGACGCACTGTTCAGGGGAAGGAACGTTGCCGTTCTTCACCTCGAGCCGAAGCTTGAAAGTGTCGTGGTCATGATCATATTGCTCTTCGACGATTCCGTCTTTGTACTTCTCGTCCTTGAAGTTCAGCTTGCAGAACGTGTTCTCAATGGCGTCAACCATCTGGTCGCGTTGTCCCCATTTCCACTTGAACTTGTCCTCGCGAACTTCCTTTTGTTCTTTGAAACAAATCTTGTCGTGTGCCTTATCATCTGTGCGATCGATGTCATATTCATACTTGCCGCAGCCAACATCAATCATGCCCTTCTCGGCCATGACCTGGGTACCACCTATCGTACGATTAGAAGAGGAGAAGGAGTGGGAGAGGAAATACGTACAAAGACCAGTAAGCTCCTGGAAGGCGCTGTTGCAGTCGATCTTGCAATTCTCGCCCCCGGTCCATATGAACTTGAACTTCCAGCCATCAAACTGCTGCACATTGAGAGGAGGTGCTCGCTTCCTGGAAGGCTTCTGATAGTCGGCATTGGTCAATGTCTTTTCAAGTTTGTCTTTGCCCACATCTTTGCAGAACGCAGGGAATATGCCGCTGAATAACTGGTATGGCGCTTCCGTGAGCTTCTCCGAACAAGAGCGCTCTTTTGAGCGATCCCACGGTGGGTTCTTGTCCTCAGATCCGTCGGTTGTGATCTTGTACTGAATGCAATCCTGCGCTACGTCGATCCCAAAGACCTTGTCGTTCTTCGCGCATTTTGACACACCATCGGTCATATGTTTGACACAGTCCTCCTCCGAGATTTTAGGTTCCTGCCCGCCGCAACTGTCGTCTCCAACCTTGTTCGCGGAGAGCCAAGCGGTGAACAGTTCGCCCTTATAGGATCGAGAGACTGGATCTTTGCCAACTACCGAGTTCGCAACGTCTTTGCAGAACGTCTTGATGTATCCCTCCAAATCTCCCTTGGGCATTGAGCTGTCAGAGAGATGTCCATCATTGGCGGGACAATTGGAACCCTCGCCGTTGTCATCGAATCCGTCTCCAGAATCCTTATTCCAGTCTGGATTTGCTGCAATAGCAGCGAGGATGGCCTGGTAAGCACCATCGTAACCGGGAATGTCCTTTGCCGGGTCGATTTTTATATTACATCCTTCACCCTTATTCCTATATTGAATGTCAGATTCGGCACTTTTATTTGGGTTTGGAGCGCTCACTCTTCTTCCGTTTTAACTTGGACTTTACCCTTCTTCAGGGTCATGCGATTCAACTCGATTTCAATGATGGTGAGTACATCTCCAGCGACATCGATCTTACCAAACGTCTGCCAGATGAAAATGGCGATGATTTGAACAAGCCTCCTGAGATCTGCCTCGCTGTACAGTGTCTTGATTGTCTTTGCCCACTCAATCATCGAGGTAATGTGTTCCGTAAGTTGTTGGTTTCCAACGATCTGAAGTTCGGCAGGGATACGTATCAACTCCATTCCTCCCAATCCGCCGTTAAGAATCGCCGCCATAATGGCGCTCTGTGTTTGAAGACGAAGACAAGTAGGAACGACGTCGTCGCGCCGCATTCGGGGCGATCGAGGGCAGATGGAGTGCTCAGCTGCGTCCTGCCAGAATTGCATATTGCCAGGAGGAAGCGTGATGACAATGTCTCCGTCGGATGCGGGCTCGACCTTAGGTGTAGCTCTGAAGAATCGAGTATTAGATAGGGCCACGAATTTGGGTTAAGGCTGGACTTACGTGACAGCTGGGCCGGAAACCGCCACTTTCGTTGGTTCCGCAGCTTCGCTGGGCTTGAACACGATCCCAGTTGCGGTTGCGTATGCATCCTGGTCCACTTTGGCGGTTGGCGTGGGGATTATAACTGCGGTTGGCATATAATCCTTCTCATGCTTCGTCAGATAAATCCATTGAATAAGAATGGAAATTCCGGCGACGGCAGCTGCAATCACGAAACGAGGAGCAATCTTCTTCTGCAGACCATCCTCGTTTGGCACCATGCCCAGAGCCTTCTTGGCACTTTCAATGCATTTTGGGTCCATGTTACCGCAGTCCGCCTCAACGGCGGTCTTGAAGGCGGAGGCGCGATCGGGCCCCAAGAATATCTTGAGATTGGAGCCATCGGGTTCAACTAAGATGTCGTTTCCTGTGAGGGTTGGGCCCTATCTGCAGTTAGACAAGTGTTGAGAATGACGGGCTGTAATACTAACCCCCGAGACTAGATAGTCCTTTGGTGGTTTGGCAACAACTGTGGGCTCCTGGGCCGTTGCTCCAAGAGCCCATAGAAGTAAGAGAAGTTTACCCGCGGTTCTACAAACCATCTTTCCCGAACTTTGTGTCGACCTGTGCTAATGAGCCTATGGTGGGTGGGAGATAGGTCGTATTTGTACCCCCTGAAGTGTTCCTATAATGTACGTTGGTCAAGGATCGAAATATGCCCCGTGTGCCGGATGGCATAAGGAAGCACACCGTACTTGGCGGTTGGGGGTTTGCGCTGGTTCACTCCTACCTTTGCGAGGATGCGTTTCGAGAGAATGATCTAATCAAACATAATCCAACGCAGCATGATCCAATCAACCGTCAGTCTGCTCAGACCATGGGCCTTCTCCCCAGGTACTTGCACTGTTCCAGCCTAGGGTTGAGTGCCATCCCTAAATCTGATCTGTCCTAAGCCCTAAACGCTGACATGATGTGGCCGCAAAGCCTCACGAGTTATAATGCTAACATAATGAGCGATTCCTCGGTCTGCCGCACGTCCCTTTTCCTATTTAGGAAATCTAGCTAGGCATGTAAGGGGCTGTGTAGGCTCCACGCTAATTGCTAGCGCCGATCCTAGCCTAAGAGATACGAGCACACATAAGCTAATTTCCACGCGCTGGTGGCGCTTCGTGCTCAATAACTAAGCGACGGTAGTGCGCTTGGGGAACTCCATTTCTGAGGCCTGACATCACTTTTCAGGGAGATTCAAGCTGTGTACAAAAGTACACAGGCTGGAAATGAGGGTATGCACAGTCATGTGCTGCTTGCCGAACCAACGGGCGGCTGTTGATGGTAGACTCATACGCGCGTTGTTTTGGTCGGGACCTAGCTCAATAGCGGATGTTGCGCTCGCGATGTGGGACAGCTCCCTGCCCCCAAGCCATCGATGCCTTTGCGCACCTTGCTTTTTGATCGTAAGACTTCTGTTCCGACGTGTGATTCCTTCAGAAATAGTTGAAAGGGATATGCTTAGAGATGGGGAGATATCCTATAGTTAGCATTGAGGATCCAGCTGTAAGTTACTCTGTACTCCGTACCTCCAATTAACCTGCGCAGGCCCCATTGCACTGTTCTGTCTGACGGTCAGATGCTGGGCTCGAAGTCGATGGAAGCTGACTAGTACTACTGAGGTCGCAAGCTAAATGTGTAAAAGGAGGAGCGGTAAGGCTGAGTGCACGGCCCAAATGGCTTGCTGGCATGGTCCAGTCCTGAGCCTGAGCTTTCAAGTTTGGGTCCAATTTTCATCAAAGACACGAGATCCTTTTGGCTTGTTACAAATCCGTCTAAAATTATCGTTAGTCTAGAAAAACGACGAGGCGATTTCAACGCTTATGCACATGATGTACATTGCACAGCCGGCATACTCTGGATTTCCAACTATGCCGAATTGTTATAAGATGGCATGGGGAGGACCTCACTCCCAAGTTCAACATAGACATCACACTCTCCTCGACCATGGGCCCCTTCGTTCGAACCCCGTTGCTGCTTCTCGTCCTCGCCCTCCAGGCTGCTTCGTTTATCGTCATCGATAGGCGATGCGACGCCTCGGAGAAAGGCGCTTTGGAGATAGCGATAAGAGAGACCAAAGAGATCGCGCAAGGTACTGGATCAAGTTTACGCTGTTCGGGTTTGTGCTAATCATGCTTAGCTGCCGTCGATGCCATGAATGCTCGCAAAATCGGCAACAGTGAGGAGGCCTACAAAGGCGCTTACGATCCGCTTTTTGGTGCTGGTGCTTATCCCAACGTAAAAGGTAGTTTTTGATGGACTCTTTGGCCATTATCCGCAATATTCTTACATTTCTAGGTGTTATGGAGAAAGTTGTCTCGCTGCATGACGATCAAGGATTCGGGGGTAAGTTCGCAAACGAACGGGAACAGGAGATCGTCCTTATACTGACTAAGACCACAGTGACCGTCTACTGCAAGGGCGGCATGGACCAAATCTTTGCTTTTGTCCCGGGTCCGCCAGAAAGAACCGAGGACAGGGACTTCCAAAACGCTGGAAAAGGGGAAGGTGAAAGGAAGGTGTATCCTGCCTTCGCGGGTAATTATCAGCAAATTTTCGGAGGAGACAAAAGCAATCTAGCCGCTAATCTCCACGGTACATACAGAAAGACGATTCCTTAACCATCAAAGACGCTAACCATATCGCCAGGTTACACGCCGGAGCCCGGCAAATTCGACTTCGCCAACCAGGCGCACATCTATCTGACCAAGGGCGCGTTTGAAATTGATCCCAAGTATGATAGCCGCCCCGTAAAAACGATCAGGGAATCTGGCCTCTCTACTGGGCACTCTCAACTCGATTCTATCCAGTCTACGACCACTATCTTGCTGCACGAGGTACCTGTTACTGAGCACAATCGGTTCTTTCAAGGACTAACGAACTCCTAGCTGATGCACGTTGCCGGTGGCTTGAGAGATCCATTTAAGCAGCGTCCTGGTAACCGCATCAGGGATGGCCCCGACGGTGTATGTCAAGACCCCTTTCGAAGGCAGAGACCTAAACTGACATTTGCCGGTACAGCTACTCTATGATTGGAAGCGCTGTGTAATCGTGGCAGCCAACTGGGACAGATTTCAGATAAAAACAGAGGAGACCGCGGACTGCCTCATGAAGTTTGCTCTTGGTAAGCGGAATGAAACTCGCGTAGCCACTTATACTGACCACACTAGCTTGCTACCTCCAACCCCCCAACAAGGATAATGCGCCTACTTGTTGGAATCTGGGTAATGTTGATCCGAATACTGGGAAACCTGCTAAGATCGAAGAGACGGGGGCATGGATAAAGAGGAGTTTGGAGGTTATGGATGCCCGGGCCAGATGGCATGCTCGAGCTTTCCGTTGAGCTCTCTTAATTTTCGGGAAGATCATTGTGGCCGCCTTGTACTTTAGATTTCTTGACTCCCCGTCCGCCATATCGCACGTTTGAATGTTGGCCGCCTTGCCATTCTTATCACAAGCAAGCCTTCTCACCGCGTCAAGTTCCGGTCCCCATTCTCCCATCTTTCATTAAAGTTTGGATGTCGGATGTCTGCATGTTCTTTGGAGCCTTTCCCCGAGGTCTTGAATGTCCATGTAGACGTCCTTCATCGCCCTTCTTGCACTCCCTTTTTGACCTTCTTTGGAGGCTTCAAGCTCGAAACACAACCCTGGGAATCTGCCGCTGTGTTCAGGATTTAGTGAACTCTTCTTGATATCATGTGGTACAAGGCCTGCGCACCGTGCCCCTGCCGGATGAAACTTGCCACTGAATAAAAGTAGGGGACCACTTGTGCAGCAGCAGTAGCCATCTCCAGTAGTCCGACCTCGAGCACGATCCCACCACTCGGCGCCGGTGTCGAGGACGACGCAGACTCAGGTAGATAAGCGGGCATCCGATAGCTAGGCGCTTCGGTAACTCTCCCCAGGGTGTCTTTATTAGCCACTTCATGCGTGCGCGAATGCCGCATCGCCTTGACAACCTCGCCGTCTCGTACAAACGGCTTGCTCTGCGATGCCGGGAATAGACGACTACATACTCGGGTATTGTCACCGTCGCAGCCTTCTGGAGCTATTACCGCTATCGTACAACATGTATCTGGATGGATCCCTGATTCAAGAGCCGTCTTGAGGGTGGATGGCCGAATCCGATCTTCAGGGCAATTTCAAAATAAACCGGAATAGTTTCTCACTGCTTCGCCGCCTTCCCTATGTGCCGGAGTGGAGCGAGGAATTCCCATCGGACATACATACCGCACCTGAAGGGCGGTTCACCCACCGTTCCGAGATACACCCTAAATGGGATGGGAAGAGCATTATGGACTCCACGGAGCTCGTTCAAGACGGCAAGTATGAAATCCCTTCGGGCATTATCGGCCATATCAACCACGGAGCAAAATGTCCTCGGTTCCTGCTTGACACCATACGTTGGCGTCAGGTACTGGCCGGATTGTCCGGGTGAGCGCAGTGGTCCCGAACAAGTTCACCGCGATTCCTACGGTCGGGAAGTCCAGGGTTTGAAAGACGGTACCCCATTTATTTTTGACAAGAAGCAAGCCGAAGGGCGGGCAAGTGGACGTGTCTGGCTATTGACGATTTTTTTGTCCTTGGATTCGACGGACCCCCCAAGCAACAGCGAAAACAGAGGAAATCAAAAAAACGCTTAACGGGCGCATGGATGACCCGGTCGTTTTCAGAAAGGTGACTGCATTGCCACTGTAAGATTGAGTTTGTATGATCCAAAACTCCCGTAGCCTGGCCCGCATCTGGCCGGTTTCTTCCTGTGAGAAGGGCAACATTAATATTGGAGTAGGTGCTCTTCAAATCGTGCTACCCCACTTCGTTGTTTTTATGGTGGTACTCTGTCAAAGCGAGCTCCCCTAGAGTCTCTCCATAATCAACACCCCTTAACCTTTTTTTGTCTTACTCTCTTTTGTCTCATTGTTGGTCATGCCGATGTCGTTTAGCTACTGAGCGTTTCTTCCATGTGCTGAGCGAACCTCACAGCTCCAACGTGGGACTTTGCCGGAAAAAAGGCCCCCATTATTAATACAAGGCAGTGACGGATCACGCTATGGAGACTGTAAACCTGAACTAGACCATCAAAATGGCGGACTGGTTTCCCCCAGTCTTCGGCATCTTCTACAGCACACTCCTCCTCGTCTATACGTCCACCTAAGATATCTGGCGACGGTCGCCGCGGGTAGCTGACGGATGTATCTATCCTGGCAGTCGGTCTGGCAAGTGTTGTTCACAATATGGATGATAAGGCCATGATCGCACACGTCACTGTGGAGAAGGATGTCAGGTCGAGTACGGAAAATCCATGGCGTCTGGCTTTCCACCATTCTCTCCGGCACACTCCTTTCCATCACCCTCCACTTCACTTAAGTCCCCATACAAACATCCCGTCGTCGGCCGCAGCGACGGAGCCGATGAATATGTCCGTCCCGGGAGTGAATTCGGTAAATGTTGTTCAATGTATAGATGGCGTCAAAACGACCCCGATGGCCATTGTCGCCCTAGTTGCAAAGCCCAAATACGGCCGAAGAAATATCTCTAGCCCTATCTCGCCTAACGGCCGTGCGGCGGTAGGAACAGGGAGTTTTGTCTGTCCTAGAAGCAGATGTGGTGATTGCTGCTCCTTGAACGGATTCTGCGGATCACGAAGCGCGTATTGTAGTAGAGGGTGCCAGCTGAAGTTTGGGATTTGCGACGCTAGATTAAATGTATTAATGGCTAGGGTGTGTTCGATGTTGGATGAAGCCTGCTGTAACCGGTGCTGGGCGCACTATGTGGACTGCCGTGGCGACGGGGGTAGACAAACTGTTCGACTAAAGTCTAAAAGGTGCCACGGTATTGGCAGAAATTTCTGTTGCTTTGTACGCTGTTTATGTAAGGACAGTCGGGAGGTTGCGTGGTCACAGGCGTAGATTTCGCTAGTGTACAGAAATTGAGTCTGCCGACCAGAGAGGCAGTGAGGCAGACCGACAAGCCGTGTGGCAGCTGTGAGCCAGGCTAGGAGAGCGATGTAACTCTTACCTTGTGCTTCAACTCTTTCAGGAGTGAGGAAGAAATGGAGCACGTAGACCTTAGCGAACCAGCTAAGGGACTTCTCAAGAGCCACGTTGACACCTCTCCGAGGGATTCTGAGCGGGAGAAGTTGCCGTGAAACTGAAGAGGGACCGCTAACCCCGTTGCTTTCATGTGGCGCCGACCTCTTGCTCCCCTAATAAGCTTTCTTCCACAAAACTTACAAAGGCGTCTATGGCCTCCTTCTCTTCAGCAGTCCCTTGTCCGTCCCTGTAACGTTTGAGTAGTCTCAACCCGTGGGCGTCGCCTCGTTTTGGTGTCCACTTCGGCGGATTGAAGGCAGTGTAGGAACTTCCCCTTCCCCTTCCACGCCCTCTTCCTCTGTTCCCATCACCACGAGTTTGCCCTCGTCCTCTGCCTGATCGCCACGTATTGTGGGCAGGGATTTGATCGTCCCGATCGGGTTCGATGGTTGCGGCATAGATGCGCTGTAGAAGAGGGAGCAGGGTCGTATGGGTTTGGAGGAGTTCACGAAATTTCGGGTTGGTTCCGAGGGCGGAGTAGTCGATCTGCTGTTTGATGTATCTGGGTACAGGAGGAGGGGCGGGTGGTTCGGGGATGTGAACTTCATGTGCTGTCGGGGTATGTGTGGTGTTAGAAGAAGCCGCGTCTTCTCCCAGGTGTTTCTCTTTATGCAGTTTGAAGCAGGCTAAGGAGCAGCTGAGAAAAGTTAGTGAGCGTCCGGGCCGTCTGGAGCGTGCTCCTACTATGGAAGTGAACAGGTCGGGCATTTGTATTTCCTTGGCTGCGCATTGCACACGCGGCACAGCTGTTCGGCCATGCCGGGCGAGGGAAGATCGTAGCTCAGAAGAATAGGTTGTCGGGGGCAGTCTCACTGCTTCCGCAGGTACAAGTAGTCACTACTGGGTGCAGCATTTCACCGTCGCCAATGCCAAGCTTGCGCTCTGCTAGTCCCAAAGTGGCTAGATTTTCCGCGGCGAACCTCAGCTCCATCCATCTGATCATTGTCGTTCAACCTCCGGCTGGCTCCCCGCCCTCTCCTCGCCATGTCGACCACATTGCCACTATTCCATGCGATACCACGCTTCTCCGAGCCCTGGGTGTGCGGACCATGCATTCGCGCCCTGGCTCGGCCATCTCGGTTGCAACAAATCCCGCATCTGCCTGCTCGAAGATGTCTGAACACGACGAAGGAGACGAGGCAGAGCGCTGTGCCGTCAATGGACAGTATGCAGGCCCGGTATAAGGAGAGGAACCGCACTACTATGTAGGAAGGGTGCCGAACAGACCTGCCATCTCCGTGCTAACTATCAAAGGAACTATGTTTTTAGCGTCATACTAGGGACTGCTGCGCTCTCGTATGGATCTGTACCAATGTACAAAATGGTAAATCAGCATTGATTGCTCTCCTTCCTCCAATAGGCCTTCGTCCGAGTACTTGTGCTTACCTGTGCGTTACAGATTTGCCAGACCACTGGTTGGGGAGGTCAACCTATCAAATCAGCTGCACACGGAGGCGACTCGTCCATAGACCCGTCGGAGCGCCTCAAACCCGTAGAGACGCACCCACGCATACGCATCACCTTCAACGGCTCCGTATCCGATGTTCTACCGTGGAAATTCGTGCCTCAACAGCGCGAGGTCCGCGTTCTGCCCGGTGAGACGGCACTCGCCTTCTACACGGCAACAAACATGTCTTCGGAAGATATCATTGGCGTCGCCACGTATTCTGTGACGCCCGGACAGGTGGCACCCTATTTCAGCAAGATCCAATGTTTTTGCTTCGAGGAGCAGAGACTGAATGCTGGCGAGACCGTCGACATGCCAGTTTTCTTCTACATTGACCCGGAATTCGTGAAAGACATCAACATGAAGGGTATCGAGACGGTGACATTGAGTTATACGTTTTTCAAGGCGAAATACGACAAGGACGGACATTTGAGACCAGTACCGATGGTATGAAAGAGCATCCAGATTGTACGATACAAGAGAGAGATGCATTGGACTCGGCATTAGACCCAGAAAATATACCGCAGAGCGCGCTGCTCGCGCGGCGCATCCATACATCACCACGCGAGACAATCTTCCCGATGTGGCAATCCTGCATGCTTGTACATTGTTTGGAAGAATGACGAGGCGGAGTGTGCACGGGCGAACCGCCTTGCAGACGTGAACAACCTTATAGAGGCTGGATATGTAACCAAAGGTAGCAAATGAAGTAATTTTGATGGTCATTATACAAGCCGGTGGCCATTGAGAATCAGAGGACTGGAACAGGAGTCATGTCGGGTACTCCAGGGCTGCCCAGGTGCTGTTGCTTCGGGGGCGTGCCTTCCTGATGGGTTCACCTGTTTTTCTCCCTCTCCCTCTCTCTTCTGCCCAGCTGGCATATTCCTTCCTCCACCATCCATCATGGAAAGCTGAAAAATGCTGACGGCGCATCTTACGAGCCCAAGACAAATCATCCCAAGCCTGGTAGTACGGGACTTGAGGAGAGATGGCGATGAGAGGTACGTAGGATGGACCACGGTGCGCAGCCGCGGGCATCTCACTGTGTTATAGCCACGCTTCTCACACCACTACGAACTTGCAGCCCATCTCGATTGCCCGTCATGCTACAACGTCAGAGTACTTCAGCAGCTGAGGAAGAGATGGAGAAGCAGCACCGCTTTGGGCGACGCGGCACGGTTTCTTCGACCTGGAGTCACACAACGGGATGTACTCCATAACCCGTTCGAAGCCCAAAACCTCGCACCGGCTCTCCCTCCTCACACACACACCGCCAGGCCGTGTGCTATGTTGGCTAGCCAGCCATCGCAGGACCAGACCAGACTACAAGTACACCCGAGACGCAGGGACGACATTTTCGCCGAGAAACCTGGGAGCTGCCAAGGCGATAGATGACGGCGGATCGTCTCAGCCCTTGGCAACGAGATGGCACAAGAAAGAGGCAGGACGAGGAGTCAAGGACGAGCACTCAGCACACACAGCTCTATGGAGCAACTCCGTACGGAGTACATCTACCACAAGCGCTCGAGGATTGTGCCGAGTGTGATTGGCGCCAGCACCGCTCACGACGGAACTGACGGAGCTTGCCCAGCGCCGAGGCCAAGGCCCAAGACATCTACCAAGGCTCTTGACCGTCGTAAACGCATGTAACCCAGCAAACCCGTCCGTCTCTCTGTCTCTGCCCAGGGAAAACGTCAAAGAGTCGCTCTCTGCCTCTCCTATATCTATCATGACTGTCGCCTCACCACCAGCTTCCTTCAGTTGCCGTTGCCTTGCGCCATACCGATTCATGTTCGCCGCCGCCTAGCCTGTCCCGCCCTGTCCCGCCTGTTTCCGCCCCGCCCGCCAGCTCGATGGACGCCCAGCCTCCGCCTCCCTCCGCGCCCTCTGCGACCTTCCATACCAATGGGCACTCGCACCGCGAACACGCGTCTATCCCGGACATTGAGCGCGACGCTCAGCTGAACCTCCCTCATCCACCCAGAGCACATCTGGATCCGGAGAAGGCGAGCTACTTGAACCCTCGCCAGGAACCCCACCCCAACGTCACCCATGTTGTATATGGCGCGGACGAGTATCCCGACAAAGGCCCCAACGAAAGGCCCCTTCAGTTGCTGGTATGTTCCCCTCTCTGGCACTACTCGCAGTACGACATTACTAATCGAGTGTCAATTGAAGCTATTCCTGTCCGGACCCTGCGTCGTACTATCAATTCTCGTCACCCTTTGGACGCTTCTCTCGCTCCTCACCGCCTTCGTGCTTCACCCGTTGCGCCTGTGTAGCACCGCTCGACCCTCACTAACCGCACGGCTCACAAGTTTCCTCGCACCGCCATTGAACCTTCAGCTCCACCTCATATACTCCTTGTCATACTCAACCGAGTACACGCTTCCCATGCTCATCCTTGTGCTCCTCTTCTCGCCCATCGTAGCCATTGGCGTCGCAGTTGGCGCCTGGACGGCCGCTTGTTTCTGGTTCTTCTCGGCCATATTGGGAGATCCTGCGGGACAGGATCAGGGCCACAATGACGGCAAGGACACTCTGCTCGGAGTACGGAACTGGTGGGACAGGTGGTTATCCAGGGGTCTGAAGCATACATGACGATGGAACAAAGGCTGGGCCTCCTCTCTTTGACGAATCATGGAGTTCCTCTGCATATACCTGTGTGGTTTTCCATTTCTCCCTGTCTCTTTAATTTCCAAGGGTCGTGATTCATATTGGTTAGCGGCATGGGCATGGACTGGGCATACTACGGCGTCTTCTGATTCTTGCTTGATCCATTCCCGGAAAGCGTACGATGCGTGGATATGTTAGGATGTCGGCTCTTTGTTTTGGATAGGACGGGTTCTCTGTCGGGATATTCCGGGGTGCAGCAATGGGGATCGCAATGAATGGATATTGGCTTCCAAGGCATTGGAACCTCAAGGTATGCTTAATAAATACAAGTTCGAGAAGAGAAGAGTATCAGAAAATTACATGGATCATCCAACAAAGGAAATGGCACGGGCGCGTGCGTTGCGTTGCGAAATCTGAGAAAGAAGAAAAGCGAGTGAATCCGAAGGAAGTAGCCAAGGAAGAACTGAAATGGGGTGTATATATATCGTCCATGAGGCGTGAAAGACATCAACAGTTGTATATGGTTGGGTCCCTGGTCTGACTGATCAACCCTCGAGGATCTTTGCATTCGCCAGCTTCAATCCCTTTGCGCGCGTCGCCTCCCTCTTCAAGCAGTTGCGCAGACATTTATCCACGAGGGCCCGGTCGTCGCTCTCGAACACAAACTGGTTCCAGTGCTGCCACTGCCACTGCCACGGTGTTGTTGTTGTGCTACTGCTGCTACCACTCCACCGCTTCAGACAGCTGCGCTCGCTGCCAATGTCCCTCTGGAAGACGTGGTCGAGGAAGCCGTACGAGTCCTCAAACGTCTTGTAGCAGCTCGTGCAGGCGAATGTCGCCTGCTGGCGGTTCCGTTGGCGTTCGCTCTTTCGACTCCCATGAGGGCCCGGTATAGGTGGTGATGGGAGGAGGTGCGACTGGAAAAGGAGGCGGCGGTAGTTTGGCAGGCCCGTGTGCATGGTCACTGCGATGTGTGCGGCGCAATGCGGGCATGCTTCGCGTTCGTCGTAGCGGGCCCCTCGACGTCGTACCTTGCGGGATGGGAAATCGTTGGCGCCTCCGGACTTTTTTGGGTCCTGCTGCTGCTGCTGCTGAAGCTCGCGCGCAAAGGGGCAGAAGTTGACGGAGAAGCGGGGCGGTGGGAGGAATGGTGTCGTGGTCGGGGGATGTTGGAGGCGTGAGTACAGGTCGCGCAGTGCGAGCAGGCAGGTGCGCCGGACGCCTTTGGCTGCCGTGAGGAGTTGGTCGCGGGGGAGAGGGATGGAGAAGCGGGCGAGGGCGCAGTCCTCGATGGGGACTCTGATTTCGTGCTGGACGCGGAGGAGCTGCGAGGAGAGGATGGCGTTGCATGTCGCTATGAATGGTCAGTATACATATACCCATATCTACACAATCGTCGTGCTAATCCGACAAGGTACTACTCACAGTCGCCCTGCTCGAACCTGGCTCCAAACTCATCGATGCCTTTATCCAGCAGTGCCCGCACCGCACGCCCCAGTCGCAGCACCTTGGCCAACTTATCCTCGAGCTTCCTCGTCCGGAACGAAGACATCACCACCCATTTCGACCTCCTCTTCTGCTTCCGCTGGGTTTTGCTTCGCCATTGCTCGTACGCCTCGTACGACTTTTGGAACTCGCGCTCAATGTCCCAGAGCGTCAGGGAGAGGTAATGCGCCTTTTCCCACGACGACTCGTGCGAATCGCTCGTGTATGCCGAGGCGTCGGAGATGTGTGTCGAGGGGGTAGGGGAGGGGAGGAGAGTCGATGAGGTGGTGATGGACATGGACGACATGATGATAGCTAAGAGAACGGGGGGATGGAGAGCGAGAGACGCGTCAATTGACCAAGAAAACAGAGAAGAAGACGAGGGGATTGACTTGAACTGCGGAAAAGGAATGACGAAAGTGAGGTCAATGCGGAAAAGTCTCGCCGGGAGAAGGGGCCCCAAGGATCCTCTTCAGGCCCACAAGGTGACGGAGCGCGCGACGACGAAGCTGGCAGAAAAACTTGGTCATGAACTGGAAGCCAACATGGCTGCGCTGGCGGACGCGAACCCGGGTGTGGCGTTACTACTTAACACAATAAGTACATTTTATGCATGCTGTCATGGGTCGTCCACGACAACACAGCATGTTCTCATCCTTATTGAAGAGGCGCGAGTCCAAATCGAGGGGAGACTGTCGTGCTGGCGGCGCATTGAGTTGTGCTGGCTTTGGTGGCGCGGCTCGGCGATATCAGAAGCAGCTGGCGCCCAGCCACCATTAAATGGATTCGTTTGCCCTTGCATTTTGCGCCGTGGCATGGCATGCCATAATAATTGCCGAGGCGCCGGGTCTTCCAGGAACCGATCTGGAGCTAATGTTCAGGTTTGTTGGAAAGACGGGACTTTGTGATGGAACCAGCGGAGACGTTCCAACTTCTGGAATCAATCAACATTCGTCGGGAGTGGGGCAAGTCCGCCTCTGGTTCGGACGGAACCTTGAAAAGTCGTCTGGAAAAGGGCACATGCAAGGTCATGATGTAATTAGTACAGTAGAACAACCAGTGGAACTTATCAGCACCTGTTCACCAATTATCGGTATACAAGTAGACTAGTAGACTACTGAAGGACTGCTTTTTTTAACCCTTGTTGGGAAGGTACGGCTAGAAGTAGGAAGCTCCGCAGTACCGAGTACAGTACATCAATGTCCGCGCAGTGTCATACCCCTATAAGAATATTAGTCTACCAGCTCCAAGTTCTTTGCAGCTTTAGGACATATTCTCCATTCCTCTGGTCTACGGTATATAGATGAATCCTAAATATAATGCTTGACCTGCAGTGAACAGAGGTATACACCAGCCCCGCGCTCCTTATCTTATCGCCATAAAACTACCCCACCAAAGCTCCAAATCCACCAGACCTTGCAGCGCAGCAAAACATCTTGTTGACCCGACCTCCCATATAACTCGCCATAGCAATCACCCAGCCCTCAACCACGGAACACAATGTCGCACTCCCATTCCCACGACGGCTCCTCCCACCCGCACTCGCACTCGCACGGCGACGCCGCCGCCGTCGACCATGGACACACGCATGAGATCCTCGACGGACCCGGGTCGTACCTGGGGCGCGAGATGCCCATCATCGAAGGACGAGACTGGGACGATCGAGCCTTCACGGTCGGAATTGGCGGGTACGTGATAGATTTCCTTCCATCTCCAGCAGGCAAGGGGACCGGTTCCTTCCTTTCTGGCGGTCGATCAGAAACATTTATAAGTATAGCATGCTAATAGACAATTGTGGAAAATAGACCCGTAGGATCGGGAAAGACGGCTCTCATGCTGCAACTCTGCAAGGCGCTACGAAGCCGCTACTCCATCGCCGCCGTCACAAACGACATCTTTACGCGCGAGGACTGCGAGTTTCTGACGCGCAACAACGCATTGCCTTCGTACGCCTCCTACCTCCCCTTCTCTCTCATCCCAAGACGACGATAAGAGAAACTCCCAGACAACAACAGCAATAATCACCAAAAAGGCTAACTACAATGTCCGCAGCGACCGCATCGTGGCCGTCGAAACGGGCGGCTGCCCCCACGCCGCCGTCCGCGAGGACATATCGACCAACCTCCTGACGCTCACCAACCTGCACCACCGCTTCGACACGGACCTCCTCCTCATCGAGTCCGGCGGCGACAACCTCGCCGCAAACTACAGCCGTGAACTGGCCGACTTCATCATCTACGTCATCGATGTCGCCGGCGGCGACAAGGTGCCTCGTAAAGGCGGCCCGGGCATCACGCAGAGCGACCTGCTCGTCGTGAATAAGATTGACCTGGCCGAGGCCGTGGGCGCCGATCTGTCCGTCATGGAGAGGGACGCGAGGAAGATGAGGCAGGGCGGTCCGACCACGTTTGCCGTCGTGAAGCAGGGGAAGGGCGTCGATGAGATAGTGGATTTGATTCTGAGTGCGTGGAAGGCGAGTGGGGCGACGCAGGCGAGGAAGGAAAAGTACGTGCCTGTTGTCATGGAGTGAGGGGGGTAGAGGGAGAGAGGCTAGTTGCAGGGTGCATCTCAATCACCGCCACGGTCGCGGAATTCGGATGCTGAGGGTCCGGCATAGGTCATGTCACCTTCTTCCACAGGAGCGTCGTTGTAGATATGAGCTTTGATTACTAGAGGCGAGGTGTACCGCGTGATGCAGTACTGCTCGGGTATGATGAAGAATTATGTATGCTGATAGACAGAACGAGGAGATAGGGGTTTGGGGGTATCCAGGAACCACGCCGGGCCAGATAGGAAAACCGACGACCAAAAAAGAAAAGGAAGATACCCAGACTGACGCCAGAAAATGCTTGATGACGTGTTCCGTATGCCGGATCATCGGAGGCCGTGACTAAAGGGAAAGGGAAAGGAGATGAAATCTGAAGGATGGTGCTATGGTGTTGTGCTATGCTCAACACCTCGACAGAGGATATACAGAAAGGCAAGGAAATTCATTACCAGTCGTTCAGCATAGCGCCGAACTCATCCAAGGCCTCGACGAAGGAGCTCCAGAACCCGCTTCGCTTGGGCTGGTCCACCTTGACGAAGACCTTGTGGTGCCTTACTGTCCGGGGTTCGCCTTGACGGTCCAGTTTCTGCTGCAACTGCGCAACAGTATCGCGAGTCGTCCTCAACTCTTGGCGCAGATCCGAGATGATGTCCACGTAGATTTCGTTGAGCTGCTTCGTTTCGTCCAGCCGTGTCTGCAATTCCGCAGCGTGCACTCTGACGCCTTGGATGAATGCTCCCACCTCAGCGACGTATGCCTCGGCTTCCTCTTTAGTCAGGCGCTGCGACTTGTCCACTCCTTCGACTTTTTCCAGTTCGGAGAAGAGATGCTCGTCAAGTTGTTTAGATTGCGCCTCAGGGGCCGAGAGATAGCTGGTCATGGCCTCGAACTGGCCGATGATGTATTCCATCTGTGTGGGACCCGGCTGGTTTGTGCTTATCAATCGCTCCAGGTTATTCAGACAGGAGAAGAGCGCATGCTGTACTGGAGACGCGCGTGTGAAGTCAGCCGACGGAGGGGAAGCCCATGGCGTCTGGGGTAGCGATGATGCAGCGTCAAATGTAATCGATCGTTTAATAGGTACTCGCATGCTATCTGGGGTGAAGGGGTACTGAGGCCCATGGCGTTGGACGGAAGTCTTGGTTGGTGTATACGGGCGGCTGTCTGGACTGCTTTGAATGGAACCAAATCCTCGGGATGCGGACGGGCTCACGCGCCCTTTCTTCTGCACACTGTGTGTAGGAGATAGGTCGGGAGAAGGTGAAGGTGAAGGAGGCCATGCGTCTCGAGTTCCTAGAGCCTGGTCTGACGCCGCGTCAAGACTCGAGCCGCTGGAGTATGTAGAATCGAAGAGGGTATCGTCGCGTACATCTACGGCTGCTGACCTCGGTTGCTCTGAGCAACTTGTATCTGCTTCCATATCCGGTGGGGTCAACGGTCTTGGGGTGGGGAGGGGACTGGAGTGCAGAGGTTTCTTGCTGGTTGTCGCGCGCTCCTCCATGCTCGACGGGCGGTGCTCAAGACGTCGAACGAGGAGGCCGATGGGAGGAGATGTCGACAGACGGCGATCTTCAGTGCGCGCACATAGCGGATGCCTCGATAAGATGCTGGGTTGGGCGAAATGGCAGAGAAACAAAACACGGCCTCACTTGAGGTGCGGTTGGAATAGAATTCTGGGGCAGCCGCATCGCGGGGATTTACCTGGCTCGAAATCTGGCTGGTCCAAGCGCAAGCCAAGCCGCCTAGTCGGGAGCGGAAAATCTGCCTAAGAGCGTTCCGTACAGTCACCGGAGGTCGGAACGCGTCCGCAAGAGGCATTCGACCAGTTCGAAACACGTTTGCACAATTGTCATTCACTCTGGAGAGTTCCCTCCGTTTTTCGATTTTTCTTTGCTTTGAGTGTCCCGAGCTTTTACGTCCAAGCTCGTTGAGAGCACACAGAAAGAATGGCGTCGCAGGTATCCGCATCCCATCCTGGACTCTGTGGTCTGAGCGAAAGCTGATCGTATGCCCCTCACCAGCTAGGTGTGCAGCCCTCGCTCGACACGGTGCGAGAAGTCCTGGCCGCAGCCGTCAACTCTCCCAATCCGCCCAATCTCGTCCCCATCTTCTCCTCCATCTCCGCCGAATTCTTGACCCCCTCGAGTATATACCTGAAAGTTTCCGCCAAGTGAGTCATGATCCTGTGAGGGTGCGATTCACACCATGTTTGCGCATACTGCACCACTGCGGCTGGTTGTAAAGGAATATTGTGTCGGATGATCCTCAATTGGAATACGGAAGGGGATGAATTCTTTTACCTTGGCCATGAAATCTTCGAGGCCTTCGCCGAAGGTTGACGGTGTCTGATGGTGTTGCAGATCCAAGTCGAAACTCTCATTTCTTTTTGAGAGCGCTGCTACAACAGAAACAATCGCACGATACAGTTTTGTCGGCGTAGGCGAGTAGCCGTACTCCGCTTCACAGACACAGACCTGGTCCTAACGGTCAAACCCAGATCCGCACAAGGTCATCAAGACGGGTCCCGGCCATGGCGAGGAGGCCGATCCCTTACCCATCCTCGAGAAGGAGCTGTCAAGATACAGAGTCGCAACCATTCCCTCTATAACACTGCCACCGCTGACGGGCGGTGCGGTTGGTTATGTGGGGTATGACTGCGTCAAGTACTTTGAGCCGAAGACGCGGCGGGACGACATGAAGGACGTGCTGGGAGTGCCGGAGAGTTTCTTCATGCTGTTTAATACCGTGGTTGCCTTGGATCACTTTGCGCAAGTGGTCAAGGTCATCACCTATGTCACGGTGCCGGACAATCTGGACGATCTGCCGACGGCATACCAGGATGCAACTGCGCGGTTGCAGAAGTATGTGTCGATACTGAAGGAGAAAGAGGTGCCACTCCCTGAGCAAGGGCCGATCCAGCTGGGGCAGGAGTACAAGTCCAACATTGGACGGGATGGATATGAGAACCATGTCAAGAAGCTCAAGAAGCACATTGAGGTGGGAGACATCATCCAAGCCGTGCCGTCACAACGGTTCGCGAGACCTACGTCGCTGCATCCCTTCAACATCTACCGGCATCTTCGAAACGTCAATCCCTCTCCGTATCTCTTCTTCCTCGACTGCGAGGACTTCCAGATTGTGGGCGCCAGCCCCGAGCTGCTCGTGAAGGAAGAACAAGGGCGGATCATCACACACCCGATCGCGGGGACAGTCAAACGCGGCAAGACATTGGAGGAGGACAGCGCCTTGGCGAATGAGCTGCTCAGCAGCATCAAGGATCGGGCCGAACATGTATGTAGGGGCAGGCGAAGCATGGGCGGGCCACAAAGCTTACTTTGACGTCAACAGGTGATGCTGGTGGACCTGGCACGGAACGACGTCAATCGTGTTTGCGACCCGCTGACGTGCCGGATAGACCAGTTGATGGTGGTTCAGAAGGTCAGTGTTCAATGCGGAGCTGCCGTCAATCCAATTGCTGACTTGTTGGGCAGTTTTCGCATGTGCAGCATCTCGTGTCGCAGGTATCGGGAGTGCTGCGGCAGGGCAAGACGCGGTTTGATGCATTTCGGTCGATATTTCCAGCAGGAACCGTGAGCGGAGCTCCCAAAGTTCGGTAAGGCGGCGGGCAACCCTGACAGCGATGCAAGATATGGAAGACGCTGACTAGGGAACGCAGGGCCATGGAGCTGATAGCAGAGCTGGAGCGGGAGAAGCGCGGCATCTATGCTGGGGCGGTAGGCTACTTTGGCTACGGAAGCGTGGATGGGGACAAGGAGGTGGAAGGGGCCATGGATGTGAGTATAGGTTTCTCTACCTAGGTACAAGTGGTGGAAGCGCTGACGTGTGGCAGACATGCATCGCGTTGCGAACGATGGTGGTCAAGGACGGGGTTGCGTACCTGCAGGCGGGTGGAGGCATCGTCTTCGACTCCGACCCGTACGACGAGTGGATGGAGACGATCAACAAGCTGGGTAGGTGGAGAGACTTAAGCGGAATAGGGCAATGCATTGAGACTAACCTGACGGAAACAGGAGCGAACATGGAATGCATCACATCGGCGGAGAAGAAGTACTATAGCGAGCAGGTCAATGAGGAGGATGGTGGTGATGGAAATGGGCGAGGGGCAACGCGGACGACGGCGCACATTGACCTCGCTGCTGGCTAAGGTGAATGTGGCTGGCGGAAGTGGCTGTGGAAGCGAGTGGAGGCAGGGATGGCCTGTCTACTTGTAAGCTCTTCCAATAAGTAGTCTACAGCCTCTGTTCACATCCGACTGAACATGACCCTGCACTCCCTCTGTACTGCTGTTTTCCACATCTGATGTAAACAGCTAGCAGGCGTAGCATTATAGGAGGTCCTGCAATTAGCTTTGTAGCACGACTCTACTTATAGTAGTATGTTTAGAAAGAAAATTCTACCTATTGCATTATTAAGTTGTAGCTAGTTAGCTTGTGCTAGGTAGGTAATTCTACCTACAGATAAATTGCAGCCGGATGTTTAGTTGGACGTGGAAAGCCGCAGTACAGAAGAAGGCTTGGGAGCTTGGGCCCTCCACCGACGTCACTGTTAAGAACTGCTGTTGAAGCTCCCCACAGCACACGCAGCAGTAAAAGATCAAGAAGTCTGGACAGGTTTTTCCGCACACAAACAATACTGTGTTTGCGCTGATGGTGTCACAAAATAGACTCCTCTGTAGCAGCGCAGAAGGTGTTGCAGTGAAGGACGGTTGCACGGCGGGCACACAACAGGAGCACCTGGGCGTCATTGTTGGTTCATGGAGAGCGGGTGGGGAGCGCCAATTCACAGCAACGAGGGCATGGTCATTGCCAATTGGAGGTTCTGGTGGGTCCACTCCGTGCTCTGTGTCTGGCTTCACTTGCCCAGCTGTAGCTCTCGTGTGTCCCTGAAGCCATGCCCCTACTGTGATACAGCAGTCGCTTCTTCTCCCGATTAAACCGTCACTGCCCTGCCACTCGAGGCCGCAAACAGAGAACCAAGAGAAGCAGCTGCGTTTGCGCGCTAGCGTCGTTTGCGGCCGCAAATAAAGAGTCGTCGCCCTCTCTCCCCGCACCCACTTTCCTCCTCCTCTTCCCAAAACAACAATCATCACGCCCCATTGCCCATCCTCGCTTGCCCTCTCGCTATCGACCATGATGAAGATCGCCTTTGCGCTCCTCGCCATTGCTGGCGCCGCCATGGCCCAGAATCTCAACGACCTCGATCCGTGTGGTGTACGTGGGCCGTCCCCCAGGGTCTTCACAATGAATGGCATTCGCTGACCCCATAACCAGCAAACGTGCGTCAACAACATGCTGCAAATCGCACAGAGCCAGTTCGGCTGCAGCCCGGGAGACGCCGTCTGCTACTGTACCAACCCCAACTTCGGCTTCGGCATCCGCGACTGTGTCAACGAAGCTTGCAGCCCGGACCAGGCTGCCCGCGTCATCGCCTTTGGAACCGAATTCTGCCGCAGTAAGCCAGTGCTGCCTCATAGCTCATGGGAGACCACTCACTCACCGCAATGTAGACGCTCTCGCCTCGTCTTCTGCTCTTGAGTCGGCCACCACCGCCACTAGCAATGGTCCTGCGACCACAACCGTCGCGACTACAACGGCCGCCTCTGAGACAACGGGCGCCTCTGAGACCTCGTCCGCCACTTCTTCGGCGACGTAAGTGACCAGCCTCCGCGCCCTCCTGTTGCCAAGTTCTAACAGTGTGCAGCTCTGCTACTACTTCTGGTGCCGAGGCAGCGACGTCCATCACCACCAGCGTCGCGTCGCCCGCCACTACTGCGACCGCCTCTCCTACGGGTGCCGCTCCCTTGGTGACGGCCTTCCCCTTGGCCGGCGCCGCTGGTATGGCCGCTTTCCTTTTCCTTTAAGCGCCCCGGGCCGAGAGTCAACTGTCGGACGCCATATTCCCTTCATCGATGTGGTAATGTCTATAATGTCGCGGGGGTGCCCAAGGGAATATCTGACGGTTGGCATTGCGCGGCAAGAGGGCGTGCGTATGTCCACGGGGGATATCTGTCTGCCCGGTTTCACTGGGTTTGGGCTACATTTCTTCGGTGGTATGACACTAGCTCATGATGACTCGTGTAGTGTCTAGTCTTCCTTTATGGTTATGCGCCGGTTTCCACGTAAGGATACCCTCATTTCAGTACACTGAGTGGGTGAGTCTGCTCACGCGTGACGGCGGTGGGTTAGGCAGCGAAATTACAAGCAATCAAGAGCCTCTAGTCCATCTGGCTCGGTTCACGATTGTCTGTGTCGCGTCTTTGTGCTCGTATTTCCAGTCGTTGTAGGTAACAAGCATGGCTCGGGAACGAGGGACGTTGTGTCACGTCGTCTTCCAAGGTTGTCGAGCCGTCGTTCTCGTGGCTTTGGCCCCTTTTTACTCCAGCGGGAGGGAGTAACGGCCTCGAGGATTGGCCATTGGTGGGTCGGAATCGTGAGGAAGTTGGTCGGGTACCGAGCGAAAGGGGAAGAAGGGGAGAATCGGAAAGACGTGACGTTGCATTTGAGTTGTGCCCACCATGCTCACTTTTGGTACGAATCCTGCCTCGGCGGGACATCTGTAGATCGGCGGGCCGGGCCCGGGGGATCCATGCATTTTCTCAGGGGAACAGTCAGCACATGGAGAGATTGCCACAGCCCTGACTAAAATAAGTAGGATGACTTTTCTTCTTGATTACTGCAGTACAACAAGCATCAAAAGGAGTTATTAGACCTCGATTTGTCGGAGAAAGTTGCCTAATGTGGATTGATTAGAGCGCGGTCTACCAGTAAACAACATTTAGACCTGGCAGGTTTCAGGAGTAATCTAGAGGGATACAGTATATGGCATCCCTCCTGCGTGTGGTTCCAGCAGTATAATAGTAGGTTTGCTGAATCAGCGAACCTTCAGACCTGTCAATACGAGGGAAGTTACAGAAGGTTACAGAAGGTTACAGCGAGAACGTGTGTGAGACTGACGGAGCCACTTAACAACCAAAAAAACCCGGGTTTTTTGTGGATGAGTGCTCGCCATGGTGCACTGCAAACAAGCGCTTTACTTAGGTAGAAGGGTTGACATGTAGCACGTGACTTGGACATTCACTCTAACTACCATTGAGGTGGCACGAGATTCATGAAGTAGACTAGTGCCCGGATGTGCATTAACAAGTCGCGACAGGCGTCGGACCGACAATTGCCCGGCGGGGCTTCCTTGGGGTTCATGGATTTCCAGCGGGGCTACGGAGTACGGAAGAATTAATTCTCATCAATCAACGGCCAGCGTCTCTTTATCCAGCGTGCGGTACCAGACCAAAGACGGGAATGGGGCAGCTCTCGTCGTGGGGGAACTCGCCCTTCGCAGCTATGGCGTGGCCCAAGGAATATAATTGCCATTCCTTGCTCGAGTACAAATAGTGTCGTTCGGCTCTACTGTTGGATCGAGCTCTAGCCAGAGTCTACGCCGAACCCTACGTCCACGATGAACACTGCCCTCCCTCTCAACACGGGTGCAACCATCCCCGCCCTCGGGCTCGGGACCTGGCAGTCCGCACCGGGCGAAGTGAAAGCCGCCGTCATCCACGCCATCGAAGCCGGCTACCGACACATTGACTGCGCGTACTGCTACCAGAACGAGGACGAGGTGGGCGAAGCACTCCAGGACGTCATCCAGCGGGGCATCGTGAAGCGGGAAGAGCTCTTCATCACGAGCAAGCTCTGGTGTACGTTCCACACTCGAGCCGAGGAGGGCTTGCAGAAGAGCTTGGAGCTGCTCAAGCTCGACTATGTCGACTTGTACCTGATGCATTGGCCGGTCCCGATGAATCCCAACGGTGAGCTGAGCTGACTTTCCGACTCGGTATACAGTACAATGAATCTAACCCCTCTGACAAGGAAACCACCCCCTCTTCCCCAAACTCCCGGACGGCTCCCGCGACATCGACCGCAGCATAACCCACATCGACACATGGAAGGCGCTCGAAAAGCTCATCCAGACCCACCCGGACAAAGTCAAGGCCATCGGCGTGGCCAACTACTCGGTCAAGTACCTCGAGAAGCTCCTCGCACAGGCGACCATCGTCCCCGCCGTCAACCAGATCGAGAACCACCCGCTGCTCCCCCAGCAGGAAGTCGTCGATTTCTGCAAACAGAAGGGCATCCATATCACCGCGTACAGTCCCCTGGGTAGCACGGGCTCGCCGCTGTTCAAGGACGAGACGGTGCTTGAGATTGCGAAGAAGCATAATGTGGGCGCGGGGACTGTCCTGTTGAGCTACCACCGTAAGCATTTCGACGTCACTTTTCTCCATCAAAAGTCTAATAACTGATGTCAACAGTGGCTCGCAACTCGTCCGTCCTCGCCAAATCGGTCAACCCGGCCCGCATCGACGAGAACCGCAAGCTCATTCAGCTGGACGAGGCTGATATGGCAACGCTGGCGGCACTCCCGGAGAAGAGAGGAGGGTTCAGTCGGTTCGTGTATCCGCCTTTTGGCGTCAATGTGGGCTTCCCGGATAAGCCTGAGGGGATCGATCTGAGTGGTTGAGCTGATTTAATGGGAATATATCGTGACTTGTATAGAAGGTTGAGTAATTCAGCGTTTACGAATATAGACCTCATAGATGAACTAACTGGCCATATCTTATTATCTCGTGCATCTATATCTCTATACTGGTTTCGTCATGCATCTCATGGTCGATCAAATCTCGCCGCTGTATCACAACCAAGACCATAGATACAACACCTACCTCCCCATCCACCCCCCATCCACGGTAACCACCTCCCCACTCACATACGCACTCGCCGCACTCGCCAACCACACGACGACGCCCTTGAAATCCTCGGGCCTTCCCCACCGCCCCGCCGGTATCCTCTCCAGGATACTCGCCGCCCTTCTCTCATCCTGCAGCAGCGCCGTGTTCATCTCCGTCGCGATGTACCCGGGAGCAATGGCATTCACATTGATGCCCTTACCGGCCCACTCGTTGGACAAGGCCTTGGTCAGCTGCGCTACTCCACCTTTGCTAGCCGCGTACGCAGGCACGGTGATGCCGCCCTGGAAACTCAGCAGACTGGCTACATTGATGATGGCGCCGCGGCGGTTGAGCGGCAAGGAGGGGTCTTGTTGGAGCATGTGCGCGCCTACATCTCGACATAACGTGAACACGGTGTCGAGGTTGACCTGCAGGACGGCGCGCCAGTCGTTGTCTGGGAATTCGTGGGCTGGGTGGCGTCGCTGGATGCCCGCGCAGTTGAGCAGGATGTGGATCCTGTGGCCGTCGGCGAGGATGGTGGGGATGAGCGAGGAGACGGAGGAGGGGGAGGAGAGGTCTGCGGTGTAGATTGTGGCGGTTCGGCCGAGGGATTCGATGGTTTGCTTTGTGGTTTGGTTGGTGGTGTCTCTCTGGGAAGGGGATTGTTAGGGTGTTAAGGGTTTGATAGAGGAGAGAATAGATGGACAGACCTGGACGAGAAGGATGTCTGCGCCGGCTTCGGCTAGGGCAATGGCCATGGCCTGTCCGATGCCTCGCGTGCCGCCTGTGATGAGGGCGGTCTGGCCTTCGAGCGAAAAGAGCTGGGGGATAGAAGTCATGGTTTGGCGGAGGTGAAGGTTGAAGGTGGGCGAAGTATCTATGGATTGAGACGATGGAACAAGGGGTGGAGTGTCGTCAATTGTGAGATTTGACGTCGAGTCCTTCGAGACGACTTCAAGACAGCATCAATTTACACCTTGAAGTCCAAGTTCGTGTACCTTTCGTACCTGAAGGGAGTGAATGATGCGGGGTAGCGCGGGGCACTCCCGCTCGGTACCCAGGTACCCGACCCGTCGTGCTCGGTGCCCCTTGACCCGTGCACCAACCACGACGGACTACCCAAAGAGGCAATTCACCTCCGCAACCTCCGAGAACCTCACGAACCATGATTGGGATAGCTTTTCTCTGGAGTTGGCATGTAGCCGTATCGAGGTAAGTTTCATCCAGGATCGTCTTTCTCCTCTCTCTCCTCTCGATAGACTACTCTTTTCCTCCTCTTCCATATCGTCACCTATTGTTAGCACTAAATCTTCTAGCAGTCAATTCCTCCCTTCATTACGCTTTTCTGTAACCATAGATTGAACCCTCAATCTCTCAGACACACCCAATCCCCTACAGCAATGACCACCACCACCCCCCAACAACCCCTCGAAACCCGCGCCTCCGTCCTCCACGGCGCAAAAGACCTCCGCATCTCAACCCGTCTCCTCCCCCCACCCTCCCCAACGGAACTCCAAATCGCAATCCACACGACGGGCCTCTGCGGCTCCGACCTACACTACTACCGGCACTTCCGCAACGGCGACATCCTCGTCCGCGAGCCTCTAACACTGGGCCACGAATCCGCCGGCATCGTCGTCGGGATCGGATCCTCCGTCTCCAATGATGGTTGGAAGATAGGAGACAAGGTCGCGCTCGAAGTGGGCCAACCGTGCGAAACATGCGACCGCTGCAGAGAGGGGAGGTACAACATCTGCCCGCAAATGCGCTTCCGGAGCTCCGCGAAGGCGTGGCCGCATGCGCAGGGCACGTTGCAGGAGGTGGTGAATCATCCCGCGAGGTGGTGTCATAAGTGTGTTGACCTTCCTTTTCACCCCCATAATCTACACACTGCATACCTTGTACAGGGAGATTCAATTCTGACCAATTGATAACAGACTCCCCCCAACCCTCACGCCCACCCACGGCGCCCTCCTCGAACCCCTCAGCGTCGCCATCCACGCCTGCCGCCGGGCGTCACTCGCCCCAGGCTCCGCCATCCTCGTCTTCGGCGCGGGAACAGTGGGACTTCTCGTCGCTGCCATGGCCAAGATGCTTTCGAAGGCAAGTACCGTCGTCATCGCCGACATCGATGCCGGACGCGTCGATTTCGCTCTACGGAACCGGTTCGCCGATAGGGGATTCACGGTTCCCCCGAGGAGGAGAACAGGAGAGAAGGGTGAGGATATAGACGACCACCTCGCCGCTGCAAAGGAATTGGCCGCAAAGATGGGAAGCGAAATCCAACGGACGGACGGAACCGCCCTGGGCGAAGTCGACGCCGTCTTCGAATGCACGGGCGTGCCCTCGTGCCTCCAGACGGCCATTTACGCTACCCGGCCCGGAGGCAGAGTCATGCTCATCGGCATGGGGACCCCGGTGCAAACACTGCCCATCAGTGCCGCGGCCCTGCGCGAGGTCGATCTCGTCGGCGTGTTTCGTTATGCGGATACCTATCCCGAGGGTATCGAGGTCATGTCGCGGAGAGCAGAGGGGGATCCCGATTTCGACTCGTTGATAACGCATAGGTTCAAGGGGTTGGATGCCGTCGAGCAGGCGTTTGAGATGGCGGCGAGGACTGTGGATGACAATGGCAATCTGGTCATAAAGGTGGTTGTGGAAACTAGTAGTTAGATATCCGCAGGAAGGCAAATGCTGAGCGTCTTGCGCCCAATCTTGATGAGAAACACGCAATGGCACTGAAACAGCTATTCAGTGCCGCCGAAATGTGAAGTACGACTTCATGTAGCTGCTCTATGGAAATCAGATCTGAAACTTTTGCTATGGTGAGTAGACAAAGGAAAATCTATCTCTCAGGCGTATACACGCCCATGCTCGGAGAAGGTCTAAATAACACAGCACAACCGCATCAACCATGATATATGCAAGGCCTGAACAGAATCCCTTCCAGAAATGCACTCATGCAATCATATCCACATACCAACTGCCATGATGTCCACCCTCTTGACCCTTTCGAGATACTCACCTGATGGCTACCGTACAGCCAAACCCTCAACATTCTCGAAAGCGAAGCTGGGCGAACCGGGCTCCGCGGTGGCCGCTTGAGGCGGCAGGTCCTTCTTTTCCTCACCCTTGCTTCCATCCTCGTTGACAACAGTGCCCGTCTTGCCGCCCTCGTCAAGCGAGATGATCTCCACAGCAACGCACTTTTGAATCGAGTGCTTCAGGGCCGGGACCATTGCGTGCAAGGTATCAAGCTCGTTGAACGCAAGCTGGCGGTTCAGCACGTCATCGGGCTTCTCGCCATTATCGAGGCGACGCTTCAGGTTGTTGATGAAGGGCATGGCCTTCTTCGACTCGGACTTGTCGATGGATTTGCTGAGGGCTTTGATGTCGATGTTGGGATACGAGCTCTTGAGGAGGTCGATGTACTTGGTCTGCCATTCGGGCCAGGATTGCGCGACGTAGATCGTGACCTTCTTGTCCTTCTTGGGGTCGAACACGGTGGCCTTTCCCTTTGCGAGACGCTTGATCTGGGCGCCCTCTGCAGAAGTTATATTGGACGAGGTAACGCGGACGTAATCCCGGGCCGCAGTGAGGGAGGGAACTGTCTCAGGAACTTCAGGCCACACGGCATTCTGGATCGTCTCCTTCTTACCCAAAACTTCCTGCCAGATGTAGTCTGCCCAGTGCGGCGCGATTGGCGTGAGCATGAGCGCCTGCAGCTCAATGTACCGCTTCGCGAGATTCTCGAGCATACCCAACCCTGCAGACTTTGTCGCCTCTCGGTAGAAGTCACGAGCGGCAGTGAAGTCATAGTAACCGGATTTCAGCGCAGCCTTGTACATCGTACCTTCGTAATGCCTCTTCGTCTCAGCAACCAGCGAGTTCAGCTCGTTCTCAAACATGTCGTCCCATACGTTCCTGGGGCTGCCGGCCTTTCGCTGAATGACGTCGACGTTCTTGAGACGCTCGCTATCGCGGGTTTGCCTGTACTTCTCCCCGTCGTCGACGATGATGGCCTCACGAACCATGTCCTCGCACCACTTGCGTAGCTCAAACAGCTTCAGGATGTTGCTGTTGGCAACGGCCTCTTCGAAGTTGGCATCCTCAATGCCATCACCGGCGTCGGCAAGAGCGATACGGGTTGCGTCAGCACCGAACTTGCCGACCGCTTGTTCGAGCGTCAAGAAGTTACCCGTGCTCTTGGACATCTTCTCACCGTTCAGCATGAGGTGGCCATTGACACGGAAGCTACGGGGCCAGTTGGGTTTGTCGAAGAGAGCAGCATGTACGTAGAGATTGAAGGTCAAGTGGTTCTGGATGAGATCCTTGCCGGACGTTCTCATGTCAACAGGATACCAGTAGTCGAATTGGCGGCGGAGAGTCTCGATGGCTTGCCTGGGGATGTCCGTGTCGGGGATGTCATTGCGGTCTCGCCGAGCGAAGACGTAGTCCCAGACCTCATCTTTCATCTGCTCCGGCTTGATTCCCAGGGGCCCGACGTCCTTTCCGAAGAGGTCCGTGTGCAAGAGGTGAGCAAAGGAGTAGTAGGCCTGGTAGATGGTGCTGTCACTTAGTGATTCCACCATGACTGAAGGGTCCCATGGGAGTTTCGTTCCCAGACCGTAGCTGCGAGCGCAGGCCCAGTTGGCGAGCCAGTTGATGACACCGACGAAGGCGTGCTTGGCTTCGGGATAGTAAAGATTGAGGTCACCTTCGATGTGATCCAGGACTTGTCGAGCCCACTCGCCATCGCCACCGTTCTCGGCGGTGCCGTAGTTCATGAACCATTGATCGAGAAGAGCTGCGACACATTCATCTCCACTTCGGCTGATGACTTTCCCATCAGGCTCGGCATAGGCGAACGCATCACCAGAGTCGATCAGCTGCTGCCTGACAAGGGCCTTCGCCTCCTCAACTTTCTTGCCCTTGAAGTCTCCGAAGATCATCGTACCCTTGTAGAACCCTTCCTTGTAGGCCTTCTCTTTTGCTTCTTCCAGCTTCTTGGTATCCTTGGGAGACTGGATCTTGAGCTCCTCGACGAGCTTCTTGGCGGTCAGGTTCCCATATGAAGGCGTGTCAATGATTGGGATGATCTCGAGTTCAGCCCATTCCTTCTGGATGCCATAGTAGTCGGCCTTCTTTGCCAGCTCCACGACGGTAGCGTAATCGTCGGGCGAATCCGACGGCACGCAGGTAACGACGGCAGTACCCTTTGTATCCTTCACGGTCTCCATGGGCAGAATGCGCACGCCTTCGGTGTGGACGGAAAGAGGAGCATTGACCACGGTACCGATAACATCCTTGCCCTTGAAGGAAGCGACCTGGGGATACTCGCCCCACTTGGGGAAGACGTTGGACTGGAAGGACATGTTGCGCGCGGCGCGTTGACTGCAGACGAAGTAGTCGCTATCGGAGACCTTGAAAACGCCATAGTCGATACTAGGACCAACGAAGCAGCAAGTCTGACCATACATGGTTTCAGGACGGAGGGTGGCGGGGATGAAGTAGACGTTCGCACCATCGGGGACCTTGCCATCGACAATCTTCTTCGCGGACTGGGGCCATTCCTTGACCTTCAGCTTGAGAGCAGTGTACTCCTGCACGCCGACGCCTTCTCCCGACTGCCTGTCGTGATCCAGGCATGCCTGCCCATCCTTTGGGCTGTACACTGTATATCGCTTCGCGAAAATAATCTTGCCGAGCTCTTTGAGCTTCCTCATCTGCCATTGGACGAATGAGTCATAGTAGGGGTTGGCGTCGGTAGTGACGAATTGGCGGCGCCAATCTATGCGCGCACCAAAGTTTGTCAGATCTCTCTTGGCCAGCGGAGGGAAGTACTGGATCCAGTGGTACGGGTCGGCAAACTTGTGAATCTCCTCAAGCGGGATGCCCTGAGCAAGCATAATCTGGAATTGGTACTTGGACTTGACGGCTTTGGCTGCGGCCTTGCCCTTCTTGGCGGAGAACTTGCTGAGATCCGTCTTGGTCTCCGCTTGCGTGGGTGCAGGAGGAATATCGCCATCGGTGGGAGGCTCTTCAATAATGTCATCGACAGGACAGCGCTCGAAGTTGCGTCCAAACTGCTCAATCTCGCGCACCAGCTTGTCCGCGCAGGCCTTGATAGGCATACCAGTCACATGGTATCCGAGGGGGAAAAGGGCGCGTTTGCCCTGCATTCTCGCAAAGCCGGCGGTGAACTCAACCTTGCTGACAGTGAAGCTGTGGCCTGCATGGAGGGTGCCATTCATATAAGGGTAGGCAAAGTTGCCAAAATATTTCGGGTATTTCTGGTGCAGCTCTTCGGGGGTGACGGAGTCGAAGGGTTCTTCTTCGAGGGTTGGCGCATCGCGCTGGAAAACGCGCTGGTCTTGCCAAAGTTTCTGGTATTTCTTCTCCGCCTCAATGAGAGTGTCGCGCTTCTCGGTGTTTTCAATCTTCAAAGTATTTTTGGAGCTTAGGGAGGGATCGAGAGAGTCGAGAGTGGCCTTGACGGCATCTTTGGGGAGGTGCTGAGACGCTGGCGCTGTAGCCATGGTGCAGAAGGTGTTGGAGTGAACGAGGAAAAAAAGCGTCTATATGTCTATAACGGCAAGCGAAAGATGGGAGCGGCTAAAGGACGACGAGAAGGCGTTATCGGGAACGGGGACGGAGGTGAGGACGAGGACAAGCCAACTAGGTGAAGCAATTGGTGACTCGGTGGGCGACCCAGGCCATCTACGGATCGCCGTAGTCGAGGAGAGGCGTGTCTGATGGATCGCCGTAGTCGAGGAGCGTGTCTGAAGGATCGCCGTAGTCTAGGAGCGGCGTTTCTGAAGGGTCGTGCGACGATTCCTCTGGTGTCACGTCTGGCAGTGGCGGCGGGGGTAGCTCAGACAGCGGGGTCAGCGAAGGCAGCGGGGGAAGCAAAGGGAGTGGGGAAAGCAAAGCCGGCGGAGGCAGCAACGGCGGTGGAGGCCACAAAGGCGGCGGAAGCTGTGGACGTTGTAAAGTCTGAAGAGTCTGAAGCGGCGGTCCAGACGGAAGAGGCTGAAAAGATTGACGGGGCTGTCCAGACGGAACAGGGAGGAGAGGCAGGGGAGGCGGTCGACGGCGTGGCTCGCGCGGATTCGGGGGAAACACGGCGTTGTGATAGTACGGGATCTCTGGTGCCGGCGGGAGGAAGTGTACGACCGAGTTGTTGGTGGTGTGGTTGTCGACGGTGGTGGTGGTGGTGGAGGAGGAGGGATTCGGCGGGGTGTTGAGCACGGACCCATTTTGGCCGGCTTGGGCTTGGCTTGGCGGAATTCTAAAAATCACATTCAACGTCAGTCAGAAGTCTATCAAGGAGAAAGCAAGCAGGCGTCAAGCACAGCATGCCGACAATCCGGGACCTGTGGTGGCGCGTCATTGGCCGCAAGCAAAACACCCTCCCGCCCTACGATTTCGCAAGGAGTCCCTATCGAGCGAAGAAGCCATGGCCGCCGCCGCTCATGTCCCTGTCTGAACATCGCCAGTTCAACTTTGAACGCCGCTTCAAGCGCCGTCTGCTGCTCAAGTCGATTCGCCCCAACTGGAACAGATGGGTCAAGGTCGCCCAGAAGGTCGGCATCTGGTCCATCGTCATCTACAGCGTCTTCTTCTGGGAGGGCATCGTGCCAATATCCTCGGAGCCCCCGCCGCCGCGCAAAGAGGGCGATCCCATCAACTTCCAGGACTACGAACCCTTCTCCGTGATGCGGCGGCATATGCGCAAGTTTTTCGAGGACACATTTGGCTGGGAAGACCCATTTGGATGGAAGAAAATGGAGTTGAAGAGGGGTGACCGGCGCGAGATTCCAGAGGGTAGCATCGAGGCAGCGGGCGACCCGTCCATGTCGAATCCGAGGACCAAGGCGGCGGGGCGGCCTTCGTCTTGAATGCTCGAAGAAGGGATCCCGACGAGAGGGGCCAGCAAGGAAGAGCAAGGGAAAAGAGCTATACTTACACCTGTAATGCCAGTCAGCTAGGATTCGATCAATAATGGCACGTCGATAGATTTCTTACCCGAAACCCCCCATTCACATACTCCACGAAACTCCGAAGCTGTGGGAACCCCTTCTCTTGGCGGAAGTCGATCAAGTCGTCGGTGCCCAGCACGTGGACCGTCTCCCGTCCATCCGAGTCCACATGGGCTCTCGCCCACCCTCGTCGCTCGCTAATTCCACGCATTTAGCGCTCCAGAAAGGAATCAGCAGCCGTTGGAGAACGGCTACTTACCCATCGTGGCCTCGCCAAAACAAGAGCACGGTGAAGTGCTCCGACCGCACACTGCCGTGCCACCCCTTCGTGACCCAGGCCTGCGTCCAGAACGGGGCTATCCTGCCCTCCCCAAACCTCCGGACGATGCTGCGCTCTGAAAGCCGCTCGACGAAGCGCCGGATGCCCTCACGCTCGACCGGAGGAACCTTGGGATGGAAGTCAAGCCCGTCGGGAGCAGGCCTGGATCCTTGGGGGGCGGCGAACGGGTGGCTATCAACTGTCAGCAGGAATCAATTTGCGAGATGTCACCATTGCCAATGGAATCATTTTGTTGTTGATTAGGACTGGACGCGTCTCTCGGTATGGTTTTGGACATGCGGCAATTTCGTAGCCCTCGAAGTCCTACTTCGTCCGGGTACTCGAGGGGTCGTAGTTTCGAGAGAGCAATCATTCCACCACCACATTCGTTTTTCTATCCACTTGACATTTATCTCGTGTCTCTTCTCTGAATCATCTTCTTTCCTCCCTCCTCTTGTCTCCTCTCAATCCCTTTCCACTGTCCCACACGACCCCGAATGGCACCAACAACCACAAGACCAGACAACCAGGCAAAGGGCACCACCGTGCAGTGGCAAGCTACACGGCAAAGACCAAGGTCACAACGACTTACCTCCCATTGGTGCTCACCGACCACCACAGCGTCTCCTGCTCCCACGCCACCCACTTGCGGATCTCCGCCGGCGTCATCTCCGGCCTGCTGTGGCAGAGCACATCGTTAGTTGGCGGACTTTTTTTCACCTCGAAAGGGATTTGCAGGAAACAAGGGGTTGGCTCTTACGCGCGGTCTTCCATTGTAGGTTGTTGCTGTTGGTGTGGGTGCTGGTGGGGGGTGCGGGCTGTAGGTGTGAGAGGAGAGGAGAGGAGAGGGAGCGAAAGCAGAGAAAAACCTACCTTCACCAAAACTACGCTACAGCGGCTGGCAAACGGACGCGCTCCGCGTTCCTGCCTCATTTGGCTTAGTTTACGTGCAGCTTTCTGTTGCGGCGGCGGTGATGTTTTGTTAGGGGGGTTTGGCAGAGGAGTGAAAGACGGGTTCTAGAAGGGCATATTTTGCGGCTTGTGAGTGAGGTCTTTCACTGGGCTAGGCAGTTATTCGAATGCGACGGGCTCGGTTTACGCTGTTGTAGGGAGAAGCATTGCAATTCGCAAGGCCGGAGTCATTTCATAGAAGAAGAGTTGAATACTGGACGGCCATGCTAGGTGCAAGTCATGGTATGCTTAGTCCAGTGAACGGAAATGATATCATCTCTTTCTACGTCCAGCTCGGTGCAGCACCCGTAGTTCCTTTTCCAAAGTCGATCCTAGCACCTCTCGCGGTGGGTAGACGAAGGGATACCGCAAATCCCATCTTCCAAGTCTCAATCCAAGGTAGGCGTATCTAGGTACAATTGTGAATTGGCGCCAAATCTCCCCAACGAAGAGAAGGGGCTTCGTGTCTTCGATTCGACTGCAGTCGATCTTAAATTGAGACCGTCAATGCCGTGAAGTCTAAAGTGATGTCACCTCCCAGCCAGATGAACCTAGGCTGGCAGTGGACGATTTCTCGATTCACGGCCAGAAGTCACACGAAAGGGTCAAGTGTACTTTCAAATGGCATATATTCGATGCAAAAAGAGACATGATGCCGCTAGCCATGGACTGGTTCAACTGGGGCATCTCGCTTACATGGTGATCTCGACGCCCCATTGCCAAAACCTCATACCGCAGTCAACGTCATACATCTATCAGGCTCTCGCCTTGACCCTCGCCCGAGTGATCCCGCGTATCCTTGTTACCTTTCCTCTTCCTGTCGTCCTCGCGCTGCTTCCTAGCATAGTACTGATCCAGAACGTCCGCGGGAATGCGGTTAAGCATTTCCTTGGGGTAGATTCTGAGCAATGACCATGCAAGGTCCAGAGATTCGAAAATGGTCCGGTTCTCGTATGGCGATTGTGAAATGAAGGTCCTCTCGAATTTTTCCAGGAACTCGAGTGAGAGTTTGTCCTCGCTGGACAGCGCCTCCTCACCAACGACGGCTTTCATGTCTGCGGCATCACGGCCAATGGCATACTTGGCGTACAGCTGGTTGGACACATCTCCATGATCTCCCCGTGTGTGCTTCTTGCCGATAGCGGACTTCATAAGACGTGAAAGAGACGGCAGCACGTTGATGGGCGGGTAGATGCCCTTGTTATGGAGCTTACGGTCGACGAAAATCTGACCCTCAGTAATGTATCCTGTCAAATCTGGGATAGGGTGAGTAATATCTGAAGTCGTTAGCATCTGAGGGATCGTGGAGGCGTAGCAGAAGCCTCACCTTCGTTAGGCATAGTCAAAATCGGAATCTGCGTAATGGAACCATTTCGGCCTTCTACACGCCCAGCACGCTCGTAGATGGTAGACAAGTCCGTGTACATGTAGCCGGGATATCCACGACGACCGGGGACCTCCTCACGGGCTGCGGAGACCTCACGCAGGGCATCGCAGTATGAGGAAAGGTCAGTAAGAATGACGAGGACGTGTTTCTCGAGCTGGTAGGCGTAGTATTCGGCAGTGGTGAGTGCCAGGCGCGGCGTGATGATGCGTTCGATTCTGCGAAGACGGTCAGCAACACGAGAGCAACCAGGGCCTCCCACGGACTCACGTCGGGTCGTTGGCCAAGTTTAGGAATAGCGTCACACGCTCCATGCTCCCGTTTTCCTCGAAATCTCTTGTGAAGAATCTACTTGTTTCCAAGTTGACACCCATGGCACCAAAGACGATGGAGAAGTTGTCTTCGTGGCCGTCGTGTACATCCTTTGTCGGTTTCCCGACCAGACTAGCCTGCCGGCAAATCTGAGCAGCGATTTCGTTGTGCGGAAGACCAGCCGACGAGAAGATGGGGATCTTCTGACCACGAGCGATTGAGTTCATAGTATCGATGGCGGAGATGCCAGTGGATATCATTTCTTGCGGATAGACCTGCGGGTTTGAGTATTGTGGTGTGGCGCTTGCAGGACCTTCTAGATACATACTCGGGAGTAAGGATTGATGGGGCTACCGTTGATGTCAAGGTAGTCTTCTGCGAGAACCTTGGGGCCCTTGTCGATTGGACGTCCGGAGCCATCGAAGATGCGGCCCAGCATGTCCTCGGACACACCGAGCTTTAAGCTGTGGCCGGTGAATTCTACTTTGGTCTGCAACTGTCAGGCGAGGCCTAGTAGTAGGAATGGCAGCGGCGCACCTTCTTGACGTCAATGCCAGATGTGCCTTCGAAGACCTGGACCAAATCAGAACCTCGACACCTCAAGAGACTGCACCGAGCTGTACCTGTACGACGGCCTTGTTCCCTGCGCTAACGGTAAGCTAATGAACTGGTATCTCCAGCTCCAGGCACCTTACCTCTGGCTTCAAGCACCTGGCCGGATCTCTCGGAGCCATCGGGAAGGGTTAAAGACACGATTTCGTTGTATTTGGGAAATTTGACCTGAAGAAGGCATCTGTAAGCGTCGGTCGAGTGGGCAGGGCCGTCATGGGCAGCGTACGTTCTCGAGGATGACCAAAGGACCGTTCACGCCGCCAATGGTGTTGTACCGTATCCTTGGCTGGACGGAGATCATACGAGGGTCGACGACGTCAGGCATGCTGGCGGGGGGTCGGCGACAGGAGAGAGGGGTTTACGGCGGTGGTCGGAAAGGGAGCCGATGTTGCAGAGGGGGAGCGCAGAGAGTGGAAGCTTTGCAACCGCCAGTTGAGCTTGAGGCAGCTTTGGCCGGACTGGCAGGGCGAAGCTGCATGGGAGGACGTCAGTGGGCAGGATGGATGACTAATCAGAGACCAAGCAATGGGGCATGGCTGGCAGCACAACGGAAATGGCCGCCGGGCGCCGCTTGCACATGGCCACTTTCAGACTTGAACCCAGTATCTAGAGCAGTACTAGTAGGGTGCTTTTGCAAGCGGATGAAGAGATAAGGTGCGTTAGACGAGGGCTTTCTTGGAGAGTGGACATGCCTAGGCCTTCGCAGGGCATCATAAAATAATGCAGAAATTTGTCAAATGGAGGAAATGAAGTGTATTATTTCTATCTAACGTTGCGATCGTCACGCACTAGCGATTCTTCTGTTGCACCTGTGAAGACTCTGTCAGTTGTCTGCCTGTGGAAGCATGGACGAGAGGTGAGAGAGAAGGTAGAGAAGAGAGTCAGACATCCAAGGAAGTTTTGCGCTCAGTGACCATCTGAAAAAGGTTCGATCGATGGCTAGCGTGGAAACTGCGAATGTAGGAATGTTTTCATCATGACATGGGAAATGAAGGAAAATGAAGATGTACTGACCGAAACATGCTATTCAAGGTGAATGCGACCTGGCACATTAGTTCTGACACGGAGGTACTTTTCTGCATCATCAAGACAGCAGAAGGGTAGATCAGAGTCATGCTGCAAGCGCGCAGGGTAAAGGTAGCCTTCTCCGCACCAGTTCCACATGCTCTCTGCCCCTATATGGCTCGATTATGAGACGGGTTGCTACGGGAGGGGTGCTCGAGGCGGCCAAATCTGAGGCAATGGTCAGCTTTTGTGTGTGCTTGGTGCAACGACAGAAAGAGTCATGTTGGCAAGGAGGTCAGACGAAGATACTGGCAAGTAACAGGCGCCCTGCGACAGGCGCCCGGACAGGCTAGATTTCTTCAAGGTCGAATCGGTTGGGAAAAGAAGAATAAGAGTGATGGCATCATTCCAGTGAAGGTTGGAGAAGGGGAAATGGGCGGAGACTCACTTACGGCGCTGCGAGGGGCATGCTTTGCTCCCAGGATGGAGGGACCCAGTGTCGTGAGAGGGGATGGAAGGAGGTGGAAGGAAGGTTGACGGGGAGGAGAGAAGAAAAGAAAAGTCGAAGCTGCAAGGTGGATTTTGAGCTAGCAGCACGTGGGGCCCTTGGCAGGCTTGGCACGCCAAGATTGCGCGCGCCTGCTTGTCTGGTAGAAGCTTCCAAGGCTCCGCCCGCCGTCCAGCACAACGACAATATGGAAAAGATACACTTAGTAGGTGGTGGTGCGGGAGAATACTACGTACTACATACTTGTACTATGTGTTGGGAGGAGCACTGGAAAGAGAACGTGGTATGTTGTGATTTTTAGTAGGGTTACCCGATTCAGTAACGCCGCCATTAGTTGCAGGTCTTTGCTGTGTATCAAACGTACCTGATTACAACATAAATTACTTTTGTACCCAATTATAGGCTAACTACACAATACAATTGCGGGCCCTCAGAAGGCTCTTGCTTCATGCAGCTGTTTTCTTTCACCTAGTGCGCTGCCCTGCAAATGATTACTCATTAGCCCCTTTGCGGCCCCAGCCCCCCGGTCAGCAGATCACCGCCAGTAGTAGGAAGGCAGCCCGCCGCGCTTCCCTCTGCTCCCCCAGCAGGCCAGCCGCCCATGCACCCAGCGCCCATCCTCACCACCACATCGACACCAACACCACCACCACTCCCGGCGCCATCACCATCGCCCGTCCCGGGAACACGTCCCTCACCCGCTGCGCCCGCGTAGCCCCATCCCATCACTTCCCCTCCTTCAGAGCGCACCCTCGAGCGAGCCGCTCTCCACGCTCCTTGCCCTCCAATCCCTCGTGCGCTTCCTCACACCCCCCGCCATCTCTTCGCCCGGCCACGCTGACAATCGCGCCGAGAGAACACGAAGCTCCACGTCCCCCATCCAGCCGCTACCCGTGTTGCAGTAACTGCTGCCCTCTGGCCAGACAGATGCGCATGTCGACCTGTCTCCTCCCGGCGCCCGTCCTCGTCGCTATAGCGCCTGTCGCTCCCCCGTGCTGCTAAAAGGCGTGTGCGCCCAGTTCAAACCATCGCGACACTCCAGGTTCCGTGTCGCAACCCAGCCCCGGCACCCGCCGGTGGGCTTCCCACCCCCCATCTCCCGACAACACTCCCTTCTGCAACGGCCACGCCCGTTGTGGTCCTGTGTCCACATTGCTTTTGGCTGGCTGGACGCCCTCATCGGGTTTCGGCCGTTGGATAGCCCATCTAGGGCCTTCGTTGCCTTTCCACCTATCCCGCGACCAGGAACCAGGCTCTCGATTCCCCAATTGTCCGCTCGACACTCGCTCTCTCGTGTGTCTGGTGCTCATCCTTCAACCGGAGAGGACCGCGCCCCGCCGACTCTTCGTTCATCCGCTTTCTCCAAGCAAAGATGATGGCTGCAAGTTTCCCTAATATGCATCCCCAGAGCATGCAGCATGGTCATCCACTGGCACCAGGAGGCCCAGGCCAACCCACCATGGCTCAGATGCAGATGCACCCGGGCGTCTCAGGGCCCGCTGGGCCCGTTAGCCAGCCGGGTCCTATGATGGGAGGAATGCAACCCGGCGTCGCTCCCAATGCCCATGCAATGTCCCATTTGCAGCCCGGCCAAATGCACATGTTTCCAAACCAGCAAGCGCAAATGAACAGTACGTACTCCATTTCCTGCCTCTTCCACATCGTTTTTGTTGACCGACTTGACAGTGAATCCGGCCATGGTACAGCTAGCACGACAGCAAGCCGTCCTCAGACAGCAGCAACAGCAGATGGTAATGCAACATCACCAACAGCAGCAACAGCACCAGCAGCAACATCCGAATGCAATGGGCATGGCCTTTCCTCCAAATATGGCGGGCCCAATGAACCCTCAGCAGTTTGCTCAAATGCAAGCCGGCGCCATGGGCCAAGTTCCTCAGGTCCAGTTGACCCCGCATCTACGCCAGCAGATGCAGCACCAAATGCAGCAGCAGGCCATGAATAACCCCCAGGTTATGGCCGCCCAGCCACATCCCCTTGCACAAGCACAACAAGCCCAGGCCCACGCTCAAGCTCAAGCAGCTCATCAGCAACAACAGATTCAGCAGCAACAGCACCTCCAACAACAGCAGCAACAACAGCAACAGCAACAACAGCAGCAGCAGCAGCAACAACAGCAGCAGCAACAACAGCAGCAGCAGCAACAGCAGCAACCACAGCAATCGCAACCGCAACCACAACCCCAGCCGCCGCAACAGCCTCAAGGGCAGCCTCAAGGGCAGCCGCAGCCCCAGCCCCAGCAACAGCAACAGCAGCAACAGCAGCAGCAGCAACAGCAACAGCAACAGCACATGGTCGCCATGCAGCATGCGCCCTCGCAGCAGAGTAACCATAGTCAGTCTGGAGGACAAGGACCGCCCGCAACCACTCAACTACAGCAAGGTCCACTGCGGCCACCATCTGCCGTCGGCAGTCATCAAGGACAAGCGTCACCAGCACTTCAGTCTACACCACAGCAGCAGCCACAACAGGCGCCTCCTCCTGTACAACAACCCCCAGGGCCCCCTCAGGGTCCCAACCCCTCCCAACAGCCTCGTCCCCAGACACAAAGTGCGCAATTGCAGCAACGAAACGCGGCGTTGGTACATGCACAACAATCAGGAATCCACGGACAACTCCAAGCGCAGGCGGCGGCGCATGCACGGCTGTACAACCAAGGACAGCAGAAAATGATGGCACCTGGGATCGCGACAACAAGGCTCATGAGCTTCCTCAATGAAATTGGTTCCTTTAGCGTGAGTCCCTCGGTTTGTTTTCCGGACGAGGAAATGCTGACTTCCAGTAGACTGCGCGATCCGTGAATGACGACAGCCACTGGAGTGCCGTGGTCTCCAGGCACTTCTCCGAGACGGGTTCCTTTATACAGAGCTTCTGGACTGCGGATGGTGGAGGCAGGTACAAGCAGTGGGAAATCATAACCCCGGCTCTGCACAGATATTTCTTCATCTTGTTCAACACCGACGTAGAGAGCCTCCAGATCACCATCGATGGCGCAAAGGAGAGCCAAGCAGGGTCCGATGTCAAGGTTGTATGTGAGAGGGCGAGGCTCATCTACACGTATCAGAAGCCATGCCCTGCAGAGGTAAGTCTACAGTTCTCAAAACGCACGCTGCCTAGATATTAACGGTCCCAGGTTGTATGCCGGGGTAAGCTGACCGCATTCTGGACGGGAACGCCCAAAATGGAATGGCTGCAATTCGAGATGGAAAGACATGATACTTACCTTCAGCACGCTGCATTGAAGAACCTTTTTGCCCCTCCATCTCCCAACCAACTCAACCAGCAATCACCTCGAATGAACAAATCAACTGCCAAGCAGCGGCAACAGCAGCAACAGCAACAGCAACAGCGCTTGGCCCAGCAAGAGCCCATCCTGAAACTTTGCGATCTGCCCGTCCCCGATACGACAGGTTTCGGCATACCCCCGGCCTTGCAGCATCATCTGGAGGTAGGTCGAGATGCGCGTGTACAAACCACCGACTGAACCACCGACTGACCAGGAGTAGATGTACGAGACAATGAACATGATGGCTCCGTTGATGGATCACTACAAAGAAGTCGGAAGCCTCCCCCCAGGGCAGGCGTTAGTCGATTACCTGGAGAGGACAGCATCGAATGCCAATATGGCCCAACAGCGCATGGCGGGGAACCTTGGTCAGGGCACAGCTCTCCAGCAGAACCAACAGTTGTTCCAACAGGGAATGCAGCAGCCCCAGGCCATGGCTGCAGCAGGAAGAAACCCTTCCGCCATGGGGCAAGGTCCTATGAATCACCAGTTCATGTCGCCCGCCCTCGCCAGCTCCCTCCTCCCGACTGCGGCCTTGAACGGATCGCCTCACCTCATGCAGCAATCACAGCTACCCTCTCCGGCATCCCATGCCATGCAAGCCCAGCACAGCCAACAAGGTAGCTCCGCATCAGCAAGCGTCAACACATCGCCCAACGCGTCGAATAATAAACGAAGACGAAGTACAGTAAAGGTTGAGGGAGACGAGCCAGGCGGTCCCGAGGTCAACGGGGCGGCAAAGGTGAAACAGAGCCCACGGGGAGGCGTCAACAAGCGGTTAAAGGGTAGCTGAGTACCCACGTACGGACACGCCGACCTTCTTCGATGTGTGCCCCTTATCCTTTCCTTTCTGCATGGTTCTTGCATTTTCGACGGTTCGGTTTGACCAGCGTCGGCGTTTTCTTCTCCGGCTTGCAGTTTGTCTGGTCTCCTCTCAAGCCTTTTTTCCCCTGAGGCAAGTTAAACGGTTTGGTCCCGATCTCTTGACGTGTGTACGGACGGCGTATGCGTCGCCATATCTTACATCATTATTGTTGATTACATGGAGTTGTTTCCTGGCCAGGTACACACAGTTTCTTCCTGCTTGTTGCTTTGGGCGTTTGCGCAGCTGCTTTTTTCGTACTCCTGTTTATCCCCCTCCAGCTTGTGTCTTTTCTTGGCTATTCCCCCTTCCCTCTTGGAAGCGTACTTATCATCCCCGCGCCCTTTTGTCTTTTTACTGAAGGAGGAGCAAAAGACGGGAGCTCCATTACATAATTCTCTTGTATATTATGATTTTTTTGCTGGCTAGCTAACCTGCTGCCTTTGGTGGGCTAGTCCAGCCGAAAGAGTGTTGTTCTTTTGGGTGATTTGTTTTTTTTTTTTTTTTTTTTGTTGTTTAGGTTGGCGGTTGCTCGTTTGGATAGGTGTGGTTGGAGCCCTGGTGTGCGTGGGTTTCTGGAGATATGGGATTGGATGGGCGGGGGGAGTGGGGGAGTAAGTGCTGTAGATGCTGTCATGTGCAAAGGATATATTTTTTCGAACGGACAAATGCATGTTATGATCTTGATTGACTTGGATTTGGATTTCTGAGTGTGATGGTATTGCTCGTGACGGCGCCTGGAATTATGAGATGTTTCTTCACTGACTCTAGCCCCCGAGAATGCAGTAAGAAGACAGCGCACTACATCTAGGAGAGCCCACCTTCTTGAAGGTATCTCGATGGGCAATCACTCACAGGTGCCTATTTTTACCACTCAGATCGACCAGACACCACAAAAACCTTGCACCTCCCCTTTCCCAGAATTTCTTCTACAAAGTCAACAAAAGGACACCACCCACCTAATGCGCAAACCTAAAATCCAACCGCTTATTCCCCTTATCCTTGGTAGTGGCCAAATAGTGATCCTTCTCCTGCGCACTCATCCTCCCCCACACCTTCTCCCTCCTCCGATTTACCTGCACGTAGAACAACTTCGCCCCGATGAAAATCACAAAATTGAAGGCGCAAATGGCGATGAGCACCTTGTTCCCGCGCCGGTACAGCGGCTTGTCGTCGTCCCTGTAGATGTTGACCGCGATGATGTTGCTCGCCTGCACGCACATGTTGTACATGGCCGAGGCGACGGTGCGGGTGCGCACCGAGCCGGCGTTGCGCGAGGTGATGGCCACGAGGATGGCGTGGACGTAGGGGTGCCCGACCATGAGGGTCGAGATGACCCAGCGTGACCAGGGGGAGACGGCTTTGGGCAGGACCTCGAGGGCGATGACGAGGGGGAGGGTCCAGACTTGGGAGAGGAGGGCGATGAGGAAGCGCTCGTTGAGGCGCTCCGAGAGCCAGGTCCAGAAGAGGAGCTGCAGGATGAAGAGGACGTAGGCGGGGATCTGGGCCGTGTGTTAGTGTCGTAGGTAGCTATAGGGAAAGGCACATGACGTTAGAAAAAGGACATGACGTACGGTGAGCAGATTAGTCTCAAAGGTGTCGAAGCCGAGGGAGCGCAGTTGGAGCGTGAGGTAGGCGTTCATGGGCTGTGTGGGGATGAGCCATGTGAGCCCAATCAAGTAGATGAACCACATGTGATAATCTGCGAGGCAGTCCCAGAGCATGCGGAAGGAAAGGGCCTGTCGGTTGTGCATGCCCCCTTTTGAGGGGTCGTCGCGGAGAATGCGATTCACCACTGCAAAGATGTCAGGATGGGATTTCATTGACTAGAGCAAATCGGGAGTGCATACTGATCTTCTCCTCATGCTCGTTGAACCAGCCGTCCTTCCCGCGGAAGCGGCTGGCGGTCTGTGTTGGTGACGGCGGGAGGTAGAACCACGAAACGATGCCGATGAGGCCAGTCAGCATTCCTTCCAGGGCGAAGAGCCATCGCTGGCAATGAGGTTAGCGTCGAGTTATGCAGCTGAAGCAGGAGAAATGGCTTACCCATCCCTCCATGCCATGAAAGCCGCGCAGGCGGAGGATGCCATAGGCGAGGAAGGCAGAAATAATCTGAGTAGACTGATACGACACCCAGAACCAGCTCAGTCGGGCTGGAAGCTCCCAGCCGGTATAGAAGTAGCTGAGGTAGAGAATGTTATCTGGCTGAATAGCACGTCAGAGGTCGTCGCCGAGTAACATGTCGAGCCAACGTACAATGAAGCCTCCTTCGATGAGTCCCAAGAGAGCACGGCAGGCGTAGAACGACTTGCGGCCGGACAGGAAAGCCTGCATACTGGCAACAAGGCTCCAAGAGACCCTGCCAATGGTGTCAGTGAAGAAAAAACCCCATGGACGCAGTCGAATGTCTACATTTGGATGGGGATCCAATTATCGGGGCCCAACTTCTTGCTGACGAGTTGCGAGGGGAGTTCAGCAGCCAGAAAAGACACAAAGAAGATGGTTTGGCCGTAGTTGTAGTCATTCGTGTTCATGTGCAGGTCTTTGAGCAGGTTGTCACTGAGGGCTTGCGAGATGTTGCCTCGGTCCAGCTGGAGTGCAAAGAACATCAGACAAACCCACGAGCAAATGCGTTTGTCGATCTAGAGTTGCCTTGTCAGCTCGGTTGGTTCTTTGGTTGGGTGATGGGATGGTTGCCGCGGACACCCTTACCTTTCTCACTACCCGCCTCTCTTCCTCGGGCTCCCACTCGAACTTCGGATCATAGCGATGGATACCCTCATAGCTGTCTATGGGCTTGTAGTGTGTCTCCAAACCGGACGTGTCGAAAGTCAGGCCCTCCCTTTGTCGACCCAGAAACCGTAACGCGGGGATGCGTGTGCCACTCCGAGTGGAATTGGTGTCTGATTCAGACACATCAGGTACAGCGCCTATATGTGGTGCTGCCACGGTAGACTTTTCGGCCATATCGGTCGGTGACAAATGGATGGGAGACAATATCCGGGACCCTGATACCGCTGCTCCCAAGTACTCTTGAGCGTACTTTATATAGGATCCTGACGTCTGTTGGTCCCTGGTCGCAATGGCTTTCTCCCACCCGACAGCCTGGCCCTCTTCGCCATTTGAAAAAGATATGTCTACATCGCGTAGCTGAGATAGGCGACGGTTCCGCGGGATGGGTCCAGGAGTGCAGAATCCAGTACGGTGGAGCACTCTGTGGCAGAGAGCCAAGGGCTACGTGACGTCGCAGCGTGCTCGGCTTCGAAGAGGAACATTATCAGGCCCAGCACGCAAACAACAGCAGCGATGATGCATCCAGAACAGGTGAGAAGCGTGTGTTGATGCTCTCCTGCCCAAAAGTGATTCGTTGAGGTTGAGGTGGATGGGGGAATGGCGTGATTGGCCAGGGTCGTGACGACTACGCTTGTTTACATAGTTAGTATACACTCGAGCTTCCCATGATGGCAGTTGGAGCGGCGATAAGAAGTGTCAATCCACAACAAGTGGATTCTGAATGATAAAAGAACGGAGCAGTGCGGCACGGATCTCGACCCGAGGCATATCTGGTGGCTGGACCTGTCAGTCCATGATACCATCCATGCAGTTTTGATGCCATTCTTCGAGTCGACTCCAAGGCTCACGGTGGCGAATCTTTGCCTCCAGCTTTGGTTGCTCCTTGCCTACAAGGTAGTCTACCCTGAATGGCGTACTATGTATGCTTGGTGAGGGGCTCGGCTGCCTGGTTCCGTTGGACATGACTGACAGCGCGTGTCACGAGGATTTGAGGAGGGGTTACGCAAGAGCTACAGATGGGAATACCGGCAACTGGGTTCAGTATGTGGTGTGCTGTATATAAGAGACTGTAATCCTCGCTCCGGAGCATCACCTCCAAAAGCAAAAGCATACCTACCACAATATCCCCACCATGGCCCCAGCTCTCGTAGAAACGCCACAGCCAGTACCCTCTGTCGCCTACACAAAGTCTGGAACTGGCGAATACAAGGTTGGCAGACTCGATCTCGCTTCTTGCTTTTCAGCTGACAAAGTAGGAGGCGTTCATCGGAGGTCCGAAAGCATTCAACGCCGACGCGGAGTTGAAGGGTGAGGGTACCAAGCAGCCGCCCGCCAAATATCCTAACTATCTGCCCGTCTGGGACAACGAGAAGGAAAAGTATGTCGTCGAGTGAACGCGAACTGGCAACTCATGATCGCTAACCTTTGTGTCAGGTATCCTCCTCTTCAGCCCTTCGAGCATTATGAGCACGGGAAGGATGCCGATCCCACCTTTCCAAACCTGCTCAATGGTGCCGAAGTGTCCGACCTGACTGCGAATATTGGCGCCGAAGTCCGAGGTGTACAGCTGAGCAAGCTGACGGATAAGGGCAAAGACGAGCTTGCCTTGTTCGTAGCGCAGAAAAAGGTCGTCGGTAAGTGCAGCTGCTCGATGAGTATTCAGCCCTGTTCTAATCTTTTACAGCTTTCCGTGATCAGGACTTGGCCGACCTGCCAATCCAGGAGGCCCTCGACTTTGGTGGATACTTCGGCCGGCATCATATTCACCCAACATCTGGTGCACCAAAGGGATACCCCGAGATCCATCTGGTGCACAGGGGTGCTGACGACACAACTGCTCGCGACTTCTTCGAAGAGCGTACCAACTCGGTGACATGGCACTCGGACGTCACATATGAGAAGCAGCCGCCGGGGACTACCTTCCTCTATCTTTTGGATGGCCCTGCCGCTGGAGGTGACACTTTGTTTGTCAACCAGGCCGAGGCGTATAGGAGGCTCTCTCCTGAGTTCCGGAAGCGACTCCACGGACTCAAGGTGGTCCATTCCGGTGAGTTGGCATAACGTTCCCACGCTTCCAACCCCTCACTGACCGTTGCGTTAGCCGTTGAGCAGGCGGACAATAGCAAGACCCGCGGGGGCGTGGTGCGCCGCGACCCAGTGACATCCGTCCATCCACTGGTCAGGACACACCCAGCAACAGGCGAAAAGGCGCTTTTCGTCAATCCTCAATTCTCTCGTCGCATTCTCGGCTTCAAGAAGGAGGAGAGCGACTTTCTGCTCAACTTCCTCTATGACCACATTGCCAAAGGCCAAGACTTCCAGGCTCGTGTCAAGTGGGCGCCGGGAACGGTCGTCGTATGGGATAACCGCGTCACGGCCCATTCCGCGCTGCTCGACTGGGATGATGGTGCGAGGAGACATTTGGCGAGGATCACGCCTCAAGCTGAGGCCCCTTTTGAGACCCCCTTCGAGGGCTAAGGTTGCGATTTGCTGTATCCTCAGGAGCCAGAAGAGCCATGTTGTAATTTAACGATCTCTGACCATGAGTGATGCCGATATTCAACACTGTGTCGTCTGTTGAAACAGAACGTGAGAGACGCTCCAATCCAGATATGACGAATAGAATATGGCGGTGTTATTCCACGATAATTCGTATAGGCACTCCCGCGAGCAGCAAACCACAGCTGCATCACCCAAGCTCTTTAGCTGCAGCCTCCCCCTCCTTTGACTTCCTCGGATGAGGTCTTCGTACAAAGAAACCCGCCAACATAGCGGCCCCAGCTAAAACTGCCGAAACTACCCAAATCACCCTAATAGCGGCGATATACGCATCTGCGACTTGTGTCTTGAGCTCATCCTCTGTCGTCAGGTCCCGAACTATGGTGACCAATGGGAAAGCGTTCTTAACATAGCGATACGCTATTCTCTCAGGCAGGGTTTTCTTCAGGAGCTGTTTGTAAAGCTCGTTCTGGAAGATCGATGCTCCGATAGCGACTCCAAGCGTTTGGCCCAGTGTCTGGAAGAAAGCAAAGTTCACCACTGCTGTCTCGTCATCCTCACACCTACTGGTCGATAACGCAATGGCCGAAATCGTAGGATACAAGATCCCCATCCCAAAAGCCGAGAAAACTGCAATGCAGATCCACATGATGGTGCCGGACTCCCTCTTCAATACAGTCATGAGCGCCGTTCCCAGCACGACGAGGAACCATCCAAACCTGATAAGACCCCGCCGTAGCGATGTGCCTGAGGCGGCAAAGAAGGAGATGGCGGCAAGGATGGCGAGAGAAACACTCCAAGCGAAGAGTGCAATACCGATTTCCACAAAAGTATAGGAACGTTTCGCGACGTCAAAGTATAGAGGCTGTAACTGCGTGAACACAAGCCTTTCGCACGCATGTGGTATTGAAGGATTGGCTCACCAAAAAGTATAATGCGGCGGAGACAATGATTCCCTGGATCATCGCCCCGAAGTATGTGGCGAGCTTGGTGGGCTCCCAGGAACCTTCGAGACAGACAAGCGATTTGCAGGGGGAGTACCAACTCCAAACAAGGAAGATCAAGATGCCGAAGACGCCGAACTGGATCGGTAGGATGGTGCGGACGCTTGCCCAAGGATGCAGCGGACCAGCCTGCGAACAGATGAGGTCAGCTTGGGTGCGTTTTTCGTTAGAGTAAAGCTCCACCTACCCAAGTCAAGCCCAGTAATGCCACTATCAGGGACCCTGATAAAAGGACGAATCCAAACCAGTCGACATTGCGCAGTTTAGGTAGGAGGGCTCCAGCAGCCGCAGGTCTCAAGCGTGCACAGAAAGCAAGGAGGATAAAGACCACAATGCTACAAGGCAAATTCAACCAGAAGATCCAGCGCCATTGCTCACTCTGAGCGAGAAATCCCCCAATTACGGGTCCAGAAACTGCGCCGATAACCCATCTGCAGACCATTGTGAGCAAAGCGGATTCACGGAGGGGTCCTCGACACCTACGCAACACCAAGGATTCCGCTCCATTTCTTTCGGTCAGCATGCGTGATCAGGTCCGACACGATAAGGTTGGACAGAGGATAAATACTGCCGGCGCCAATGCCTTGAAGAGTACGACCCAGTAATAAACCAGTGAAGCTGCCAGTGACGGCTGCGATCAGCGATCCAAGGGCAAAGACCGTCAGTGTCGCAAGGAGGATGGGCTTGCGGCCGAAGACATGACTGAGCGCTGCGAAGAGCGGAAGAGAGCATGTCACTGCAACAAGAAAGGAGACGCCCACCCAAAAAGTCTCAAGCACCCCTCCTTTCAAGGTCGTCGCTATCGTCTGCGTCATCCAGATCAGTATGAAGAGTACGTACATGTCTTTAAGTGGGCGACCTACTGGCAGCGCAATCGGTAGCGTCGTGGCATCCCATGCAACAACAAGATTCAGGATGAAGAGGGCCGCTCCAGTTGCATGAAATTTCCAATCTAACCCGTTCACTTTCTCTGCTGCTGCTCTTTCTACTTCTTTCAGCCAGTCGACGCTGATCCTGGACCCTGACCCATCATCACTTCCATTCCGGCTAAGCCAACTGATCAAGCTTGCTTTCCTGGTGTGCTGGTTTGCACCCTCCTTTAACCTTGCGAGATCCAATGGGTCGATTGTGAAGCGCTTCGGTACCGGGACCTGTCTCGGACGTTCGAGAAACTGCTCTGGTTCATCCTTTTCGGGTACGGAGAACTGCAGGTGTTGAAGCTGGTGTGGTAACAAGTTGGTTATAAATTGGGCAGCACCGAGGTCCTCAGAAGAGGAGTTGAAAGAGGAGCGCTGTGATCTGCTCATCTTTCTATCTCATGCATGGAGGTAGTAAGACATGACAACAAGAGTAGATAAAGTGATCTCTTAGGGGGTGGACCAGAGCATAATGATACCTATTCGGCAATCTGGAGAATGGTGAGATGTGAGGAACGACATACCCCCTTGACCGGTGTCGACACGTTTACATACACCGAGGTGCAATGATAGTTGCACAGCCAACGTAAGAGCGGGCAAACGCCCATGTCCGCCGACGTATTTGGGGGCTGAGATGATTTGCCTCATCATCCTTGTCCAGCTCGCTGTACTGTGGTAAGTACGGTGCTTAAACGCTCACGATTTTCCTCTCGATGCAGTCCGACGCCGCAGTCAGTGTTCAAGAAAAGCTGAATAGGCGGGAGCGTTATTTGTGTTCCGCGACAGGAGAAAGATGATGGCGTTAGCCACTGTACGCAACATATCTGAACCAGACTTTGGAGCTGCAGATTGCAGTTGTATCCCTGAGGCGTTCCCATCTGTTTACCCTTCGAGGCCTGGGTCAAAGGAGATGCATTCGGGCGAAACTGCGCTCTTTTAGGGAGGAGTTGGCGGCGCAGAAAACGCCTTAGGAACCTCGTGCATTCCCCAGTACGAAACCGCAAAGAACGGACTTGTGCGAGTCGCGAAACCGTAGAGATCACAACAGGCTGCAGCAGATGTTCTTGATATGCCACGGTGCCTCATCGCCGTGATGTCTTCGGGCTACCCCATATTCATGTCGCGGCGTCTTCTTGAGCCTGATCGGTGCTCTTTGTAACACTGAAATAGAGACTGTGTTTAACTGTGTCATTTGCAAAAAATAGAAGCCAAGCAAGGCGTTCGGCGCCTATTCACCGCCCAAGCGATGGCGCACGGACCGAGCCGAGGCTGTACAGTCTCACTGAGGCCCAGCTCCCGTGGTTCACCAATAATGCGTTGTTTCATGTACAGGGTGGGGCAAGGAACTCCTAGCAATGCAGTGCCCAATTGCAAGGGTGTGCTTCGATCGGAGAGCGTGGAAGAATAAGATCCTATGCGTCCTTCGGTGCAGAGACAAGGTCTTGAGGGAACAAGAGTACAGTCTCAAGCATTAACCCAGGCATACGAGTGACAAAAGAGTATGATAGCAGTTCCGAAAGTAGACTGTGGCTATCTCCTGTAGCCTGTTCACCGCCCGTAGAGATCAAGCAAAGAACCGCAGTGACGGAGTGTCGCACGGAAAGCCCAGGACGGAATACTTGGTATATACTAAACTGCTGCGACCGGGTTCGTCATTGGTGGCTTTCAGAAGAGCTCTGCGAGTGAGAGTCGCATAGCCCTCTTCTAACAGCTGAATCCGGTGAACCAGGCGAAGTTCCGTTGCACATGATTCAGCTCAGCGGCGTCGAGCTTTAGATTGCGCGTACAGAGCGACCAACATCTGGGATAATCCGGCAGAGAACCTGCAAGCTCGATTACCATGTGCACCAATGGGACATTCTTCGTGTGCCTGGCGTACCGTTACCATGGTTCTTCGAAGTCAACACAAACGGCGCGGGGTGAACTCCCGGCCAGAGGCATGGTACGCCATGTGCTGCTTGCCTAATATTAGAACTGCATGAGCAGAATGTCCAGGTAGGAGGCGTGAAACAAATGCGTCACGACCTACAATGCATGTTAGCATGAATCTGAAAAAAGTGCTTGTAGAATGAGGATGCGAAAGGCGTGCTTCAGACAGCAGTTGGACTATTGGTTGACCACATTGTAGTTTCAGAACAGATCTGTGAATGATTGTCGTATCATCATGCAGGTTGGTGAAGACGAAACGGAATGCGCGGCTTACCAAGGAGGGTTTTCTATGCAGGTATGTTGCATCTTGACATGACTACTATTCTACCTTGCGTTTCTTGAAGAACCGATCGATACTTTGCTGTGAGGCATCATGAGAAGCACTGCCTATGCCACCTCGCGTACGTTTGAGACCCTTGAGGTGATCTCTGGCATTGACGGCCTCAATCGTCACCAACCAGCTGTGAAGAAGCCTTGATTTTGAGCGTCCGAAGTCGACAAATGGTTTAGCAGCGACGTTTCTCGAATCAGGTGCAGAATTGTGGAGCCCACTCTGAGCCTTGGCATAGCTGTGGACAGTATCAGGGTCTGCCGTTAAGCTCTGGTTTGGTGCGGAGGCTGCTGTGTACATCGCGATCGTTTTCACGTGCAATTCCAGGTATCCAGTGTTCGACCACCCTCCTAGACGTTCCAGAGAATATCCCCGAATGCTTGCCATTACATCGGAAGACAACGTGACATTGTTCCGCGGGAGGCGAGAAAGGAGTTGACTCCAGAGCACTGACAGAAAGATACCGTGGGAAACGACGGCAACGACATGACTTCCAGGCCTTTCGTCAAGCAACGGCAACAGGTGCTGGTCCAGGAAAGTGTCAGCACGTTGTGCCATAGAATCTCTAGACTCGACATTGACAAGTCCTGGAATTTCCTTGTGTTGTTGTCGGGAATGCTCCTTGCCAGTAGATTTGGCGTCAGTTCGAGGTTCGTTCCACTTCTTCCCTTCCAAGGAGCCGAAATCCTGCTCCACCAGTACGGGAAGGTGCACAACGTCCGGGGCGGTGCTCTCGCCATCTATAGTGGTCGCCCGAGTGACCTGCGCGTCTCGTATTTGCGCAGCCGTTTTTGCTGCGCGCTGGAGCTGTGAGGAGAAAAGGTGGGTAAAGACGATGCCTTGCGAGTGGAAGTAAGCGCCTAGGCGCTTTGCTTGCTGATATCCATGGCTGGTGAGCTCGGAATCTCTGCGACCTGCACTGCGAAGGTTAGCTTCCAGACTGTGGCCCAGGAGGAACGCTCATACTATACTGAACCGACATTGTCGACCGTCTCGCCATGTCGAATCAAGTACAGCCTGAGCCCTGTGGTCGTGGCTGTGCTGCCCATCTTTGAGTGCAATGAGCTGCCATGGAGCCCTTTGGGTCAACCCGGCGACAACGAGCTGATGGGACGTGTCTCGTGTTCAGACATTATTCTTGTTTCCGTGGTGCTTGGTTAAGGTACAGGTTCCAAATGCCAAGAAAATGCAATGACTAAGCAAGATTTGCACATACTTGTACCACAGGAACGTCGTCGGGGGAACGAGGATCGTTCAGCAAGTAGAGAAACCTTGCATGGTCATCTCGGATGGCAGCAGTCTGCTACTCAGGTTTTGCCTTCCAAGACGCTCAGGCTTTGCCTTCCAAGATGGTGCGCAAGCTACTACGAATGGAGCCAGCTGCAACTGGCGACAGCAACAGTAAACGCCAGACTTGAAATGACTACCTTTCTTTGCCTCAACCGACTAGACAGGAGCAACACTGGTGTTAGTTGCACAACCATGCGGATGTTGTAGAGTCTGCGGCAGTCCTACGAATAATCAGCAGCAGTCTAGCCCCCGCCAGAGGGGCATGCCAGGGTTTCGATAGCCGCAATGAACGATCGGGCTTCGATTGACGGGGGGAGATATTTCGCTTCATACCGAGGGTCGACTCATTTTGTGTAGCAAAGACGTTACTCTCAATGTCCATTCTGTTTCGCCGACCGAGATCGACCAGCGACGTCGCCCTAATCCACTGTCCTTTAAAGACACATGAAAACCTAATACCACGACGGCTGATCACCTTACAAAGCGCTGCTGGATTGTAGGTGTTCATGGCTTATCCCCAGAATCTCAAGAAAACTACGTAAAAGACATATTTCACGGTTTCTCTGGGGGTTGTGGGCGCGTAGAAAATGATCGAGGAGTACATTCACACAAAAACGGACTGCTAGTGTGTCCGAAAATGTTCGCACTACATGACTTTATCAGGTCGCAAGTTTTGGAAGGGCATGGCCTATCTGTTTGTCTTTGCGGAGAAACATCCGATCATTGCGGAAGGAGACCTTCAATCCACCCAGTTACACCGCTGCTGTGGCTCAGGCTCTGCCTCACATGACGACCTATAAAACCCTTACCTTCATTCATCTTCTCTCTCTTTTTCTTTCTTACAGCTTCACTCTTAAGCCCCTATCACCAGCGCTCTCTCACCTTACTCTGGAACAGTAAAGGAGGCTATTGTGCGTTATTGGTACTTGGTGGTTCGGCCCGCATCGCTGAACATACTACCAAACGTTCTAGCACATATCAGCGCTTTACCCTCCTCGCCACCCCAAAGCGCACCACCATCACCAGCTCGCTCGATGCATGATTTCGATTAGACCTACAGTAAGTCATACAACTCTCAAGCTTAAACCCATCCCTTCAACGGTTCGCTTCGTCCTATCTCTCCACCACTAAGGTCATATCTATTGCACTTGACCACTACCAAATCTTCCTCTCTTTCTTCCACCCCGAAAACGAGCGTCCCGATCATCAAACCCGCTGCATTATTGCTACGGTGCTGACCACCATTCTAGTATCACCATTCTCGGTTCTGACCCGCCGCCATTGAGCGATCCGGCTTTCGCTTCCTCCGCTTCCTCCACCATTGTCCCCGGACAGGGACCCCGTTCAGCATGGAAAGCAGTTTGAAGGTGGCAAGGAAAAATCCTTGGGTAATCGATCTTGGAGGAGGCTACCCAGACTCTGACGACGAAGATGACGCACCCAAGCCGGACGATGACGAGAATAATAAAAGCCAGGCTCCTAGTGGCTTGCACGACAAGCGGGATGACCAGGTTCAAGGACAAAATATAGCCACGAATCAGTCTCTATCAGCACATGCATCACTCCCAGCCGGGCATCAAGGGGACAACGTGCAAAGTGAGAATAGCCATAACCCTCTGGTCGCGGGTCCAACATTCAACTCCGGGTTCCATGCGCATGAAACAGGTGAACTGCGTTCTCAACACCAAGGCCTGGAATCTGCTCTCGCAGGTCGAACTGTGAAGTCCGCAAAAATTCAGATGGAACTGCCCACGAGGTCGAGTAAAACCCCTCGATCCGAAGATGACACACCGCCAGAAGACAGCCCAAATAGCAAGAGGGCGAGATTCTCGATGTTTGGTAGCGTCCAGGATGACGATGATTCTGCCGATGGCACTGTGCCTGCTCAGCTAGTCGGGGCAGAGAGCTTGCCAAACTTGGGACCTCAGGCAAATGGCGATGTGGATGAAGATTTGGAAGCTTTTCTCAATTCCCCTCCAGGTCGCCAGCACGATTCCCAGCTGTTGAACGAACCGATCACTCCAGGCATCCAGGACGGCATGTCGACCTTGACCCTCAATCAAGAATACGAGTATGAGTTCGGTGAAGCCTCTGGACAACCAAACAGCTATGGACATCTATTGACAGACTCTGAAGCCGAAAGCTCGGCATATGAGCGTTTCGAACGGTTCAAACGTCAGGCGGCGTATGACTTGCGAACCAACATCGACAGAGAGAATTTAGGCCACGGCGGGTCATGGGTTGATAAGGACAGAAGCGGAGACTATGATCCAGAAGTGGAGGCAAAGAAAGAAAGGGAACAAAGATCAAAGGCCCGCGGACGCAGGAAGAAGGGAAAGCAAGCAAAGGCCGAGGAAGCTGTACCGCGAAAGCTTATCGTGCGACTTGCGTTTAAGAGGATTCCATTTGGAAACGTACAAAATATCGTGGACAACGAGGAGAATTGGCCAGACGGCTGGTCCGATGTTGATTCGGAAGAAGAGCGCGAGAGAAGGAGGCGCGCCGAAGAGAGCGCCAGAGAGCGTGCTCTGTTGAGACCGCCCCCGCCAACGAACCAAACACCAATCCTGGATCCCGCGGGGCTCTTGGACGATATTACTGGTCATCCCTTCGCTCGCGGTTGCAGGTCCTGCCGTTTTGAGGGAAACGATTGTTCCATGGTTTCCGGGGGTAGCTGGCCTTGCACCATGTGCCGGGACTTTGAACAGGATTGCGAGCTTATTATCACGCCCAGAATCAAAATCAAATGCAATAACTGTGCAGACAATTGCGAGGCGGATGAAGAGAACGTATGTTCATTTGAGATGGCTAATATCGGGCCGCAAGAGATCTGTTCGCAATGTGCAGCACAAGGATTGGCCAATTGCTTTGGAGGTATCCCAGACGACTACAGTGCACGGGAAATTGACTTGGACTCCATAGCATACGGGCCTGGTCGCCAACACGTCAATTGCACGAACTGCCGAGCCACGAAGAAGAGATGTTCCGTGAAATCGAAAGACGCCAAAGGTCCATGCAAACAGTGCAAGAAAGCGGGAATCGGGTGTGTTTTCTACGATCCGCCCACTCAAGCTTACCCCCTAAAGAAGGGGAAGGGAAAAGCCGACCCGAAGATTCAAGCAGGACCATCCAGGTCCGTTGGCCGAACAAACGGAGGTCTTCCGCACATGTCATCGCCTGACGCAGACATTTTCAACATCGACAGCGACCTGGACGAGCCAGAGATGCAGAGGTCCCCCTCACCAACTCCGCCAATCGTTATGGAAGACGCCGAGGGCAACAGAGGTGTTGTGGTCGAAATGCGCACCTCGTATGCTCACCCTATTCTGTTTAACGTCCACGATACAACAGAATGCAATTTCTGCAAGCTGGGCCTTTACGGTTTGATTGGTGATTGTGAAATCAAGTGTCATGCCCTCCAATGGTTCAATGGTCTGGGCTACACGGAACTGCACGGCGGTCATCGAGAGACGAAAGATCCGACGGTCATGTGTTCATCTTGCACAGCAAACCGGCTCCAAATCATGTTTTGTCCTAACAACCATGATATCAGACCCTTTGGCGGCAGCGCTCCTGATTTCGAGACATTGGCAATCGGCTTGTGTCGAGCTAAGAACGATTCGGAAGGGACGGAAGAATCACTCCAGTTATGGTGTTCTCTCTGTACCACCCCTGCATCGTTCAAGTGCGTGACCGCCCAACCCTCCCTGGCGTCCGATGAAGCTTGGATCGACGGCTGCGGTCTTCGGTTGTGCGGTCAGTGTGAACGCGGGCTTCGTGAGAAATATCATGGCTGCGTTTATGGGATGGCTTTGGCTTACGATAAGGAGCTCAAGACAAAGGAGGAGGACGGTGGGATGCAGTCAGGAAAGCCGAGGGCGGATGTAGGGTTTCTGAAGAGTGATGGGCTTCTGATGAACTATATGAACGCACTGGGTTATGATCCCGATCCAGTGTCGGGAGACGTGGAAATGGGGTGATGGTTGCAGAGTGGTGGATTACGTCGATTGGTCTTCGAATTCTCTTTAGGCTTTGGGGTTTTGCGCAGAACACTCCCTTGCATGGGGTAGGCCCGTGGGTGAAGCGTTCCTAATATCTTCTCAGTATGGAAATTCTCTCACTCCGTGAATCATGTAGATAATAATCTGGTGGATTCTTGAATGCTAGCAATGCTACCATGCATGGACCTGAACGCTCCATGTCTCGGATGCGGAGCTTGTATTATTTGATATGACCAGAATATTTTGCCCTATAATGCTCAAGCTGCTATCTGAATGATTGAAAAAGCGTCGGCCCTGCGTCCCATTCTCTAAAATGCTCATCCTCCGTGCAAACATTTCAGAGGCAGGACAAAACCTTCTCTTTTAAGATGCTGCACTCTATCTCTTACAGCTTTATAAGAGAGGGCGCAAATTGCTCTGTGGGTAAATATATTAAGTCTATGAAGTTCGTGTCCGTCCGTCGGAGTAACACTTATTCTACCACTTACGGGCTAAGCGTCGCCCCATCATTCTTATAAGTTGTCACCTAGGTGCCCCGAAAATGGAATGGTCTCCTGGGGTAGGACAAAACTTGTCGTCAACCGCATGATACGCCCCTTTGCTAAATCTCGGGGAGATGCGCAGGCCGATGACGGAATAAGTCACAAGTGTTGACATGGTCCATTCCGAGGATAGAGATGGTGGATCTGGGCCAGTTGTAGAAGCAGGTAAGTCCATGTCGTGGGTAGGGTGTCAGATGACGATCGTTAATTTCTATCTCAACTCTTGCTGCGACTAGGGTACGCAGTTTACAGAACTAGGTCTACAGAGTATCTTTTGTTTAGTACCCTAGAGTAGCACTAGGCGACTCCTAACTGCACACGTCTAAGGCTGCTGTATTGCTCTTGGTTATACTACACGAGCCTCTGAAAGCCTATAACGACATCGTATTGTTGCAACGATTGAACCAAGCACGAGATAAATTGCTAAGACGGCGGCTTGAGGGTACCTTGTGTCGCCGTGTGATATGACATAATTGATACCGGAGATGCAATGTGCGACTGTAGATCAGAACCTTCAAGCCTCCCCGAGGTCTCCACGTACGCGAAGGAAGATTACCCTATCCTTTTTATATGCTCGTCCACTAAACATTTCCAGTCAGAACTTCCATAGTAGATCATATGCCCGTCGTTATGAGTCTGCTGCCCAGTGCTCCGAATGGTGTCCCTCAACTGCCAAAATAGATCACCCGCCATACCCACATCCTTCAACCCAAGGCTGGTCTGTTGCCAGCCACTTTCGACAGGGCAATGGTCCGCAGCCTTGGTTACGCCGTACTCCTCAAACAGGCATGGCTTGCTGAGCTGTTGGCAAATCTTCGCATGAGCAGCCACCCAGCCGTCGCCAAACGAGTCGGAGACGCCCCAGGAGTCTGGGCATAAATGGAATGTGCCGAAGGAAATGTTGGGCAACGCGAAGTTTGCAGCCGCCAAACTGGTAGGGATAGCTTCCATCGCCTGCGAGTCTGAATCCCTATCCCCCACTGTGATCATGTGGTCCGAGTGGAGCGAGCGGATGTAATTGGAGGTTTTGCGGATCCAGTCCGTAAGGGCTGAAGTCTTACAGCGTTTGCAGCGCGGCTCATTTGCCAACTCCAAGCAAATACGGCCGTAGAGGTGCGGTAGCGAGCAATGACGGGTTTGATGTAGTTCTGATACAGCGTCTGGCACCTGGTAGCCGTTTACCATTGCTCATTGTTGCTAGGGTACCCCGCAGGCGGAGAAGTACGCCGCCATACCCCCGAAGTCCGTCCAGTTGTTAACGAAATTGCTTATAAGGTAACTTTCGGCTGACTTGACTACTGCATCGAGCCGTTGGAGTCCGTTGGAGCCTCTATTGATAGTCGCGGATGAACCGGAGAAGGCCTGGAAGTACACCGTGCCGGAGCCAGGGACGGATTTGACGTCGTTGAAGCCCCAGATGCGTAGGATCTTGTGCCCTGCGCTCTGAAGGCGGGATAGGATCACATCAACGTCACTGTTATTAGTCAAGAATGGGATCCATTATCTGTTCGTGCCAGGTATCTGTGTCAGTGATAGGCAAGCAAGATTTGAATCAGTCGCTCACACTTGGTGACACCATCAATGTTGAACTTTGTCCCATCAGCTTTTGCAAAGGCAGCTCGCTTATGGAGATCTGAGAAAGTTGTTGGTACAGCCGCTACTGCAGCGGCAAAGGCCCAGAACGAACGGCAGTGAACTTCATGGTTTGGAGGATGCTGCGGCATGCAGGCGTCCGTTGAAGGAAGAGGTACATACTATATATACGTACAGATAAGTCTAGATGTTGCATACAAAATCTACCGATGCAGGTACGGAAACTCTGCTCCGCTCTATATTACCCTGTACAAATGTTCGCAAATGGACGTCTGAAGTGCTGGAAGCTAGCATATAGGTCCGCCTTGAATTAGAGGCTTAAGCGACAGAAGAAGCTGCGGAAGATTCTGCAGATGGCCCTGTTTGCGGGCCTGCCAGGGCGTAGGTGAAGCTAAGCAGGTTGGTAGCGAAGATTTGCGCTTTATCCCACAAGAACCTCAAGTTCAATGCCATATTAAATCCAGCAGGGCAAAGGTTGGACGCTTGGAAGGGACTTGTAAACTCTAAGCATGCGTAAGGCAGCAGCAGCCAAGAGAACAATCAATTTCAGAACTTCTGAACCGCAGTGATTCCGTCAACTCCTGCTGGGTTGCTCGTTGTTGTTATTAGAGTATGGCCGGTGCCGAATGGCCCTGATAATCTGCGTGCAAGCATTCGTGTATCCGTCGGTGACTCTGGTAGCATGATTGAAATTACAGGTATTCGGAGCCGCGAGACGAGCGGAAGGGAGTCTATCTTCCATATCCTATATGCTTTTAACATCGTTGTCATCATCTCTATTTCCCAGGGGGTTTTGGTTATTGTATGGAGGTCCAAGTGTGGTTGAACTAAGTCGGCCCGATCTTCTCCGTGCCTGAATAGGCAATAACGCAAGGCACTGAGAACAGTCTTCCCACATAGAACCGCCTCCGCGGCAATATATGCCGATGATCTGTGCTCGTAGATCTCAGGTGGATGTACATACTACTAGACCATGGAGGTTGTTTGTCGAAGGAGGAGTTCCAGCTCTCCATCAGCATTTCACCGGCTCACGTGACATTGACATTCACCGTTGGCCACCGTTCTCTACTTTCTCCCTCCGAGTATTCGTTTGGATATAGGCAAGTGCAGACCTGACAGGAGATCAATATGCGCGGTGTAAACTGTACAGTAAGTCGCATTACACGTGCCAGTTATGCCTATCATCCATGGATGGCTCTCCCTAGGTTCCGGACCACGGATGGTTCCAAGGTTGTCACACGGCAGTCTGGACTCAACCTCAGCACCCTCACTCCCAAAGGCATATTCTATTCGAACCCTTGACCTGCACGTCGTTACCTTCGTAAGGCAACCACAAATCTTCACTGTTGTCACCACTGTGCATATACTTGCCTTGATATCCCAGCACCATTTCCCTAGCTCAGTTCGGACAGTGTCTCACCAGCTTTCGGAAGACATCATGCCCGCGGACGCCGGGTCCTCCCCGCGCACGGTGGAGGCGCGCGCAGCAGTGACAGCGTCGCTCGCCTCTATCGGCGGCTCTGTCGATTCGGAGATGCGCGCTCGAGCAGCAGACCTCCACAGCAACTCAGCGGCCATCTTGAAGCAGGAGAAGGAGCTGGCGAAGCAAACAGCGGCACTGGCCAAGCAGAGCGCGCAGTGGCAAAAGCTGGCCGATGCCAGTACCAAGAAGCTCAACGAGCTGGGCGACATCCAGAACTGGGCGGAAATGCTGGAGCGGGATCTGCTGGTCCTGGAGGAGACGATGAGGATGGTGGATGGAGACGAGGCCCCAGACTCTGCGAGCGGGACCGGCGATTTGCGCGAGTGAATGACGAGAGCCAGACAGGGAAACGGTGCACGGGAGATGCAAGTACGCTTACACCATGAGAGCGGACATGTAGCTTGCGTTTGAGGGCAACGCTTGTGTAGAGAGCGTGAGAGTGCACGTCGTGGGTTGCTCCAGTGTTGTCCCTCCCTCTAACCAGCGAGCGCCATGCGCGTACGCCTACGGTACCAAGACTTAGCGGCCAGCGAGCCATGAACTGACCAGGTAGCGGGGTTGCCCCCGTTTATTCGATGTCTTATTTGCAGTAGTACCATGGTTGCAGCCATCGTCTTCTTCACTCTACGCGATTGCGGGTTGCCTGCCCTTCCTGGCGAGCTTCTTGTACAAGTACATACTGGAGCGTTGAGCTGGAGTGCTGACTCATCCGACGCTCGGGCCTTGGTGGCCTTGGCATCATTCCATCAACCTCTCATGAACTACCCACGAAGCTCCCCTCCATCACATCCAACCCGCCCTACCGATCTCATCTTCCTTATCCTACTCGTCCCCCTAAATCTACTCCGGTTCAGAACGCCCTAGAGCTCCATCTGTTCATCCAGGCTCTTCATCCTCCTCCATCGCCGATCTCTGTCTCCACGCCTGCACCGTGGTTTCTGGAGAGATCGCTCCGTTGCCAGCTCATTCCCGGCTCCCCTTTCCGGGTTTTCTGTCCACTAGAGTAGCTCTATACACGCTTTCTCCACCGCCAGCATTGATCTATTCCGCCTACACAAGCCTCCGACATTCCGTAGGACGAGCTGACTGCAGTCAAACCTTCACAGACCCTTATTGACTTCTGGACAAACCCTCCCCTCATTCGAAGCTGCAAAAGAGACCGTGTGGTTTTACTGCCCGCCCATAGTCAATATAGGGAAGCGGCGAAGGATTTTCTATTACCTCACTGGGTGGAGGTTGGTTGATCACAGGCGGCCTGTGGCCTCACAGTTGCCGTCATGAAGATCAAAAAACAAGCCACGGCGCGCCATGAAATAACACGGGTAAGCCTGAAGAGAACCCCATGCTTTACTACAATACCAAGTTGCTTACGCTCTTAGTCGCCTATGATAGCAGAGTTCGCGCGAGCCACAGCCTCCATTCCTCTGTACCAACTTCCAAGCCATCTCGCCGCCTTTCCCAAACTCTGGCCCTTCCCCCGTGGCGATTTGTACCATTGGATACCCGTGCTGAACCGGTTTGACCGCATCCTCGAGCTCTTTACCCAACAATATGGCCTTGTCGATTCCTTTCAAACACAGCCTTTCACGCGGTCGCTCTTGCTCAGAGGCGATGCGGAGGGGGACGATGCCCAGCAAGAGCTGCCGACGGATGAAATACTCGACAGGGTCCAACTTCCCAGCGACGGTGACCGCGAGCTAGTTGAGCGCATCCTCGACTTCACACGTCTCCTGATCGAGAACTGTGGGAACCGCGCCCTGTACAACAGCAGTGACCGTTTAGACAAGCTGCTCAATACCACATCGCTCTCGCTATTGCTAGCCACTCTTCGACTGGGCCTCCGCCTCGCCCAGCGCTACCATACCGCTCGCATGCGCATGGCTCATCATAGTGTTTCTTACAACCTCCTACAGAGCCATTACGCCATCAACCTTGACAGAGTGAGGGAGCTCGCACTTCCCTTGCCCAAAGGGCCGGCTATCTCGGGGCCTGTTTTTGCCACCCCTGCGAGCAAAGGTAAAGATAAGGGAGAGCGTAAAAGCGAATCCGACAAAATCAGCCCTTCGGATCTCGTAGGCCTGCTAGCATTGCCAGAGTCGAGACTGAAACATGAATTCGGTGGCGTCTCCATTTCCTATTACGATGAGACTTTACCGGCAGTTGAAGGAGGTGTCTCGAAGCAATCCCATGCGGAAGCCCCTGCTACCCCGACGCCGGTACGCCGGAGCTTGGGCACCGCTTCGTCGCAGACTCCTAGACAACCTCATCCTTTGTCAAATGCGGACCCCCCTACCACACCTGTTACCCCCGGATTTGGCGGTGATATGGAAGGCCAACGTCCCCACGGACCTAAGGTCTACGATGTCTCGGCAGAAGTCATCTCACAGACAGATATCCATGAGTTGATACAGCGAGGCTTCGCTGTCTTACCTCCCAGCGCACGGCCAAGCTTTTTCCATAAGATCCGTCTTGCAAAGGCTCTGCATACTGGAAGTGCTGGACTCGAAGGTGTGGTCGCTACCCGTCTTCTCGCCATTGCAAACCTAGTCTATGTCTTAGGAGAGAAGGAGTTTTACAGCAAAATTGGCCAGCAAGATTCAGATGAGCCGCGTCGGCTTCAGTTAGCATATCAGCTTGCAGAGCTGGTCCATCCGCCAGGAGACGGTACTTCAGGTCAATCCCGAGAATTGCAAACACTGGCTCTCTGCACATTGGAAGCCCTGGCAAGGCATAAAACGAAGGCTCCGGATGTCTGCGCTGCTCTTAATGTTAACGTCAATCATGGCGTTCTGTTTTACCTAGTTCGAAAGGCTGTCGCCGAGCTTGGCGTGAAGAGCACCACGAGTGAAAAAGACGAAGCATGGCGAGAAGCACTGTTTTCCTTGTTGAACACACTGCCCAGCTCGCAACCCCGAACTGGCGAGGGCATGGTGTCAGCGGGCTTGCTGGAAATTCTGACTGAGGTCCTGTCGCTACGTACTGAGCAAGCTGAGCGCAACCACCCCAAAATCCTCCAATTCCTCGACACCTTTGTGTACAATTTGCGCGATGCATTCCAAGCACTCGTCAATGCCAAGGGGCTGGATGTTTTGGCCAGCCTGACTGCCTATGAGGTGGATGTCTCCAAGTCACTCGCCGACCAAGGCAAAGGCATGCCCGCTGAGTACAAGACTGGGCTGACGGACTACCAAATCCCCTTTCACCACCAGCAGACCCTTCGATGGGTGTTCAAGTTTCTCAACCACATGCTGACCCATACTAGCGGTACAACGGATAGGATCATGAGGAATCTCATTGACTCACCACAACTGCTGGGCGGTCTAAAGACTGTTCTGCGCAATCCTCGGACTTATGGCTCTACGGTATGGAGCTCTTCGGTCAATATACTGACTAGCTTCATTCATAATGAGCCTACGAGTTACGCCATTATTGCCGAAGCGGGGCTCAGCGAAGCCTTCCTTGAGACTGTCTCCCAGCGCACGCCCCCAGATGATTCAAGACAGCGCACAGACACCACCACCAATTCTTCCAAGCTCGATAGTGAGCTCGAAGGAATCATTGCGGTCCCAGAGGCCATCTCCAGTCTCCCTCCCGCTTTTGGTGCCATTTGTCTCGCCGAAGCTGGCATGAAGCTCTTCAAATCCTCTCCGGCTCTGGAGCGTTTCTTCCACATTTTCCAAAGTCCTGCGCATGTTCAAGCCCTCGACTCCGATTCCGAAATGGCCACGGTGATTGGCACCTCGTTCGATGAACTGGTGCGTCATCACCCGTCCTTGAGGACCAGCGTATTGTCATGCTTGAATGATACAATCTCACGTGTCGTTGAACTGTGCTCTGCCGAAGCAGCTGAGCATGGTGTCGGCGCGAAACTATGGCTTGAGTCCACGGATGGAGTCGTCTTCGTTGCCGGTGGCCGTAAAGCGCTCAGGACTTGGCCAGGTGTGGACAACGCTGCTGCACATACTGGGGACATGGATATGGATAGCACCGATGAGAACGCCGCTCAAAACGACCGAAGTGTGAGAGTAACAGTGGGAGACGTCGCGGATAACGAGGAGAAGAGTGACCGTGCCACTCCCACACAGTACATTCGGGTCATGTGTCGCTTTCTCCAAGGCTTTTTCGGAAACAATAGCATGTGCACGGCGTACATCGAGGAAAAAGGGATCGAATCGATTCTGGACTTCGCCAATCTCCCATGCCTAACACCTGACTTCGATGAACCACGGGGTGCTGGCCAAGACTTTGGACGTGTCGTACAGATTCTTGTGGAGCAGAAGCCGCATATTTTGATGCCTTCCATATTGAAACGCGCCCTCCGCGCCTTGAGCCGACTGGAGCCTTTGATGGATCATACCGGCCAGGCTGCTTTCTTCGCGCCCTTTACGAGTTTCGATCCGTCCGAAATGGAGACAGCCTTGGCAACGAACAGCGTCCTCCAGTGTGGCACCGACTACGTTAAGGCCTTTGTCACTCTCCGTTCCCTTCTTGCCTCGTTGACCACTACCTTTCAGGGGTTGATGTTCGGACATCGCACCTCTCATAATAACCTAGCCCAGGTCAACTTGGCCGACATGTATGCTCGGTTGGTGCATGGTCTCGGGAGGCTCCATAGGAGCTGTCTCTGGGAGGAAGTTCTTCTCTGTAAAAGCATACCCCAAGAATGGGTAAAACATGCTCCGTTCAGCCGTTCGCCACTCGGGGGTACATCCGAATATGAGCAGCGTGCTATGGACAGTTTAGCTGACTTACTCGGGCCTGGTGTAGCAGCAAATGCAGGTGCACTTTCTGAGGGCGAGGTTGCTGCAGGAACTTCGGATTCGCCGGCGAGCAATCCAGGCCCGAGGGAGCAGAGTGCTCGATTTAGAAACACTCAAATCCTCCGCTACCTGCTTGCCAGGGTCTCAAAGACAATAACACCGTTCTTCCACACGCTTGGGAAGCTGTTGCTCTATCGCCGCGCCCTCGACGCTTATCAGAAGCAGTGTGCTTATCTGGTGTCCGATCAGCTCGCCCAGGCTGCCATCGACCAGCTACTATATGAACCTCCACGAGAATCAAACTCCCTCCAGGACAAATATGCTTACCAACTCGTAGCGCTAGACTCAGTCTCGCAGCTGATGATTGAAAGCCACAGCCACAGCCTTGAGCGGAACACCCAAGTCCTGACTCTGATGTTGGTCTCTTTCAGAAATCTCGGCGGCATGAAGGTGCTCGCCGATATGCTCGACGCCTTTTACACGTCAGCGGCGGCAAACGTCAATGCTCGGGGCGACAGTATCACGGAACAGGATCGACGACTTTTCGATATGTCCATGGGGGGCATCAGCATCATTCTTGACTTCTATGTGCACATCATCAATCAAAAGGTCATCAACGAATCGGGTCAGACGGCGCAAATCCAATCGCAAGCGCGCGTCGACCGTGATCGAGAAAGGGCAGACTATTTTTCTGTGCCGCAATTTCTCGCGGAGCTCCGTTATGATGTTACCCAACCCGTCCAGAAATTATGGGATTCCGAGCTTATGGACAGTGCGGACGAGTCCATTGTCAAAAACGCCATCGCCATCCTGAAGACGATCCTCGAGGGCGAGGGTGAACAGGGAGCACTCAAGACCACCGACAAATTTCCGAAACGTAACAAGCCGATCTGGAAGCAGTGGAAGCCTCGCACCGATGCCCGCATAGCGCAGTTGGCGGAGGATTTCAACGGGGACATGCTACTCGCCAGAGAGGCCATGTACAGATGCTGTGACAACGTGGTCGCAGCTCGTGATTACTGCCGCAACGTCATGAACGGTGGACAGAATTGCCGCAACGAGCCTCCAGAGTACGAGACCCAATGGCGCAACCTATCTCTGTCGCCACGCACAGCGGAAGTGGTAGTTCCCGGAGCTGCTGACGATGGTAGCGACACTGCCAGCAACGACTCCGAAGGCGATGAGCCAACCGCTGCAGCGGCCTCCTCTGCAGACGCAGGAGAGGCTGAGGAAACTCGACTGGGCGACACAGGCTATGAGTCGAACTGGGGATTCCTCGCTTACCGCAGGCGGATGCAGAATGGCAACCTGGCAGGATCTGTCGCTCCAGCCGATTTGGAAGAGAAGAGAAACGATCTTCGCAAAACCCTTATCGACCGTTCTCTGGATGTCCTCAACTCCCACGAGGATGCCACTTTTGAACTGGCTGACTTGATTCTTGCAGCCGTCACCAGGGCATCTGATTCCGCCACAATGCGTACTGACGTTGGCTCCACCCTCGTGCAGTCATTGATATCTCTTCAAACCGGAGACAACTTCCGAGAGCAGGGCAAAAGGATTGCGGCCTCTGCCCATTTACTCGCACTAGTAATCCAAGATAGGGGTTTCTACGATGCTATTGTGGGCGAGCTGAAGGACAACTTTGACATGATGCTAGAATTCATCAAGATCTTTCCTGACCAGTCCGCGGATGAGTCCTCTCCGTGGATAGCGCCAACCCTTGCCATCTTGGAGCGTTTGCTCGCGGAAGATCAGGTCCCACAGCAAATCAATTGGAATTTTCCAACAGGAGACGAGCAGGAAGCCTTGATCGAGGATGTGCCTCAGCCAGTTGTGTCTATGGATGAGAAGATGCGTCTCCTGGATGCAATTCTGGAAGTACTTCCGCGCATAGGGAAGGATGAGTCTCTGGCTCTTTCAGTGACCCGAGTCCTGGTCATGTTGACACGAACACGGAAGATAGCCGTTCGCCTGGCCGAAAAACGTAATATTCAACGCCTCTTTCTGATGGTTCGTCAACTGGCTGGCATTACGAATGATGCATTGAGAAGCGCGTTCATGATTGTGTTGCGACACATTATTGAAGATGAAGAGATCATGCGCGAGGTCATGGGACGCGAAATCCAGATCATGTTCGAGCAACGAGATCGTAGACAAACAGACACCACAGCGTATACGAGGCAATTGCACTATCTCGCGATTCGGGATCCGGATTTGTTTGTGCAGGTTACCAATGAGAAACTCCAACTGAAGGGTTTCGATCCTCACCAGCGGCCTCAAAACCTCCTGCTTAAGAAGCGAGAGGATGCTGAGCCCGTCTTACAAGATGGTACCGTTGCCGTGCCATCGGAGAATACGCGTGAAGCGGCGTCGTCATCCACCGATAACCCGAAAACGCCCGTTCTTGAGCGTACAAAGACGTCCGAACTAAAACCGCCTGTTGTGGAGAATCCAGATGGCGTGATCCACTACCTACTCTGCGAACTTCTCGCGTACAAGGATGTTGATGATAATATGAACCTGGCGAAAGACTCAGCGTCCGCCAAAGTGCCTGTGCGAGAAGCCTCTACATCGACGAGCGCAGAAGAGACCCCGCCGCCGGATCCTGCCTCTCCTTCAGAGCCATCGACGGCCGAGAAGATGGAATTTAAGTCTGAAGCGCACCCTATCTACATCTATCGTTGCTTCATTCTGAAATGTTTGGCCGAACTCTTGCAGAGCTACAACCGCACCAAGATTGAGTTTATCAATTTCTCGAGGAAAGCGGACCCACACGCGTCGACGCCTTCGAAACCAAGGTCCGGGGTGTTGAATTATCTCCTTAACGCACTGGTCCCTGTCGGAACTCTGAACCATGAGGGCGACTTGGCCTTCAAAAAGAAGCTGGCGACGTCTGGCTGCGCCATCGACGTCATTGTTGCTCTATGCGCAAAGGTCTACGAACCCAAACAGCCGTCGGACCAAACGTCGCCATATTTAGAGACTGACCTGGATCTTCTCTTTGTCCGCAAATTCGTGCTCGAGCATGCCTTGAAGGCATTTAGGGATGCCAGTATTTCCGACGAACCATTGGATCTGAAGTACTCCCGGCTCTTGAACATCGCTGATATCTTCTCCAAGATGGTGTCGCAGCGACCGGACGGTTCCCTCGTCAGTCCAAATAGCGAGTTGACGCCTTCCATGAAACAGATGGCCAAGATCATGTATGAGAAGAACTTCATCACTGTGCTCACGACAGCCATTGCAGATATTGATCTAAACTTTCCTAACGCGAAGCGCGCCGTCAAGTACATACTGAAGCCCCTCAAATGGCTCTCGTCGGTTGCCGTTGACCTTAGCACTCGCTATGATTCGTCAGCAGCACCGGGCTCGGTTGACGAGTATGAAATCTCTTCGGCGTCGGACGATGACTTGGTAGGAGCAACTCGTGAGGAGACCCCCGACCTGTTCCGCAACTCTACTCTTGGCATGTATGAACCTGGTCAGGAGTCGGAGTCCGAGGATGAAGATGACGAAGGCGATGAGGAAATGTATGATGAGGCCTTTGCTGATGACATGGAGTACGATGAGGACATGGACGACGAGGACGTAGTTTCTGAAGAGGATGAAGAAATGGGTGACATGGGTCCAATCGAAGGTCTGCCTGGTGATGCCGTAGATGTCGAAGTTGTCCTTGAGGATGATGGTGACCACATGATTTCTGGTGACGAGATGGACTCCGACGAGGAGGAAGATGAAGACGAAGACGAGGAGGATGACGAAGAGGATGATGACGATGAAATGGATGAGATGGATGAGTTTGATGACATGGATGACATGGAAGAAGTCACGGGCGATGATGAGAATGCCAGTCTCGGAGATGATGGCGAGGAAAGCTGGGATGGTGATCACGGTTCCGCGCAACTCGATGTGCCTATCCCTGGGCACATGGTCCCTCCCGGTACGCTATGGACAAACGCCAACACCGAAGAAGGTCTGCATATCCAAAACAGTGATGACGCTCAACGCATTCGCAATTTGGACAACGCCTATTTAGATGAGTTCCTGGAAGACGAGATGCCTGAAGACGAAGGTATGTACTCAGACTTGCCAATTCATGCTATGTCTGCTAATGTGAGCGACAGATGAGGAGGAAGACGAAGATGACTACGATGAAGAAGAGATCGTGTACCATCCCGGCCTCGAAGACGACGAAGATCAATTTGGTGGGCTCGCTTTTGGCTGGGACGACACCGCATTTCCCCCTGCCCGCCACGCCCATAGACTCAGTCCCTGGATGTTTCCTGCAGGCCCAGCAGGTCGCATCCTCGTCCCTACTGAATATCGCTCGAATAGACTTGGCGCAAATGCGCGCGCTACAGAGGATGGCACCAACCCACTGCTCCAGCGAGCCGGTCGGTCATCCGCCCGCGGGATGGACTCGTCTTTCCCCATTTATCCAGCTGCAGGCGGCGGCCTACTTCAAGCGCTGGAAATCCGTGGACCCCGCGCGTTCCCCCCTGGTGAAAGCCCAATGTCGTTCATTACCAACTTGCTGAATGCGATGAGAGAAATGGAAGGAGGAGGTCCGTTCCAATTTACATTTGACAATGGTGTCGTTGGGATCCCTATGCCTTTCGCTCCACCGTCTGTGCGGGATACTACGCGTGCCCGGGAGGCTGTTTCAACGCGTTCTGCCCGCGAAGACCCTCACTCTGCGATCAGTTTCCCCAAATGCTCGACGAGCACTCGCTGGCAGCAGGAAGCGAGGATCCTCTATGGCAGTGCCGCTATTGAGAAGGCCCAGCGTGTCATCAACTCGATCCTCAGGGTTATGGTCCCTCCTGCGATCGAAGCAGCCAAAAAGCGTCAGGCTGAGAAGGAGGCTGAGGCTGCGCGTAAGCTCAAGGAGGAACAGGAACGAAAAGAGCAGAGGGAGCGCGAAGAGCGCGAAGCGAAACAAGCTAAAGAGAGGGAAGAGAGGGAACAGCGCGAACAGCAGGAGCGCGAGGCTGCTGCAGGGCGGGCGGCCATGGCGGTGTCTGGAGAGGCAGCGGATCAAGAGTCAGCTGGTGCCGCCGAAGGGCAGGCGATGGAAGGTGTAGAGCAGGCACAACCTTCAGCCGACCAAGCCGCAGGGTCATCAGCTCGAGTGTCTAGCATTGCCACTTTTGAAGGGCGTGAGATCGACATTGGTGCACTCGGCATCGACCTCGAGTATCTAAACGCCCTACCAGAGGAGTTTAGAGAAGAAGTGCTCATCCAACAGATCACGGAGCATCGACGACGCCAGCAGAGTCAGCCGGATACTGCACCCACCGATATTGATCCCGAGTTTCTTGAAGCCCTGCCCCCGAATATTCGCGATGAGGTTCTCCATCAGGAAGCTCAGGAACGGCGCCGTAGGGAGCGTGAGGAAGCTCGCCAGCGAAGCAGTGCAGCTGGAGCTGCTCGTGCTGAGGAGATGGATCCAGCAAGCTTTTTGGCTACATTAGACCCCAATTTGCGCCAGGCGATCCTGTGGGAGCAGGACGAGGACACGTTGCAGCACTTGCCTCCTGAGATCGTAGCTGAGGCCCGCGCACACGGTGACCACCGTCGTTTGAACCAATTTCCTGGCGAGTTTGTTCGTGACGACCGACGGATTCGAGGAGATGAGCCAATACAGAGGAGGAAGGCCCGTCCATGTGTTCAGATGCTGGACAAATCCGGTGTCGCCACACTGCTCCGCCTCATGTTTATCCCTCAACAGGGCAGTGCCAAGGCCAGCTTAAGCCATATCCTCCGCAATGTGTGCGAAAACCGGCAAAATCGTGCCGAGGTAATCAGTATCCTGCTTTCGATCCTTCAGGACGGTAGCGCAGACGTTAATGCCGTTGAGCGGAGCTTTGCTCAATTGTCACTGCGCGCGAAACAGCCACAGCAAGGCTCTGAGAAACCTGCTAAGACTCCTCGCAAGACGGGGCCTTTGTCTATCAATCCAGACATCTCTCCGATGATGGTGGTGCAGCAGTGTCTTCACGCATTGTGGCAGCTTACCGACAAGAATCCTCACGTGTGGTCATTCTTCCTTACCGAACATGAAACTGCCGTCGGCTTCAAGAATCGTGGAAACCGGAAAGGGAAAAGCAAGGAGAATAAAGCTACGCGATACCCCCTCAACGCACTTCTCGGATTGCTGGATCGGAAACTTATCATTGAGAGCTCCTCAATCATGGAACAGCTCACTACGCTTCTTCGAGTCATAACAGGGCCCCTGCAAGTCCTCAAGAGAGAGCAAACCGACGCAGCCGAACCCGAAGCCCCTTCTTCTTCCGAAGGTCAGCCCAGCGCAGAACCCCCAGTAGCCCAGGAGGCTCCCCTTGCCAGCGAAGACATCGATATGCATTCCGCTTCAGAGCCGTCAAGGGCACCGATAGAGGAAGGCAATGCATCTCACGCGGGTGCTCTAACGAATACTGGTGAAGGCAGCGCGTCGAAAGCCGAAGAGATATCGGGGGAAGATGACAAGTCCAAGAAACACCGTACACTTGTGCCACCCGAGGTGCCAGAGCAGAATCTGCGGCTCGTGGCAAGGATATTGGCGGCACGGGAGTGCAACAGCAAAGTCTTCCAAGAGACGTTGTCGATCATCAACAATCTTTCACCAATCCCCGGTGCCAAGGAGACATTTGGCAAAGAGCTACTAGGCATTGCGCAGGATCTCGCGCGGAGTACCCTGGCTGACCTTGCAGACTTGACCTTGCAAGTCTCCCGTGCTGAGACTCCGACCGATGTTCAGGGTATGGCCCTCGCCAAATTCTCCCCTCCCAGTTCGGACCAAGCGAAGCTCTTGAGAGTTTTAACGGCGCTCGACTATCTCTTTGATCCAGCCAGGGATGGTAAAGATAAGGAAGATGGCAAGCCCACTCACACACTGGCGCCCACTCAAAAGGAAGATATTCTAATGACCTTGTACGAGAGTTCGACTTTTGCGGGCTTATGGCAAAAGTTGAGTGAATGTCTCTCCGTTATCCGTCAACGCGGCAACATGCTCAACATCGCGACAATTCTCCTGCCTCTTATCGAAGCGCTCATGGTGGTGTGCAAGAACACTACTTTGAAGGACGCACCACTTAGCAAGATGCTGCCGAAAGAATTTGCTCTGTCCAGCCCTCCGCCGGAGAACAGAATGGAGAGTCTGTTCTTCACCTTCACTGAAGAGCACCGCAAAATCCTCAATGACTTGGTTCGTCAAAACCCCAAGCTCATGAGCGGAACATTTTCGCTCTTGGTCAAGAATTCGAAAGTCCTGGAGTTCGATAACAAGCGTAACTACTTCAGTCGTAAGCTCCATGCACGCGGGCCCCATCAAGATCGACATCCGCACCCGTCCCTGCAGCTCGCCATCCGCCGTGATCATGTTTTCATGGATTCTTTCCAGTCCCTGTACTTCAAGACCGCGGATGAGATAAAGTACGGAAAGCTCAACATTCGCTTCCATGGCGAAGAAGGCGTGGACGCCGGCGGTGTTACCCGGGAATGGTTCCAAGCCATCGCACGGCAGATGTTCAACCCAGACTACGCGCTCTTCGTGCCCGTCGCCTCCGATCGTACTACATTCCATCCGAACCGCTTGAGCGCCATCAACGATCAGCACCTCGTCTTCTTCAAGTTCATTGGGCGCATCATTGGCAAAGCGTTGTACGAAGGCCGTGTTCTGGACTGCCACTTCAGCAGAGCTGTCTACAAGCGCATCTTAGGCCGTCCTGTTAACCTGAAGGACATGGAAACCTTGGACCTGGACTACTACAAATCGCTACAGTGGATGCTCGAGAACGATATAACGGACATAATCACGGAGACCTTCTCCATAGAGGTAGAGGCCTTTGGCGAGACTCAGATCATTGACCTGGTTCCAGACGGCCGCAATATCCCTGTAACCGAGGAAAACAAGCACGAATACGTACGTCTTGTCACTGAGCATCGGCTCACTGGATCCGTTCACGAGCAGCTTGAGAATTTCTTGAAGGGCTTCCACGATATTGTGCCAGCGGAACTAATCGCCATTTTCAGCGAACAGGAGCTCGAGCTTTTAATCTCTGGCCTGCCAGATATTAATGTGGATGACTGGAAGAACAATACAGAGTATCACAACTACACCGCGGCATCGCCGCAGATTCAGTGGTTCTGGCGTGCTGTGCGCTCCTTTGACAAGGAAGAGCGTGCCAAGCTGCTCCAGTTCGTCACAGGCACTAGCAAGGTTCCTCTGAATGGCTTCAAAGAGCTGGAGGGCATGAACGGGTTCTCGAAATTCAACATTCACCGTGACTTTGGCGCCAAGGATCGCCTCCCTTCCAGCCATACTTGCTTCAACCGTAAGTCACCGCACCTGAGTTCGCTTGCTCGAGACACATGCTGACTGACTGCCCCATAGAGCTTGACCTTCCAGAGTACGACTCATATGAGGATCTACGAAAGCAGCTGTACACTGCGATGACTGCTGGAGGCGACTACTTCGGTTTCGCGTAAACTCGGCATACCATGGTGCGCGGAGCGCGCCTTTAGCTTCCCTTTCTCTGTCGTTTCCCACTGTATTACCTTTGAGCATTGCAGGCGCTTGGTGGGGATGGACAGTTCCCTACGTGCCGGGACAATCGAGGTTTTGCGATGTAACAATAATTCTAGATAACGGCAGTGCCGGCATGTGCACATGGGAGACCATTTTCTCGGTCGGCGTTGGTCGTGTTTCTGGTCCAGGATCTAGGAGTGGGCTGGCATAGCATCAGGTACTCGGTATATGACCCATGGATGACAGTGCAGCTGGGAGTGCAGGCCTGGCTGGCACACTCGTCCTTGAGGGAAATATGGTGCTGGGGTATTATAGGTCCACATGCGACTCGAGGCATAGACCAGTTTGTAGATAATCATGGTTTTCAAGGTCCAGTGCCTGACCTGCGGTTTGGTTGTCTCAATAAGCTTGCGCTCTTCGGTTTGGTCGGCAACTGGGTTTATAGCAGCTTCCTTGCAACGTTTTCGAGTGTATCAGGCGGAGCTTGAAGAAGAGGAGTCCATTTCCGCTAGTTTATCACTGTCACCGCGTCGAACAAAGCAAGGGCTGACAGATCGCACGCTCTGGGTTTCTGCCCTATCATATGTCATATTACGTACGCAGACGCTAGCACTACGTTTGTTCCAGCAATCTTTAGTTTCTTGATGTCCAACAGTCCATGGATCTCAATGAGGATTTGTGTTCAACGGCCCCCAAGTCTTCTTTGTCGTAGCGCGAGGCTGTGTCCATCTATCTATGCTCTGCCCCAGCCACCTCTTTTCCGCCAACACCACGGAGGGAGTACGGAGTACAATTGTTGCAGCCGTCAATAATACAACGCTCTCCCGCCGGTTGAAACGTTTCGCCGGCTGCTACATGACATCCCGACTTGCATGTAGTCTACTGTGTAGATTTGTCAATGGCACTTGCATGCTTGGATACACAGTACTACAGTATGTATGCTCTGCTCAATTGCAACCACTTCCTGGTCTACCCCAGGGGAAGGACCCAAGCGTGTTTGCTCTCGAGCTCGTCTGAGAGCTGAGAGTGCTGTCCTCCGTAGCTCGGTAGGATTACCTAGTCAGCGTGGCTTGCTTGTCAACTATCCGATAATAATCTGAGTGGAGCTTTGTCCTGCAGCTTATTTTACAGTAGCTAGAGGAACCACAAAGCTTCTCGCAAAACCTGTTATCTTGCTGCGCCCCGCTGCCGTTCAATTGGATGGAGATTCAGGAAGTACAGAGCAAGTACTGGGGTGTGCTCAGTTGGATGTGAAAGGGAAGTGGTGGGGGCCGTGCAAGCCTTCTCGCGACCGAATCCTCGGAGACAAAGCAGAGTAAGATCCGAGGCCAGAGAGCGTTGCCAACGATGCAGCTGGGTCGGTTGTTTGCCTTACACGGTCATAGCTTGAGGGCCTGCACGCCTGACGCGGGAGTCCAAGTGCGGTTCAGCATCGTTGATTCCGTGCGTGTGTGCGTGTGCGTGGAGTCGCAGCCCATTGTTTAACAGTGTTTCCCAGCCCAGTTTTTCTCCGTGCTCACCTCGGCCTTTGTCCTGGCTTTCGAATTCCAACTCGCACCTCACAGGCTCTCGCCTGGTAGCATACCCAACACCCCTGGGGCAGCCGCCACGCTTGCATTTTAGCAGATTGGAGAACAGCAGACAGAAACTTCCCTCGAGCAGAAGGCCATCGCCTGACTGCGACACTCACAGACGGCACAGCCCTATAAAGGTAGACTCTTATACGACGGGCAGGGCCTACACACCGAGAGCCCTGCGGGGCGCAATGGCCGACCACCAGTCCATGAAACAGAACGACCTTCCCCGTCCCGACTCCATCGAAACGTCAACAACGATACCTGCACTACCCTCCCTCGGATTTTCCTCAGATACCCACGCACTTGGATTCGATGGGCATTACGACGTCTCGCCTCCCTCGAGCCCATCGCGTCCCGAATATTCGGCATCTCGCAGCGAACCCATCGCAATAGAGGGTAACAATGCACGGGGCCTGGGTATCGCTACTCCTCTACCACCTTTAGGACATGACCCGAGTGCGCCAGATTATGCGGCATCAGCAGCTGCACCGGATGCGCGGAGCCCTTCAATCAAGAGTTCAGATGCTCCCAGTGCCATGAACTCCGCAAATCCGCTCATGGGAAGCTTTCCTCAAGATTCTGCCGGAACAACACCAGACTTGCAGCCGGACAGGTTGAGTCCAAGCCTGAACAATGGCGGGATTGATTCCAAGGTGACCGTGCCAGATGAATATCAGCGATATCTTGAAGATTCCGCTGGAGGCGGATCGAGACCACATAACGGCACGTCGATCAAGTCCGCCTACGCAAGTACGTGACTACATCTGTGCTTATGTCCACGACGGTGACACTGACGAGTAATGCTCAGATGACTTCCGACCGACACATGAATGCCCCACTGCAAAGGATTTCCACATGTCCAGGTGGTCTTGGGTCTCTGTCACCATCATCATTCTCTGCCTCTTCTCCACTGTTTTCTCGGGCATCTTCCTCGGCCTCGCGACCAAGGCTCCTCGATACGGCCGTTCCATCTCGTCTCAGGGCAGTTTCAAGCCGTCAGATGCGATACTGCTTACGACTGTGATGGCCAAATTGATTGAGCTCTCATTCGTAACCGCCTTTGTTGCATTCTTGGGGCAGGTGCTCAGCCGTCGAGCATTCATGAGGGAACACGGTCCGGGCGTCACGCTGTCGGAAATGAGCATGTGGAGGTGGGTGGTTCAGCCTGGAACACTTATCACGCACTGGGAGACCGCCAAATACGCTGGCTTAAGCGTACTTGGAATCTTGAGTCTACTCAGTGCATTACTGGCGACATTGTACACACCTGCTGCCACAGCTGTTGGTGAGTAGTGTCTCAAGTGTCCCCTTACTTGGCTAATAGTATCCAGTCCAACCAATGCTGAAGGAAGGCCATTGGGATGGTAGGGTGTTCGAAGGCCAAGTGATGACAGACTTCGCCAACGTGACATATGTCAAGCAATTATGCGCAACACCCATACAAAGTGATGCCGAGGCAGGGCAGTCGACATGTCTGCAGATTGAACATGCGGGCCAGGGCTATCATAACTACCAAAGGTATTTGAATTATTGGACGACTGCTGTCAACAGTAGGAACACAACCTCCAATCAGAGGAAGCGTCCCCGCCCATTTGGCCTCCTTCACGAGAACACGACAGTGACAGGCCAATGGGTCAATATCATCGATACGGCCGCCACGTCCAGAGAGCATGGCCGGGTGATCAACAATATCTCTCTCGCTATGCCCCATTCCGGAGTCTTCAAGGCTGCCCACAGCCAAAAGAATGGCATCATGCAGCCGGAAGAGCTGGACTCGGAGGGCACCTATACTTTACGCGCCTCTGTTCCTTCGCCTGTTATGAATGTGCTTTGCGCCAACATGAACAGGGACGAACTGAAGCCCATCGTCTATCAGGAATGGAATCGGCGATACAACGTCAACGGAACTTCGTGGACCCGATACCGGGATAACGCAACGACGAGAAACAGAACAGTGGTGGACGATCTCTTTGGGTGGACCAAGCGTGATCCTCTCCGGCAAGACTACCCCCCGGTATTTGCGAAGCTCCCCAAACCGTTCAATACCATCATGAACCACACAAATTATGGCTGGGGAAGGGATGCAATCTATTTGCTCGGCCAAGGTGGAGCAGATGATAAGACGAATAATACTGGGACCTATGTACTTTGCAAGCTCCATCTCACCATCACACCCAATTGCAGCACACATTACACGGCTACTGGTTCCGGAGGCACCATGGAAGCCCATTGCGAAGATGAGAGCGATGAGCTGGCATATATCAAAAGTCATCCCGAATCAACAGGCGGCAGGCCAGTGAGCAACTGGAGAGATGTAGGGTTCGATTGGGCTAATAGCCTTTCCCTCAATACCGGCATCGATGACGCGGATGCCAGCAACGCGAGGCTTCTGACACAGCTCATCCTGAGGCCATCCAACCCTGACCCGAAGAATCTTGAAGTCGATCTGAACAGTGAGCTGCCGAGCGTTGCAGAAGCTCTGGCCGTCATGGCGGGATGTACTCTTCTGAAAAGCATGCATGACGCACCCTTTGTCGATTTCTGGGTAAGGACACTGCCCCCGTAGCACGTTTGGCATTTCGACTAACTCCTGCAGAATTACACCGAAGATTCGTACAGTGCGCTCCCGGCAACCCAATATTTCAACGCATCCCTCCAAGCACAACAATACGCTTCTGGCGGGCCCGACGACGCTTCTAGAGCTTGGATCGCCGTCCTTTTCCTCGTCTTCATCATGAACGTCTTCGTCCTCATCTACTTCCTTTGCCACAATGGCCTGGTGACCGACTTCTCCGAACCTCCCAATCTTTTCGCCCTCGCTGTGAATTCGCCTCCTTCGCATGTGTTGGCCGGAAGCTGTGGAGGTGGGCCAGCGGGCAAGCAGTATACCGTGAATTGGTTCGTAAACCACGAAGGGGATCACTTGTTCATGGAGCCGGGGACGGTAGCAGCCGGACATGGGCAGCCGCATCTCCATGATTCCCACGCGCGTGGCGGGCCATACGACCAGGAGGAGAAGCCGAAAAGGGGATTTATGAGCGCGATAGCCCGACATGTAGACAAGCTGCGTGAGAATGGCCTGCATTTTGGGCTCAACAAGCATCAGACGAGGCTGAGGCCGGCCAGTGTTGTCTCTTCGCCAGCAATAGGGAATTACCTGAGTCCGGATCTGGAAGGGGGGACTTCGAGAACGAGGAGGAAATATGAGATGTTGGCTAAGCGGAAGAGTGTTCTGTGAGGCTGGGGGGAGAGGATACATACGGTTACATAATATATAGCATGGATGATATCTGCAAGTAATTGAACCCCTGAACCATTGAACCTACGCTAGTTTTACGGGTGCAAACTTAGTTTGAGCTTACCATTTGTGCCTACGCTGTATAGGCCCAACACTTTACCCTAGATGTACTCCATCCTACCTACATTCGCTATAAGATGCTTTTATACTACAGACATAATAGACGCAAGCACATTCGGCTGTCTCGGGATGTATCGACTACTTTATTGCGAACAATCTAACATTCTCAACGGCACTTGGCCCTCTGTGCAAAGACATTTTCCTCTCGTGCGATTCCCTGCAATCCCTCTTGCCCCTGCATGCCGGTCATGGAATTCGAATCCCCGATTCGTCAACATACTCGCGGCGACATGCCGCCAGTCCCCTACGATGCAGCATTTAACCATGGAGAGCAAGTTGACTCTTTCTTATTATCTTCCCCCGCACTGAGGCGTAAGGCTGAGAATATATTGCCGTCGGGTCTGAAAGTTAACAAATATACATCTATGCACTTTCACACAGGCAGGCGTTAAACCGAGTCGCCTTCCCAGAGCATCTCCTAGCCATGATGAAAGTACTAGCAATCACCGCATTTCTTCCCCTCCTCGCAGCTACACGTGAAATCTCCTTTGCTGCTGCGAAAGAGCAGGCGTACGACTACGTGATTGTTGGTGGGGGCCTCAGCGGCCTGGTCGTCGCCAATCGCCTAAGTGAGGACGAAACAAGTACGACTTTGAATAGACCTGGAGCGCCATGATTCTCAGAACTGATCCACGCAGTCTCTGTTCTCGTAATTGAAAACGGCGCCATCGACGACAGGCCCGCCACGCGAATTCCCTACTTTTCCAACATCAACACCGATAACTACTATGCCATCACATCCGCACCCGAACCCTTTATGCAGAACAAGGCATGGACCGTGTCCGTGGGCAATGTCGTCGGCGGTGGCACCGTCATCAACGGCATGCAATTCGATCGTGGCTCGAACGCCGATTATGATGCGTGGGAGGAGTTGGGAAACAAGGGATGGGGATGGAAGGGACTGGAGAAGTACTTCAAGAAGGCTACGTCCTTTGAAGGACCGAGCGAGGCGGTTCGAAAAGAGTTTAACATTACGTACGATGCGGATGCGTACGGGGACGGTCCTCTGAAACTGTCCATTCCAAGCTTCCAGTACCAGGACTACAAGCCTATTTGGGGCTCGTGGTTGGCGGAGGATATTCCTCACCCAGTGGAAGGATATGCCAGCCCGATTGGCACTTTCTGGACACCGAATACTATCGACAATTCGACGCAGGAGCGCTGCCATGCGCGGCGGGCGTATTACGACCCGGTCAAGGAGAGGAGACCCAAGCTGCATCTCCTGACCAATAGTCACGCCGATGAAATTCTCTTTGCCGATGGGTCGCTTCCTACTGCCAAAGGAATCAAAGTCACCTCAAACGCAGACCTCCAAACAGCCTCAATCTATGCAAAACGTGAAGTCATCCTCGCTGCTGGAGGCGTCTACACCCCGCACCTTCTCATGGTCTCGGGCATCGGGCCCAAAGATGTCCTCTCTGCTGCGAACATTGAAGTGAGAAAAGATCTCGCAGCCGTAGGCTCCAACTTCCAGGATCATCCCGCCCTCTACATGAACTACAAACTCTCCAACCAGTCCATACCCAATCCCGACACGATATCCACAAACGAGACGTTCAACGCCACATCCGCAGCAGAGTACGAAAAAGACCGTACGGGACCCTATACCTACGGCCGCGGCAACGCGCTCGCATTGCTGCCATTCAAACACTTCTCCACCCGGTACAAAGAAATCACAGCGCTCATCGAGCGGCAAAACGCAACCGCCTACCTTCCCACTCGATACTCGCGCAATCCCGCGCTGCTGAAGGGATACCTCGCCCAACGCCGCATCCTCATCTCACACTACCTCTCCTCCGATGCAGCTGCGGGCGAATTCCCCATCCAACCGTGGGGTCGTGCAGCAACCGCCCTGCAAAAGCCGCTGTCACGAGGCACCATAACGCTAAATACCACGCACCCAAGCGCGAATCCCGTCGTCATGCGCAACGCCTTCCAGAACCCAGTGGATAAAATGGTGCTTGGAGAACTCGTCCGCTGGAACCGACGACACTGGACCACGCAGCCGTTGCTTTCCCACTTTAGCCCCGTGGAACAAGCGCCCGGTGCGCAGCACGTCAGTGACGAGGAGATTTTCGACGCGGGTATCGCATCGGGGGCGCTGAGCCCGACGTTTGCGCACGCGAGCGGCGGGTGTGCGCTCATGCCGGAGGAGCTGGGTGGGTGTGTGGATGAGAAGCTGAGGGTGTACGGGGTACGGCGGTTGAGGGTTGTGGATGCGAGTGTTTTGCCGCTGATTCCGGCGGCGCATCTGATGGCGACTATGTATGCGGTTGCGGAGAAGGCGGCGGATGTGATAAAGGAGGATTGGCCATCTAAAGTATAACGTACACAAGTATTTGAAGCTGAGGGCACTGTTTCTCTAGGCCTAGAGGGAGTGCTAATATACTTACTGCTTCTATAGAAGAGCCTGCCGGTACGGAGACTTCATCCACTACAATAGCCTTGAAGGCGTGTCCGTGAAGTTGCTAAGGTACTAGAGGCAGAGATTGAAGCGGCTCGCAAGGCGGACCAAGGCTCCCGACTTTTCATGTTAGTGTCAATAGTATACACTCAATTACACTTACCTCTAACTTACAACGCTAGAGGCAAGTACATTAGAGTTGAGGCGGATGTGATGGTTCTCCATCATCCAATCGGCAGTATGCGCAGGACAAACTTGCGAACCTGACACTAAGGGACTACAAAAGAAGCTTTAATAAGCTCAACACTTATATGACTATGCCGCGAGGGCCCACCGCGCCTTGATCAGATCCGCAGCCTTCTCCGCGATCGCCATGACCGGCATCTGAGGATGCCCACTCATCAAAAGCGGCATGATGCTGGCATCCACCACCCGCAAACCTTCCACGCCATGGACACACAATTCCGCATCGACGACGGCCATCTCATCTTCTCGACGGCCCATCTTGCAGGTTCCGGCGGGATGGTAACCTGGCCACTGTTAAACGCTATCGAAGGGACGTAGAACCAGCTTCTTCTTACAAGTGTCGGCACGCTCCCTTATCGCCTCCTCCCATTGCTCTCTCCTCGTGAATTTGTCATGTCCTTGCCCAACGGGCCACGACCCAGCAATAACATCTTTCGTACCCATTCCTTCCAAGGCAATCTCATTCGCGAGTTGGCACGCCTCGCTGAACACCAACATATCCAGCGGGTCCTGCAAATAGTTATGTTGGACCCTGGGATTCTCCCTCGGATCAAAGGACCGCAGCGTCACCTCCCCGCGCGATCTGGCGTGGAAAAACATCGTCGCCATGGCGAACGCGTACTTGCCATCTGGCGGGAAGTCCTTGAACATGTACTTTGGCGAGTAACACTCCGTGTTCCAGAATTCGACGTGAGGCTGGCATGGCAATGTTCCCATGGCATCTCTTTCGTCGTCGGTTTTGGTGGTTGTCCACAGGGGGCTGTTCTTCAAGCGATCGTCGAGACGAGTGAATGCGAATGCTCCAAAGGGGAATTGTGAGAAGAACCCCGTTCGCGATTCCTTGTATGCTTGCATGGACTTCTCACGCCCTCCAGTATGCCAGATTAGGTGGTCGTGAGTCAACCCTGGCTCGCTCACCTCATAGAAGTTGAGCAAGACCTTGCATCTAACGTGAGTTTTGGTGGCCGTGACGGCTATCGTACGAGCGCACTCACTAAATGGTCCATGAGATTCTTCCCCACTCCGGGGAGGTCCAGCAGAGGCTCAACACCTAACTCGGCGACTTCTTTGGCGGGGCCAATGCCAGAACGTAGCAGAATTGCCGGACTGCCATACGTGCCTGCAGCAAGAATGATCTCCCGACGAGCCACAAAAGTCATCTTAGACATGTCTTCTCCCTCTACTATTACTGCGGAAGCACGGAGTTTTCCGTCGACATTGTGAGCGAGTATCTTGTCAACGAAAATTCCTGTCTTGATGGTAACATTGCTTGTCCCGCCTTTTTGACGGCTCAGAAATTCAACAGGCGTACTGCGGACGCCCTTGTAAACTGTACGCACGGCATGTCCGCATCCAACTGCGCTTTCGCCAGTTGTGAACATGTCGGGTAGCAGGAGAAAGCCCTTCGACTGGAAAGACTGAAGCATCCGCTCCGAGATAGGCGCCGGCTCATGTGGCGACGTGATAATGGGCCCGTCTCTGCCATGTGCTTGGATGGCCCCTTCAAACCAATCATTGGAGCGAAAGTCTTCCGCCTACTCCAAGTTAGTTAAGCTATATCTGTTCATGTCTATGTGCGTATCACCTTTCTCATGTAATGGAACATTTCCTCTCCACTCCAGCCGGCGACATTCCAGTCGTCGTAATCTTGAGGCACCCCACGAATACTGAGCGTTCCGTTGCATCCACTGCTTCCTCCTAGGAATCTGTATTCGGTTAGATAAATACTTGAAACCCATTGGAGCTAGGCCTCTCACTTTCCCCGTGCAAGATGGAGCTTGCGATTATTCAAGTGTTCACAAGGCTCACTCTGGATATTCCAATCGGCTTCCGTCCCCAAAATCTTTGAAACACTGCATAGAGGGTGAGCATGGCAACATGATTTGGATCATACAAGATCATACGCGGCAGGTATAGTTGCAGCCGGAACGGCTTCTTGATGTGGCCCTGCTTCGATTATCAGGATGGTGGAGTTCTCAGTTTCGGCCAATCGACCAGCCAGAACACATCCAGCCGTGCCACCACTATTCGTTCAGTCATGCACTGGCACTTCATTATCATTTCGAGCTCACCCGCAAATGATGTAGTCATATGTCTCAGAAGCGAGTTCCTTTGGTGCCATGATACAGTGTAAATCAAGATCAAAAGGGGAGTGAGTGAGGATTCGATGCGGATGGCAGATGAGGGTACGAACCAAATGTTGAGATGAGGGTGGGCAGGTTTCCTGCTCCCACCACATCTGCGGCACAGCACGCTGCCTAGAAAAGGAGTAATATAAGCTAGTGGGATAGATAGGTAATCAAGAAGCCAACACAGGTTCGGTCCGCGCCGCCGGATATATCGCCCCGGCACACGGGTATCTTATACCCTAGGGTAAGGACCACAGGGCATACATGAATAAGGCCACACCAAACAAACAGACGCACTACAGCTCTGTCAAGATAAAGACACAACTTTGGGCCATATCCGTGTTCTCCCGGCTTCCAGGATTGAGATCATGGATAGACCCTACCCTGCTCCAAAGTGTGCATCAGAGATTCAACCTCCACATCCGCCCGTACCCCATGGTCGCATCATGAGTTCCAGCCCTTGGATACTAAGATAACCTCTCCGCAGAATTACGGACATCAGAGATGGCAATATTATTGCAGCGACTGAAATGTGGGTAACTCTTATTTGCCGCTGAGGCACAATTGCTGTGCCTCAATGCAGGCGCATCCCAAACCAATGGTGATAGCAGACGCAACATTGCAAGCTTGGATGCGATGAATCTGCTCAACGCAGGAGAATCTAATCTATTTTGTGAGAAGCCCGGCGGCACAGTTGGTAGACATTCTCCGGAATCCACTCCATGGTGTGTTCAGATGTTCAGATTCGTTCCAACTACAACCATATTCGGGTGTCTCGACGTCGCTCCACTCTGTTGACGTTTTGCTATCCTCTACTTCCGCACAGCTTTACGCCACTCTCTGGTTGCAGGAGATACCTTTGCTATGGGAGCCCACAGTCAGCAAGGTGCCCTTCCACCTCCTGAGGGAGTGGTACCGGACGTGAATCTTTCGCACAACGAGCATCGTACCACTTATATGGCAGCTCTGGCCCTGATGCTCATCTTTCCTTCCACCCTCGTGCCACTCCGACTATACACCAAGGCAGTGATAATGAAATCATTGAGAACGACCGACGGTAGTGACGGTACTCCAGATTTCAAGGTGCAGAAACGCTAACAGTCGACAGTGACCTGCCTTATCGGTTTTGTATGTGTCAACAATGAAGTATGACACGTTCTAACTAATCTCCCAGGTTAACTTCATTGCATTGGTCACACTCGGTTACACATTTCCAAACGTAGGCATGGGGAAGCATGCGTGGGATATTCCCTTAGCTTCCTACTCAAGGTTGGCAGAGGTATGTAAAAGGCCCCGATCGCAAGAGACTCCAGGCTAATGTTTAGATAAGCTGCTCAATATTCAACAGGCAGTCTATATGCCCGCTATCCTTTTTACGAAACTCGCCATCCTACTACAACTCGTGGATATTTTCGTGCCAACTCAGCTGCCAAAAAACTCGCGTTGGTACAGCTTGTACTCCTTGATCGCGTCCAATGTGCTCTTTTTTACCGTACTCATGTTTGTGGAGATATTTCAATGTGTTCCACGCCAAAAGATATGGAATCCCACGTTACATGGACGATGCATCGATATCAACAAAACATTTATCGCAACCGGCGTCATCAACGTCATTGACGACTTCATAATACTCATAATACCCCTCGTGTGGACTTGGAAATTGCAACTCCGCCTCAAGCAGAAGGTCGGTGTCTCGGCTATATTTGCGACAGGGTTTTTGTAAGTAACCATCGATCTCTCAAGAGAGTCGGCTACTAAAAGAATATATCTGTAGCGCATGTATTACCAGCGTTATGAGGCTCATAGAAAGTATCAAAAGCTTGGATAATCCCGATATTTCTCATTCATTGCTACCGGTCTCTCTTTGGGCGTAAGTGGTCCGCTAAAGCTGAACTTCCTCCTCTCGCTGATATATAGCCATTACTAGCTTAGCTGAAGTATCCGCTGGCTTGGTCGTGTGCTGTCTGCCATTGTTACCGAGACTATTCGGACATAGGAACGCGAGGACTAGACTAGCTGTGAGCGAACCTTCCGGACACTCGGCTCTGGTGCGCAAGGTCAAGTCACAATTCCATGGCTTTGGCTCACAGTCCGGTGTTTCTTTGAATTCAGAACCTGTCACTTCGTTTGAGTTGAGGTCAATGCCCTGAGAATGCAAGTTTGGTGCGACTACCCTCCGAGGGCACTTCTGCGGCGCCGCTCAGAAAATCAGTTAGTGGAACCCAATCGTAGTCTGGACTGACGGTTTGAGTGGCTTCCAACATGTTGCAGTCTTAAGATTAAAAATAGGCCATATCATTGTTCTTTGCTTTTCATAACGGTTCGACAACATGGTCTGTTTCCCAGGGATCATGATGCCCATATTTTCTGAAGTACTCCTCCATTGCCGAATAGTATGGTGAACTCTTGGAACAGAAAGCATATCGCTCAATTGAATGCGTGATAGGACGATAATCGTCCAACGATCGGTGGCATGCGTTCCGCTCCGGAGCATATATCCATTCGACCAACTTCGTGAGATTTCGGCATTTGAGCGGCTGAAGATCTCCTATTGAGCGAGGTGTGCTTCCAGTAGGCATCAATGTGTCGTCTGCTATGCATTGAACATCTTGCCGAAGGCTGTCTAAACAGTGGTGGACATGTTGCGCATTCAAAGTTGGGATCTGTCCGCGTTCGTACTCCACGAACCCTTTCCGGATAAACTTCTAGAGATCGGTGAGACTTGGAGGGTTGCAATGCGTTTCTAACTTACAAGACAATGCAGCTGATGGTACACTTTCACAAAATAACGTCCTTTCCTCCGATCCCATGGAAAACGGCCGGACCGCGGAAGGCCGTGAGTGTCCGCGAATTCATCTGACAAAGCTACCACCATAGGGTTGGTGTCGATACCGTCCCAAAGAATGTCCGACAAGGTGGAATTATTGCCCCAATAATCGGTGTGGTGATAGTGTACCTTTGGCACGTCGAGGCCCAATCCAGCTGGGATGCCTATTAGCCCTTATCACCTTTGACGAAGATAACCAAGAGCGCATACTATACGAGGATACGCCCGTAAGGGTCGAGGGAACGCTTCCACCGCTTCGTGTACAAGCTCTCGGATCATGTAGCGCCAGGATAATCAGATAGATATTTAAAGTGACTGATATGAAGGTCAGGAGAGAGTGCAGCATCGCAGATTTCCCGGTTATCAACGGTCTACGTGTGAAAGTAGCCTCCTGCACTTCTCCACTTTGATCAATCAAAACAGAGCCTGGAAGCAGTGGAGCGTCAAGGATTTCGTGTTCTCGCATTCCGCTTGAGGAAGCAGACTGACTACACTTGAAACCGGTTTATAGTAACCTTTTCGCTCAGCAGAAAGACGCTGGCGTCATATAAAAGAGAGTTCGCGAAGACTGATGAGACATGCGCCATTTCATCCTTGTTCAACACCGGCCGGATATCTCGTTCTCCGGGGTGGGTGCCGCAGCGGCACAGCCTTTCCATTTGGCCGTGTCTGATGGTGCGTTCGGCCACCAGTTATATGACACCGGCTGTTACGAGGAGCTATCACTGGGAACGAGCTTTGGCCGCGAGTTACGGCACAGGCACCAGTACAGTACCAGGCCGCGCGGCTTGAAGAAGGATGAAAGCACCTTAACTCCACATAATCACTTACGGGAACTCTACAGATATGAAAATTTGTATTTCCGGAAAGATTGGAATTTTTGCTTAAATATCCCCTGGCAGATACATTGATGTCTCCCTTCCCTTCAAATATTTCAATAGTCAGGGGTGAACTCTCCTTGCCCCTCATCACGTCGGTAGTCAGCCATCATGTGAGGTACACTGCCTTTCTCCTCACTCTCCATGTTCTCTGCCGGGTGGCTAGTGTCTGGAGGCAAATCTGTCCTTATTGGGAGCTCAGAGTTTTTGATGGAGCGAGCGGTTTCGGTGTTGATCACTGCTCATGTCAATGTAACTGCGTTTGTGCATTGAGCGGCTTTAACTCACAGATAGGACTAGCGATGGCACCTCCAACGCAGCACAGTAGAATCAGATTTTGGACTTTCATATTCCCCAGGGGGTTTTTGCGCTTGAAAGAGAGACTATGGCAGATGTATCGGGCGTCGAGACGAAGATGTGATGTGTCCTTCAAGGCTAGTTTGAAAGTCACACGAGCAAAGTGCTGGCTTTAAGCCCTCTGAAAACTTACTTTCCTGTGACATCTCCATATATCATTCCGCATGCCCAGAGTCCGTTGCGGAAACTAATAATCCGCGGCGGACAGTGCAATAGATCCGATACAATGGCTGTAAGCGCCCGCTACATTAACTACGCCGCTTTCCGCGCCGCTTTCCTTGCCTCCGAACATGTCCGGTCTCTATTGCCACCGTGAAATTTTATTATATTCGTTGAATTGATTGGCTCCGTAATGAGCCCTGAGCTGGATCATCATGGACATGGAACATCGGCGACCAGCTCGTCTGCATAACAGCGACACTCGAATATTGGTTTGTAACACTTTGCACTAACCATAGCACAAGATCAATGTCGCGACAGATTCAAAGTTCAGAACAACCTGAGTCGAGTGCGGAATGGCCTCCCTCCGGCTGTTAATCTAGCCATCATGTTCAGGATGATCCGCAATTGCCTGGGGCTAAAACTGGATAGCCTGCACCATATCTTCCTCTTCAATCCAAGCGTGCGGAATGCCCACCTTTTTTCTCTGTCTGTGACTCTGTCCTTTACATACAAATACACTCGTCTCGACTACAATGAAACTGTTCACACGCCAGGAACCGGCGTATACAGCGCTGGACAGAGAAACTGACGCTGAAGTGCCGTCCAGTGCATCTTGCCAGGGCTGGTGTTCTCCCTCAAGTCTATTATTTTGTATTCTCTCTTCAGTTGCCATCACCATCTTTGTACTCTGTGGATATTTCCATTGGCAGGGCACCGAGACCGGCCCAAACATCCTCGTACAGCAGTGCTCGGATGTTCGAATCCGCAGAGAGTGGCGAAACCTCCCGCTATGGCAAAGGGATGAATACTTGCATTCGGTCAGATGTCTGAAATCCAAACCTTCTCGGATTGGATTAAATCACTCGCTATATGATGATTTTCCGTGGACACATAGTCGCGTTGGAAAATACGGTAGGTAGTGCTAGAAGCTAAGGCAGGTCTTTTTCGTTGCTCACCTTCAAGACAGTGCATGACGCTGCCCCATTTCTTGCATGGCACCGATACTTCGTTGTTTTATACGAGGAAACTCTGCAGAATGTGTGTAGTTATACCGGGAGCATGCCGTACGTACAGTAATCATGAGCACACATATAAGCTAGCTACTGAAAGACGGATTCAGGTACTGGGATTGGGAGCTTGATTGGGAAGACATTACCAAATCGCCTATCTGGGATGCAGAGCACGGATTTGGCACAAACGGCCGACCTGAAGAATCCAGAGAACCTATCGTTCAAGGATACTGCGTACGTGATGGACCTTTCAGAGACTTCGAGATACCCTATCTTGATGAAACAATGTATCCACACTGTCTCTCACGTGGCTTCCTTGCGGGAGACGAACTAGGCCTTCAGGCGCAACAAATTAGCCCAGATATGATGGACCAATTGCTAGCTATAACGGACTACGGCACTTTCAACCTCCGTCTCGAGAATGGCCCTCATCTAGCGATACCTCGCACTATAAGGGGCGACTTTTCCTTGCTAACCGCGCCCTCAGGTGAGCATCATCTGGAATCATATATCCTCCGATCTACTAAGCTTTAACGCAGATCCAGTATTCTTTCTTCATCACACCCAGCTGGACCGCTTGTGGTGGAATTGGCAGCGGATGAACGGATCGAGATTGACAGATTACAGTGGGGTTAGAACGCACAATGGCAAGGAGCCTGCTTCAAGCTTCGACTTGCTACTTATGGGGGGACTTGCACCCGATATTCCCGTGGCTGAAGTCTTGCATACTACTTCGAACCGCCTTTGTTACATATACGCCTCGGCGAACTCCTCCAGGTGTATGTCGAACAGTCAAGGACGTTCAAGAAGTTCTAGTTTCTGTAGTTTGTGTACTTCTTATCTAATCAATTATGCCTATTAGTCTCCTAGTAGCCCTCATATGAAACCATATACCTTGGTATGTTGGGATGTTCGATCCTGCTAATCATTGTGCTAGTGAAGTGTATCCCTCTACGCTTATGTCACGCTCTATGCGCGCCGCAATTGCTGGTTTTCACTGCGCACCATTATTTTCGCAAGTTGATGCCACCTGTACCGAAGGCTTCCGAACCAGGCCCAGTATTAATCATAACCCTATGTGCTCGAAAGTGTGAACGCTCAGACAACCCTGTCGGCGCCATCCTTTTCTCTCGCTTGCTTAAACTCGTCGCCGTTGTAGAAGGCCATCATCTCCTGCCACTGCGTGAGCCAGTCCAACTTCAACCAATCCGAAATACCCTGATCCACGACCCATATCTTCTCGTGCACAACCTTCAGCTTGCCCTCCTCGTCCGGCTGTGGGAAGAATCCGCCCCATTCTCTCGTCAACAGCGTAGGCGGAAACGCACCATCAGGCTGGAACTGCCAGTTCAGGAAGGCTTGCTCGGCCATGGAGCAGTTGTACTTGTCCGTTTTTAGGTAATTCTGCAGCAGCCGTTGGTGCATCCTCTCGGAAGGTGCGAAGACCATGCTTCCGACATTGATGTTATAATCCGCTGGATTGGTTATGTCCTGCGGTACACCGCCAAAGACGTAAGGCTCGCACACGGGGGATGCATCTTCGAGGTAATCGTCTTCTTGCAGCTTCTCCTTCCTACAATCCTGCAGGGGAGTCAAGTCGAACATGGGATCCATATGGTCGACAGGGAAGGCGTCAGCATCGAGGAAGAGGATACGTTCGAACTCGGTTTCCTTCCACATGTTCAGTTTCGCAAAGAGGTCTTTCCAGCGCTCTTGGCCGCCTGGGCGGTCGCAACTCCATGGCAATGGCTCCAGTTCCCGGACAATGGCTCCGGCGCCTCTCAGGAGAGTGCGCTGTTCTTCGGTCACAAAGTCGGCTACGTAGACGATGAAGGGGTATTGTTCCGTCCGGGAACGCGGAGAGTACAGTATCCGGTATAGAACGGAGTGGATGGCCAAGTAATAAGGGTCTTTTGTTGACGGATTGCGTGTAGCCATGAAGGTGGCATAGGCATATTTCTTGGGGCCTCCATAGTCATGGTTATGAGGTCTGTGATTGCTGAACGATTGGAATGTGGCAACGGGTAATTCAAGATCCAGGTCCTTCTGGAATGCGAAGAAGGGTTCCGATGTCTTCGTGTTCGAGTCCAAGTTTTGTGCCTGACCTTCCAACGACGGTGGTAGCTCCGGTGCATTTCCTGAAGATGGCGGTGATGGTTTAACCTCGGGTTGGGAGCCTACCGGAGAGTGCTGATCTGGTACGGGTTGAGAAAGGAGGTCCAGGTGCGCCGTATATCTGGGATCGCTATTGGCTTCTCCTGCTCCTTTAGGATTCTGATCACTTCCTCCGTTTTTTAGGTACTGGATAGGAGTCTCCAGGAGGGTATGAGGCAGCATAGGCTCCTCCTGCCTGGAGGAGTAGAGCCACAGTCCTCCGATCAGCAGAATGAGGGCCCCAAGCAGGGTACGTAATCTTCTCACAGCCATGATGAAAGTGGATGGGAACGGGGAGAAGTCATAGGAAGCGAGTCTTCATGGCAGAAAACATGGTGGTTGTGCTTGGGGATGATGATCGTCACCCATGGTGAGAGCAATCTTGGTATTTCCCCACAGTCCCCTGCAGATCATGTTCATGAGCGGTTCGCGAGCTTCCTGATGGGCTGTGGGGAACGAAAAGAAATAGGCCGAGGCTTGATGCACAGGTTCTGCTTCACATGCTAGCTGGGGTCAGATACAGTAAAACCTCGCTATTGGGTAAGCGTCGGAATTAGGTAAATCATCGGCGTAGGGTAAATTTCCGTGCCACCGTCGAAATTGTATGGGGATAGGGAAAGCTCGCGGTTTTAGGTTTTCCCTAAGCCTTACCTATATATTTCCCTATTCCTGAAGCTCCTAACTAGGGCACTGATTAAAGGGCATACCAGTAAATAATAGAGGGCATACCAGTAAGCCTAGGAGGCCTCTCCGGGCATAGTACTTACACCAGCGGCTTAGCTGCCCTACTGGCGAGTCGTGCGAAATATATAGATGTTTAGCTGTAATTAAAATAGCTCTGCAGTTATCTTAGCAATTGTAAAATACCTGCAGGATGTTTAGCTAAATATAAGGCTATTTAAATATATAGAGATACCTAAAATAAGCAGTTTCCTAGTATTGCAGTTGCAATTAGAGAGCGTAAGGCTATTTAGATATATAGAGATAGCTAAAATAGGCAAATTTATAGTAGAGTATATTTAAAATAGCTACTACAGAGGCTGCAGAGGGGTACTGTACATAATTAAATAGTTAGAGTAGCTATATGCCTAAGGGTAGACTGCTAGTGGAAAGTAACTGCAGCCATCCTGCTAGCTATTTTTTTTTTTTTTTAGTCAAAATATGTGTATTGAGTCTAAGACTATGATATGGCTATACTAACTAACATACATCCTCTCTCGAGGCCTTCATATATGTTAGGCTTAAGCGAGAGCAGTGAAACTGCTTGTTAAGGCAGAAAAAAGGAAGGAAAAGGGGTAGGTAAAGGAGTGTAGGGGAGGAGAAGGTGATGAAAGGAAGTGAGTGTGATAGAATAAACAAAGAAAAACCTAAACATTTTCCTCCTAAGATCTTACCCTGTTATACCTGTTGTCTTTTTATAGTTTTGTCTGTTTTCTATGTGTTTTTCTGTTGTCCATCTTTTATTCTATGTTCTCTAGAGGCTCCTGTTGTAGGAGCCACTTTTGGATAGCGATTTGGGTCCTTTCAAGGTAGGTAAATAAGACTTTCCTACCCTCTGGTATACAGAAGAGCTTATACAGAGTAAGAGGAGACTTTAGTGCTTCTGTCAGATTTGATAGTATCTGAAGATGTCACGGTGACAGAAAGATTGATTGAAGATGGGTTGACTGATTGTATTCAGGT